CTTATTTTATTAACTAAATCCGGGAGGCAGTAAAACATGAATTAATTTGTTTAATTTATTATTTAGAAATATATTTACTATATCTTATTAAGCTATTTCATGGTCAAAAGCAGTAATTAGGGCTATAATAGTCCTAAATATTCGTGTGGCTAGGGTAATGGCCCTAGAATCAAGATTATTGATTGGTTGAAGGTCTCTATAAACATATATTCTTGCTTTAAATTTTGATAATTAATCTTAATTAGTAAATTTGTATTTCTATATTTATTTTAATAGTAGGATCTTTTGAATTAAATTATCCGTTTTAGAAATAGCTTCCTAGGTGTTTATTTTAGTTAATTAATTATATTTAATTTTACATGTATTTAGCCATTCATCGCGAAAGGGCGAATTTATTATTTTTTTCTAATTAGTTGGCTTAATAGGCAAATTATTTTGATGCAATTTATTATTGCTAATTTGAGCTAATATAAAATTTCGAGGCATTTTTGAAGGTCCTGGGTCAGGTGATTCTGACTTATTTTTTTTTAGGGATAGTGGCTTATGAAAATTATTATAATTATTAAAATTGAATAGCGTATTATCAATAATGATTTCAGGTGATTGAGAATGTGGGGTAGGAGGTTGGTCTCCTAAAATCTTATTACTTTGAGTATTTGATTAAATTAAATTATTTTAGTTATTTTAATTATTTAATTTAATAATTCGATTTTCATGTTCGGGTTCATAGTGAATGGGATTGTATTTACTAGATAGTTCTGATTTATCTTGTTCGGGTTCAGAATAGATATTATTAATAATTTTATCCTCGGTAAACCCTAATTCAGTGGTTTCAGGTAAATCAATCGAAATTGAAGAGATTAAATCATTAATTTCTTCGAAACTGAGTGGTTCGGGGTTTTCTAACCTAATTAGGTCTAGTTTAAATGTTTAAACATTTTGTTTATTTTTATAGACCTTTGTTTCATCGAAGATGTAATTACGTGCCGAAATAACCTTATTTTAACTGGGTATCTATATTTTCTATATATTTAGGGCAACATACCCTATCAGGTAGCTAATTAGAGCTCTCGGTTTGAGCTTACTAAGCCTAGGGATATTCAAAATCCTTGTATAGGCTCGGCAACTATACCGCTTTAGGTTAGAGAGGTTTAGTAATAGTATTATATATGATGGAGGCTGATCAAGATGTTTGAATAAGGTTTTATGCGGGGTATTTTACTTTAGTGAATAAATAGGGGTGCAATTTAATATATATATTACTGTATTTAATAATTCTGGCCATAAATATGGCGGTAATCTTGAATTAATAAATAAAATCTGTATTTTTTACGTGATTAAAGCACCTAAATATTCTGTAAATAGGTTCTGCTTAGGTTATCTAATCGGGCTAGTGCTGCAGATCACCCCTTTAAATCTCGCGTAATTATAAAAATAGGCTAGATTTTTATCTTGATCTGAATAAAATCGTTTGATAGTTACGTGATATTAATATTTAATAAATTAAATTATTTTAATAATTGAATTACTCACGTGATCTTTTAATAAAATTATTTTAATTATATGAAATTTTAAATAAGAGTAATATATATAGCTAATATATTATTTTTAGTAGATTCCCTGATTCAAATGAATAAGGTCCTAATGAATGGTTTTAAATGGTTTAGTCCCTAATTAAATCGGAATTTAAGAAATTTGATGTTTTGATATTAATAATTAATAAATCAGGCAATGATCTTCAGTTTTAGTCAATTTATTATTAATTTTTATTTTATTTACTGTTAAATCAAGGTATTTTAGGGCTTCAGAGCTTGGGTGCCCTAATTTTGAATACTATAGTTCAGCTATTCTATAGGAGATAATTAGTTTATTTGAATTTCTTGCTGAATAGGTCTCTAATTTATTCACTTTAATATTCGGTAGTGAATTCGGTAGTGAATTCGGATAGTAAATATAATTATTTTTAGGAGTTAATTCAGGTGACTATTGGATATAATCATTAGTACTCCATTTGATTAAATAAATGCCTGTAATTTCGAGGACTTCATAAATCAGGCGGTGATTAGGGCTTTCTAGGTATATAGTCTTAGAATTAAGGTAAATACCTGATTGCCTTGCCTTTGAGGCAGATAAAATATTAATATAAAATTGTAGAACATAAGTGTAATAATATAATTCGAATGTTATTTTATCTTTATAGGGGTTTAAAGGTTTTAAATTCACTGTTTTAAAATCTTTAATTAATGTCTGCGTATTCCCTATAGAGATTAATGTAGATGATTTATAATAATTACTGAATAGGGATTGATTATTACAGATATGGGTATCTACTGTAATATCGAATACCTAATTAGGACTAGCGTGTTTTTTAATTAGTTTTATTAAATTTGAAGCCATTGTAATTAAATTAGTTTAAAATTTATTATTTTGATTTATTATTTAATTTATTAATTTTAAGCGATTTTTTGTGGCTTTAAACACTATATGAAATTTAGGGTTCCTAAAGGCTCTATTAAATTATTTAATAGCCTTAAGATTATGTGACTAATTTTCTGGTTTCTTTAAAGAATTATTAATATAAAAATATTAATTAAATTTATAGTGGCCTTTATTAGGGTCTAATTAACAGGGGTAATTTTGTTCCCTTTTAGGAGTTCTAGGGTTGAACCTAGGGCTTGGGGTATTTTTTAAGATATCTCCTTTAAAAATTGCCTGAGCGATTCGGCTAGATTGGTTTGAGTGTTTAAATATTAGGAATATTTTTATGTGATCTCTGAATTACTTAGTTATATTAAAAAATAATAATATTTTATTATGTGATTTAATTTTATTATTTAATTTTTTGCTCTAATAATTTGCAAATATTAAATAAAACCTATAAATAGCTTTAATAAAATTATATTAAACTTAGTATGGATTATTTACTTCGCTTATTTCAAGCGATTTCGCTTTAGTATAGACGTTTTCCTATAGTGAAATGTATGAATTAATTGAATATTTATTCTACAGATTTTTAAGCATATGATATTGCTTAATAATATCATATTTTTTTGATTTATTAGTGGGAGCTAGTTTTGTTTGAAAGATCCGTAGCACGTGATATGGGGTTTTTTTATCAGATATTAAAACTTTATTAGCTGATGATATTGAGTTTTTAATCAGGAGTAGAATTAGGGCTAAGCCCTTATTTATATAGTAATATTCTTGAAGCGCTAATTTATAATCACGTAAGAGATCTTAATAAAGCGCTCGATTGTTTTAGGTTAAATTAATAATTAATCTAGCATTTCTATCGAGGTTACATGGTTCCGGGTAATTAGGCTGTATAGATTAATCAGGCATAGTTATGTGACTAGGATTAATAAATTCCTAAACATGTTTATTTTTAGTAATTATTTTGATCATGTTAAACCAGTGTATCTAGTTATATGACTAGTTTAATTAAAAATTAAGCTTTATATTTATGTTAGTAAGCTTAAATAATTAATAAAATGATTTAAATTATTTAACTTTTATATTATCTTGCTTTCACCTCACTTTTACTGTATAAATTAGTAGTAAAAGTGAAAGTTCAATAAAGTAAAAGTAAACTAGGTAAGTAGGGGTTAATTAAATCAGACAGGTAAATAATTTACTGTAATAGTGAATAGACAAGTAATTAATTAATTCGTGTGTGTGTGAATTTAATTAATAAATTAATGAAATAATTTAAATCAATTAAATATTTTACACAGGTGAAATAAAACACTTGAAGTGAGTATACGGGTTGAATGAATTAAATCAATATAATAGATGGTTTACTGTAATAGTGATCAAATGATTAATTCACGTGTAGGTTAAATTTAATTAAGCGAATAAATGATTAATTTAGGTGTAAGTGTGAATTTGATCAAATATATGTGAATTTAATCAGACAAATAAATAATTAATTCACATGTATGTATAAATAATAGGAACAAAGGGCTAGACCGGGCTCATAACTGTCAGATGAAATACTAATCTGGGCTTATAATTATCAGATGGGATAGGTAGGTTATGTGGGTTGAATAGAAATTTTAAATAACTAGAAAGAATAAAGGAAATCAATCAGTCAGATGAAGTAAACAGTTTATCTGGATTATCTAGATCTGATAATAGACTAGAGGTCCTACTATTCACTATGTATATAGATAGGTGAAATTGATTAATGAATGAATGAATTAATGAGTAAATTGAATAGATAAAATTAACTTGTTAAATTGAAATAGTAAAATCAACTTGTTAAAAAGAATAAATTAATGCAGGTCATTGACTGTATATTTATAGATAATAAAATTAGGGCTAATTCAATTTGGCCCTAAATAAATATTGCAAATATAAAATTATTAAATCCTTCTAGGCCTTTACCTGTGAGTTATATCATTAATCTAGGTCTTTAAGATTAACCTCATAAATTATTATTAGATTAATATTTAATTATTTAAATAATTAAATGATCAAGATTTCATGATCAGAATAGTCAGAATAATTGAGATTTAATATATAAATTATAATGAAATTATTTAAATGATATCAGAATAACCAGGGTAGCAATATTTACTTTATGGCTTATAAAATAAATAGGCGAGATATTCTGGACCCTTTATATTAATTATCTGAATAAAGCCATTGATTGCAGTGGTTGAAATAAACTTTTAATTTCCTAAATAGGAAATTCATCGACTTATGTTTTCTGATTTTTATAGGATTCTAGCGACCGGTGATTTCCCAAAGAGGAAAGTAAACTAGTCCAAAATAGGAAATTTTTCAGAAATTTTTCTTTTTTATTTTCTGCTCACATTGAGCTCAGTTTTACCTCACTTTTCCCATATAATTTAGTGGTGGAAGTAAGAGTTCAATGAAGTGATAGTAAAGTTGTAGTAAATTTTGAATAATTTCGGTTGTGGGGTTAGATCAGGTGATTCTGATGAATCAGGTGATGTCAGGTGACCCCAATTGACAATAACAAAACTATTTATTAGGAGATTATTAAAAAAGGTATAGTCCTTTTAGATCTGGTAAAGCTACTGATTTTTAAGGGACCCCTTAATAAATTTATTATAGCTAAAAAAGTTATACCTAAAGTTTTTATGAAGAAAATAAATTACAGACTTAGTTTTATAAATAAGTGCCTTTATTATATATTCTGGAAGCAGTTGTCCGAGATATAAAAAATTAATATAAATTAACTTCTTTTATATTATATGAAAGAATTCGATGACTTCTGCAAAAATTATAAACTAGAATATAAGATCTTGCTAGAAGAAATGGTTCGGAGCTGGGAAGAAAATTACAGCCTATATTTTAAATAACTAGAAGACTGAATCACGCGGGAGAGCCAGGGAGATTTTATAGGAAGACTATGGTTAAATTAGCTGTATATGGTAATAAGGTTAGAGGTCTCGAACTTTTCTTGGAACAGTACAGACAACCTATGGTTTTCTGATGTGAAAAAAGCCGTGTTTTAATCAAGTAGGGCCTGCGGGCTGGCGGCCGCCTAGCTTAGGGGTTTTTTTAATATTTATACAGGAGCAGAGGGAATAAGGAATAAATTAATCTTTGTTATTTTTTTACCTAAAGATAAGATTTTTTTTTTTAGTTTATTCTATTATTTTGGTTAACAAGGGGGACTTTTTAAGGATTTTAGCGGGGGATATTTAGTACTCGGATAATTTTAGTATTTTATATGGTATTCTTGGTCCTGAAAACAAACTTTAGTTAGATTACTCTAAGGTGACTGGAATATTTAACTTAATGGGAGTAGTAGTCCCTGGTAAAAGCTTAAATATATATTTTTAATAGGAGCTTGCTTATAAGCAGGACGGAAAAAAATTATATCTAATATAAAGGATTGCAGTTTGAGCCCTTAGGGTGATTCGGCCTTTTAAAGAGTTTATTCGGGATATTACCTATAAAGAATAATTTCTCTTATATTAGTTGCCAAGTCTTACTAGAAAGGGTTTTCTGCAAAATAATTAGTTCTAGACAGTCGCATAGATGCAAGTACCTAGCTCTCTGGTAGAAAGAAAACCTTGAGACTGGCCAAAATAGTTATACTTCGTCCGAACAACTTTGGCACTAGCTGTCCACTTATAGTCTGTTCTTGCCTCCTTTCTGGGAAAAATTGGAGTGCAGAGATATACGAATCCATTATCCGGCAACACAGGACAGGCTCGGACATATGTTAACAAGCAGGGGTACATAAAGCTCATACTATCACACTGTAGAAACAAACAAATTCACACGAAAGCTCAGCGTGAAGCGGGAAGATCAAGACATGTATTAGAGCATAACTAAATTAAATTAACTATTATCTACGGCCAGCGTAGGTAAAATGCGAATCCTAACGCAATCTCGCGAAGAGAAACACTATGCATATGGCAGTTCAGGGTCATTTAATCCTCTCTGTTATTGGCTGGCCTTTGAATAAGAGGCTCCGGTGGGCCCCTCGCCTGTTCAGACCACTTATAGATGTCACGCACGAATCGCCGAGCAGTACCTTTTGTCACTCCTTTCTCAATGAGAAACTACACGTGCTCTTGATCTTCGTCCACTATCTCGAGATCTAGACCATTTAATAGAGTGATATCACACGCCTTATGCCAGTCGGCTTTGCGCCTCTCGTCGGTCACTTGTAGTTCGTGCCATTCAAGTATTTCTTAACGGCATCATCCCGGGGTCCATAAATCTTCAGTTGTTTGTTCGGTGGTGCAGGGCTAGCTGTTGACGTAGAGGTTGGAGGCTCTCGCGTGCTCTGCGGAGGCAAGCAATTAATGATATAAACTGGGCACGGGACGCCAGAAACAATCTGTTTATTTATTTTATTTGGGCTTCTCTCCAACTTTTGCTGGGCTTCCATGTATAAAGCTTGTCGAACGTCCTCTGGGACGTCATCATAACTATCCAATTTACTCTTTGCCTTTACATGGGCGCAGAGCTTCTCAAGATGGGGTTTTCGCAGTGTATAGTGTCTCCGACCCTTAACATCCTGCCAGTACCACTTTTCAAAGTTATCGCATGAAGACACAGAACATCGCATTAGTTTATAAACATATCTCCAAGCTGAAGGCTGATCAGGCTGTTCTTCAGCAACAATCTCTGCGTCTCGTTCAGCAAGCATTCTTTTTGTAGCTAAGGACCCCGGCTTGTCCGACATATCATCATCTCTTATATACTGGAATGTGATAGCAGTCTGAGACATTTTGCCTATGCGGACCAAATCGCTCCACTTGTGAAACTACCTTTCTACTGTATTGCGGGGGCGGAAGAAGGTTTCGACCCACCCTGTAGGAAACTACCACTGCTACCAGGGATTAAATCGAAGGATATAAGGACACTCATTACCATATACCTAGAATAGTTCTTATTTTACTCTTCGCGTTCAATAATACTATCTTTAATAATCATAGTGTTTTCACTGCTAGTACGATTCGTCCACACTCTATCACAAGAAGGTATACGTACTAACCTGGCCTTACTTCTTCTTTAGCTATGTAGGGATCTTTCGATCATCGAGTTAGTCCATCAGAACCCAGGCATAATTCTCAGGAGCAATCACTAGTCATTCAAGAGCATCATTGCTCTTAGGCAAATATTACCCGTTCCTAGGAACAATTGGACTGTTCGCAAAAAGGCTCAAACTATAACCTAGCAGTCACCACAGCTTTAGCGGATCCTAGGGTTTGACACTGCTCACGCGCGACATCGCGATTGCTCGGGGCTCAAGAAAACTTGGCTGATATTTCTGTCACGTGATTTCTCGATCACACATCTGTGGCCGCGGGAGGATAATCCGGCAACCCTATTGCCTTGTTCACCTATCGGATTATTCTACCAGATTTTGAGATAACTATGTCTGTTTTCCAGAGTAATTTGGCTTCTGTATTATCTAGTTAAGTTTTTAGAATGGTGGAAACTAGCTGTAGGAACTTAATTTAAATTATTATAAGCAAACACACTCCTAAGAGCTAGATTACAGATCCTAGTTTACTATAATAGTCTACTGTTTAACAAGGCTATATAAAAAAGTGTGTCTGTAATAATTGCCCAGTTGTCTTATTATTTTGACTAGGATTAGATAATATTAATAATAATTAATTGAAAATGCTATAATAAACTATCTAGCCTACCCGGTTAATTAACTAATCGCATCCACTGTAATATGTTCTTAATTACCGTATTCAACTTTTGTAGAGATATAAGATATATCTAGCTTATAAAGCTATCTTTAAAAAAAAAAAAGGGCGAACACGAAGAGTCACTAGTTATTAAATGCTGTTGAGGATATAAATAACTGCCTAATATTAAGTATACAGTAGAATATTATTGCTTTATTTTATTATTATTTATTTTGGTTTCTTCTCTGTGAAGCCGAATCTATTATAGTTAATAAACCTGTGCTCTTAAATATATTTATAAATAATACTTAATTTTCTTTTTATGCTTCGGAAATATTTTATTATTTTTAATTAATTTTAAACTCTTCTTATTTTTTGCTTTATAATAATATTAACCTGTTTTATATTAATATATTCTGCTTCTATTGCCTAACAATATTCTCTTAGTGTTATCTATACATAAATAGCTAGATTAGTTTCTTTTTTTCCTGATAAAAGCAGTAGTTTAAAAAAATATTTTAATTAATATAAGAAGCTTTGGCAGCAAGTTAACTCTATATTTAATTTCTAATAAGCTTTAGCAAGAAAGTATCTTATACTAGTTAGGTATTTACTCTACTGTGTTCAAATCCAAGACCTGCCTAAGTGATCTTGGTTATTTAGCAGCCGGGGAAAACATAACGCGGTTCGTCCATCTAGTATTCAACAAGGTTCTAATTTGCACGCTCCGGTCATTTTATCTAGTAACCAGCATGAATGAGCTGAGGCTAGTTTGATATTTGCTGGTTAATAGGCTACCCCAACATCCCCTCTTTTTATTACTTTGACTATTGTCTTTATTTCGTGTCTGATGGCTAAAGCAAGCGGTCATTTGTGCGAACAATGTTGGTCAGAGAGAATTAAGTAATCACCTGGTCATAAACTCCCAATTCTTAATATTAAGTACCGATCCTTTCACTGGAGGCTCCAAGAAGGATAGTTATACAAGATATAAAACGAGGTAGTGTATGTTTGAAAAGTATCTTTACTAACCGGTGAAAGCACTAGTCACTCACCTGTATTTAGTTGAACAGAAAGGTCATTAAAGGCCCATGGATGTCTAGAAAGCTCATTGCCTATTGCGAACTAATTGAGCTCATACCAATGGTGACTCAAGATGGGACCAAAATCCGCTCGGGTCAGCTAGCAACGTGTATACTCGGCCAGAATCCCTTAGTCGGATACTGAGACAAACATCCGCTTTATATAGCTTATTATATTAAGAGGCTTTTCTTATTATGCCCTTTATTTATTAATCCCTTTTTTATTATATAAACTTTTTTAAGACAGAGGTTTTTTTTCCCTTACTTTTGTTTAGGGAATTTTTTATTTTTATTTCCTCAGGTATTATAGAAAAGAAAAAGAATAAAATAATATCTAGTTATTATACAGTATAAGATAAATCCTATTACCTCTGAGTAAAGATTAATTAAAAAATAAGTAGAATTTATATACTAGAAAGAAAGGGCTTATGGTTTTTAAAGTCTCTTATAACTATAGTACTTAATAATAAATACCTTATAAGTATATAATTAACTTTAATAATATAAGAATATTATCTTTATAAATATTACAGCACTATTAACAAGTAATTATGTAATAGCAGTTTAGCTAAATAATCTATAAAAAACTATTATCTGCTCCTGTAGGTTAACCCGATTAAATAGTATTAAAAAATCTACTATACACATAAATACTTATTAACTATTATACTTTTGTAAGGGATAAGCTAACACAGGCTATAATAAAAGAAGGATAGTTAAAAAAAGTTTTCCTAGGGTAATAAAGTAAAAATAAAATAAAAGAGAAAAGTAAAATAGGCTTAGTTAGGATTAAAATAGTACTTCTAATAAAATTAAGGTGTAAATAGAAAATTTATTATATTTAGTATTTAAATAGTTAACTCTAGTATTTAATATTATCTAAATAACTTACTCTTGACTACTAGCCTAATATAATTATTAAATCCTAAGAGAAAGTAAAATAAATATAGAGTTTAATCTCTTAATTTCTGGAGTTAAGAAGAGGCTAGCTAAAACTTCTTTATAAAAAAGCGGGAATATAAGATAAGTAATAAAGGAAATAATCTAGTACGGGCTTTTATAATATATTTTTATAAAGTCTTATTTATTTTGCTAACTTGTAGTGGTCAACTTTCTAATAATCTAAGTAAAGAAAAAGAGGATAAAAAAAAATAATAATAAATATTTTATAATATAGAATAAATATTAAATATTATTAGCTAAACATATTTTTATCTCTTATTAAAAAGCCTTTAATTACATATATTCCTAATACCCTGGCACCCCCTAGCTAGCCAGCAAGGAAAAATATTCTAACTTACTAAAGAAAAGCTAACACTAACTAACTGACTAACTAGCTCAGGGCTGCTAAGCCAGGTAGAATAAGATAGATAACTTTACTCCCTTCTCTCCTGTATTTTCTCCTAAAAGATTAAAAGCACTTATAAATAAATATTATACTCCTCGGAATATGGCGTCAGCTCTTATAAATAGTTTAATATACCCTAAGAGCTTGGGTCTCGCTCTAGGAAACCCAACAGGCGATCTGATGAAAACCACTATCCTGAGATTCTGTCCATCCTGGGATCCTCTATCCTGGGATCCTCTATCCTGGGATCCTCTATCCTGGGATCCTCTATCCTGGGATCCTCTATCCTGGGATCCTCTATCCTGGGTACATACTTTCCTGTGACTGATTGTCCCAGGGACAGTTTATTCCTAGAACACAGTTTCCGGGGTATGGCCGATTCTGGGATCACTTATTCCTGTGATAGATAGTCCTGGGATCACGGGAGTGTCAAACCCTAGGATCCGCTTAAGCTGTGCTGACTGCTAGATTGGTTATAGTTCGAGCCTTCCAGCGAATAGTCCAACTATTCCTGGGAACGGGTGATACTTGCCTAAGAGCTCCAAGCTCTAAAGTAATCAACGGTGTCTCGGATGAACCTCCCAGAGATTCCGGTAAACTAACTCAATAATTAAAAGATCCTAAACAGCTAAAGAAGAAGTAGAGCCAGATTAGTACATATATCTTCCTGTGATAGAGTGTGGACGAATCATACTAGCAGTTACTGAAAGGTAATTATCAAAGACAATAATTGTATTAAACGCGAAAAACTAAACAAGAATTATCTAACAGGTAGATAAATAAGTGTCCTTATATAGTCCTCCTTAAGTATACCATCTGGCATACTATCTAGTCCTCCCTGTACTATTTAGTCGCAACATACCCGATGGTATACAACATACTATATGGTATCGGCATACTATATCACGTGACTGAATCCTTCTTTGTAGCGTCACGGGTCCTGGGTCGCCGCCGACCTATCGTTCCTTGCCCCGCGGCTCCTGGTGTAGCAGGGGTTCGTAACAATTTAATAAAACTTCTTATTTTATTTTATTAGCTATTTATATTATTTTACTAAGGCACTCGCTTTAATAAAGTTTTTAGGCTTTTTATTAATTAATAATTTAAAGGCTTATTTAATATTTTTTTGTAAATCTAGCTGTAGTATTTTAAAAAAGTAATTAATAAAAAATTAGTTAATATCTTTTTATATAAGCTTTATAAAAAGGATATATCTATTTAATATAATCTATATTAATTAATTAGGGCCCTATCTTAATTAAATAAAATTATAAATATAAATTTATCTTTAATTTTTTTTACTTTTTATATATTTTATTAAAAAAATCTTAAAATCTTTAAATATTATTTTTTAAAAATCTTTAAGGTGTATTAAACACTATAAGTTTTAGAAAAATTTTAATAAATACATTTTTATATATAAGATTTTTATTTTTTTTTAAAAAAAATATAGGATTTATTCTTAAAATAATACTTTAAGTTTTATATAAAAATTATATATTAATATAAATCCTTATCCTTAAAGATCTCTAAATTTTTAAGCTTAAAATTTTTTTTCTTTTTATTTTTCCCTAAAATCTTTATTATTATTATTAATATATTAAGAGTTATCTATACTAGTAAAAAGACTATAAACTATTTACTAGTCTTTTAATAACTAGAAGACTATTTAAAATAATAATTTTTAAGTATTTAAATAAAAAAAATTATTATTTAATATAAAAAATTAATTTACCTCCTCTGAAGCGGAAAAAAAATTATTTAAAAATATTTAATAAATATAATATCTCTATTTATTACGGGATTACTCGTGTGTAAATATAGATAATAAAACAGGAAAAAATAATTAAAACTATAAAAAATAATTATAAAAGTTCTAGTTCAGGCACTTAGTTCTCTTAAATAAATATATTAAGAAGTTCGGAACGCCTGTAATATACCTATAGACTGCTTACTATATACTAAAAGATATAAGAAATTAAAGGACAGGTGTTAAATAAATAAAATTAATTATTTAATGTCTTAGGGGTCAAGCAGGTGGTCTCTTTAAATAAGGGGTTTCCCGTGTATGACATGATCACGGGAATCAGTTCCCGAATGCCTCGGCCACCCTGCGGACCTCCGGCGGTCCGGTTGTTCCGTGTTCCGCGCTGAGGTAAGCGCCGGTGATATGAAGTATGCCAAAACTAACTTCGGAATCTTGAACACTGACCTTGACCAGTTTCGCCAGACTCCTTACTTCTCTGCATCAAACTGGCTATAATACAGTTCGACATTCGGCTTCCTGCGCCTTGCTAGTTCTGAAGGCTCTAGCGCCTCCCCTAATTAGCAACGGGCACTATAAGTAACAAGTCGTGGGCTGACGAATTCTTCTTTTAATGGCCTCCGCCAGCTTGAATCAATACAGCTCATACGGATAGGCCAACTTTCAGATCTTTTCTTCCACCTTAGGGAAAATAGGTGTTGGGAAGGTCAGTAGATACCAGTCTGTGCTCTAGCCAGGATCAGATTCAAGTTCTATGGCTTTTCCTTCAACATCAAAAGACACATATACGCCAATATGTGGCTAAAGTAGTAAGTATATTATGAACAGGGTCTTTCTAACTATACTAATGTCAAATAAAGTTCCCTAAATACACTGAAAAAAGGCAAAAGCCCAGCTGCGACACTTTCCTTCACGAATATATAAGGAGCCTACGGAGGTAAAAAATAAACCTAACCCATATATTAATAAAGCTCGAGCATACCACCGCATTAAGATGTCGAGTAAAAACTCCAAAAGAGTATATTTCCCTGAGTTTCATGGCGTCATCACTGATTTTGGCATATCAAAGTTTACCGTCAGTTATATTAACCCTCGAGCGGTTATTCTTGAACCTATCAGGCCAAAGCTTGTATTATAATAAATCCTGGCAGCATAGGGAGAATACAGCTATAAATTTCAAAATTAGCTCAACACTCTAGGCTTTCTCAGTGTTTTTGAAGTGGAATACTATCATAATCTTTTCCATGACCGTATCCGCCGTCTCTTAGTATTGCACAGACTTGGTATCACGCATGGTGATATATAAGATAATCATTTCAGACTACCAGGTGACTTTCACGATATAATCTTATATAACTTTTTTTATTTATACACTTTCTCTCCAGTCACACCTTACCTGATCAATTTTCGCCCACCACGTGCTTTGAAGGATATATCAGACAGTGAACAGGACATGGTTAAGCAACAGGTCTATAAACGGTAGGTAACACCAGGCAATTGTTATTGGCAGGATTCTTATTACACCCCTGGAATGACCAGTGGGACTGTTAGTTAGTAAGGCTTTACACTCAGCTTAGAACGACAAATAGATGTTGGGTATGGCCTAACCGCTTAATTGTGACCTGGGAATATGTGCGACTAACTGGTCCCGAAAGGTCGGTTCATAGAGCACAGATTAAGCATTGATAGGGTTATTTAACGGGAAATCGCTAGATCAATAGCCTGTGGGGTGGGCTAACAGTAGTCAACGGTAGTTACTCCTACTAATGTACCAGGATGGATGACGTCAGTTCTACCGTAGCTCCCCCAACCAGATCCCGCATCTTCTACCACTTCGATCATCAACCATCCGCCGTCAACAGTCCCCAGCATCATGAATGGCCTACACTGCCCCCCTGAGTGCTTCTCTCCCGGCAACCATTGAAGTTTCCCCGGGCGCAACCCGGAGCAGGCGCACGTGGGGGGTTCTTGGCAAGAGCCTTCTGGAGCCCCACACAAACTCGCTGCCGATCCTCAATCGAGTCGGTCTCTCAAAACTCTGTCGCTCTTCTCACCGGAGACAGTTCGAATTCACCAGAAAGAAATCCCCCCGTCTCGCTGCATCCCCGCACTGTCATCTCCAACGCACTCGGTCTTTCCCGTCGTCGGAGCTGTCATTTGCGAAGCCTCCATGCACGTCACTGGCTGATCACGTGCGGGACTGAAAACGGCCGGAGAGAAGAGATCCGCCTGCAGCTCGGAGTTTGGGACGCAGAATCGCGGAGGACCGACCGCGGTCGCCAAAACATCGCGAGAATCCGCCAATATGACATCGCGTGACAGCTCGAGCGAATCGGCTGACTCGCAGTGGTCTCATCAAGACCCGCCCGAGCCAAAGAAAGAGCCCAAGTCCGGTCTGGGGACGAGGATCAAGAATGGCTGGGCCCGGCTGGAGTTGGATTTACCGACCGTGATATTGATGATGAAGTGAGTACTCTTACCTACAACAGTGCAAGTAAATTGGAACTAATATTCTGGCAGAGGCGCGGTTCCGCCAACGATCGCCTTAGCCGCGTAAGATGAACTTATCAATCTGTTGAGGATCCGATTCCTCAGTCATGGAAATCTACTAACGTCCACAAGATATCAAGCCGACTCCTTTGCATCGCACTTTAACACGGTCGGATACCTCGTGGCCATCGTTTCGGTGCTGGGTTTTGCCATCATGCCTCGCGCCAAGTTCATTCAAATGATGGTCCTCGATGTCTTGGCAGTCTGCACGGCTTCCGCCGTGGCTCTGTTGATGATGTATTCGAGCGTTAAGGCCCGCGAGCATACGGATCCGTCCTCGATCCCCAGCTCTGGCTCTAGCTCAATCGCGACGAACGGGAGTGGTGGCATCACTGCGACTCCGTACAATTCGTCGGCCTCGGCGGTTAGCGGCGTCTGGTTGTTTTTCGAGATTTACCTTGTGCACTCGTTCCGTGCCAAGTACCAGCAATTCCAGTTTCCCGTGATTATCTTCTCGATTGTGGCCAATGTGACTTTCGTGTACGCTCCACGGCTGCCGACCATGGCCGCCTCCATTAGTATGGTGAAGAAGCTACTTGAGGCGTGTCTCACCGGATTGGCCTTCTCTACGGGCACATGTCTCTTTGTATTCCCAATGACGTCTAGAAAAGTAGTCTTCAAGGAAATGGCAGGCTACATCGGGGGTCTACGTGCGGCTCTCAATGCGCACACGGATTATTTTGGCACGCTGGAACGGGACGATATGTTTGGACGCGCGGAGACTTATGACTCTCACGTGGAAAAGATCACAGAGAAGGGCAAGGTGTACAGCCCCGAAGCCGAAGCCATTCGGGCGGCGGTTCGAAAGCTTACCGACCTCCATGCCAAACTCCATGCGGATCTGACGTTTGCAAAGCGTGAGATGGCGATCGGAAATCTGGGCCCCGACGATCTGCAGGCGATTTTTAGGCATCTGCGGCAGATCATGATTCCGATTGTCGGACTCAGCTTCGTCGTCGATATCTTTCAACGCCTGTCGGATTATAACAAGTGGAACCAGCCTATCGATCCTATGGGAGCAGAACCACCGGACATGATTCGCCATCGGGTTGTGCAGGAGTGGAACGATATTATGAGAGCGGTTCATGATCCGTTCGAATCGTTGATTCACACAATTGACGAGGGTCTCCAACACGCTCTGTTTACGCTTAAATTAGCCAATCCACCCAAGAAACCCGCCACAAACTCAGCGGACGGCTCTGCAGACGTGGAAGCTGGCGTTGGTCCAGGAGACAAACAATTTGCCGCTCATTTTGAACGAAAACTGCGCGAGTTCAAGGTGGCCAAGAAAATTGCTTTGAGAACCTGGAGCGAAGAAAAGGGGATCAAGCTGCCTGCTGATTTTTTCGAGCGCCCGTCATCTGCACACATAAACGTGGATGATGTTCCCAAGGATGAGTATGGAATCGGTCGTGACCGAAGTAGGCGCCAACTTTATCTGTTCCTTTATGTAGGTTTTGCTCGACTTTGGAAGAGAGCTCTGCAACCCGCTAATGTCCTTGACAGATGGAACAATTGCTCAATTCAGCTGGTCATGTCGTACTGGAGTTCGTCCGTTTCGCAGATGAGAGGGTTGAGAGTGGCAAGCTCTCCCGGAAACATCTGATTATCCCTGGCTGGAAGCGCGTGCGAAAGTGGGTACTCAGCGTATTCAAGGCGGACGATTCCCACGAAGATGACAATATGGGTGACATGCACACCCAGAACAACATTCTGCAGCTCGGAGAGGCCTATAAGCACCGGCGGGATCCAGAGCATCTCCCGTCAGATACCGCTTTCCAAAAGTTCGGAGACAAAATCAGAGTTATTCCTTCGCTCCTGCGTTCATCCGAGTCCGCATATGGTTTCCGAGTAGCCTGTGCTACCATGACCATTGCGGTGGTCGCCTTCATTCATGACACGCAGACCTTCTTCATCAAGCAGCGCTTTGTGTGGGCCATGGTCATGGTGAACCTCAGCATGTCTCCCACCTCTGGTCAAAGTATCTTTGGCTTCGTCCTTCGGATTTTTGGGACCGTTTTGGCCATGATACTCAGTTTTCTCTGCTGGTTCATACCTGGCACAAAAACGCCCGGTATCATTGTTTTCTTCTTCATCTTCGTATCCATCATGTTCTACATTCCGATCAAGATGTTCCGGTTCCGTATTATCGGCATCATCACCATCATATCCACGTCTATGATCGTTGGATACGAGCTCCAGGTCCGTAAGGTCGGCGAGCATGTTGCAACGTCCAATGGACAGCCCTACTACCCCATCCACCTTCTTGCGCCTTATCGACTGGCGACCGTTACCGGCGGTATTGCAGTTTCGTTCTTTTGGACCTTCTTCCCGTATCCCATCTCGGAACACTCCGTCCTGCGTCAGAGCTTAGGAGCATCGCTTTATCTTCTGGCCAATTATTATTCGATCATCCACGAGACAGTCAATGCTCGCATGCGCGGCGATGAGGGTGATATCGCTTTGAAGACGTCGGCCGGACGTCGGCTTTTGAAGGCCCGTAATAAGGTCTTTTCCAAGCAGATGCTCATGTTGACTGGTCTGAGAACCTATTCCGAGTTTTTGAAATGGGAAGTCCCGATTGGTGGCCGCTTTCCCAAGAAGCAATATGATTCTATCATATCGTGTATCGAAAGGTATGTCGTCCATTTCTCCGTACTGCGTTGGCGTCGTCCCGCTAACCTCTAGCAGCATAATCAGCTATTTGAGTCTTTTGGGGTACGCCTCGGACACTCTCCTACAACTGGGCGATGATGGTGATGACAGCAACACTGTCTGGATTCACGATTTCCGGAGACTGGTGGCCAGTGCGCGTATAACGACCCATGAGATCACTTCGGTGCTGTGCCTTCTATCAGCCAGTATTACCAACCGACAACCTCTACCACCGTACCTGAAGACACCTCGGCCGTATAGCTTCTCCAAGAGACTAGAAGCGCTTGACAAAGACATTCTCAGTCTGCGGCATATTGCAGAGCCTGGATTCGCGACTTTTGCCGTGCTTCAGATTTCGACGCGCTGCATTGTGGGTGATGTAGATAGACTTATGCGGTGAGTGATATTGTTCTTTCTGTCTGGAGCATCCCTGACTTACTGGCTTTAGGGATGTTAAAACCCTCGTCGGAGAACTCGACTTTTCCTTCCATGCAGTCAGCACAGCGCAGAGCGTCAAGTCCTCGGCTGATGTGTCGCGGCTGTCGAGAGCGACCGATCGCGATAAATTAGAATAGCCCGCGGATGGCAATAATATGTAGTATATGTATATACCAACCGTATACAATACAAGGCAAAGCCCAATGGGCCAATGTTCATATCAGACTGCATCTGTAGAGTGGCAGATGGAGAACAGCTGACCGGATTGCCGACAACCCCGCTCCTTCGTCACGTCATCTCTTTTCTTTTCTTTTCTTCTCCTTTTCCCCTTCGTCCTCATCCCATTTTCTTGCATTCCCCATATTGAAAGAACCAGGTCGCAAGATGCAGGAATACCATCTCGACGCCTCCATTCTCGCGCACGCCGCCACGAAAACAGTCATCATCACCGGCGCAGCCAATGGCATCGGCGCCGCAACAGCCACATTGTTCAACAAGCACAGTGCCAATGTAGTCATTGCTGACTTGGAGTCATGTCGCGAGAAGGCCGAATCGCTAATCCAGTCTCTCGCTCATCCCGACCGCGCAGTCTTCATCCCAGCCGACATTCTGAACTGGACCGACATGACCACGCTATTCAATAAGGCTGCGCAGAAGTTCGGGCCCGTCCATATCGTAATCGCTAATGCAGGGACTATGGAATCTCGTCCGGCCCTAGATCTGAACGATGTCGACGACGAGGGAAATCTGAAAGAATCAACCGAGGCATTCAAAGTGATTGACATCAACCTGAAAGGGACATTGAACAGTACCTCTACCCCCCACCCAGCTCTCCCTCATCACATCCATCCCTGGAAGATTGACTAATCACGGGAGAGAAAGCCCTTCGCCTCGCAATGCATCACATGAAATCCAATAAAACACCCGGCTCGGTCGTGCTATTAGCCTCCACATCTGGCTATTTCGGTGGCACGGGAGTCGCAGCCTACGTGGCCTCCAAGCACGGCGTCATCGGTCTCCTTCGGGCATCTCAGCAGACGGCACAAAAGTACGGGATCCGAGTCAATGCCGTCGCGCCTTTCTTCACCCCGACGCAGATCACGGCTGGGTTCGCGCAGAGGTGGAAAGAGGCTGGCTTGGATGCGAACACGCCGGGGGCTGTGGCGGGGGCGATTGCGAATCTTGCCGTGGATCAGGAAAGGAGAGGGGAGTGTATACTTGTAAGTGCACTCTGTTTCCAGCCATTCTGTGGAAATATTGTGACTGGTTTAAGGGTTATGTGAACAAGCAGAAAGACAAGCGGACTGACCAGCTCAGGTCGCAGGAAAATATCTCCGACATCTAGAGTCCACCAGAACGCGACTTCTTCCCGACTGGTTGGGACAGGACGTAGCTGAGTTCATGGGCCGGGCGATGCAGTTCTTCGTGGAGATCGGTGGGTATGTTTTACCGCAATGGCGCGGCTGAATCACAGATCGGACCTGACCCGACTATTTATTGTGCTGATCACCTATCAATATTAAAATGTGTCACTTCCCCTGAGGCAGATCTAGCGGTGATCCTCCACATTCGATATTCGACAGTCAACTCCAATACGCAATCTGACACAGCATATCCGCAACACCGCCACTTATGCAAGGGGAGACCGTGATGATCCACGTCATTCATTACTCTACTAGTCCAAGCTATTTCCTGCGGTCCGCATAACTTTCGACCTACGTTCACATTCCAGCAACTCCCTGGGCCAATTGTTTCCCAGGAAAATCAAACGATGATACAGAATGGAATGTACCGACTCCGCCAACACCCAAAACCGGGGTGATGACGACTTCCCCCGGGTGATTTCTTCAACTCTAAGATTCATATCCAGACGGCTCCGCGGGCTCCCTAACGTGCGGCGCAGTCTCACCCGCATGTGAGTAGGTCGCAAGCGACCCAGCACTACGGAAGGCCCCCTTTTTTGGCATCAATAGCTTCGCCATCATCCCTTGCGCTGCGGAATCCCCTCGTACACTCTAGTGGCTTGTATCCATATAGCTAAAAACCCTTTGCTTCACGAAAGTGACAGGTATATTTAGCTTGCTACAGAATGGATGTGCCATTTCAGACCTCTTCCAACTTTTTCATTAAATTCACCGATGCTGTACAACCGGATTAAACCGCACCCGCCCTGCCCTGTCCTGCCCTACGCCATTCGACCTTATTTATGACGCCGCATTATCCAGCTTCGCACCCTGTTATGGTATTCATATCGCATTCAAGATTAACGTGAACCGAATGAAATGGGTAGAGGAATAGAATTAGTCGAGGTCGTCGCTGCAAAAGCTGGCAATGGCGACCAAGCCGGTTCCAAGACGGCACCTCACACGAGCATCCAGTGCCTCGGCGACGACCATAATGGCATTAATAGCCCGCACGCCACATCGTTTCCCAACGCCAACGGTCCGGATCTAGAAGACTGTCATGAGAAAAAGCAGGGTGGGAAAGTGGGCTGGAAGCCGGGCGTTCCAGAATGCCTCTTTATGACTTGTATTTGCATCTTAGTGATGATGGATGCGTTTAACGCCATGGTGGTCATTCCGCTGGTTCCTGTATGTCCTCGAATGCAGCCCGGGCAGAGCAAAAACCGGGAGGCGAACGACAGCCACTAACATGAATATTTTCTTTCCGGACAGGATTTGGCCAATAGTCTAGGACAGCCCCTCGAAAATGCCCTATGGATCAATACTTCCTACTTCCTCGCCAATGCGGCAAGCCAAACCATCTCGTCCATGTTGGCCGAGGTATTCGGACACGGGCCAGTTCTTCTCTCCGCGGTGGTTCTCGCAACAATCGGAACGGGTGTCTGCGGTGGATCGTTGAACTTGGCAGGTTTAATCGCCGGTCGATCACTCCAGGGAACAGGTGGCGGCGGGATTTTGGCTGCTTCGTTCCTGATTATCTCGAACCTGATACCCAAGTATCATCAGCTGGAGTTTTCGAATTACGTTTTTCGCGCGCAGGTGACGGGCTCGATCCTTGGTGCCATTCTGGGTGGACTTTTTGGTGACTATGCAACAACGATATGGCTGTTCTATTCCAGTTTCGTCTTCTGTGCACTAGGCATGCTGGTCGTCCCTTTTGCCGTGGACCTGCGAGGATGCGGACAGGGAAAGACCGGCTATATATGCAAACTGCGCCGGACTGACTGGCTGGGTACCCTGCTCATCCTGCTCGGCGTCGGATGTCTATTAATTGGAATCAGTTGGGGTGGCACTCGCTTTTCATGGGATGCGGCAGCCACATTGGTGCCGATATGCGTGGGCATAAGCCTACTTCTCGTCTTGGTCGTCTACGAGCGGTTCTGGACAGTGCATCCATTTTTCAGCTCTGCCATGTTCAAATCGCTCTCCACGACCATGATACACATAAGTGGGTTTATCCACGGAATCATCGTACGTCTCCCTCAACCCAAGCCTCCATTCTACAACCCAATGAACACGGCTAACCAACCCGACAGATATCAAGCCACCTCCACTTTCTCCCCCTCTACCTCACCTTCGTCAAATACCTCCCCCACGCCCTCACCGGTCTAGGCCTCGTAGCCATTGTCGCACTCGCCCTCCCGTTCCTCATCCTCCTCCAAAAACTACGTTTCCTCTCTCACCAACCAAACCTTAACCCCTGGATCCTCCGCCTAGGCTGGACCCTCGCCACCATCTCTACCGGATGTCTCATAATCCTGGACTTCCACACCCCCACGCCCGCCTGGATCATCCTCTTCCTCATCTGCGGCCTCTCCCACGCGCTCCTCACCCCCTCTTTCATCCGCTGCATGTTCACCCGCCCCTTCGACCCCGACAGCGACTCCGACTCCGACTCCGACACAGATCCCGTCCCGAAGGGATACTCCAAGCGCAAGATCCCGCCGGTATTACTACACTCGATCCTAAGGACATGGGGGATGTGCATAGCCATTCCCATTAGCGGGACGATCATGCTCAACCAGCTGTTTTGGGACGTGGAGCGGCGGTTCCCGTTTCCCGGGGAGATCTCGTATTTGGTTGAGTTTGGGGCGTTGATGCCGGGCGGGGAGAGGGATGATTACGTCGATGGGTTTAGGGTTCTTTGGCCAGTTTGTACGGGTGTTGCGGCGTTGGGGGCTGTTTTGGGTGGTGTTTGGGGGAGGGTGAGGTAGTATTTCTTTTTTGTTTTCTGTTTTGTTGCCGGATGTTTAGTGCGTGGATTGTGGATTTAGATTGATGTTTGTGGGTTCTATCAATGTGGAGGGCTTTTATCCTTCTCATTATGAATGAATATTATATTTCGAGGCAGTACATTTAGCTATTTTGTGGTAGATACTACGTAGCAGGTGAATGTGGTGTCTGCTGCTGTCACGGCTCACCTCGGTGAATACCTTTATAGATGACCTTCTGTATGCCTAAGTCTTTTTCTCTTCAACTGTTCATTTATCAAGCTGCAACGTTTTGTCTGTCTTTATCCCTTTTTCCTCATCGTCTCTAGCGCCAGCCCATTTTAAGCCGGTGACCATTGATATATTCAACGGTCTTTTTCTTCTTCCATGGGAACAAATTCGCTAAAATTGGATCGTCTGCTTCAGTTTCGTGGTCAATTCCCGCAACTTAGGCTGGAATTCAAGGGTTAAAGACAATCCACGCGTTCATTGCATGATATGTGGTGCTAACTATGTACACCTGTCTCTCCTGATTATTCTGCAGATCTGAAGGCAACGAGGCAGTCAGGCAGTCAGGCAGTCAGGCAGGGACGAGAGAGGCAGAAAGGTAGCAAGGCAGTAAGGCATCCAGCCATCATTAAGGCCTGTGCTCCACCCCATCGGGTTAGCGCCCGTCGCCGCCTTCGGAAGGCACCGCCGTCTCTCTTCATTCTTCCTTGATTCTTCCTGTTGGCAACACTACGTTTGATATTGTGGATTCAATCTGACATTTGTCATTCATCTGTCTCTACTAGCATCGTAAAAATCTCACGAAGGATACGATAGCTCTCCACAGAACCCACTTTCCTTGTATTTCTCATGACGATTACGATTGTTCACCCCCAAAATGCATACCACCCCAAGGTCAATCGCAGGACCAAACATAGCTCAATATGCATGTACAAGTCATCATGACCTTGTGAGCTGAAGACCCTCTATACTATAGCTACCAAACAATTTCTAATCTCTTAGCAATGATTGGGGCCCCAATCGAGAGCAGACAAGTCGAGTCGTGACGTAGAGAATGTGGCTCCGGAAACGGACACCACATACCTGCATGTATGCATACCCGTCCGGGTTCATCAGCCAGCCACCCCAATACCTCCTCACCGTATACATGGTGCTTACATATATATATCTTCTAATTGCACACTCTTTACTTCCCATGCTTTTCATCATTATCCAGAACGATCTACCATTCTGCCAACATGTCTCCTCCCGCTGCAATCTCTCCACCGTCGGGGCCAAGCCCCAATCCCAAGGATGATATTTTCAACGAGCCCGATTGGAACAAGGTTCATAGTCATCGCATTGGCCTGCGGAACAAAGATGATCGGTTCCCCGGTCTCACGCACGACGGGGATGACCCGCGATGGGAACTGGAGGCATTGTCGGAGAAGGAAGTGGCGGAGTTGCAGGCGAAGAAGGCGAAAGGTGAACTGCTCACCGTGCGGGATTTTATGCAGGATCAGCGGGTAAGTTGTTTCTTTGGACTTGGAAGGGAAGAGAAGCTAAATGAATCTCGAATAGGATTTTCATATAACTCGACCTGATGTGCACCCTCAGAGCTGGAGATATGTGCTCCATACGACGGAAGACTTCATCAAATATGAAGAGGACTGGCCAATAAACAAGAAGGATTCACAGAAGCAGAATGGGGAAGCAAATGGCACCCAGGCAAATGGCGCCAACGGGGCTGCGGGCAGCAAGTACACACCCGAGGAGGAGTTGTTCCTGAAGAGTCTCCAGGAGGAAGAAAGGTACTTCCGCAACTTAAAAATCAACGATGGAAAGGGCGTCTCCCCGGTGAAAGATGCGCCGATGCCTACAGATGTCGACGATCAGGACAAACTAACGCCTGACAATTGGGTTCCTCGGTCGGACCAACTGATTCGCCAAACGGGTGCACATCCTCTCAACGCAGAGCCCAATCTAGCAGAGCTTCTGGGCGAAGGCCTCATTACCCCCAGTCGTCTCCACTACGTGCGCAGCCATGGTCCCGTGCCGCATCTGTTGTGGGAAAATCATCAGCTCGAGATATCGGCAGGAAAGTCTCTGACCCTATATATGGACGATTTGGTGGATAAGTTCCAGAGCATTAACATCCCCATTTTGCTGGCTTGCGATGGTAATCGTCGAAAGGAAGTCAATTGGGTCAAGCAAAGTATGGGATTTAATTGGGGCGCCGGGGCTGTCAGCTGCGCATACTGGAAGGGTGTTCTTTTGCGCGACGTGTTGATCATGGCGGAGATCGACCAGTTGATGGCGGATTACCCGAATCAACGTCTTTATGTCAACTTCCAAGGATCGGAGACCTTGCCCGAGGGCAAATACGAGACCTCTATCCCTTTGGATCATATCATGGACCCTAACAACGATGTTTTGCTGGCTTATGGGATGAACGATAACCCATTACCTGCTGACCATGGGTACCCAGTCCGACTCATCGTTCCCGGGTTTGTCGGCGGTCGCTGCGTCAAATGGCTGCAAAGCATCTGGGTGACAGACCAGGAAAATGACAGTCACTATCATATATACGATAACCGTGTCGTTCCCAGCTTTGTGGAGGATAGAGACTCGGACTTTGGCAAAGCCATGTACAATCATCCAAGCACAGCGTGTATGGAGCAGATGCTAAACTCAGTCATTGCGAGGCCCGATCATGGCGAGAAAATTGATCTTTCTGGTGCCAAGAAGGGCGGGACATATCGAGTACAGGGATACGCGTATAACGGCGGTGGGAACGAGATCCAGCGCGTTGAGATTAGCTTGGATGGAGGGAAAAGTTGGCTATACTGTACACGCCAGGTGAGTTAGGATGAGATGTTCCCAGCATTGCAACGCGCCATACTGACGATTGATTGACAGTATCCGGATGCCCCCTTGCGACATGGACGGAAGTTTTGGACGTGGCTGCACTGGCATAAAGACCTCCCTATCACCGATCTGCTTCCAGCGGAAAGTATTACTGTCCGATGCTGGGATGCCAACAAAAACACACAGCCGGAGAACATCCGGTGGAATCTTGAGGGGTGAGTTGACCGCTCTTTCTGCTCAACGTATCATAAGCTTACTGGCCACAGAATGATGAACAATGCCCAGTTTGTGGTGAAATCGGAAATTGTCCAAGATCCGGATACCAATAAATCTGTGCTCCAATTCCGCCATCCGACCAACGCAGCAGGCGATGGCGGATGGATGACGCGCTCTCGCGAGAATCAGATCCATGACTGGGAGCAAGAGGGCGATGTTCCAACCACTCAATACGGTCGCGAGGAAATAGAAAAGCACTCGACGGAGGAGGATTGTTGGCTCGTCATCAATAACAAAGTGTACGATGCGACCCCCGTTCTCGGTTGGCATCCAGGGGGTAAAGCTGCCATTTTGGCACACGCCGGGCGAGTACATTTAGAGACTACGGAACAATTCGAGTCCATCCATGACGCCAAAGCGCACGATGCTCTGAAAGGTTTGTCATGACTGCTCCAGCACGCGGGTTTTGCTAATTGCCTGCCAGAACACCTCATAGGCGTGGTCTCGAAGAACACGCAGGACTGGATGAAGCAGCAAGCGGAAGAGGAAGCAAGGAAAGAAGCCGAGAATCCTCCGGATCCCGACATAGCTCTGAAACGCCACAAGTACGGAACTTTGCCCCTAATTACAGACCACCAACTAACATCTGCCAGGTGGATACAAGGCAAACTCCTAGGAAAAACCAAACTTTCGGATGACACAAACCGGTACAAGTTCTCCTTGCCGGATGGTAAGAAGCTCGGTCTAGAGAGTGGACAGCATGTTCAAGTCGGATTCCATTTCGAAGATAAATTGGTCTTCCGGTCCTACACGCCTGTCAGGCCGGTGTTAGAGGAAGATGAAGACGGCACATTTGACCTTGTCGTCAAAATCTACAAGCCCGACCTGCAACAGCCAGGCGGCACGATGAGCAACATCCTCGATTGTTTGCGCGAGCACGAAGAGATTGACATCGCCGGGCCGACCGGCGAGATCCGCTATCAAGGCAATGGCGATTTCTTGATCGATGACACAAAGTACCATTTTGATCGCATTCAGTTGATACTGGGAGGTTCTGGAATCACACCCGGTTATCAGATCATTGCGCATATCTTGTCCTCTCCGAGTGATAAGACGCAGATCAAGGTTTTAGATGCCAACAAGACCGAAAACGACATTTTGTTGTACGATGAGTTGACCAAGTTCGAGAAAGACCATCCGGATCAGCTTCAGGTTTATCATGTCCTCTCTAGGCCGGACAGCGATTGGACCGGGCTAAAAGGGCATGTCGACGCGGATAAGCTTCATAAGTATGCATTTCCCCCTGATGACAAGACCGTCGCCCTACTATGTGGGCCATCTACCTTGGTCACGGCAGTCGATACGGCATTGGAGGAATGGGGATATAACAAGGACAAGAACGTGTTTGGATTTTAGATCAAGTTATGAGACATCTCTTCGTTATATACAACCCAAGATCAGTCTTTTTTTTAATTCCGTTCCAACAACGTTCTTCTTCCATGTTATACATGGCTTTCCCTTTATCTTCCCAATCCATTTATAGAAGATCATCAATTCCTCCTCTCCTTCTTTCGCTTGAACCTTTCCCGTTTCACATAGCCTGAGGCAACAATATCGACAAAAGGTTGGTGACATCTTTTTTGAGTTTTTAATGTTCAGCCAGCTGTATCCGATGTATACATTTTGATGGGGACATATTTGCAGCTCACTGCTTCCGCAATGTTCTGGTGGCATTTGCCATAACCGGGCATAGCATATCACCCCGAAGCACAACACTCCTCTCTCAAGCGCAACGCAAACCTTTACGGTCAAATGTACGGTTTCCGTCACTCCATGCAATTTCTGCTTCAGATGGAACTCCTTCCATGGGATATAGTTCTCAAATGGCGACCAGACCGCATCCTCCCCTTCAGGCTTGAGCCCTTCGAGAACACATTCTCTGGGCACATAGCAGGAACGGATCTGCTTCACGAGACGCCTCGCCTCTCGATATGAGATCGACCACTCCCGACAGATGCTCACCAGCCCGGGAGTCTCGCAGTAGGGCATCAAGTCCTCTTCTTTCCCCTCTTCTTCTTCTTTTTTTTCTTTACCTGTCCTCCGCCATTCCTTCTTGATCCTTGCAAACTCCCCGCGCGGATGCATCGTATAGCACTGCGTACAGTACTTCCACCGCTGATTCTCGAGGTACTGCAAAATTTCATACGGCGAGGGAGCCCCGTCATTCTCGATCGCCAGTATATCTTCCCACTTTCTCGGAATTCTGAAGCACGGCTTCTCTGCCAATCGCGTCCTTAGCTTGCGGTACATCGCGCAGCACGAGATAGCGAGAACTGCAAGCCCAAGGGGCGGCAGATTCTCTGCGATCATGTCGATCAGTTCCTGCGGGAGGCGTACGAGATCACTGTGTTGGATGTTGTGGTGTTTGGAGGCGTTGAGGGCTTCAGCTTTTGCGGTGGCTGCAGCGGCTTCGGGTTCGGGGTTAAGGCCTTCGAGATGGGCTTTGGAGGATCCGGGGAGGAGGTTTTGGAGGGTGGATTTTGCTCTTTGGAGCGTGGTTGTTACGCTGGAGGGCATTTTGGATGGATTGGTTTTTAGTTCTGGAGTTGGTTTTGATCTGTGATGTGATGTGGTGATGGAAGTTCAGATTGACTTGAAGAATGGATAAGGGAGCCGTTTGACAGACCGTTGGAGAGGGCTTATGGCCGTTGATGTAGTCGAGCAGAGTCGTCGAAGTCTGGATCTCGCTTCATCATGACCGTATTGGTGGTTGAAAGTAGGTTTACGCGGAGATGAATCCGTTTGGCTCGGATCTCTTGGTGTATGGAACAGATACTACCTTGACACCCTCGTGTTGTGTTGGAAAGAAGTGGCTGACGAACATGACATCAGCGAATTGGCCATGACCAGCTAGATTGCGGTTTTTAGGTGAATTTTCTTGATCATTGACATTAAATGCATGGATGTCTGATTCTTTCTTTCTTTCTTTTCCCACTTCTTTCCCCATTCCTTCGCATTCTCTTCTTTGATCCCTTCAAATCGCGCAAAAACGAGCCAGCCTGTCGTAGTATTTCCAAGAGGACATTAAAAGCCTCAAACCCGGATCTCAAAACCGAGCTCTCACTCTCCTTCGGAACTTCCGCCCGACAGCCAACACCAAATGCTCGACTCCAATGAATCACACTCGGAAAGCACCCCCGAGCCCAGCCATCCATCGCTGCTCCATATTCCCTCACAACGAAGCTTCCATCCGCCCATTCGCGATTCGATATTAGATTTTTAATCTCGGAGGCTGCACAGGAGTCGCACGGTCGTCGATTAATATACTCCGTATAAATATGGAAAGGCTGCAAGATTTGATTATGGGTGGGTTCGAAGTGAGACATCGACTAGTTTAATTAGCCTCTAATCCTGCCTAACCGTGGCATGCCGGCAGTGGCATGTTGGATGGGGTCGGACTGCGGGATTCAATCGGCCGTGGCGCTGCATTCATGTGGATATAGCATGGAGCTTACTTTACGGAGTAGGAAGGAGAGCTAAAATGATGGTTGAGAGGTTAATCTATCGATAGGAGTTGAGGGGGTTCTAGAAGGCGGTTGGTTGAGGTGCACTCCGTAGAGGATGGGTAGTGCAGGTTTTTTTTCTTTGCGGGTTTTCTCCTATTGAGGGGTTTTTTTCGGAGTAGAATAAACTATCTTCGCTGTTGAAAGGGAATTCTTCCCATCCATTCGAACTCAAATTGACCACGACCTCTACTCCATACAACAGTGTATATCTCAAGCCACATTGCCACTTCAACTGTCTCAGTATCATGCCACAGCCACTACTCCATACGAGTCTATCCCCTGAGCATTATCCTACAATCAAACCTCCAGCTATGGAGTGCAGCCTAACTCGACGGACCCAAGTCAGTCGTACCGGGCCCCCGCATGGCGCCGCCGGTCTCCAGCACGCAGCGCAATCTTAGACAGTGGCACAGCAGCCCGCTGAATAAGCTTTCTCGCAAGCAAGCTTAAGTCTAGTTGCGAGCTAGTCGTGTGGCAATTAAAATAAATTAACGTCATTTCCTTGGAAGAGCCTAGAGACGGGATATTTGACAGGTTAGATTCGTGGGAAGTTGCCGTGTTGGGCGATGCGATGACCTTGAGATTTGAAGCCGAGGATTACTGCTATGTAGGGGCTGGACTAAAATGCTAGATAATTGGTAATTGATCGTTTCTCTCGGTTATTCTTGTCTGAGTGTTTGGAGTATTTTCACTGACGAAAGGCCGGAAGTCCGCGGAGGTATCAGCCGGATGTAGTTTCATGTTCTGGAAGCATGCACTGGAGCATATACTGGAGCATGCATGGAGCAAACGGAGCATGATATGATCTGAGATTTTTATATCCAAAGACCGAGTCGGTGGGCCGGTGGATCGGACTATCACCGTTCCTGGCTCGCGGGGGTCCACTTCACCACGATCTTAAATAGGGTTAAAAGTTTTCATTCTCGCGTTCACCGTATGGGTTACCCCTTTAGTCGAGTCTTTACTCTGAGGGGAGCTAGGATTTAACATGAACAGAGAAATTAAGACAAGAAATACACGCCAAGAGAAGATAGGGAAGGTCATGAGGGCGGCATCTTGAGCACACCCCGTAATTCTATAATAATCCGGACTGTCAGCATCCCTATAATACTATAATATATTATTATCGCTCCAATTTCGGCAGTTGTCCGGCCAGTCGCCAATACGGAGCAATTGCTTTTACGGTGAAGCCGTCAGCATCAGGACGGGGGAAGACTATTCCCGGCCTCAAACTAACAGCCCTTGTGAAACGCCGTAAATCTCCCGAGTGACTCCACCGTCCACCTCGTCATTAACGGAATGGATCTACGGGTTCGTGAACGCCGCAATGAGAAACGTGGTTGTGCCTGTTCCCCTCCACCGGAGTTCTCGCTGGACCTGGCAATGGGCCTCCCTCTAGTCTCGGTGGACTGGAAACGGCGCGGTTTTACTCTGGGGCACTGGTCTGTTCTCGCCGCCTGCTATGGCTTGTTTCACTGCAATCTTCCCGGACCCCAATTTATTCTGCAATCCGGATTATTGGACCATGAGATAGCGGTGATGGTGTGTTTGGCTCCATGTTTGTTTCCCAGGGGGAAGGGGGTGTCTAGCCTTGCAAGGATTTTTACTCCTCTCTCTCTCTGGGGATTCTATACATATAAAGACCGGACTTCGCTGCCCTCCTGTGGCGTTTTTCTTCCCAACCAAATCATTCATTCTTTCTTTTTTTTCTCTCTTTATTTTAATTGATACCTTTATTGAATTTCCTTTCTTTTGTCTCAGTCATTCTCTCCATCATGAAGTACACTGCGCTTGCCAGCGCGGCGGCTGCTGCATTCGCCAGCACTGCTGCTGCCATCGGCGTCTCCGGCGCCGCTGAGGGATTCGCCAAGGGAGTGACTGGAGGTGGAAGTGCCACCCCCGTCTATCCCAACTCGATCGATGAGCTGGTCTCATACCTCGGCGACAGCTCGCCCCGTGTCGTTGTCCTGTCCAAGACGTACGAATCCTAGTCCTTCGGTGATACATCTCGCTCGCTCATGGTTGATGCTGCGTCTGACTCGGCGTTGACGGCGAGCGAGATCTATATCCCCTTGTTTACCGGCTCTAACTTTTGTATAGCTTCGACTTCCGTGGCACCGAGGGAACTACCTCCGAGACCGGTTGTGCCCCCTGGGGTACTGGCTCCGGCTGCCAGCTGGCCATCAACAAGGACAACTGGTGCAACAACTACGAGTCCAGCGCCCCTTCGGTCTCTGTCTCCTAGTATGTTCTCCGGCCTCATATCGCAGACTTCTTGCTGATTCTCCTCAGTGACAATGCCGGTTCGCTCGGTATCACCGTCGCCTCCGACAAGACCATCATCGGTGAAGGAAACAAAGGTGTGATCATGGGTAAGGGTCTGCGTGTTGTCAGCGGTGCTAGCAACATCATTATGCAGTGAGTATATCATGGGTTCTGCTTGTGTGTATATCCCTAATCATGTATAGGAACATCGCTGTTACCGACATCAACCCTCAGTACGTCTGGGGTGGTGATGCCATCACCGTCAACGACGCCGATCTCGTCTGGATCGACCACGTCACCGTATGTTGCCATCCACCTATCACCAATCCATGATTTTAACCAGAACAGACTGCCCGTATCGGTCGCCAGCACATCGTCCTCGGAACCCAGGCCGACAACCGTATCACCATCTCCAACTCCTTCATCAACGGCGAGTCCGACTGGTCCGCTACCTGCGACGGTTACCACTACTGGGGCATCTACCTCGACGGCTCCAACGACATGGTCACCATGAAGGGCAACTACATCTACCACACCTCCGGCCGTTCCCCCAAGATCCAGGGCAACACCATCCTGCACGCCGTACGTCCCATCCTCATCCTTTCTGCTACAATTCACTAACACCATCTAGGTCAACAACTACTGGCACGACAACTCCGGCCACGCCTTCGAGATCGGTGAGGGTGGCTACGTCCTTGCCGAGGGTAACGTTTTCCAGAACATCAACGTTGTCGCCGAGGACCCCATCAACGGCGCCCTCTTCACCTCCCCCGACGCCGGCACCAACGCCGTCTGCTCGTCCTACCTCGGCCGCGCCTGCGAGATCAACGGATTCGGCAGCTCCGGCACCTTCAGCCAGGCCGACGAGGACTTCCTCAGCAACTTCAAGGGCAAGAACATTGCTTCGGCCGAGGCCTACGGCAACGTTGCCTCCAGCGTTACTTCCAACGCTGGCCAGGGCCATCTGTAAGCGGTTCAGGGTCGCTTTCTTTGGCCGATTCAGGGGAACGTTCCCGGCGGACGGGATCCAGGTCCTTCATGGATGCGTGAGATTGTTTGAGACTCTCTCTTTTTATATATAACTTGTACCTATTGCATATGTTCCTAGTGGATATCAGTCTAATTTGGTTCAATGAAACCCTGGGTGGTTCATTTAATATCTTGCTTCAATCGACTTGTAGTACTCTAGCAGTCACGAGAAATCGTAGCCTGACTCTTTCTCCTTACTCTCTTCAGTCTGCAGGAGCAACGATCTGCAAACCTCCCTGGGATCAGGATCATCTGGACATGTTCGCAACACAGACCAAGATCTGCCGATCTTTAATCTACCTGAAAGAGTCAACCGTGCAGAATTGTCAAGGCAGTCGTTCACCTTACGAAACGTCCCGAAACGGTCGCAAATCCTGAATCCCCATCGATCCTTCTAGCCCAGGGCCTTCAACTTCTTAGGTAACTGTTCACACGATCTGGTGGAATAAGGTTTGCAGCTGTGCTCCGTAGGTCTAGATGGAGGTCCACTGTCGGGGCTACATTCGGTTCAGGTCCCCGCGTCTCGGGTTTGTTTCATGGGGTTTTATGATCTCAGAGGGTGAATACAGTTAGAATTGGGCGAGACGGTGCTGTGAAATCATGAGATAAACAATGCTAGAATCCGCTACAGACAGGGGTTGTTGATGAACCACCGGATTCGGATCAGATCCATTTTTTTGTCCAATTCGGCAATTCAGGCCACAAGGCATCAACACCCGAATAGGCTAGCGCAGTGGAATGCCTTTTTGCCGACCGGATGCCTCAGGCGGAAGGCTTCACATGACGGCAACGGATCGGATACTCGGTTCCGTTGCCCCTTTGGGAGGCAGGCCTGACCGAGTCATGATGTAATGCCTGGGTTGGAGTAAGGAAGGAAGAGGGTGAGTGCAGAGAGTGCAGAGATTACACAGATTGCATGGAGGATCGAAGGATTATAAGTTAAAAGAATAATGCAGGAAGTGCAGATATCCTACCCACCGGCAGGGAGAATGTTTAAGCCATCGACCGAGTCGCCGTGTATCCCCGACGCTTGCAATTAGCCCGCGCGTGATTGGCCGGCGGCGGCTGAGTCATCCGCGTGGCCGGCAAACCCGAGGTAACCCTCAGGCAGAGACTGGCAGCTCCCAAAGCGACAAAACACATCGTCGCCTCCCCTTTGGACCTTCATCTCTCTGCCTCAATTGCCGCTGGCTGGCTGCCTTTTGTCCCCTCTCCATTCCGGCGTCTGCTCCTCCACTCCACTCTCCTCTCCTGCTTCTCTCTTTCTTGCGGCTCTTACCCGCCCCGAATTACTCTCTCCCTTTCCGACCCTTGATTTCCTGCGCCAGCCTTTTCGATCCACAAAAGCCACCATGGCCGCTCTTCGCTCGACCTCGCGCCTCGTCGCATCCTCGCGGCCTCTGTTCCGCCCCTCCGTCTTCGCTCGCTCCTACGCGACCGTCGACCCCGTCGCCCAGGCCGGCTATGCCAGCAGCAAGACCGTTCCCGAGACCAAGACCTCGACCGACCAGGATCCCAACATGTCCGAGAGCCCTCGCGTCAAGAAGTTCCACATCTACCGCTGGAACCCCGACAAGCCCACCGAGAAGCCGTCCATGCAGTCCTACCAGCTGGATCTGAACAAGACCGGGCCCATGATGCTCGACGCGCTCATCCGGATAAAGAACGAGATGGACCCCACCCTGACTTTCCGGAGGTCTTGCCGAGAGGGTATCTGCGGTAGCTGTGCGATGAACATTGACGGTGTCAACACCCTGGCTTGCTTGTGTATGTGAATCCCGAATGACTGGTGGCGACAGAACGGTGGCGCTAATGAAAACAGGCCGTATCCCGACCGACACGGGGAAGGAGTCTCGCATCTACCCGCTGCCTCACACCTACGTCGTCAAGGACCTGGTTCCCGACCTGACGTATTTCTACAAGCAGTACAAGTCCATCAAGCCGTACCTGCAGCGTGAGACCAAGACCGAGGACGTAAGTCGGCCCCTTACTTCGCCCCTAGGCTGTGTGGCGAACGGACGAATATTAACAACATCCAGGGCCTGGAGCACCGCCAAAGTCCCGAGGACCGCAAGAAGCTGGACGGTCTCTACGAATGTATCCTCTGCGCCTGCTGCTCGACCTCCTGCCCCTCGTACTGGTGGAACAGCGAGGAGTACCTGGGCCCCGCCATCCTGCTGCAGTCCTACCGCTGGCTGGCCGATTCGCGTGACGAGAAGACCGCCGAGCGCAAGGCCGCGCTGGACAACAGCATGAGCGTGTACCGATGCCACACCATTCTCAACTGCTCGCGAACCTGCCCCAAGGGTCTGAACCCGGCCCGGGCGATTGCGGAGATTAAGAAGATGATGGCCGCTCACTAAGATGGGGTAGAAAAGGGAAAAAAGACTTGTGTTTATATTTTGTGATATTCTTTGCATCCTTCTTTTCTTTTTTTCATTCTCCTTTTTTTTACTTATTTTTTGATGTTTTGGTCGCTATCTAGCTTTTCTTTGCGTCCTATTCCCTCGGACTGTGGGGTTTTCATGTCGGATGTTTCATTAGGTGTAAATTGTGAATATTCATATAAGACTATTTCCTAAGATAATATTGTATACGAAGTTCTGGTAGAGTTGTAGGTGAATAGGTGAATAGCTGGAAGACTTGGTGTGAATGACAGCATACCCACTTGCAAGCGAATGAGAACCGTTTGATTGATGCTGATATTCGCATTCACTGAGTACTTTTCATTCATTGTGTTAACAATCCCTAGTGACAACCAGATGACATCTCAATTGGGGTTGTGGTTTAGTGGTATAATGTTCGTTTTGCATACGAAAGGTCAGGGGTTCGATTCCCTTCAACTCCATTGGTTTCCTTTTTTCTCTTTCTATTTTTGCTTCCGCTGTAGACAGGCTGTTTTGTCTTCCTACTTCTTCTTTCTTTTTTTCTTCTTTTTTTTTTCTTTTCTTCATTTTTTCCAGCTGTTTCCAGCTTCATAAGTAGCTGGTATTTCTTGATTTTTGATTCCTTTGCTTAACGTAGGCAGATCTTGCTGCTGTTGGTTGTTTCGGTGATATATATTTACAACACTAGATTACTATGGAGTTTATTCTATTCTCTGCACCAATGCTCTCGTACTTATTTCTTAGCAATGGAATATTCCGCTGTATAGTACTCCATAATACGCATGAATATGTCTTAAGTGCATCTTATTCAGACCATTTATATACAATTCCCCTAAGGTCATCCAATTCTCACCACAACAACCATACTCATGCGCCCACCACCACAAACCACAAAAGAACACAAAATCAAGGATACCTCCCCGACGACTTCAACATATCCATACACCTCTCCACCGCCTTCTGCATCTCATCCGTCGCCTCCTCCAACAGCGCCGTCAGCGGCACCCTCCCCGCCTTCTCCCTCTGCACCCTCACATACTCATTATTCAACACCTTATTGATATTCACCTTCGACACTCCACACTCAATGCACTTCGCAAAAATCTCCTCCGTGAACGGATCCGCCCCATGCAACACCAGCCTCACCTCCTTCCCCACCTCCCCAAATATCCCCCTCAACCGTTCATACTCCAACTGGATCCCCCGCGGCCCATACTCCCCATGCACATTCCCAAACGCCGGCGCCAACCAATCGATCCCCGTCGCAACAAACTCCCTACTCTCCTCCCTCGTCGTCAACAGCCCCTCCAGCTCCGCCGTGTCCGCCACCCCGTCCTCCCCGCCCTCGATCCGCCCGGGCTCGGCCTCCGTCGCGATCCCGCGCTCATTGCAGTAGCGCACCAGCTCGCGCGTCAGCGCCAGGTTCTCCGCCTTCTCGTAGTGCGACATGTCCACCATGATGCTGTCGAAGCCGCCCAGGTCGGCCGCGCGCCGGATCATCTCGGGTGTCTGCGCGTGGTCCATGTGTACGGTTATCGGGACGGTGGCGTTGCGTGCGGCTTCGGCCGCGGCGTGCACCAGGAGCCCCGACGCGTAGGTCACCGCCCACGGGAAGAGGAGGATCATGGCCGGGGAGCGCTTGTCTTCGGCGGCGCGGACGGTCGCCAGGATTCCTTCCACGTTGTAGCAGCACATCGCGGGGATGCCGTAGTGGTGGGAGGCGGCGTGGTCGAGGAGGGTGGTGGCGCGGTTGGTGATGGGCATTTTGGTGGGTATGTCGGGGTTGTTTTGGTAGGGGGTGGTTTTTGGGAGGAGGAGAGGTTGGTGAGAGAGGGAGTGAGGGAGTTAGGTGGTGCAGGGTTATATATTCAGGTTTGTTCCCCTCTTCTGGGCTTTGATAGATGGATTATGGACGGAGGGTCTGCGATCGGCGGGTTGGCCGAGTCGGAGTTGTTCCGATTGACGTCAGTCAGGATCCGGGGTAAACAACTCATTGAGCGGAGATGGATCTACAATCTGGAGGGTTTTCGGGATACTGTGCAGCGTTATAATAGCTGACCGGGCTTTCTAGTTTATTCCGAACCCCTTTGAAATGGAAGCCTCCGGAAAACAGAACCCCCGCTCCACCCCTCACTGCATATCAGCAAAACTCGTATACTCCAACGCCAACGCAACCGGCAAAGAATCCCTACAGAACGCCCCATCCCCGGTCGCTATACCCATCTCTAGTTTCTTCTTCTCTCCTTCGAGGTGAAGCTTATATCCCTCTTTCCCTGTCCCCACCCCAGCACTAGAGCTGGCAGTCCCAGTATTAGCACTAACAGCCCCCCTCAAAACATCAACCTCCATCCGATACCTCGCCTCCCTGAACAGATCCAAAAAGGTAAGATAGGCCGGATGCTCACGCATCTCTTTCCGAAGAAGAATCATCACCGATGTTCGCAGCAGACACGCGTCGTTGATCGCTGTGAGACCGACGTCGGGGCGATGATGCCAGAGTTGGCGCTGTTGCTTCTCAGTCCGAGGTTCAGTCTCACCCTGAGTCTCAGATGACGGTAACGACGAAGACATAACATCATACTCGAGACGGAACGAAGTGTGGAAGATCTCAACAAGCCAGGAGAGGAGCGTTAAGTCGCCGGACTCATGGGGGGTGGGAGGGCGACGGAGGGTTTGTTGGGCGGTTTTGAGGAGGGGGTTTTCTGTTGGAAGGGAGTGGATGGTGGATTTTATGCACTGAATAGATGGTTAAATTAGTGTTAGTTGAAGGGCTATGGAGAAGAGGGAGGGATAGAAATGGAGAAAAGCACATACTTCTTGAAGTCGAGTGATGGATGCAGTTGGTGTTCCTTTTGCTGCGAGATCGTCGGTCAGTTTGGCCAGGAGGTGGTTGAGGACTTTGGAGTCGGTCATTATTTGTTTATGTCTGGGCCCGTGAGTCTGCTATCGTGAGCTGGAGCGATCTGATAGAATACATCAGATGAATAGCCCATTCAAAATCGATCTTAATAAAGAGGGAAAAACGACACTGTAGCTAATATCGCATCAATTCTCCCACAGCCTACTAACTGAATACGTCACTTCACGCACCTTGTGTATCCAGTAAATGCCAGCATAGATGAGCAAATCTCAGCGAAACGGGAAACACAGACATATGTAAGGCATAGAGTATGTACGTAGCTTGGAATAGGGAACTGGAATCTGCAGGCGCAACGATTTAGAAGTGACCGACAGTCTGACGACATGCAAGATTGGAAAGATAGATGTGCCGGACTTTACATACAGAAAGCGATCTGACGAGATATGAGAGGAACGGAATACCTTCTCTATCTGTAAGGTATGTTGAGATCGAATTTACTCGGAATAATTACCTTGGACAAACCTGGAATGCGCAAGTGATCCTGGAAATACATAGACGGATGCAAGTGCGTTGTTACCCCTTGCGTGTACGTAGATTTGGTCATTCGGCAAGCCGTTGACATCAGCTTGAGATTACTATCTCAATTAATATTTATGCATTTTTGTGACACTGAGTTATGCATAATGCTCCAGAATGGGCAAGATGATTCTTGCATGATGCTATGAGTTCTACGTTACGTCCGATTGAGCTCTTGGATTGCCGAAAACGAACAGTAAAAGACTACTGACATGATTATATTCCAGCAGATCTTGCGTCGCTTTTTATCGAGCGCAGCTCCTCGTTAAATGACAGCATTAAGGCTAGGTTCCCTGCTCCAAGGAGAGCTCGATGAATCGTATACTCCCCAGACTACGTGTGTTCTCCCCTACCTCATCCCAGACGATGACATCATCGCTATTATGGATAGAAAAGCGTACTAGATCAGCGAGACCATTTATCAAAGCCGGAAAGTCTTAGGTCAATTAGAAAAATAAAGTCACACGAGCTATAACAGTACGGAGATAAGAAAGAATCTATTTTCTGCAATCAAAACCACCATGACAGACACATACTCGAGGAGATGAGTGTAGAGGACTCTAGCGATGCCATCGAGGAAACGATTACGGTACAGAAATAACATGAGCTGCCTAGCATTCTACTCTTCCAAGACCGCATAGATACAGCCCTAGAGCAAGCAGAGACAAAAAACAATACAAAGTCACCTGGCAATTCCCATCCCAAACACACCCGCATAGCCCTAGTACTGAGAAAATCCAACAATCAATGTAAAGCCCAGCACCTGCTCTCTCCTCCCCACTTTCTCAGAAACAAGCACCGTGTGAACCAACCTCCTGGCGTTGCAGAGCTCCAGAATGATGTCGTAGGGATGGAGAGGGATATTTAGGAAAGGAGGCGATGAAGGGGATGATGTTTTTGATTCGCAACCAAGAGGGAAGGCAAATCCATTGGATCACCGCTTCAAGGATACCAGCATACATGCAGCTATCCGTCCTCCGGAAGATTCAGACCAGACGGAATTGTTTCCAGATGCCACAGCATGTCATGCATGTCGCCGTGTCGGGACTCCCAACGAAGGAATCAAGGCAGCGCATTGTCAGGATGATAGTCTTTGGCGAATAGAGGCGTAGATACAAGCTCCGCTAAGCAAGGAAGAAATAACCCAGTTCCGCAGCGTTTCAAAGACCCGTATTTCTTCACTCCATCGAGCCGTTACTATTTTCAGTCTGAGGCAGAGAAGGTCTAACCAGAGAAAACACCAGAAGTAAAGGATCAGTAAAATGCATTCTCATCAATCTCATCGATACATCGCAAAATCAAATCCAAAAGAACAAATTAACCCTCATACCCATAAGCCCTAATCACACTCGTACTGGCCTCGCCCCCAAACCCAGCCCTCTTCGCCACCAGCAACATGTTCAACGCCGCATTCGCCAAATGCAGCGGCACGTACAGATCCCTCGCCTTCTGCACCACATTCTCCAGCCTGCCAATAGCCTCGTCCACTGTCTGCGACCCCCCGGGTGCCTGGGCCCCGATCTTCCCCTCGATCATCTCCAATCCGCGGCCGACAAACACTTTGCTGGCGCCCGCAGCGTCGCTGACCAATCGGTAGAACTGCGCCATGTCGACGTTTAGGTATCGCGCGAGGGAGACGGCTTCTGCGGCCGCGACCAGGTTGATGCCCAGCATAAGGTCAAGTACGAGTTGCAGGGATTCGGTCGTTTGCGGTTGCCCGGTGGCCTGCACGTCAGCAATGGGCGAGGCGTAGTATTGGCGCACCATGGCGGAGTCGTCTTTGGGGCGGTAGCCGTGTAACAAGGCGGCGAGGTATGTTTGTTCGGCGGTGGAGCAGAGAGGCGTGGGGAAGTTGTGCTGGCGGGCTTGCGAGGTGATGATGCCCTAGATGCCGCAGGTCATTGGTTAGTGTGATGTGTTGTCATTTCAAACGAGGTCAGACGGAGGGCAACGTACGACATCCTTCAGGATAATGGTCAGCGCACTAGCACCCGGGTTCCAGTCTTCGTCGACCATCCGCGGAAACCGGTTCTCATGCATCCATGTCCAAGCCTCGGACGACATGATCCGACTGGCTGTATCGCGGGCCTCCAGGCCCAGATGGGCCGCGAGACCTTGGGCCTCGCTGGCGCCGAGGATGTGAATGGCTGCGAGGATCTGATGCACCATCTTCATGTTGCTGCCGGCACCCACGCCCCCCGGGACCAGGTAGAGTTTGCTCTCGGCGGAGAGAGTCTGGAGAAGGTCTCGACCGCTCTGGAGCGCCTCGTCCGACCCCCCGGCCATGATGGAGAGGGTTCCGTCGGCGGCGCGTTTGGCGCCACCCGAGACGGGACAGTCGATGAAGTGGATATCCGACCGGCCGCGGGTCTGGAGCTCCGCGGCGACGGATTGGGCGTAGGATGCAGCGACGGTGGAGCAGAGCAGGAGAGTGGCGTTCTGAGGGAGGTCTGTTGTTGGGCTGTCAGTTGGTACTCCGTAGAAGGGAGGATGATTGGCGAGGTCTTACGCTGCACAATGCCATCATCGGCAAACAGAACGGACTGCACTTGCGGCGCGGAGGCAACCATACAGACGTAGAACGACTTCCCCTCAGCGGACTCCTGCAGCGACGCGGCGGGGATGCCTCCGGCCGTTTGGAAGCGTTGCACAGAGGCCGGGAAGACGTCGAATCCGTGGACGGCGTAGCCTTGCGAGACGAGGTGGGTGGCCATGCCGAAGCCCATGGCTCCAAGGCCGACGAATCCAATGGCGGGCTTTGACATTTTGATCTTGTTATTGTGTGGTTTGTGTTTGTGTTACTTTGGCAGCGTTGGGGTTGCGATGGCGGTTAATATAGGAAGCCTTGGAGGATCGCCGAGAAGTCCGAGAGTGGGATGCCTCGGAGGTGCTCCGATCTGGGATCTGCCCTGGCATCTACTCCGGATGACGATCAACTTAAATACACTCGTCGAGGGCCTGTTTTGGATGTTTCTTCTTTTTCCTGTGCCTTCGCCGTTTCCTTTGTTTTCGTACCTATTTCGTATATACTATATCTCCCCATTCTCTCTATATAGAATTCTTCATTCTTCATTGATCTCACCTACTTGTCTTCATCCGAAGTTGCCTTGGGCACTGTCCAGTTTGACTTTGAAAGGCAATGCCCTTCGCCTTTAATTGGAGTCCATGTTCCATCCGACGTTAATAGGAGGCTTTGCCCAATAGCCTCGTTCCAAGACCCTGTTCAACTAGACAACACAGCTCCTGGATTCGTTGTTCACAGGCATACAACATTGAATATTGCAGCCAGAATCAACATAGTAGCTTTCTCCTCAAACTGCAGTTTTGTACGGATCTCGAGAAAGTCTTAGTTGCTCCTCTGCAAACCTAAGTTGGCGACGCAGAAAGCTCATACATATTGCGAACCACCTTGGGAATTTGAGTTTTCATCCTGACTTTCCATGCCACGAATAGAGCTGACTGAATACATTGATACCAGAATATCAGTGGAGAATGAAGAGGTGGACATAATCAGTATGTCATGCTACATACATTGCGTACGTCACAGGACCCTTTCATCATGCACTACTAACACCACGCCAGAGTCCCGGCAGCAAGAGTTTCCAAACGGTCGCAAGGACCAACACTCGCATTTGAATCTCGACGATGAACCGAACTTATCCATGGGACAACGCGGGGTCTGCATTCCAGAGCCCGTCCGGACAATCAACTCCGCTGTCTGAAGCCTGTGCCAGGGAGTCCCAGGACGCAATCTGCACACACTCGATTGCTCCGGGACCCACAGTCTGCCTCCACGTACAACAGACGACCTGCATTATCGGACGCGGATGTATAAACACCCCAGGAGCGACATGGGGTTTGTAATCCGGTATGTGGTTATCGACAACAGACCTTGTCCTGTTCAAGCGTTCTGTGCCGCCGGGACAACTACCGCCCTGTAGCCAGAGCCATGAATGAGGCAAACCGATCCCGACTCTAGCGCAAGGCATCATTACGGTATCGCGGCGCGAGTTGCGTCTGTGTGATTGATGATCCAATTGGTCCTAGCCGGCCATTCGGGTGGTATGTTCGAGAGGCAGCATCGGATGGTTTGACGCTTGGGGGCCTCACATCGGCTTTACGGGCAACCTGAACAGTCTGAAGTTGCCACAAGGCGAGCACATGCTGCCATGTATATTATCGGTCATTGGAAAGGACTGCATCAAAAGAAGGGTTGTCCAAAGATCAGCTACCTTAAACACCTGTGCGAATATATCCAGGACACGCATTGCAGACGGTACAAGCTAGACCCACTCAATGGCACCATCGACCCGATTGATTTATGTCGGCCTGGTTGCTCAATGAACCGGAGAGAGGAAGTCCAATTCATCGACTCTTTGTCCTGGGGTCGTCAGTTCCCCAAGCCTCCGATGTGCTTTTGTATCTCTGGAAGTGCATCGGCATGCATAGGCTTGAAAGTGGACAGAGTGATAGGCGTCAAGATGAATTACCAACGACCGACCCGAATATATCAGGAAAGAACCCGGTCTCCGACGCCTGTTCAATATCAGTGGAGCGAAATCTTGCCCTACCCAGTTTTCCTGAGGCGTACATTAGACGCCGAAGATGCGTGGAAGGTTTGTCTCAGACAGGCAGTCTTGGGTCAGAGATTGAGACCGACGGCATATGAAGTCGAACTCTCAATGCCCACAAAGCTGATTGCCAATGGATCCAAGTGACCGAGCGTCGTGTGGTACATATCGCGAGATCAGTAAATCTAATATTCAGGACCACAGCCTTCTAACACATTCATTCATTCTCGGATTGCCCGATAGGTTGATTTCGGCACCACCACTGGAGAATCGAGGAGTTCATTTCGTGGACATTGGACGATGTGATCCTAGAATGGAGGTTCACGCTGGGAAATGCTGTGTTGGGAGGCTCAGTCGCCCCTTTTCTCGCGCAACATGCTAGAGCCACGATCTGTCAGCAACGGCAAAGTGCAATTATGAGCTGCCGCGGGATTTCGATCACACAATGTTCTCTGTGTCAAACACCTCTCCAGCAAGCATTTAGCCGTGTTGAAATGGTGCTGGCGTACTGGTTCCTATCCGCGACGCCCTGTACGTCGTCCCCAGCAGACCCGGAGGCGTTTATGCGGCTGACTGAAACTACGGCGTGGCAGAATAATCCCCCATGACGCTTCAAACCCCGGCATCGAGCTGAACAGTATGATGCTCGTTGGTTTATCGCGTTGGCGCGAGGTTCAGAAGATCATTACTGGCCTGGGTATCGAACCTGAAAGCGGCAACCCGCGCAAGTTGGTAATCCTGTCGCAATATCCGACAATGGCGGTTATTGTTTATCTCGTTAGTTCCCAGAAGCCCTGTTCCTGTGTTCGGCAGCCGCTCTAACGTGCTCAGGCGATCCGTAAATGCTATCCCAATCACCATCCTTACCTCGCGCGAACTGCTTCTATTGTCGATTTTGCCATGCAAGCTGCACCCCAAAAAACCCCATGCAACCGATTTGGATCCCTGCTAATCCTCCCAAATCCATCAGCTATCCGCCATTAGGCTCCATGGAAACTTCTCGCCACAACAATGGGAGACAGAAACCCATACACTTCGAACATACATACAATGCTTTCAACCTGAGCGCGGAGGTCTGGTTTCAGCAAGGCGAGATTCAACTGCAGAGCTTTTCGAAAGGCGACATCGTGATTCGCTTCAACCCAGGGAAGGTCCATCCAAGGGGACAGCGACTGCGTTCCTCGAGAACATGAGCGAAGCCAAGTTTGATCGCGCCAATAAGGACAAGGCGCTGCAGAAGTGGAGATCAAGCCCTCTGGTCAAGTGCATCCGGCTCTATTGGTATTTGAAGACTGTTCATCGCCGACAGCAGCGCTCTGGGAATCATCCGAAGCATCCGCTGCGTTATCCACCTCGGCACTCGTGGTCGCTGCTCGAATCCTTCACCACACAGGTCGAACGAGGTCATTGATATTGGTAGTGATGACGAAGGCGGTTAGCTGCGTACGAAAAGGAAATTAGAACCGAAGGATACTATTATGGGTTTGAATAGTCACGGCGGTCTGCGCGGCGAGACTATTCTCATCCGTCCCTTTGGTCACCGACTATAAACGCGTCGCAGGATCGTGGCCCTGCGATTACCCGAATGTCTTGATATGAGAAATCGAAGGTTTCAATGACACTGGGCTTTGTCTCGAACATCGTCTGTTCTCGTCTTCATTCTATTCATCGTCGTCTTTCTTTCACCTCCAATTGCCCATCGTCCTGTCAACATGGCGTCACTCGCCGAATTGAGAGACGACCCCTATTTTGCTTCTTACTATAAACCTGGCTCTGCTATTGGGTCCTATTTCATCGCGAACAATCCCGAACATTACCATGGGACGGGAAAGAACAGTCGGCATGAAATTCACCGACTATCGACTTCAAGCCCGGGCTTTCGACTAGTACGGTCGTCCTCATCCAGGGTATCATGCTCCAAAACACGACATGTTTGAAATCGATGAATATCTGAAACCGAGGATGACCTAGTCTAGAGAAGACTGGGTAAAAGCAATCCATATCCGGTCTACCATTCATTCTGCCGAATAATCTCATCCAGGGGAACATGGCTTAGCACACGGTGCTGGACGATCAAAAGGACTTAGTCTGCTGGGCTAGACGGTGCGAAATCAGCGGTCCAGAGTCCCGATCGTCCTGCTGACTCTTTGCTGCCGCCGGTGCACGAGGCCAGATGTCTTCTCATCGGAGTCGTCTCTAGCCATGGGTCGAATATCAAACGCCAGGGCCCTGGTTGTCCTGGAAGCTTCTTTCCGTCACCCGTGGCTCTGGCGATCTCGGCTAGCTACACTGGAACCAGATATAGGCTTGCTTTCTTGATTGTGATGAGAGAAATGAAGGTTACCGAAATCGATAGGCTGTCATAATCTTAGCTCGCGTGTTTGTAAGCTCTGGGTGACGCGGTCAAAAACACACGCGCCAGATTGGCGGGAAACCAAAATACGTCGCTGAGCAGCACGATTCAATGCTTTTCGAAAGACAAAACGACCAATGGCTATGCTGTACCAGAAATCCTGCGATGCTCCCGTGTGCCTATATCTCGAAAATGAAAGAGTGGATTGAGGTCCGGGTTGGCTGGAGATCCTCAAGGCCTCCTTTCAGCCTGACAGCTCACACACGCCTGGCGCAGAATCTTCCTATCAATGATGTGTTCTCGGCAAATCAAACTCACCAGCCAAGAATACGTCCTCGATGTTCTTATTGCTCAGACGCTGGTATTATATCCTCCGTTCTTGTTGGCAAGCTTGCACGCAATCTAAAGCCAAGTCCACTGGACCCACATATCACCAATGGGAACCCAAGTCCTGAATTTCTACAGGGCGTTGTCAAGCCTGTCCACCTGGAACAAACACACCTCAGACCTCTTAATAGGTTGTCTTGTTGCTCCTGGAGAGCAGCACATGCACTTGTACTCCGCAAAAGCGAGCTGGTCATGCATGGCCATAGGGCTGAAAGGTACTACTGGTTGGGGGGCTATGAGCCATATGCGCAGGCAATAATCAATTTAACTGCTCATTGCTCTGTATATTTTGCAACCATGAAATGGCTGAAGGAACACCCGGCTGACATATGAGCTTCGGCATACAGTCAGACAATGGAAGAACGCCCCAGAACACTATGAGCGGTGTGGTTCTGTCATCCTGTCTGTCCTGTCAGGCAATCAGTCATAGTCTGTGATCGCAGATGTTGACATGGCTAAACACGCAGCTGGAAACACCATACAGCCGTGAGAGCTGATATCTTGTCTGAAAAGCATGAGAATATATCCAACTAACAGCATATCTTCGGACACTGAATGCCATACAATTGCGTTGACACCAGCACCGATTTCGAAATACCAGATTCCACAGCGCGCAGCGTGAACAGATGGGATTAAGGACACGATGAACACCATGGGTCGTTCGAAGTCATCAATAAATTCCCCACTGGCTGGTCGGCGAATTCGCTGTCCGATACCTTGGCTCTGCTCGCGAATCTCACGGATTTCACCAGCTATTACATTAACGAGGTTGAAGAATTCACATGTTGATTCCGCAATGTATCATCCCTCTATGAATGGCCATACATGCCATTCTCTCAGCCGAAGAACCGCGAAAGGAAGCCGCAGTCAAGTCATTCCCCCGACGTAGGCATCCAACCGGCAGTTTGAATATATCGACCGGAACGATGAGATGCGAAGGCTATTTCATCCAAATATCCGCCGACCAGCTCGTCATGAATATTTTCAAAATCTTCTGAAGCCTCCTATCGGTGAGGAGTACGAGGCCACTCCTCCGGTTCCCAGCGATCCTGGTGCCTACATAATGGATATGCCTTCCGCAGCCACGATGGTCTCTACACTGCAGAGGACGTTACGCAGATTCCTCAGTCCCAGCGACAGAAAGTTCGCCGACATACCCTATTTCCTCTACAACAGACCTTATCCCGCTAGTCACAGGTCCCAGCGTCCCAACTGCTCGTCTATATTACTCCGTTGTTTGAAAGCATAGCCTGACGGCAGAGCAGCGACATTGGTCTGTTTGTCCGTTAAATATGGCTCCACGAGCACTGAAAGGCGCCACTCCTACTCCTTTGCATCTCCTGCTTTTGATCATTTAGCCAGGCTTCGATCTCATACTCAATGAGACTTTGCAACGACAACCTGAGAGTCAACCATCTGGCGCTAATTTCCACTCACGGAACCTGTGATGCCTGCCGCATTCCCTAATCCACCTTTCCCCGTTGCGGCTCTTCCACTTGACAGATCCCTTTCTTGGAACAGGCACCGTTAATTATTCACACCGTTATACCCACGATAGAGGGCGAGAGCCTCTTATTCATGCTTCAGGTTGCAGATGATCTCGTGCATGACGGTCATGACAGATTTGCTGCTAGCGCTGCGGCGATATAATACAGATACCCCGTGGATATGTATCTCTCCCGAAAAGAACACGTCATCTATCGCAAACCCAATACCATTCTCTTACGGGCGGCTTTGTCTGTACTGAGACTTTCTTTGGTGTTGCTCATCCAACAGCGTGTCGAGGTCTCGGACGGGCTCGCGTTGCATCGCTCGGGTTGTCTGAAAAGCGAGAATTCGAGTCAGAATAGAGAATTTTTGTGGGCGGCTCTTTCACTCTGCTTTGCTCGATGTGTGTTCCGCTCTAGTTGATGCACTATGGCGAATCAGAGCCCGGAGTGTTGTCTGGGTTCCATTGGCGAGACGACTGATCTGTCTGAATCCACTTTCCTTGCAGTGGCCATAACAGACTTTCAAGCAGGAGACTGTATCCTCATTGTTGAGAGGTACTCCAACCTGAGCAATACGGGCTACTCTGGGCTGTCTTTCTACTTCCGACAATTGTACCGAGACATCTCGAAGCGTTTGCTTTTTCCGTCGAAAGCAACACGGCATCCAACAATTCTTTCACAGCCGAATTTTCAATCCCGCTGATGCTATCTACGTCCTGCGGCGACTTATCCTGCGCTGCGATGTACCTCTGCCGAGACATGGAAAATCCCAACTGTGGATAGCTGCAAGGTCGTTCAGACATGAACCTGAAGCCCGGAATACCACAACCAAGGACACTTGACGGGGGACGTAGAAGACCGAGAGAAGGGCAAGTAGCTCGGTGACTTCTACGAGCGATGCAGAGCAACTCACCAGCTCTTTCGCCATATACTTGCTTTGTTCTTCCACCCTAGCATACTCACATTATCTCATGCTCGTCACGTCCTGTCGTTTGGCAGCTCAGCCTATATACAAAGCCGACTACCCAAGGATGAAGTCACTGGGGCACGACCGAGTTAGCGATATTTGTGTTCGCATTCAAGTTCTGAAACGCAAAATATCAGTGCCGAAAGATTCATGATCCAAGGAACTGGAGAAATCGTGACATCATGCGCCACATCTGCATCGATACCGATGTACCCAAAAAGCAACATGTTTGACGATCGTTTACAAAGGACCTTGACCTGACCATATAGCCAAAATTCATCCAGAGCTATGAAACCCAACCACCGATAAGATTTCCAACTTCAAAACAGAGCCTAGCAGGCATTGGAGTGCCCATGATTACAGACATATGATTCCAGACATTCTCAATGGATCGTCATGTAATCTGTCCAGGCTTATTGGATGCCTGGGCTTTGCATCTCTAGACGCATTGATCTCTGACGCTATGTTGAGTGTCGCAAGGCTATCCGACTCGTTGGTCAATTACACATGAAACAAACTGCTACAACCTCGATGATGCAAGAATCAACCTCATTTTGGCACATGAGGTGGTCACTAACTCCCGAAATGAACCCGAGGTCCGGTTTCCACGGTCCCATTCGATTTGATCCCATTCCGTCTGTCACTGTCTTTCCATGAGTATCAGAACCAGAAGCCGAGAGCAGATAGGAATCATGGACCCTTCCCTCATCTCACACGGTATCTGGATGACCCTTATCCTTCGAGGAGGTATTGGGACTTGGCCTCATTCCGACAACGAAACCCCTTACGGAAAGTGTCAATCAAGCGACGTTTACCGGTAAAATGCCTGCTTGCTTTGCGCATTTGAATTTCCTGCGTGACGGATTCTGCATATGAATCAAACGTCTTTTCCATTGGCTCGATGCCAGCTCTCATGTCTCGACACACTGCCAATTCGGTTCTGTGCTGGAATGCAACACCTGCGACTGGTCATCTGTGGTCGGCGAAATGCCAGCCCATGTTTGTCATCGCAGTCGCATGTGGACTACTGGGAGTTTCTCTGGTTATCGTTCGGAGACCTGATCTGCTGCGGATCAGCTACTTCCTGAACTATATCCCGCGCGTTTCATACCGACGACGAAAACCCGTACGGATTTGTCAGTGATACAACGGTATCCAGTACAGTGCCTGCCTGCCTGCTGCCTGCCTTCCTTGGCCATTCGCCTGGTCTGCTTGGTCCATTCTGCGTATTGACACGATGCGCTATCCACTGGAATGTCACCTTTGTCATCATAGTCGCGCGGGGCTTGTATGCGGTCGCTTTTGATATCGTTTATATACCCGAGCTGTTGCAGATTACCCACTTCCTAAGTCATGCAAACTTATACCGGCATCGGCTGATCGTCGGGATAGGTTATGAGCCCGGAGCTCATGCGTTAGGAGCCCAGTTTATTTCTACATGATTGACTAAATGCGATGACCGCCATGTTCGATGGCGAGACGACTAAGAAAGCCACAAACAGGAAAACCATGAAGAAAGACAGACGGCAAAAGAAAGGAAGCAGAACATTGATGTCTTCGTTAGGCTGTGCTCTTGAACGGAACACACCAGCATGAAGAGATGAGCGACGATGGGGATACCAGGTTACGCCGTCTGTGTGAGAGAAATGCTTGGCTGAGATCAGGCGTGCCTGGCTCTTGGGCTGTGAAAAGAATGGAACAGGAGGGATCAGACCCGGAATGAATGTCTCCACAGACCATCTGTTCAACGGAGACCGGTCAGAGAATAGCCCACGAGGTTGGCGTTCGGGCTATCAAGTCCAGCCACGTGTGTTAAGGCGATGCTGGATGAGAGGCTGGAAAGACTGGAAAGACTGGATTAATTTATGCAAGAAACTTCTCTGGAAGGCGGAATATTGAACGGCCAGAACACAAAATGACCAAGGACTTCGGGTCTGTGCGAGCTAGGGACCACTGGTTCTGTAAGGAAGGGTGGTCATCTATGGGCTTTTATCATACTTATCTATGTTAGTTAAGTTGAAGGGGATCGTGAGAAGTGGATCTGGTTTGATGAGTGAGGGTTCGGGGTAGGTGTGAGTCGTCAGGCATCTGGTCACGCGAATGGTTCGTTGTGAGGAACCCCGAGGTCTTTATGTGTTCAGCCCTCAATTCCTATTCCTCTGGTATAATCGACTCAGCCCAATTGAATTTTTGATTAAAGACTGAGCCCTTTCGTAGTCCACCTGTTGATTCTCAGCTCATCCATTACTTAAATTTGAAGCTTATGGACCTGGATGGGCAGTGATAGCGAAAGAAGGGAGGACTTTTTTTGCTCTCATTTATTTTCTCTGATGAAGAAGATACCGAGACTAACTAACAACAGTCATCGTCATTGGGAGATGAATCGCTGATAAGTCAAAAGAATTTGACAGGAAACGGGAGAGATAAGAATACAGAGACAGGAGGCAGCGGATATCAACTCCTTCTGAAGTCGACAATCTGTTCTCCCAAGTTCATATTGTCATTTCTCGATCGACAGTGTTTCCATCCTTTTCTGTCTTCACCTTTCTTTAGAAACCCAATCTTTCCATCACAGCATGACGAGAGGGATCGGCTTTGCCGGGCAGCCAACTTGCTTCATCTTCTCTCGTGGGGAAAGGAGGACCGAAGCAGTTTTTGTTTCCATCCGTCTAGCTTTGATCAGCAATTGTCACAGACGGTCAAGCAGTCGAAATCCCACCAGTCCCTCACTTGTATGAATAAAACCACATGTCATTGTCCTGGCAGCATAATCACCCAGTCGACAAAAACAACGTGAACAATTCGGAAAAATCTTTTCCAAACCCAGCCCCGCACCATGCGTCGAAGACACCCATACCTCTCACGCTATACCACCCGCTCTCAATTATTCCCGTGAGCCCCCCAACCCCCACCCCGCATGGTTCAGATTGCTGTAATAGCATCTACGAATGCAGACCGGGAGGCAACGTCCATGCCCTGCCTCCCGGCCCGCAATCACGTCTATATCCATCATGAACCCGCAACGTAAAGTAAAGCAGCGACCACACTGACAGCCGCACTGACAGGTGTATGGAGGGACAAAGGCACCACTGGCCAGGCTACAGGTCACAGAATCAGCACAGCCCGCTCCAAGCATCTCGAAAGTGGCTAACTCACCAGGAGGCCCCCACCGACTGATTTTCGCCAAAGCATCCGGCGTCTGCGCCCGGGACTTAATATGGCGCTTGGTGTCTGATGACGAGGTTGGTTAGTCGATTGTTTCATTTGGGTGCTGATGGTGGGGAGGTTTCATACCTTGTTGTTTTCAGCGGGTGTAAGGAACCTAATCAAGGGAATTGCAAGGATGCTTGGTGGCTGATGGGTTCCGATCGGGTAGATGGGTCGTAAAGTCGACTGAACCCATTCATTGTGGAAAATCTTGGCCGGGTGGTTACTTTTACTGAAGTCCATCATTCGTTCCTATAACGGAGGACGCGGTAACGCGATTTTCTGGGCTGGACAGGATCCTGAAGATGGATCGTGGTAGCATTGCGATGGCCTCAAAGTGGCATTGGATAAGGTTGATTGTTAGAAACTCGATGGATGGAGGAGGAGGAGGAGGAGGACAAGAAAGTTGGAAAAGAAGTGAAAGGAAAACGAAAGAGGAAGGACAACACAAAAGTGGCTGCCTGATTCTTGCCTGGTTCATGCCTTCGAGCCTGAGGCCAACACGACCAGTGCCTGGCGATCGATTTACGCAAAAGAACATCCACAGCTTCACTGTCTATTCTGCTCTGCTTTCCATTACTCCTTTCTTCTAATTAAGAATTACCGCCATTCATCCAGCCTTATTGGACCCATTCCAAGCCGCCGATCCCTCACCATTGCGGTTAGCGGGTCAGCACCTAATACTAGTGAGCATCCAAATTGCCTGCGATTCCTATCATACCCAAAATTAAACATAATTAAAACTAATATCCAGAGCCGAACAGCCAGTCCCATGACCATAAATCCTCGCAGCAGATATACCACCAGGAGAAATTCGATCGCAGAACATCCCTCGCAGATTGCCACCCAAGCGGGAGCGATCGCCGCGGCTCAACGAACATCGTGGCTTTGCTGGGGCCAATTCTCGAATTCCCCACTTCTGGGCGCAGCGGGAGAGCCTTGTGCCAGTTCCCGTACTCTGGCAGGGTTCTGGGGCTATCAGTGGATCCTAGTTCCTAGCTGTTTCGGGGGTTTGGGTCTGGTTGTGCGACGTCATGCGGTCCTGGCTGGGCTGTTATTGGAGGAGATCACGAAGTTGAAGATGAGACCCATGGGGCCAGGGATTTGGCGTGTCTGGGGCTGTGGTTGTCATAAGCGTGTTGGCGAGGTGCTTATAATAGGGGGATGGGTATAAGTAGGTCGTGTTCAGTCCAGCTTTCTTTGTTGGACTTGTTAATTTGTGCTAGAGCGTCATCATTAACCCCTTTTTATGGTCGCATCCTTGGTCTAGATCTACTCTTCCACTTGATTCCTGCCATATAAACTACCAAACAACTAAACCAACTCAACAAAGCAATCCGTTGAAATGTCTCACGACGAAAAGGTCGCCTCCGGTACGTCTCCCCGAACCCTCTTCATCCATATACCGAATCTAATGCACTCTAGCTCCTCCCCTCTACGAACAACAACCCACCCCTATCCACCCTCCAACCGCACACATGGTTCCTCCTATGGAACCTCCAGCCTGGCAACCCGGAATGCCGCACCCAAGCGGCTACAACACCTCGTCGCCACTACACACGCTCCAACGGGGTCCGGCACCAGTGGATTGTCCGATCTGTAGCCATCGGGAGATGACACGCGTGGATGTCGAGTCAGGGAATACGACGCAGTATGTACTCCTTGGTTATATTCACCACGAATGAAGAGAGTAAGCAAGGGACGGACCGCTAACGGATATAGTGGCTGGGCGGCCGTGATCTGCTGTTGCTTTTGTCTAGGATGCATCCCGTACCTAATCTCCTCGCTGAAAGATGTTAACCATCATTGCGGCAAGTGTGGTGCTATGCTGGCGACGTTCCATGCGAGTGGCAGGACCGAGGTGCATCAGAATGTGAGACAGGGATAGTTTGATGCGATAGGCTGATGGTGTATGTGCGTTTGATACCACTGATTTTATGTTTGAACAGGATAAAGGGTTGGGTGGTTTTATGATTTGTGATTAAGAAAATATGATTGTTGCACTATGAACACTGATTTTAAGTCCAAAAGTTTAGACCATATCATTAAGTGGCATTTAATTAAGACATTAAATAATACATCCAAAGAACTCAGAACGCCATCCCAACGCTCAATATACAGACCAGCAGCAAACACCAAACCCCCTACTCCTTCGCAATCGAACTCGACCTCGACCTCTTCACATACCCCTCGCCGTCCATCTCCATCAACTGCCTCGAATTACTCAATTCCACTCCGCCCATCTCCCCCGGCAACTCAACCGGAAGTCTTCTCCCAGGACGATGCACATTGGCACCGGGGTGATAGCGAGACGCAGAGTCGGAAGAAGCAACCAACGTTGTTTCCATCATTTGCGGTCCACTCGTATCGTATGAGTACCCAGATCCGGGACCAGATCCATGACCAGACCCAGGAAACTGTCCTCGAGAATCCTCATGTGCCAATTGCTCTGGTATATCAGACACACCTCCAGCAGGCTCGTCCACAGTCCCGGGATGGGATCTCCGTCTCCCCCAGAGAAAAAACACCGTCGCGAGAACAACCACCCCCGCGACACCACCGACCACGATCCCCGCAATCGCGCCTCCAGATAGCGCTCCTCCACCATCACCATCTTCACTCGCCTCCCCCGTCGGAGTTGGCGTGGCACCCGTCGCACTCGCACTAGCCCCCTTATCACTCGTCGTGGCTTCACTCGTCGTGCTCGTCTCACTCACAATCGTCGAGATCATCGTCATGGTCCCCGTAGTCTCCGTCGAAACAAACTTCCTCACCGAATCCTCGGGCATTGGATAAACATCATACGCGGACAGATTCCTCGTTGCATCCTTCCTCCACCGCGTATTCTCGCACTCCCACCCGATCATATTCTCACATTCGGCCTCGCGCCAGATGCGCAGACACCAGGGGCCCTCGGGGTCCCAGGAGAACTGGAGGTCTTTTTGGTGGTAGATGCGGACGCAGGTGGCGTTTTTGTTTTCGTGCGCGACGTTGGCGCCGGTGGAGTTGCGCCAGACGAAGGTCCATGCTTGTATTGGGGTTGAGAGCAGCAGGAGGAGGAAGGGGAGGTGTCGATATGAGAGAAGGGATGGGCGGGGGAGGGTCATTTTGAAGACGCGCTCTTGATACAGACGCTGAGGATGAGGCTGGCGCTGGCGGAGAGAAGATAGACGTCGACGTCGAGAGTGAGCTAGCACTGTCTGCGCAGCACAGAGAAACGACAGAGACCAGACCAGAAAGTGGGGAAAATCGAGCGTCGAAGATATTAAACTAGCTAGATCATATGTTTAAATCGAGTCCTGAGGTTCAGGGGGTAGGCCTCGTCTGAATCATCCCCCTGCAAGGCTGAGCATAAGACCCTCCTTCTCCGTCCCTGTCAGAACAAGCCCGTGGAACGATCGTATCAATCTCAGCATTAGCACATGCTCTACCACCAGAAAAGGAGAGGGTTGCGGCCTAAGACTCTTGATACCTGAAAATGCTTGATCCCATTGGTCTGGAAAATGGCCCGAACCTTGCCGGCAAAAAGCGAGTGGGGGATTGAATCTGATTGTTGCTCTAAATCTCTGGGCTCTGCAGGTGGAAAAGCGGTGATTGGTGGCGGAGACGGAATACGAGCAGGACGGGACTTAGCTTCTTGGTATCTTAGTCGAGTTGGGGTCTTGTTGAAGACTTTTGGGGCCGTTTCGGATTTCTCTTGGGGAGGGCTAATGCCAATGATGTGGGGATCTCGATGTTATCTCCATATTGAAGGAAAGCGGAGGGATGATTGAGATTGAATAGGTAAGTTTCTCTGCTTTCTAAAGCCTTGTTCTGATTTAGGTAGGATCGGAATTAAGATATAAACCCCTTCGAGCCTTGGAAATATGAACCAGAATCATCTAAATAGTAATATTATAATTAAGCTGCTAAGCTTAGAAATAGATGTTATTTTAAACCGTTCCTCAACAACATATACAAGAGGAATTAGAAAAAGCACGCGAGATGATATCTTTACAGCCATGACACTTCGACATATTCAAAAACCAACGAGTCTTCATGCAGCATCCAGCTTCTCATCGGGACAGGAAACTGATAGTCGAAACTATGTGCCAAATGTCCAAACTGGATGAAATACCCACCTGGTTTGAGCCTCCTTTGGACTTTCTTCAGACCTACTCAACGCAGGGGAATATTTAAGGCGCCAAGTAAGAAAGCGAAATTCCACGTAAGCAAAGAGCTTTACGGTTTATACAGCCCTGTTTCAGGTCGCGGGAAAAAAGGAATTATACGATAGTGTCGCGACTTGCATCACGATCGATGATGGTTTCATGATTTCTGGCTAGAGGCTACAGTAGGTAGAACGGAGGAGCCTGATTTCAGTATTGTTTTGATGTTGCTTTCTTGTCTACCTTTACGACTGCATATTTCTTGAACAACAACATTACAGTTATCCGGCTATGATGGCTGTCTATCAAGTAACAATACCACTGCGATTGGAGACCATTGATCATCTTTCTGTGGTGAGCTTAGCTATAAATTGCAAGAGGCTCTCTGAAATTCACTCAAGGGATCCATTAAACCAATCGCGAGGAATGCAGCGGCGTGCTAGAGTTGTAATGCTGGTCTGCCCCTTCATTCCTCTGGCCGGCGCGGATTCCTCCAGGACCTCCATACAGATTATGTCGGCCATCCATCAACGCCCTCCCTTCATCAAACTCCGTTCAATTAAACACTGTCTGACTTCAAATTATTGAACATGATTCACCAGGAGAAGGAACCCGAAACCCTAATACAAGATAAGGCCCCAGAGAGCCCTATTCAGCCGACGGAGGATGAGAAAGATGACCACGAGTATCCACCACTATGGGAGGCAATCCTGCTGACGGCCACGCTGTTTTGCAGCTTTTTCTGCTGTGCTCTGGTAAGACGATTCCCTCTATGCCCTTGTCTCATGAAGCGACTGACCAAATCAGGATCAAACTATACTGGCGACAGCTATCCCCCGAATCACCGATGAATTCCAATCCCTCGACGACATCGGCTGGTACAGCGGCTCGTTCCTGCTGACCATGTGCGCCACCAAGATGGTCTGGGGAAAGATGTACCTGTTTTATCCGGCCAAATGGGCCTTTCTGAGCGGGTTGTTTCTCTTCGAGGTCGGCTCCTTGATATGCGGCGCCGCTCCGTCGTCGGTGGCTCTGATCATCGGACGATGCATCGCAGGTATCGGCGCTTCTGGCATAGATTCCGGCGCCATCATCATCGTCCTCTATATTGCTCCGGTGCGAAAGCGCCCGATCTTCATCAGTTGTTTGGGAAGTGTGCGTGGGATCACCAGCGTTGCGGGACCACCGTGAGTAAACTACCTCCTGGCCCTTTGCACAAAAGCTGAACAATACAGACTCGGAGGTGTCTTCACTGACCACGCGACCTGGAGATGGTGCTTCTACATCAATCTCCCCTTCGGTGCCGTGACCCTCATCGGCATCTTCATCTTCCTGTCCCCTAAAACGCCCTCCATGTCGCATCTCAACTTCAGACAGAAGGCCCAGCGCATGGACATCCTCGGCACTCTCTGCTTCATCCCTGGCGTCGTCGCCCTCCTACTGGCAATCCAATGGGGCGGGTCCGACTTCGCCTGGAACAGCTGGCGCATCATCCTCCTGTTCACGCTGGCCGGCGTGCTTCTCTTCTCCTTCGGCGTCATCCAGGTCTTCTCACCCGAGGACCGCGCCACGATCCCACTCCGGGTTCTTCGCGACCGCAACATCCTCGGCGGCCTCTGGTACGTGAGCTGCCTCTTCGGCGCGCTCTTCGTAATGATCTACTACGTTAGTCCCCCTCCTCTCCCATCCCAACCCAGCCACGAACTAACGAACAACCCAACCCAGCTCCCCATCTGGTTCCAATCCATCAAAAACGTCTCCGCCACGAACTCCGGCCTCATGCTCCTCCCCACCGAGCTAGGCATGGTCATCTTCTCGCTGATCGGCGCCACCCTCGTCACCGTGACCGGCTACTACACGCCCTTCATCGTCATCTCGCCCGTACTCTTCAGCATCGGCACCGGCCTCCTCTCCACCCTCACCCCCACCTCCGGCACCGCGTCCTGGCTCGGCTACCAGATCCTCATGTCCGCGGGGGCAGGTCTGGGCGCGCAGAACGCATACATGGTTGCGCAGGTGGGGATCCCGCCGTCGGACAGCATCATGGCCATTACGATGATCTCGTTTGTGCAGCTGCTTGCGGGCGCCGTGATGCTGGCTGTCTCTGAGAGTGTGTTTCATCGATATCTGGGGGCGGAGATGGCGGGTGTGGATGGGTTAGATGGCCAGGTTGTGACTGGGGCGAGTGTGGACTGGGAGAAGGTTCCGGGGGACTTGGTTGGGGATGTGCTGTCGGGTTATAATCGGGCGATTGTCAGGACGTTCTACATTGCGGTTGTGCTTGGGGCGGTGGCGTTTTTGGGCACGGTGGTGCTGGAGTGGAAGTCTGTTAAGGCTGGGAAGGGGGAGGGGAGGTGCGTGGAGAGGGAGAGGAATGGGAGTGCCGAGGAGTTGCATACAATGGAGGGAGGGAGAGAAGAGGATTCGAAAGGGTCAGAGAGGAAGGTGTGAGCTATTGGTGACTATACAGTTGTGACAGGGACATCATGTTACGGTTATTAGGGGAAAAGAAAGACAAGGAAAAAATCGGCAAGCTATATAGATAAAACTTAGTTGTAATGCAGCACAATATAATCTGTATAAGAATACATCCAACGGACAGCCCAAACATAACTGAGCCAAGCCCTCCACATTCTCTGCCTCCCGAAGAACCATGATTCATGACGGGCAAATTAACTCATTTGGCAATAGCGCTGCAACCAGTCCTGGGCCATACTTTCGTCGCCCTAGAATTTCCCTCCCTTTATTCTGGAAAAGACTCTACTTTTTCGAATGGAAAAGAGCAATTGAGGAAGGCTCAATCACTAGATACAAAAATATGTCCTCCTCAAAAGAATCACTATAAAAACGACGCCGTGATGCAGTGATTACATAATCATATCGCGATGTATGACGTCACCATCCTGTACGAGTGAAGCTGAATTGAGACCGGGCCACCCTATCTGACCGGAGATAAATGCTAGCTATCCTGCATGTTAAGTCTGTTCAATCCTTAATATATGACCAGGCTGAGATGGATTCGAACATGTCATGATCCACTAGGACCGGCGGATATGATCGAGTGGTGACGCCAACGGGACGGGCGGATCGTTGAACCTTGTCTTTGGACTTGACGGGGTTTGTATATCTTGAGGATGTTCAGCATGAGTGAAAGAAATTTCATAGATTGATGTTGAATCGGTGGTGTTTAATTCCTTTTCTCGGTAGTAATACTATATATCTGCAGGACTATCGCCCCATTACTACATTAGCACGAAAAACTACCTGAACATTGAAGGAATCAAGAAGAAATCCCCGGCAAATCCCGTATACAAGTAACCACCGCAATAAACTTCCTCCTCCCGTGGCTGCCGCCAGATCCATGATTTCTCCCTCCCTGACAACCCGACCACCCGCCAAACCGACGTTGCATACACTCCTCTCCTGCACGTCATGGCCCTCGATTCTCGCTCTGCCCTTCCGCTGCTCCCGATCCTGGCTACAGGGTGTAGCTAAGCTAGCCTCAGCCTCGTCTTCTTCTATAATCCTCACCTGAGCTTGCTCGCCCGTGCTCGTGCTTTTCTTCCCGGCCTACTTGTTCGTTCGGTGGCCTGTTACAGCCAGCCAGTGGGCGTGCTTGAGCGAGACCGACCGACCGGTGTCAAGCTCCTTGGTTCTATACCTCGCTCTTTACCTATAGCTTGGAAGAACTAGATTTTTCGAGTTCGAAGTGAACGTGCGCCTGCCTCGCCGACAAGACGCGAGAACCCTACACGGAACTCCTTATCTTTGTATGTGCACATCACATCCACCAAGTAACCCCCTCCGAAGCTAGAAAAAGCAAGCTAACATCACCATTCATCCAGCAGACCAGCAAAATCACAGACCATGGCAGCAATAAGTCTCCCGCACCCGGAAACCCGCCGCGCAATCCTCAAGCGAAGTAACTGGGCAGGCGAGAACCCCGGCGTGGTCCTCGTCTTCTGCATCGTGTTCATCGTGGGCGTTGGGATTGTCGCGCTGTTCCTGTATCGGACTTGGATGGCACGGAAGGCGAAGAGGGCGGCGGTGCAAGTTGAATAAGATGAGGGTGAGGACTGGGGAAATGAAGGTGGTGGGTGAAGATGGATGGATGTAAGGGGTTAAAGGGGAGTTGGATGTTGGACGTGGATGGATGGGGTGATCGGTATGATTTCTTGTCTGGCTTCGAGTATGAATTATGGCTGTTATGGGGAGATTGATAATAATTTGGAGTTCTGGAGCATGTAATATGACTTAAATTTCTTATACTATTCTCAGAGCAGGACTATGCCCTCTGTGAGTGTCTTCATGGACTGTATGTTCGGTATTTCTTCATCGTGGCCGAGCGATCAGTAGATGGGAAATGACGGTTTGGAATGGCATGTAAAATGGGATCTCACATAATGAAAGCATAATTATGTTGACTATTTTCTCATGATAAATAGTAACCATCCTATACAGTAACTGTTTCTTCAATCAATTGGTCAAACAATCAAATTTCTATTAACCTGATAAAGCCTATCTATTGAAGCAACAGGCTATACAGGCGCTTCTCCGGCAAAGCAGAATTTCGCAGCCGTACACTATATATAAATCTCACAATCACAATAGACTATTAAAAAGCAAGATATAACTAAATCATAGCTGCCACATATCGACTGTGTGTCTACCGCGCCATCATAGACGCCTCCGCCCCTTCTGTATTCCCGTATTTTGGTATTCTAGTGGGTGTGTTACTGGTAGGGGCGAGACATCCACCCCCCCTTAGAGTTCTATGTAACTATTATCTTTGTTGTCTAATCCGAGCCTTTCTAATAAACTACTAGATTCCGGGGTCTCTTCCTCCTTTTTGTCCCTAAATTAGGCGAATTAGAATTACTAGAGTAGGCCAGTTTATTATATATACTCAACGATATAGTAAATCACCTACAGGTGATGTATAACTGTATTATAGTTTTATCTACGCCCACGTAGCTCCTTGACTGAGTTAAGGCTTTTTATAAATTTTTTACAGTAAGTGATATGTAGTGGGTACTCCAGGAGAACGTGTTTAGGGGTCTGGGACCCTAGTTTATAGTAGTATCCATCTGAGTTGACCTGCTTAATTTTATAAAGGAAGTGCCTTAACCTTATCCTGATAGTGCGCATCTGCATAATAATTGACGAGTGCGACTTACTGAGGTGCTTGTACAGCCTCAGGTTCTTCTTAACGGTTCCTTCCAGATATGCCCATGACGCCACCTGCCCTAACAGACTCTCGCAAGTCAGCAACAACAGTCAAGACGAGCTCTGATGGCCATTTGAACCAGCATCAACACACTAATCTACATCATACAACTATATTCTCTACTATTCAGCCTGACAAACCTTTTATACTTACCTTCATCATTCGCAATACATGGAAGAATTAAAACAACAACTGGTCTCACGGACTTCAGTCTTCACCAACAAAATTGGCAATGCAAACTTCAAAACACCCTCTTTGCGTACCTGGGCAGTGCTAATATCGTCTGGCATCACGCTCTCATCCACTGTCGCGCTCTACACACTCCACAGATACCTCGGCAAGCGCCTTGAGCATGAGCAAAACGTGGGCGACGTTTCCCCCTTTCTCCCCTTCAAAATCACATCAGTTCCCCCCGTGTGGGATAACTGGCATTACCTTCTTAATTGCGCCACATGCCGCGTACATCGAAAAGACCTCCCACCGCGAGATCTCCCGGGTTTGTTCGAGTTGATGGTGCGTCAGAATATGATGGAGTTTCGGCGTCTTCCCTATGGATACTTCGTATATTGGATTGCGCCACGATCGGTAAAGCCAACATTTGCTGATTCGCATATCCTGGCTTTGGACTTCGTCGAGCGGGATGCGTTAAATGGGATATTCGTAGTCTGCCAACGAGAGGCCGATAAACTGGTCTGCCTGGTTAATGGTAGACATCCGATTGAGACCAGATTGATAATGCACTACTGGGAGGAAGGCGACGATGTGATTTTCTGCAGAGAGACGCTTATGTGGAGACTGAAAGCCAGAGAAAACGAGAAACAGCGAAAGCTTCCGCTTGAAAATCCGGTTCTGAGATTCATGCATGAGTTGACGGCTTGGTGGTTGTTGGATTCTGGCGTTCGCTACCTGAAAGAAATGAAGCCCGATCGGGAGAAGAAACACCGGGGTTTTCATGTACTGCGCCCTTTGTTCTCTCTCTTTAGGTGGACGAGGCCTGGAGGCTAGGGAGTTTTCCGGGTATGGGGACAAAGAACCGCGACTCTCCGCTATACTGGTACAATATCATTGTATGCACCGGGGCTTCCAATTGACGGCTTCATATCCACAAGTATAAATACCCTCGCCATTAGCTAGATACAACAGATCCACCCCATCATTTTCAATCGCACAACAGTGAACTACAAGCAGTACTCCGTCTCCGGTAGACTTTCATGCTTGTCATAGATCACTGAAGTTGCGATCGCTTCATCATCTTACCTCTGTTGTGAAAACGGAAACGGTAAGTTCAATCAAAATGTGTCACTACACTCTCTACCACAGCTCTGCCTGCGGCCACATCACCAGCTTCAACATGGAAAGCTGTGCTTCGATTATCAACTCGATGCGCAAGGGAAAGAGTAACATGTACTGCGAGTACTCGTCCTTCAGCCACCACGTGGTATTCCACAACAACGAATACAGCTGCTGCAAATGCGACGCCGAGACCAACGCTAAACCGATGACCGACATCGACCACGAGTGGCAAAAGATTCACCTTGAAGGCATGGATCTGGTGTCTGATGGATATCCCTGCGCTGTGTCGAGCGAAATCAGCCCTGGGAACATCTCCAAGAGAACCCTCTCGCCCATGCGATGTGTGATTCACCGATGTCTCCCGATGGATATCCCCTACGAGCCGGGCTGCGAGCCCGACGAGGAGCAGCAGGGCGCACCCAAAGCATCGTCTGCTGCCCCTTTCAAGCGTCCAATTGAAAGATCGTGCCCCGGGCCTGCGGAACTGAAAGGAGACTGTCCCAGGGCTGCCCTCCGTCCAACGGCAGCGTGCTATGCTCCTCTTGGCTCTGATTCTGCATCGTGCGTGAGCGACAGGGACTACGAGGACTATGAACGGGTGCTCCTGAGTCGGAAACTCTTTGGAGTACCCTCTAGACTTGTTCCCACTCCACAGGATAGTCTTACTGATCAGACGCCCGAGTTCAAAAGCCAGTCCCCGTGCTCCCAGACCAACATTCCGGATCCCAAGGATGATGACTTCAGCCAGATCAATGCAGCGGACGCAAACGACCCCTTTGACATGGGTGCAGCCGTTGACAACGACTTTGTGACGGTTGTCCAGAACATGGCTGACTCTAATATCCCCACGTTCCATCTGATGAGCGCTGAAGAGGAGAAAGAGGCCAAGCCGAAAAAGAAGGCTCGCAAGCAGAAGCCCAACCTGGCGCCTATCAACACAAACCTGCCCTACTCCTCGGAGTGGGAAGTCTCTATTCAAAAGACCCCATCTTCCAAGTTGGAGCAGGCCCTGGAAGAGGCGATGAGCGACGATGCCCCTGTCCCGGTTTCCATCGCGTCTCCTAAATTCGTGACGCCTGATTACCGGAAGCCAAGCGCACAACGAGTCGATACCGGTCTCATCAGTCCCCGTCAGACTTCGCCGATCCTCGCCAGCCCACAAAAGAACTACTTCCAGCCTCCTCCCCCTTCTGGGGATTGGTCGGGCGACGAGCAGCACGATGAATCTGGCACAATGCTGGACTGGATCCTTTCAACCTACTATGAGAGCTATGGGAGCAAATTGTCGAGACGTAAGTGGATGGAACGGATGAACAGAGGAGCCTCCTTCTGCACCTTTGCCGAGTCCGATGAGTCCGATGAGAGCGAGGAGAGCGAGGAGAGCGAGGATTACGAAATTATGAACAAGGAGCCTAATGACAACCGGGACGTTTCTGTCTTCAGTGACGAATCGGACGCCATGAACTTTGACCCCTTGGAGGACTCGGGCGCCGAATCTATGCTCTTTATGATTGGGAACCGAGACCACATGGACAGAAATACCACGCCTGATAGAGAAGTTCCCGCTCCCCAAAAGTCGCCTCAACTGTTCGCTCCAAAGCCTCACCGGCCCATGGGAGGTCTTTGTCAGGAATGGGCTCAGAAGGTCGAAGCCCAGCAACAAGTGAGAGACACTTTCCCCACCCAACTTGTGGGCAGTCAGTTCCTCTCCGACAAGTCCATCGCATCTCTTTCTCCCCCAATTGGGACATGTGATCCCGATGACGAGCTGGCTGTATGGGCACAATCTGTCCGCGACACTCGATCATCATGGCAAAACCCACCGATGAACCCCAGCATGGCGGCGTTCGCAAAGACTGAAGCCCCTCGTATGCCGCTAGCAAACGAGAAGGAGCCGGTCTTTGGCACCATGCAATATGCCGCCAAATACGGCCTCCCTCAGCCTACGCTTACTGAACACATGGCCGCTCAGAGTCGCGCAGCCAAATTTGTTCCCCTTCCTGGCCTCGGCCAAAACACCCCCCGTGAGGACGCACAAGGTCCCCAACCGGCCTGCGGACAGAATCTCTTCTGTCCCCCGGGACTGGGCCCCATGCCCATGTTCAACGACCAGAGTTGCGAGCCTTCTGCGCCATTCAGCGTGAACCAGACCCCCTGTCTACGAAGCAGGAGGCTCTGGGCCCGGCAGCCATTCCGCGAGCTTCCGGAGCTGCGCTCTTTCGAGGGTATCAGATTGCCCTTTTCTAGTCGCCTCGATCCGATGGTGAATTCGGTGAGTGAGACTTGGATACTGCATCCCGAGGTGAGGAGTGACCTGAACGAGCAGCGGCGTCGATGTGATGCTTACTGGTGAGTCGTGTGCGCTGTTCTGATCTGAGTTGAGGGGTGATTGATCTGACTGAAGGTTCCGAACTAGAATCCGAGAAACCGAAAAAAAAAATGTTAAAATGTGTGAAAATTGACATGTGCAAGGTTTTCTGATCTGTTTCGGCTTTATTCAGATTGTGAAAACCAATGTTATTGTTTTTATTTTTCTCTTTCGATTATCTTCTTATTTCTTTCGTATTTTGTTTTTTTTGTATTTCTTTTATTTTTTTTCTCTATTTTGATTATCTTTCTTACATATCTCCTATTTTGTTTACTTTTGTACTTCTCTTTGTTTTGTTTCCTTTCTAGTTTTTTGCTATTTCTTTTCCGTTCTTCTCTTTGTTTCTTTGAGTTCTTTCTTGCTTTTCTGTCGTTTCATTTCATGACATTTTAAAACCACATTATCTGACACTTATAATTTGTTTATATAGAGTGTGTTTGAATACAAATAATTGTCACTGTGTGAGATTTATCTGAGTTGCAGACCATCCACGGCATTTAAAAGCATTGCCTCTTTCTCAAATATTTACCCCATGCCGTTATAAGGCGTAGATCAACGAATAAGACCAAAAAGAGGTATTATAAAGTCGATTAAATGGCATGGGATCTAACAAGGGATCAAGTATTTAAATTTCGTATTTTCAGAAGTCTGGATCCTATTGATTTTTCAAGACAGGTATCCCCTTCAGTCTTGTTCGCCAGGGAGTAGAGGGGGTACTACTAAGATATCAAACGACATGATATGAGCAATGAGCAATGCACGTTGATTCTCCGTATGCGTGCTATTTGTGCCTCTGCTAATGTGGATCCAATCCAGGAACCAATTCCCCGTCCCACTTCAACCGAAGTGAACAGTGGGCCGGCCGGCGACAAATCGGAGAAATCATACTGAATCATGAAAGTAGCAAGGGAGTGGCGGTGTCACCTTCTCGCATGTGGCCGGGTCCAGGAGCCATGTGGTCCCATTATAGCTACGCCGTATTTCCGCTGATAGAGCCGAAGACAACAAGAAACGCTGAATCTGTCCGTGTCCGTGAAGGAGAAGGAACGTATACCCCGTGTCGAGGATTGCCGCCTGAAGACTGCAGAATCACATCTCAAACAAGGCAACTAAATCCCGAACACCCCAGACACCTGACAAGCGAACCCAGCAAACCACCCAGCATACCATATCACCTCGCGCAAATAAGCGACTCAGCAATCTACATCGCACGTCTTGGCACGCCAAAGCGCTTGGCACTTGGCCCTGGCGCGCTGACTGTCAATTTCCGCGAACCACGCCAGGAGACGGTTAGGGCGATCCTGAAACATCGTGTCTTAGGGACGAGCGTTCTTCGCTATTAGTGCGAAATTAGCTGCTCCGTAGGGGTTCGCCGGCTCCTAGGGTTTCATTGCCGAGTTCACCGTTGAGGTTGGTCAAACGACGATCTGGTTTAGGCAGTTTTCCGCTGTGGTGGTTTGCGAGGGGTGGGGATTTGGCGGAGAAATCGCCGTGTCAGTCTATCTTGGTCTGGTTCTGATGGGCTACTCTGTAGGTGGATGTGGTATAGGCTACAGCGTAGTGGGTGTGAGGCTATTTTTGGAGTCGAGAGTGTACACTATTTAAAGTGAGCGGATTCTGCTCTTGATATGGTGTTTCTACACCGGTAATCAAGATATCGAGTACTGTCAGACAAGAACCATGAAGGCTGCCGTTCTCTCTAGCCTGTTGGCCTTCTCGGCCCAGACTGCTTATGCCCAGGTCAAGGGCACTCCTCAGGGCTTCGCGGCCGGAACTACCGGTGGTGGCGATGCTACTGCTGCCACTCCATCCAGTATCGAGGAGTATGTACTCCAGATGCACTCACCTGACATGTTCACCTCAATGCTAACCATCTCAGACTTACCCAGTGGATCACCGACGACACTCCCCGTACCATCCTGATCGACCGCACCTGGGACTTCGCCGGCACCGAGGGCACTACCTCCGGGCAGTGCTGCAGCACCAGAACCACTACCTGCGAGGGCGGCACCTCCAAGGGCCAGGCTTGGATCCAGGACAGCTGCGACGACGGCACCTGGGTGTCTTGCACGTACGACAACGCCGCTCGTTCGCCCCTGGACATCGGCTCCAACAAGAGCATTGTCGGCGTTGGCAGCGGCGCTGTGCTCAAGGGCAAGGGACTCCGTGTTCGTGGTGGTAACAAGAATGTGATCATCCAGAACATTCACATCACGGTATGAGTGCCTTCTATACGCCCAGATGAATGTGGCTAATACAGCACAGAACTTGAACCCCCAGTACGTCTGGGGCGGAGACGCCTTGACCCTCGACGGAGCAGACCAGGTCTGGATTGACCACAACAAGGTAAAGCACCTCGGTTACACAGTATAGCGAATGGTCCGCTGACCGAGAATAGTTCTCCCTGACGGGCCGCCAACACATCGTCAGCGGCTGGGGCCAAGCCGGACGGGTCACGATCTCAAACAACGAGTTCGACGGCCGCAGCGAGTGGTCCGCCGGGTGCAACGGCAAGCACTACTGGACGATGCTCCTGATCGGCGAGAACGACCAGTACACGTTCTCCGGAAACTGGGTGCACGACGTCTCCGGCCGCGCTCCCCACATGGGCACCGACAACACCGACTCCCAGATCTTCTTCCACGGCGTGAACAACTACTTCCAGGACATCGGCGGACACTCGTTCGACATCGACACCAACACCCACGTCCTGCTGGAGGGCAACTACTTCGATAACGTCGACACTCCCTTAACGCAAACTTCGCTGGAGAGTGGCGCGCTGATTTACAACGTTCCGACTGTGGACTCGGCCAGTGCCTGTACCTCGGACCTGGGATATATCTGTGAATGGAACCGTCTGAGTAACTCGGGCGAGTGGACGTCGAAGACTGATCAGGCGGTTCTGAGCAAGGCCGCGGAGTTTAAGGATTCTTTGATCGACCATATTGGTGTGGCGGATGTGCCGGCGACTGTTAAGGCCAATGCTGGTGTTGGCAAGATCTGATTTGGAGGTTTTACTGACGATGAGTGTGTAGTTAGCTTTCTTTCTTACTGTCGTTAATAGTACTTTTTTAATGTCGGAGTTGACTGGCTGAGGCACCGACTGACATATCGTGACAAACTCATCGCGACTTCATCCCTTGCTTCAGCACCTATCTGCTTCACAGTTTGAAATTAGCTCTATCAAGAGACAGTGCACTATTTTCAAATATTCTTCGATAGGCCTTCCTTTCCTTCTTGAGCCCATTCTCTCCGTTGATCCCACCTTATTATGCCTTCGGATTAGGACCGAGCAGGGAAAAGTCCGGCTTCCCTACCAAAGCCACATCCAGCACTGCATTCTGGCTCAACAATCTCTCTCTCAGCAGTCCATACGGAACATCCTGGACTGGCATCGGGGCAGTTGTATCTGATAACGCAATATCGCAAGCATTCGCACACGCCTGACCAAGCTCCCAGAACTGATGCTCAATACGAACAGCCCCTATTACTCATCAGTACCAAATCACGGAAAAAGCACTCCGAACAAAGCATACCGTATCCCACATGCGACGAGCTCGGACATGTCGCCGTTAAAGCATTAGTGGCTTCGGTTCTCCGAGGTACCAAGGCACGATATGAGATCCCGAACGGTCTTCATTGATGCTTGTCTTTGAAGATAAAACCCTCGTTATGGGCTAGACCATCCCAGACAACTCTTCGCGCACAATGCGTATTAGTGGACCAGTACGCAATGGCAACGGGGTACGGGTCTTCTTCTTCCCCGTCGTGCTCTGATGCTGTGTGCTGGGTGATCACGTAGTCGGAGACCATTCGCCGTGCATCTCGCACGTAAAGCTGACGCGGGAAGTGGTTGTTGTCAGGGAATTCATCGAGGCAGTAGCCGAACCGGGACCATTCGTTACGGATGTCCAGCTGAGGGTTCATTGTGAGATGATCATGCATGTAAAGAGGGAGAGAGGAAGTTCGAAGGACCTACAGGCACAGCTGGACCATTCGCAAAGAACCATATTAGGCCCTTGGTGAATGTGGCAGTTTTGTCGAGGATGTTCTGTCGTTCTTGAGAACCAACAGCTGGCCAGTCATCATTCATTCCAAGTAGGTCTGTCGCAAGGACTGCTTCAGAGCCGATTAGATCGGTCTTTCGGTTGGGAATTCCTTTCAGCCGAGGTATATATAGTTTTCCACCGGCCTGGAGATAACGACGGTGTAGCTCATAGTGAGATGGATCGTAACCATCCGGCTTGTATATCGGAAGCCTGTTTTCCTCAACATCAGTTAATGGAAGGCGATACGAGTAAGCTGCAAGGTGCTTATCTCCACTTCCAGGCTGACCAAATGGTTCAGGCGAGATTCCAAACAATAGTCCGCTGGATAGATCGCCGGGAGCACGGTAGGGATCGACTGGTACGTCGAACTGCGTGTAATGTGTCTCGGCTCTGACACCAGCTAGGCTTTCACCATAGTGGCTGAAAGATTCACGGCTAATAACTGTAGAGACACCAGCTGCGGCAAGAATGTTCGTTAGAGACTGCATTGCACGCATTCTGACCGAACAGTAAAATGTTGACCTGCACCGTTTAATAAAGCCGTAAGCACCTAGTATTTAACCTGCAGCCAAGCGTCAAGCCTTAATTGTTTGCCCGAGCAATCCACGATGTGAATTTTGAGCGACAATTCAACCCCGACGTCGGGAGAATCGATCTTCCTGACTCGCTAGTGTCACGCAAGCTCCGCCCTCAAATTGTCGATTCGAATGAATCCCCACATCTTGGCTCTCACGCTTGCCAGACCTGAGGATAGTCCGGGGTACGGGGGAGAGACGGCCGACATCTCCACCGGAAGGATCTCAAGACGAGCCAGACAGGGTTCACCCAAGGCGGCAAAGCGAATGGGTCCTCTGGGAATTCTACTGTGAGTAGAGTCTAGCAGGACTCGACCGAGTCCGATGTCGCATCAACTCCGAGGATAAACAAATGCTGGAAGCGACTGGGAGGATCCAAAGGATGGGGCAAAGATATTTGCCTCTCCACCCCCGCATTGCGGAGATTCCAGTTGCACCACATATTTATACGTGGGTCTTAGGAAGGTGATATTGGTCTTTTTCACAGGTCTTGATTTCTGTGCGGTATTTCCAGAATGGCCGGAGGGGGCAAATTGTATGCCAGCAGGCAGGCGTGGTCGGAATGTACGACGCAGCTCATTCTCATCTGTCTGCTCTATTCGATGGGAAGCATCTTTTTTGGTAGGTCAATGAAAGACAAATTGTGGCGTTTCTAGTCTAACAGAGTGATGCAGGATAGTGAGTGTGCCTAGCAAGATACCTAAGCGATTCTAACTCATAATCGTGAACAGTGATGGAGCGTCCTTCGGCGGAGTACAGACTTTTAATCCCTTCGTGCAAAGATTCGGTGAATACGATTCCGAGAAAGAAACATGGGCTATCCCAACGAAGATTGTGTCGTTGATCAACAGGTGTGTCTATGAAAGCTAAATTGATAAACACATCTAATATACCTCAGTCTTGCGCTGATCGGAAAATTCATCGGTGCTATTATCGTTGGCCCTATAATTGAGAAGCTTGGACATCGCATCGCCATGGTGATTACCTGCGTAACTCAAATCGTCGGGGCAGTCAGTAAGTGGTAATTTTACTATCAGTTACTATTTTGATGCACTAATCTTTTGCAGTACAAGTTACCAGTCATTCGTCAGCGCAGTTCATCGTCGGTCCATCATCATTTATACAGCTGTTGGTCTGGTTGAAAACGTAAGACCATCCGATTTGTTATTAATACCCACTAACGCTCTCAGGTTGTTCCCACGTACGAGTCTGAAATCTGCCCTGCTCCCCTGCGCGGTTTCTGTGTTGGTTCAATTCAGCTCTTCCTCACATTTGGATCACTGATTGCTGGAATCGTGAATCAATATCTGTCAAAGTCCAACACAGATATGGGCTGGATGCTAGCGACGGGAATTCAAGCTGTCCCTGCTCTGATCATCCTATCTGGCCTGTACTTTACTCCAAGTAAGACCTCCATCCCGAACAAAAGCGCCTGAAGCTAACAAAAACACAGACTCTCCCCGCTGGCTCATCTCCAAGAACCGTCGGGAAGAAGCCCTAGCAGCCTTACGCCGGCTGAGACCGAAGAAGGCAGTCGAAGATGGCCTCTGCGAGCTTGAAGTATGGGCACTTGAGAACTCCGATAATCGCAGCGAAAAAGCGCCCTGGGTTGAGCTCTTCAGTGCCTCTAACTGGCGACGCACATCAATTGCACTATTTCTCATGGCCCTTCAGCAACTTCCTGGCGTGACTTTCAGCAGCTCGTACGGACCAACATTCTACAAGAAAGTCGGACTAGGAGATATGGCGTTTACATATGCAGTATGCTCAATCTCACCCACCAAGCCATGAGCTATCAATCCTAATAGCCCACTAGGCAGTCAACAACGGCGTCTCGGTTGTAACCGCTCTCATCGGCATGACGCTCTTCGACATTTTCGGCAGACGCGAACTCACATTCCACGGATGCTGGGTCCAGGCTCTTTTCCTCTGTCTGATTGGGGGATTAGGTTCAAAAACCAACCGCTCAACAGGGGATACCAACGGAATGGTAGCATCATTCATTCTCTACGCGGCTGTGCTCCATGCGACATTGGGCCCGGCTGCATATATCACAGCTCCTGAGATCGGAACTGCCATTTTACGAGAGAAAACTATGGCTATTTCGGTATGGCCCTTCTGATGAACTTTTTTTTCTAGAGGAATGAAGACTGATACACTCCTACAGACAGCATTCAACGTCGTTGTCGGTTTCGTGGTGGTATACACAACCCCGTATCTCTTATCTACCCCGGGTGCCAATCTAGGTGCTAAACTAGGCTATGTCTGGGGTGGGTTTGCAGGTGCTGGAGCAATCTGCGTTTGGTTCTTTATGCCCGAGCTGAAAGGGAGAAACCTTGAAGAAATTGACCAACTGTTCAGGGCTAAGCTGCCTGCTTGGAGGTTCAAGGGGTACCAGTGTGAAGGGTTGGATCATGAGATGGCGATGTATCAGACTGCGGGATTGAAAGAGAAGGAATTGAAGGAGGAATTGCGATGAGTTGGTATAAGTGTCCTATAATCCAAACTCACATTGCTTTAGATATTCTCACACCTTAATACCATGTGCACATACTGCTCAAATTGTTTTTATTTTGGCTTAGTCTCAAACTACACTATCCGGTCCCCTGAAACAAAAACAAGATAATCAAAATAAACGAAAAGGTGAAAATTAAAAAAGTAACTAGGTAGATACCGTAGTCCTAAGCGGCTAAACCCTCACCAGGCCACTCCCCTTGGCAAATACGCGCCTGTATATTAAGGCAAAGAAGGCCCAGGCTACCGACTATCTAGTATCTATATACCCATATTCCTATAAGATCCTATATCCAGGCGCCATGAAAGTTATTAACGGATGATTTAGGCAGTATTGCATACCATGCGCAAAATACACCATGTGAAGGTATTTGTTCTAGGGGTCCCGTTTCAATCTGTCTCTTTACAACCATTATAAGATAGTGGAATGAGTGTGGGGATACGAATAATATTGCACAGGACCAAATATCCCTGTGTGTACATTTGACGTAAGCCAAAGAGTTTGACATGTAAAAGAATGCTATACGTATGTGACTTTATGTTGCTAAAAATACTACACTGTAACTAAATTGTAGTGAAGATTCATTCTCATAGTTCTAAATCAGCCCCATGACAAGATAAAGATGCCTCGAAGCTATCTTTCCCCAAATAGATACCACTATTACAGAGGAAACGCAAAAGAAATGAGACTCCAGGCTTATTACAAAAGTGTGTTATTCTCAAGGCATGGAATAACTCGGCAACACCGGTTACAGGTAATAAGTCCCATTTCGGTGGTTCTTACTGAGAATCCACCGAAGCTTGGACAGTTAGAGCAAAGGGACCGCCTTGACTTGTTATACTGTTTCACAGCTTTCTCGAGACACTGAATCCACTCTTCCCTTGTCCCAATAATCCGCTGTTGGTCAATCATTTTGATCAGAGCCGCTGATCCAATAGCTTCGTTGTCCGCAAGAAGTTGTTTCAACTTCAAGTTATTGAATTTTATAAAGTGAGAGAAATGTTTTGTGATAGTGTCGGTCACCAATTTGCTTAGCCTCTCTTTATGTAACGGGGTCACTCCCATAATATCCTGGGCGGTCTTGAAGAACGTGTTGGAACACCAACCAGTCTCGGTCCAGCTGACTAACTTTTCAGCTACAAGGGACTTCAAATCTTCGATACCAAACTTATCTGCTGCTCGGTAGACGATTAGGTGGATGTATACGACTGCATTGTGTTCATTTTCTGTATTGGCGTCATCTTGAGGGCGGTCCGAGGTTCCTTCTGTAGATTGATCTGAAGTAGAATGGTTATCATCATCCGTGTACTCGTCTTCGGGTCCCTCTTCATCATAATCGTGCGTATACATGAATGTAATCACACGTTTGACTGTGTTCACGTCGTCTTCAGGTAGGTCAACAGTCTGTTCATGGGATTCCTTTAGTAAGTCAGTAATAATCTCGAGGCAAGTCTCTCGTTTCACCTGCCTTGAAATCTGATGCTAGTGCCCCTCGGAAAAAGGATGATTGGGGACAGATTATGGCACGGTGGACATTAAAGGTGGTTCCCTGGCAGGTTACTTTGCAGTCTGAAAACTCTCCACTTGAGAGAAGGTCCTGCATGGATTTCTTCCAGATCGCCGGAGGAGACATTTTGGGGATCCCACCCGGTAAAGTCCAGGAGAGAGTAGTTGTTTCGGAAGAAAAGAAAATATCAATCCATCTTTCAGATAAATAGTGCCAATATCGAGCGTCTCGCGTTATGATTGCTCATTGAACTATGGAGTTAAGGTTCTAGGAGGATCTGATATAATTGGTTCGACCAGGGCAGCAGTAGGAGGAGGAGTAGTAGTAGTATTGATCAACGTCCAGTCGGAGGCTGCCTGATGAGCCCCCCGGAGAGCTTTCGAGGGATTCAGGGATGTGTCGAGCTATGGAGATTTTGTTGGAGTGGCTCAACCGATCGATCAGGAAGTGGATCCTTGATTGCATGAAGCATGCCGGCACTGCAGACTATCGAGGCACTGTGAGTCATACGCAACACTAAGAAACAGCTACATGCGGAAGGTGGTTTAGTAGGTAAGCCCTATCGAGGGCAGATCGAGATATAGAACCCACCCCGTAGCTGCCAGGAGCTAAGCGAGCCCCTGGACAGACATGGACCGGGGATACAAAACAGCCTCTTTCATCCCATCCGAGGGGGAGGGAAGGCTGATACTACCAGAGATAATTGCGGTTATACTTCATTAAGATTCTGAAGCATAATACCACTTTTACCGTCAAACCAATCATACTGCTTAAATTGCTTTTGCTTTGGATAGTCTTAAAACTACCCTGTCTGGTCCCCGGAAAAACAAACAAAATGGTGAAAAAGAAACAAAAAGCAAGCAGACATCGCACTTCCAAACCAACTGGGGGGAGGTAGCACTACCACAAGGTAGACTTAGTACGCGGAATCAAACTCTCGCTACGCCACTCCCCTTATCATATTTCAGTCCTCCCTACTACCACGCGTTCGTATATCGAGGCAAACACAGCCCAGGCTACTCATTATCCAGAATACAATATCACCATCATAGTATTCTCATGAGATCCTATATCTAGGCATCATCGAACTCGTCAAACAGCTCATGCTGCTCCTCATCATCCGACACTGCAACTAAAGGACTTATGTCACCATCCCCCGTGGCGTTCCCGGTCAATCGGAGACATTAAGGCCCGCTCAGGACCCGGGTAGCTTCTCCGCCAAAGTAACCATACAAATTGGTATTCCGCCACAGAACCCAATGAATCATCTCAATTCCGGCTTTGAGGTAACCTTTATGCAATCCGAAAAAAAAACCAACCCTTTCATCCCAAATGATTTCGCCATTCTCTCAATCGACGTCCTATGCGATTTCCCTCCTTAATCTGCGGAATATTTTCGGTCCCATTTGAGTCATGCTTAGGGGACAAACCGGGCCCATTCGCTTTCCGGTCAACCCCATTTTCTTGAGTTTTTGTAATCAGGGTATTTTCTAATTCTTTATCACTCGCCGATTCTTCTTGTTCACGAATCCCTTGTCCAAGTTCTTGTTCCTCAGCCTCTCGCTTCCGGCGCTCTCGCGCGCGTCGAGCAATTCCTTCAATGCCCCCTTTCTCGCCAATCATGACTGTCCCGGCGGGTCCGGGTGCGAGGGCTGAAATATCCCAGCCCATGTTGTTGGTTTTCTTTTTATCGATGCGAAGGCAAGTATGTGAGAATGAAGTGTGGTAGGTGTAGGTGGATAAACAGTGGAGAGACAGTAGGTTGTTGATAATGTGGATTCTCGGCTGCGATAGCACAGCAGGGGTTATTCTTGAACGAACAAACTTACCCGCGGGCCACCACCCTTAAATAACCACATCCAACCACATGAGGCAGGGCATGTTCTGGAAATTCGGCCGGTGGATCGACAAAGAGTGGATCGCCCCGGATTCCGCATCGGGCTAATAGTAGGGCCTATGATGTCATAGCTCCAGTTTCTTCATCCAGGATCTTGGAGTTTGAGGGCATGGCTATGCTTGCCGATCATTTATGAATAGTGCTCATATTGCCTGAGACGATTTGTGCTATTTCTTAGGGGACTGGGTGTGTTTTTGGTGGATGCGACCTGTCGTAGCAGTCCCTATGTTAGGACAAAGAAAAAAGGCATAAACAAAGAACCACATAATAGAATGCGGACTTTCCAGCCAAGAAGACAACACTGTCGAGGCCCTGGTCCGGATGAGCCAAAGAAGGGTCGGGCTCATCCGAGGGAGAGAACAAACCCAGGCAGCGCTCGTCCCTGCGTATTCCATATGCTTAAAGAATCCATGGGCAATGCGTATTGAATCTCACAGGTGATTGAGGGAATTCCCATGAAGGTTCTGCCTACAGTCATGAAAGCTGGCATTGGTCTAAGGTATAAATACCTCCTGGCTTGCCGCTAATTGTAGGTGGCATCATCAATTATTCCACTCCATTACTGACCAGCCTAAGCCCAAACAACCAACACATATACCGTGACAGCAGTCTCATCCAGTCAATATGTCTGATAACAATCGTTATCGCTCTAGGTGCATCCTTTGTGGATCTACGGACACCCCCCTTCCCGAAGAATGCAGCATGTGTCGCGCTGCATCTTTCTGCAGTGCTGAATGCAAAGGGCGTGCCGTTTTCACGAAAAAGCACATAGGATGTGAAGCCGTGGGCATAGCAAGATATCGGTATGAAGAAAAGTTGGGAAAATATCGCGATCACCCCGTGTATCGATATCTCACCGACCCGGACAACATGGAATATCATCGACTTCCGGAGGGACCGCAGTACCCTGCTGCGCAAGCTTTCCGAGGGGTTCGTTGGCGCTTAGCGGCTTCTCTTAGATTCATCCGTACCAGGCAGGCCACAAAAGAAATGCTGCAGCTTATACGGGCGGAAATTTTATTGGGCGATTTTGCATACCGCGATCGCATTCTGGAGATTCTAGGGCCATCGCTGCTAATGGGGGACGACAATACATGCTATCAGATCATCACGCGAATGTGCAAACACGAGGTAAAGGGAGTGGATTTATTCTCGACAATTCAGTCCTTGAACCTAAACCTCATGGAAGGTTCAAATGGCATGGAGGCCTTGACCGACATGGATATTTTGAGTGACATGGAGCTGTTCAGTTGCTATGACAATCTCCGTGATGTTCGTCATAAAAGAACTTTCAAAATAGCAATAGCACTCATTAAGTTCAGGCTTCTCCAGAGACTGAATTGCTTACCGGTAATGACGGAGACCATGGGACCAAAGGTTCCACAAGAGATATTGGATGTGATCTATGATTGTGTGGTAAAAACTGATTTTAGTTCAGATCTACTGCAAAGGATTAAATCACGGGAGGACCACGAAAATGCCGTTGCAACTCTGACTAATGATATAGATACTTTGTTCCAATGGGTGGGATTGAAGAATTGGTCTCTCTTCCTTGACTCGGGAAACTCAGAAAAATGGGTCGATAAGAAATTGCATAAGGCCTTTTTCGAGACTCCTGGCGCTGAGAAGCATTTCCGCGAGTTACTGGATAGGCACAGAGCTGGAGGCGAGTGGTGGCAGGTCTGATGAACATGCAGTAGACCTCCAAGGCTCATGCAACTTGCTCTCTTTCTTGTGGCGTTTAGTGCTTTGATTTGGTCTTTTGTCTTGAATTGTTGTTATACTACGCCTTAGGCCACGTTAATGTGATTTGATAGTCGATTTCTACACTCTTCCCTTTTTAAGTATATATTTACTAAAAGGTATCGCTAGATTTTAAGTGTTACTAGATACCTATAGATAGACTGTCACGTACGATGATCAATATCGTGGTTCTAAGATCAGGGAAGGAGTTCTCTGACTTCCCTGGTGTGCTATCCGCAGGGTGTTGAGTATCCTATGAAAATGAAAGCTTGCATGTTCCAGTATAGCTATTTATGTTGTGGTATACAATTGTTTCCTCTAGCTATGATGAGAAACTATCAATTACAAATCCCAGAGAAGCTTCCTAAACCTACCGGACCAAAAGCCTCATTATACTTCATCCTTTCGCAATTGAACTCTTTACCTCAAAGGCTCAAGTGAATGTATCACACTACATGTTAGATAGAGTGTCTCATAATTTAAGATTCGTACATGGCATTTACATAGTTTACTATCACTAACAATCAAAACAATCTATAACATCAGAGGTATCATTGATAAATTATGACTCAACTTGACAGTCGAAAGATCAACGAGGAAATTTCAAATCAAAATATTAGAACAATATTATATGTATAATTACGTTCATCCATAGGGGCTCGAAATATGCAGGGCTTGGTGGGAAACAGTGGTGAACATATGAATCATTGCAAGGACTGGCCACGAACCAGCCGGCGTTTTTGGTCTAGTTAGTATGACGTGACTTCTAACAAACAGGAAGCGTAACAGACTTAACCCGCTTGTGAAGAAAGACTCAACTATCAAATCAATCACAGTTTGCTTGTTTCTGTGTCTCTTTTGGTGTGTCTCATCAATATTCCTTTGTCTACCCGGCTAATGAATAGCCTTTCCGAACAGAATGGTATCGTAATATTGCATTTCCCGTTATCCTACAATGATGGAACTGGAGACCACCAAAACTACCAATGTAACAAAGAAAGGCCTCCAATTGTATAAATACGAATTTGCCCTCGGGGATTTCTGAACTACCTAGCCATCCAAACCACGTTAATTCGAGAAGGGCCAGTCAACCTACCTCGCTGAAACAGTGGCAGCTCTACCTTATCATTTCATTTTTAATTTGCTATTCAATATACAGGGCTATCTACAGTTTGTCGGAAAGTATGAACTTCGACCGTATTCATCCATATGGATGTCCTGTGTGTTCCGCAAGGACGGGGCTTTCCGCTTGTAATAAATGCAAGGCAGTGTACTATTGCAGTGAGAAACACAGAAAAAGGCACTTGGAGCTCCATCAACATGGGTGCAAGATGATACAAGTGTGTGATGTGTCCTGTAGACTCGCATCATACCAGTTGCCCGATGACGGAACGCAGACAATGCATGTCACCGATAATGCAGATATCGATGATGTAACATACCGTGCCGTCCGAAGATCCAGTGCCTTGACTGCGAAGACGGATCTAGCCCATTACCTCACGTATCTGATGAGCGGCGAGGCCCAGGAAGAAAGTATAAAGATCCTGCGGACCTGTAGTCTTTACGATCCGGGATATCCGGGGAAATGCCATTCTTTCGAAATGGTAGCAAACTACATGGTGCTCAGAGACTGGGACGATGAATGTCACCACTTTCTCCGGCAAGTCAGTATCGCCTTTTGTCGGATTGAATCTGGCAACAATGCGTATCATGGCCCCGGATGGGATGTAGGCCGAGATCCGCTCAGTGACAACGAGTTCTTTCATCATCCTACGATCAAGATTCGCGTATTTATCTGCCTTTGGCTGCTCCGATACAAATTGCTTGTCGGGTTCGAGCAACTGCAAGCGGTCCGAGAACAGGTAGGACAAATATTCCCCACAGAACTCGTGGATATGATACAAGAACGTGCAGCAGTCAACGGAATTCTGGCAAAAGGCCCAAGCTTGGCCCGAGGAGATCATTGTGCAAGGATTGAAGATCTCCGCAAAGAACTTCAAGAGTTGTGGTCTACAGTCCATCGTCGTAATCCTTTGATATGGGCAGTTCTGCTTGGCAAGAAGTTCAAAGAAAAGCACACCTGCAAGCCCAGAAAGTCAAATAAAGCGTCATGCCGAAAGTGCCAGGTCCAAGACATTAATCTAAAGGACATAATTGCTTCATGGGAAAGTGTCCCTGGAGCGTTGGACTGCATCAGACGGCTGTGCAACACTTCAGGGAACCGCTCGTTCACCCCGATTTATGAGTCGGCCTGATGAAGGGCGTCCAGCAAACAGTCCAAGGAAATCAGATTTCTTTCATAGCATAGAAATGGAAAGCATACATGTTGAATGTTAGATACGACAGTCCAAGATGGTCCAGGCTGGATAACAGTTAGGGCTAACTAGTAGTAGCATACATCCAATCATCAACAGACACGCCTGCACGAATAAAAGTATAACAAGTGGTTTATACATTGTAGCCAACGAAATCCAGTAAGAAATATTTTCTAGTCCATGTGGTTATTTTCAAGACAAATGACAAGAAATCACCAACGATATCTATAGGATCACGTGACCTATGAGTCACGGCAGAGATCGACGGGAAGATCGAATCTCCGAGCCGATGGCGGGACGAATTCTCGCCGACGTCGGGCGGGGCAGAAACTTGAGAGCATCCAAGCGTTAATCATTAGAGTCATTATCGGACGAGCGAGAGTGCCGGCCTTGCCATTGGGACATCATGACGACCAACGCGATTCCGACCGAGGCGCAGAAGTACCTCTCCACCCGGGGAGGCGACTATGACGTGCGCTTCCTATACTCCGGGCTGCTGATAAGGTGCTAACTTGCGAAAAGTTGTCTTTCGAGACCGTGGTCCTCAAGGGACTGGCTGCGGATGGTGGACTTTTTCTGCCTCATGAGGTTCCCAGCGCCGATGACTGGGTATGTATACGCGTTTATATTTGAGAGCCTGGTTATAGGGCTCCGCGGGGGTGTGAAAGCTAACAGACAATTACAGCAAAGTTGGAAGGATCTCAGCTACGCCGACCTCGCCCTAAAGATCTTCAGCCTCTATATCTCTCCCTCCGAAATCCCCACCGAAGACCTGAAAGGCATCATCGACCGCAGCTACTCGACATTCCGTGCCGACGAAATCACCCCATTGGTTCATCTGCAGGACGATAACCTCTTCCTTCTTGAACTTTTCCACGGACCCAGCTACTCTTTCAAGGACTGTACGAATACTTGTGGTTTTCACGGCTTTTTGAGCCTACTTGACTGACGGTTTCAGGCGCCTTGCAATTCTTGGGAAATCTGTTCGAATATCTGCTTGTACGGAAGAACCGCGGGAAACAAACAAAAGGTGGGGCGCGCAAAGATAAATAGTCATGTCATCATGGCTACTCGGATTTGGTGTGGATTGACTGACACGAGAGCAGACAAGCATCACTTGACGGTTGTTGGTGCTACGAGTGGTGATGTAAGTCTCCGGTCTATACTTGATCTATTGCGGATATTGACGAGCTAGACCGGTTCTGCGGCTATCTACGGTCTCCGAGGCAAGAAGGATGTGACGGTCACCATCCTGCACCCTAAGGGCCGCATCAGCCCCATCCAAGAAGTGCAGATGACTACCTGCACGGAAGCGAATGTCCACAACTTGGCTGTTACGGGCACATTCGATGACTGCCAGGTACGTGCTTCTATCGCTGGCCTAGAATATAGAATTAAATTAACAAATCCATAGGACATCGTCAAAGCGCTCTTCGGGGACGCCGACGCAAACGAGCACCTCAAGCTTGGCGCCGTCAACTCCATCAACTTCTCGAGAATCCTCGCCCAGATTGTCTTCTACTACTACTCGTATTTCCAGCTCGCGAAGAAGTCGTCCTCGTTCAACGTTGGCGATAAGGTCCGGTTCGTCACTCCCACTGGAAACTTCGGAAACATTCTCGCCGGTTACTTTGCACACAAGATGGGGCTTCCCGTGGATAAGCTGGTTGGTAAGTGATGTTCAACTCGCGACTTGATTGATTGGTAACTTGACTAACATTTTATTTCTCCCTGAATATAGTGGCCACCAACGAGTGAGTTATTTTAGGATATACTCCAATAGCTAGGAATTTGCTAATCAGGTTCAGGAACGATATCTTGCATCGTTTCTGGACGACTGGCCGCTACGAGAAGCACCCTGCTGAGGACAAACAGTCTGGCAAGCCCGACGCTTGCAAGGAGACTCTTAGCCCGGCCATGGACATCCTGGTGTCCAGCAACTTCGAGAGACTATTGTGGTTCCTGTCCAAGGGTATGATTGATCATCCCCATCCTCCAATCACACGCTAACAATCGACAGAGCACGCCCTGGCCAATGGCGCCGACAGCCAATCTAGCAAGAAGCAGGCCAGCGAGGACATCGTGTCCTGGTACCAGTCGCTGAAGTCCTCCGGCGGCTTCGGACCCATCCACCAGGACATGTTGACCAACGGCCGACAGATCTTCGAGAGCGACCGTGTCAGCAACGCCGAGACCTCGGCGACCATCAAGTCCTGCTACCAAGAGACCAAGTATGTCCTTGATCCCCACACCGCCGTGGGAATCACCGCCTCCCACCGATCGCTGTCTCGGACGGGCGCCCCCACGCATCACATCTCGCTGTCCACGGCCCACCCCGCCAAATTCTCCGACGCCGTCGCTACGGCCTTGAAGGACGAGGCTGGCTTCGACTTCGACGCCCAGGTGCTTCCGGATGAGCTGAAGGCTCTCCTGCAGAAGGAGACCCGCGTGACGCAGGTGGAGAACTCGTGGGAGGCCGTGAGGGAGATCATTAAAGCCCAGGTCCAGAAGGAGCTGAAGGCCGAGGAGAATGCTTAGGACTTTAGAACTAAAGAGGGGAGTGATTGGTGAATGTATATCAACGAGCCCTAAAATTGCAGTATATCTAGATGATAGAAATGTTTATGTCTTCTCAATTATGACCATTAATTATGCCGTGATCTACTGCCGTCACGAGCATCTACAGCACTGCTAAAATTCCAACAATCCTTTTTTTTTTTTAATATAGACTATCTGACCAGTTTCTATCAGAAGAAAATAAACCGAAAGTACAGATAGCAGATAATCCATCACTCGAAGCCACAAACAACAACAGGTACCCTTTACTGGTAGGGTTTTAATCTCAATCACGCGAACAAAGGAAATAGCGATAGGGTAATTAATGAGTGACGGAAATCTGCTTAACGCGAGCAGACAAGCATGCGAAAGAAAACAAGGGGAAGCAATACCACCATCCCCATCAGAAGGGGATAGAAAGAACGCAAAGCAAACTGCAAAATGCAAAATGTAGAAGGGGAAAAGCAAACCGAACTCACGAACCAACCAACGACAAAAACCAACACCTAACCCAACATCACAACGCGACCCAACTTCCAAGGGCTCACATCGCAACTAAACCCCCGGACTCAAACACTGCCTACTCCCCAAACTCGGGCACGGACTCGGACTCACCGCACCAGCCGCGCCAAAAAAGCCCGACGCATTGGGCGTATTTAACGGCGATGGCGAATGCGCGTTCGCCATGACCCTCGTTTTCAAGATCGCGCGAATATCCGACAGACTGCGGTCCTTCCACTCGGGGTACCCTGCGGTGCTGTGGGGGAAGAAAACGAGGTTCTCGTCGCGGGAGCCGAAGTCGTCGACGTTGGGGGCGGGCATGGCGGTGATGATGTCGAGTTCTTGCGCGATGCGCCGGCAGTACGTGTCCAGGGGGAGGTCGTTCACGTCGTCGCCGAAGGGGTTCTCGATCTCGCGGCCGATCGCGGAGAGGCCGAGGATGATGTATGCGGCGGCTAGGAGGGGTTTCCAGGGTTAGGGGTTGTGGATGGAGGTTGAGGGGATGGGAAATGGGGGGAAACATACCGATTGAGCCGGGGATTGTCACCCAGGAGAGGGTGTCGTAGAGTTGGAACGGGAGGACTAATACGTAGATCCAGGTGATTTGGGCGATGGAGATCGTGTATGCGGTGGGTAGGGGCGTGTCGAGGACGCGTTCGGTACCGGTGACGACTTCATTGAGGCTGGCGAGGCTGTTGACTATTCCTTGTTAATACTTCTTATGGACAAGAAAGGTAAAAGGGAGGGGCTGAACATACTCGCTTGCGTCTGATAGACATTGAAACTGAGCGCGTCGGAGGCAATCCACTGATTGACATACACCGACAGATGGTTCAGAATCTCCAGCGGAAGATGACCAAGGGGCTTCTTAGATCGCTTGACATGTTTCCGAGGATCCGACTCCGCGATTGATAATGAAAGGTACTCGCCGGCAGATTTCCAAAACGATTTTCGCGGGGGTACGAGACGCTGGCGATCGTACGCTTCTTTGGCGAACGTGTCGAGGTGGCCTACTAGTCCTGCGAGGTCGTCGTAGCCGATGTCGGGTTCGAAGCGGAGTTTGTGCTTGAGGGCGACGGCGAATGCAAGGATCAGGTTCATCGCAGATCTATATTTATCGTAAGTAGATGGTTCATGTATGACAGAAAGAAACGTACAATTTGTCAAGGACATCCTCTTTGCCTTCTTCGCCTTCTCGCTCGGTCGTGCAGATCCAGATAGTGCGGGCGAGGTTTCGCGACGCTTGATGCAGAAGGGACCAGTACTTTCGTCCATCGGCCCATCTATTGAGGTTTAGCTTTTGGTCTTCGATGAATTCTAGGGTCATAAGAGAAAGGGCATACCTCTCGTAAGCGGTTGAGCTTTGAAAAGATAGCGACAGTCCGACGACGAGACCAGTAACGGTGAGCAGGATGTTATCAATCCCAACTGTCTTGGTTTAGTATTGTCATAAGACGATGGAGGGTAAATACTCACGATCGTAAACATATTTGCACACCAAGGTAACGACGGTTGACCAGATGGCAATGAACGAAAGAGGGATGATCAGCTTTGGCAACACACTACCATGCAGTCGGAAGAAGACTGGCCATTTAGTGTGCTTGTCCAGATCGCGAGGACCATGCTAGGCATTTTTGAATTAGAGAGGCTCATTCGACCGAGACGCGAGAAAAAATGACATACAAAATAGCGAACGAGGTCGCTAGAACCCTGTCGCTTCAAGGTGGAATGACCATCTTTGGGACTAAAGCAGCCGTCGAGGAAAGTTGGACGTGGGGTTAGACGGCGACCAGGAGACAGAAATTCAGGCTCAGGACCGGCTTCTAAGTCATAATGGACTTGAGGGATAGGCTTGGAGTCGAAGGTTGGCAATATTGGCGGTGATTCGGTCCTTGACGATGTTGTCATACAAGCAGCAGGCGCTGCAGGTGGAATCTCAGTGGGAGATAAAAGCACCATTCAGGCGCAGGTCAAGAAGGCGCACTCTGGCGGGGAGGGGCAAAATTATTAGTAAGTATTGAAACGAGCGTGATGCAAGGTTTGCTTGCTAATTGCGATATAACGAGTGACTGGGGCTGAAACGAATGACAATCAATTAGTTGGAAATAAGGGGTAATGAACGACTGGCTGATAGAGTAGAGATGCAGGAGAAAGATGGCAAGAAGACGGGATGTCTGGATTATATGACCCAGGCAGTCATCGCATTGGCCAACAGCAACACTAGGATCACACTCTGCTGCAGAAGACTTTACTCTTTTGGGCCCGGTAGCGAGTGTCAATGGTAGTAACTACTCCTTATGTGGATAAAGCGGACTGTATCCGGTCAATGAAAGCTAGAACATGCAGCATCGAGGGGTAACCAGTGATCCAGGCCAATGGAATATCCCTGCGCGGGACCTGATGAGGGCCCTCGCCTGTTGGGCGGTCGATCTAGGCCTTTTAGCTGGAATGCTCGACTTCAACGCTGATCTGCACCGTCATTCTACAGATTGCGCACGCTAGCCGGCAGAGATACAAGAATCTTCTCGAATGACAGTGGAGTAATACCCTGCATCGTCAAGCACTTGCTATCAGGCTCTGATTCTCTTGTTTTGATGTCTGGTCATTGTAGATAGACGGATAGTCACTCCTGGCAGATTACTGGAAAATTCCAGAGATCAATTGCAATCAATCCCCATGAGTAAAATGTCGCTCTGTCAAACGATGATCCGCCCAAAGGCTTGCGACACGGACGGTGATGACCCTTAATTTATTAAGAATGCCGATCCTGAGGGTCTGTTTGGCTGCGGCATTGAGGAAGTGGATCCCGGACGGAATGCCTGTCCATCACTGTGGGGGCTGTCACCATGTATGACCGCCGTTGATTCGAGTGTCCCCTAGCAGTTTTCTCAAATCATCTTCATAGAGCATGCACTACTGACTGGCTGCTTTCTTGCAGCATTATGCCTTGTAGGGCGAATTCCGTTTATGTAGAGTATGATTCGAGGAAATCATTTCTCGTGGCACTTTGGACTGAAGGGCTGAATGGATGGAGCCTAGTAAGTAGCAACTATCCTTGACATTATTTATTTTGTGGAAAGCTTCCGTGGATGAGACATACCGCCCAACTGGCGCATAGGCTCTTTTACTCGGATAGACGGTTGCCTTGCTGTCTTGTGTCTGGCCATCTTTCCTTATAGCCTTCTCATCAATTCGTAATACTCTGATTATCATCGCAATATGTTTCGATACACTATTGACCATTATTGAAGACAGGTTTTCTTTGATGGTGAGACTGATGGAGATCGGTTGGTGATGAGAAGGAAGTGGAGGAAAGATGAATCCTTCCGCAGAATGAACCACGACAACGGCCATCACGTGGGCCGGGTTCTGGCTTATAGACCTTTTCTTCTTTTTATCACTAGACAGGGGATGCATGTATAACATTAGCTTTAATGCAGCTAGTGAGAAAACCTGTCTATTTCCCCCTCCAATCAGCTGGAACCATCAGATCGATAGCCATCTGCGAGCCTATTGAACCTTCCCTCTCGAATCCACCGGCCAAATCTCCTCCACAACGCCCTTGCGATGAGCATAATAGAAATCATGCAAATTCACCGTCGGATCAATATGACTCGGGACCATCTCCACACGATCCCCAACCTCAAGATCCGGCGTCCCAGCCTCCCAGATCAGCGAGCCATGCTCATCACCCAAAACCCCATAATCATACCGACGATCCTTGCACTCCGCCAATCCACTATCCGTTGTCAACGACTTCAATCCGCTATCGATAGTAACCGCCCGATCCCCCTGCTTGCTCACAACCGTCGACAGAATGGTCAAACTATTCGTGTAAAAGCTCCCCACGGCGTTGCGGTAGTCCGTATCCATGAAGATGAACGATCCCGGCTGTAGCTCCGTCACGCCCGGCACGGTGGCGCAGAACTCCGCCGTCCCCGTGCCACCGGTCGTCACGACCTCGATGTTATGGCCTGCATTGCGCAGCGAGTCCGCCGTGCCGGTCAGAACAGCCATGGACTCCAGACACTGCGTTTTGCGATCCTCCTTGTCGTGCAGATGCTGCAGATGGCCCTCGTAGCCCTGCACGCCGATCAGCTTCAAATGCTCCAATCCCGCGACATGGCTCGCCAGCGCCACAGCCGGATCTCCAGGCTTCACGCCCGTCCGGTGCAGTCCCACGTCCAGATCGATCAGGACGTTGATGGGATCTTTGATGCCTGAGGCAGACAGGGCGTTGTTGATAGCGGTCGCGCCGACGTGGCTGTCCACGACGATGCGAATCGATCGGTGCTTGCGGAACAGCTCGACCAGCCGCTTGACCTTTGCCGGGCCAACGATCTCGCAGGTGATTAGGAGGTCGTGGAACCCTGCTGCGGCGATGGCTTCGGCTTCGCTCACTTTAGCGACGCAGCCTCCTTTGGCGCCTGCTTGGACCATCTTCTTGGCCACGATGGCGCTCTTGGTTGTTTTCAGATGCGGGCGGATGTTCAGGCCTGTGGGGAGGAGCTGGTCCATGAGTTTCTTGAGGTTGGCTTCGGCGAGGTCCAGGTCGACGATCATGGATGGCGTGTCGAGGTCTGAGACCAGAGTGCCGACTTGAGGGGAGTACATGATGATCAATACTGCGTGTCCGAGATCAGGATATGGGTGTAGTTTGGGAAGATAATGCGGGGATATGAGCTTTATTCTGTAGACAAGGGACTGAGATGCTAAAGCAGGGATCAGTTCGCTATTTATAATCTGCCAGGGGCACGAATCAAGGGGTAGAAGTGGTGAGGATCAACAATGTCCCCTCATACCGTTGCATGCAGAGACTCCCGGGCTAAATAGGTATTATCGGATTGTAGTATCGAGTATCAGACCCCCGCACTAGACGCGTTGACGAGAGTATCTCAGCCCCCACACTAGACGATATCGTTTATCAGGTTGCATCCCGTGATAACCAATGCGGGGTTGATAGCCGAATCTTGACTTCATTAATATTGACGTTTTTATAACTACGATTAGTATGTTGATCCCATTTCAACAGATCATGTTCTCAAAGATAAATACAGAATCGAGGAATAGAAACAAAAGGCAATCTTACCGGGCACTTGGTATTACTCAAAAAGACTTCAGAGATCAATATAGATCCATCGTCTATACAAGAACTGACGACATTTTGAATATTATTATATATTTCCCATTTTGATCATCGCAATAAGTACAAATACAAAAGTAGCAAACCAATCACTCCGCCGGATCCAACGCCTTCCCAAATGTCGCCAGCGTATGCTCCCAAATCTTCCTCGGGAACTGCTTCTCGCGATACCCATCCATCAACTTCCGATTCGTGGCATCACTCCCATCATAATTCAAGATATACGAACCCCCACCAACACTCCCCGTCGACGCGTTCGATATCTCCGCCCCACCAACAAGAGGCACCCCGGTCGCCGTCCCCGCCTTCGCCGCCGGATACGCCGCCGAAGTAGCCATGTAGAGGTTCCTTTGCCCGCTCTCCTGCGGCGTCATCGAGATAGGCGTCGACAAGAAACCCATCACAGACCCGGCCAGGTTTCCGAAGGTGTTGCTCATCAGCGGCGTGCGCACGACACCGGGGAACATGTGGATGAAGCTGACGGAGGGGTTCTGGGCGGCGAGGTACTCGGTGGCCAGCGAGTTCATGGTCGAGGCGTAGGTGAGAGAGGCCATGAAGGTCCACTTCTTCTGCAGATCGAGGTTGTCTTCGGAGATGGAGCCTTCTTGGCCGCCGCCGAGAACGGAGATCACGCGGGCGGGACCCTTCGAGGCGCGGAGGAGAGGAAGCAGGTTGTAGATGAAGCGCATGCGGGAGTAGTAGCGGAGGGCATGGTTGTTTTCGAGGCCTTCGGGTGTATCTGTTTAGAATATTGTTGTTAGTCAGGCGTGCTTAGTTTCTAGGGATGGAGTTGGGTTGAATGGTGAATTACCATTCTTCGAAAAGCCCATATACCCGGTACTCATGAACAAGAGATCGATCGACTCCTCCTTCTCCTTGATCTCGGCACACGCCTTATCGACATTCTTGAGCAGCGACACGTCGGACTTGATGAAGTGGAACGATCCCTCGGGGTTCGCGGCCCTCAATTCCTCCAGGATCTTGGACCCCGTGGCCTCGTTTCGTCCGATCAGGTGAATCGTCGGCTTCTTGACAGTATTGGCAAGCTCCTTGGCTGTACCTTCGCCGATGCCACTGGTTGCACCGACAAAGACAGCTACTAGCTCGGGCTTGTGAGAGTTGATCGCGGCGTTCGAGGCGCGGACTTGGTCGAGTTTCGCCATTTTGGAGAATCGGATTGATGAGAGGGTGAATAGAGAGATGTATCAGAGAGATATTGGCTCAATGCGTAAACAATCGTGATTGATGGCGTCCAACATCAACAGAGGCACCCCCATCTTAAGTAGCAGGACGAGGCTGGCCGGGACGAGGCTGGCCGATGACGGCATCGCCCGGATGGATCCACTCGGGCCCGGACAGCCTCCGCACGTGACTTTCCGCCCCCGGATCTGGACGGCCCCTCGGAGGTGCGCCTCCCGGGGATGCACGTGACCTCGGAAGGGCCGCCGTCGGATCGGAGATGCGATCGACGGACTTCATCTTTCCGAAACCAGGACGACTCGATCCCTCTGAGCCACAATTAACAGGATGGCCGACGCACCGGCCATAAGCGTGCCAACAATAGGGGACAAGTTGGACGGCTTCCGCGAGAGTTTCCGCTCGACTTGCGACAATCTAGGACTTCCTCATTCAGCAGACGCTTTGCGTCAACTCGATAGCGAAGGTAAAATAGTTGGCAATGGATCCAGCCTGTTCTGACTTTCCCCAGACCTGCAAAGCCTAGCGCTTGACCTAGTCTCTGCACTGCGAACCTTGTCGGACCTGCGAAGGCGACCGTCTGTCAATAGCCGAAAAAGCCTCTTGAGTGACGTGCTGAGGCTTAATTCTGCAATCAGTTCTGACGACTTCGACACCGACCAGCTCGTTTCGTTACTGAGTGCCATTGTGAACGAAGAGTCTCATGATATAATCTGGAGAAAAATACAAACTGTTCTTGTCGAATCTACCCCTCCCCCGAAGTCCCTACCGCCCATGTTTAGCCAAACTCCCAATTTGCACACTGTAAGCAGCTTCGTAAACTCTTCCGAACAAAGAAGGCATGTAGATGCTATGCTTAAGGAAGAGCTCAAATCAATCTACGTCGGTGTGCAAGGTTTCTACGAGGCATACTTCGGTGATATCGATGGGTTGGAAGAAGCAGGGGCTGCGGTTTTCAGAAGATGCCAGGAAGGACAGAGTCCTCTGTTCACAAAGAATGGATGGCGAGACTGGCCAGAAAATGCGAAGGAGGGGGATGTTTTAGATTGGCTTTCGACTTGGATTCGTCATATCGTCAGTATTGCATCTGAACAAGGGTTTGCCATTACCTCGCAGCGTATGGTTTTAGCTCAACCTAATCGACCATTGGAGGGATCTACAGCCGACCGCAAATTAGACATCGGCATTATGCCCAACACCAAGGAACACCATTGGTCGCATATCCTAGTCCTCGGGGAGCTGAAAAGTAATCCTAAAGCAGATTCAGCTTCGCAAACCTGGCGGGATCTAGGACGTTATGCAAGGGAGGTCCTCACCACCCAAGATACTCGCAGGTTTATCCTAGGCTTTACACTCTGCGGATCCAGTATGCGTCTGTGGGAGTTTGATCGAGTGGGAGCTATCGCATCATCCCCATTTGATATTAACAAAAAGGGATACCGGTTTGTTTCAGCCATGCTAGGATTTCTTCGGATGAATGATGAACAATTAGGATATGATCCCAGCGTCATATCAGCGTCAGATGGGAAAAGACTCATTGAGATAACACGAGACGGGCATTCGGAACGTCTTGTTCTCGATAGTCTGATAAAACGCGCCCCATGTGTGGCGGGCAGAGCCACAACCTGCTGGAAAGCCCATCGCGAGGGGGATGAAAGCACGCCACTTGTTATCAAGGACTCATGGCAGTATCCAGAGCGAGCAGAAGAAGGCAAGCTTTTGCACGAAGCCACAGAGAAAGGGGTTGTCAATGTGGCCAGGTATTACCACCATGAAACGGTTCAAGTTAACGGAAAGATCGATGATGTTCGGAACGGCATTCGCAGAGGACTCGATGTGACCAAGTCAACAAATCACAGAGCAACACGCCCTGAAACAACCTTAGCTGAGAGCGATACAGCAGATATAGAAAGGGTAGGTCGCTCCATGGGTAGCAGTACGGGGAGCAAGAGGTCATCCAGTCGTGCCGGTGCAACGCTGCCGCACAGCAAACGAACCTGCTCGAGTTCCCCCTTCAAGGCGGCTCGGGACATCGCCCGAGAGAATCGAGTGCATAGACGCGTGATTATCCGTGACTTCGGGAAGCCTATTTACAAAGCAAGCTCTCATACCACTATGCTTGCAGCACTGGAGGGTTGCGTAGATGGGTACCAGTCTCTCCATATGATGGCAGGATTGTTCCAAGGTGACATTTCGACGGGCAACCTGATGATGAACGAAGAAGATGGCAATCCATCATGGCTCGCATTTCTAATTGACCTCGACCTGGCAATTAAAGAAGATCGGACGGCACCCTCAGGAGCCCAAGGCAAAACCGGCACGAGGGCCTTCATGGCTATAGGTGTGCTATTAGGAGACATACATTCATTCATGCATGATATGGAATCACTCTTCTGGTTTTTATTTTGGATATGCATCCACTACGATGGACCAGACCAGAAAGGCAGAGTCGTTCCCGAATTTGACTAATGGAATTATGCCATGATGAACGAGCTGGCCCAAATCAAGAAAGGAATAGTTGCTGATGAAGCGGACTTCATTGAGATCGCCGGGAAGAACTTCACGTCTTACCACCGACCACTTATCCCTTGGGTTAATAGATTGCGGAAGGTTGTCTTCCCAAGTGGCGGCCGATGGAGGACGGAAGACAGGGCTCTTTATACACGGATAAAGGAGGTTCTTCAGAAAGCTCAGAAAGAGCCGAATGTTTCCAAGGGGTAGATGTAATGATATACTATTTAGATAATGTTGAAAATACACGAGAAACGCTGTTAGCGAGGAGGATATAACCCCTTTGAATCAGTAGGCTTCGATTGGATTCGATATAATACCAACACTGTCCCGTCAATCCAGACCTATATGGCATATATGCGAATTGTGCAGTAGTCGCTCTACCCTGAACAGGCAATAGCCAAACTGCTCTACATATAGAGGCTCCATCACAATAAATGACAAGCACCGCCGTCAGCCCCTTCATCGCCCCCTCCACAACCAACCAATACACTCCGATTCCTCTCCTGCGTCGAAACCGCAACATCCAAGCCGGGATTCCCCGTAAAGAAATTCACCGGCTTCAGACCCACCACCATCTTCTCGCACGGCATGACGGGCCAATCCTCGATTCGCGGATTATGCGTCGACCCAAACGTATGCCAGACGACAATATCCTCATTCCTCACGGACGCTCGCTCCGCACTCCGCTGCTGAATCGCCGACGCAATACCCTCCCCGCCCGCGGACTGCATGGTATGTCTCCCGGCGGGAAACAGCTCGTCGTCATGATACCTGGTGACCCAGACGGCGTGGGTTGTGAACTCAGACCGCTTCGCATGGTACGACGACGGATGCGCGAGCAGCATCTGGCTATAGCAGGGGAGGAGCTTGAAGCCGACAGGGGAGTGGGTGATGGGATTGCGGCTCGCCTCGTTGATGATTTTGAAGACGCGATTCTTGGCGAAATCGAGGTCCAGGCCTTGTTCGTGCTGCAGGATCTGGGAGGTCGTGGTGTAGCCGACGCCGAAGGGATTGTGGATGTCGGGATCTCCGACGGGCAGGGGGACGGACTCTTCGACTTGCAGGGAGTTCGCGTGCCCGTCGAGGGCAGGGTCGATGCGTAGACTGAACAGGTGCTGGTGGTACGGCGCCAGAGTGCCAGGGGCAACGATGGTGCCGTAGGGGACGGTGTCGTCTAGATTGATGGGAGCGGTGGATAGGATTCCCGTGGCGCGGACCTCGTAGTGGATGGAGGCATCCTGGCCGAAATGGAATGCAAAGATATACTCATAGTTGCTGACCGTGATGATGGTCTGGAGAACAAGAATCCTAGAGCGCGTGACCACCGCATTCTGGGTGCGAAAGTTGGTATGCTTCCAAAGAATCCCATCGTCTTGCTCATGGCAGCAGACGACATTAGGCAGTTTCAAAGCCTCCCCGGACGCGGTGTTATGCCAGCCATCGAAATACTTGATATGGCCGAGACAGTCGCAGCCGAGACGCAGATTATTCGCATTGATACCGGCGCCATCGTTGCCGAGATCGAACGCGCCTTTACGAGGATACGGGGCACGAGGATCGCCATACGGCACGAACATCTCGGCCAGGGAGAGCCGGTAGAAGAGACTTCGACCGTCGTAGCGGATATCGTGGAGGGTTAGACCCTCCCGGTGGTTGAAGCCCACACGCATGCTCCATTTCTCCCACATGAGAAGATTGCCCTGCGTAATGAATGACGGCCCCTCTGGCTGCAGGACCTGATAGGGCTTGGTGGATGTGCGCGGAGCCGGACGCAGACTCGGATGATATTCACTGGCGTCGGTGGGGTGGATCTTGCGGCGATCATAGGGGCGCGAGTCATCGTGTATACGATCGTGAGCGGCTGAAGGGAGCTGGTAGACTTTCGTCACAATGAGGTGCTCAGCGACCTCAGCGCAGAGATCGAGGGGGTAGGCGTAGTAATTGGCGTCTGGGTTATCGGTGAGACGTATGTAGAACCAGCACTGAACCTGTTAGCCCTCCAATCTGACTGGGAAAACATTGAACTCACCATTGTAGTCCGTTCAGACATGTCATTCACCCCATCTGTGGCATACGCCCACGGTTCGACGATGACCGATGCTCCAGCAGGCAGGTCTAGCTTCTTTATCTCCTCCTGAACCCTGGAGTCGGCCAAGCAAGCCTTTTCGACGGATTTCATGTACTCGGGATCGATGTAGGAGTGTTTCCCCACGAGATGCTCCTGATGCAGAACCTTCTCGTCATCGATATTAACCAGAAGCTCAACCAGCTTGTTTGGAGAAAGCTTCGCATCCTGAATAACCACCTGAACACGAGCAGTTCGGACAGGACGTGCATCCGGGGGTTGCCCGCGATGCTCCTGGTCTAGAAACGGAATCATCTCATGCTTCGGTGGTTCTTTGAGAGTGATGAAGCGGAAAATTGGATTACTTTCAGGAATTGCGCGACGGACGATCTTCGCTGTCTATAGAAATTGTGAGCAATACATCTGGATAATAATAAGACGGGGAGATGGTGAATTGACCTGGGAGATCTCCTTCGGAGTCAACGGATCGAAGGGGTGCGAAGGCGATGCCATAGTGGGAGAGATATATGGAAGATCTAGAATGTAGCAATCAATGTCCTGATCAGGGAAGGAGATATGTAAAGATAATGCGTATCCGGTCCTAAACTCATCCTAAATACCCTGGCACGACAGGCGCTTCCCCGCCGCCAAGACTAGTCAGTCCATTAGGGCATTTGCGTATTACATGCTGCCACATCCATCTGCCATCGGCGCACGCTCCAGTTGAAATCAGAAAACGAAATAAGTGAAGAAGACATGAAGCCTCAGATAGATGCTTCTTCGCAAGTGTGGATCCAAGCAAAAGTTTAAACGAAGTGACCAAAATGCTGAAAACTGCCCAAAGAATGATAAAACTCCCACCTCCCCATCCCCCTGTACGATCAAAGTCCTCCTTGACGCCCGACACCTACTTTCCACCCATAGCTCCTCGAAAAAGGCCCGTCAACTGAAAGTCTTTCTCAGTGATTGTCACACGGCGTGCATGATTCGCCAAAAGCTGTGCCACTATATACACACCTCCATTAGCGACTCTCCCATAACAATAAAAGCAGCAGCGGCGTAGCCATCGCAGCAAACGCCGAATACCAAACCTACTATAAAGCTATCGGACGACCAAAGTCTCGACAATGTCCTGAATGGTATCCATAGCCAGAGAATCAAACTTGATACCCGACGCTTCGGGGATATCGCGCATCACTTCCCGAGCCAGACGTCGAAAAGCAGTTTTCTCAATGGATAAATGAGAGGAAGGCTGGTTCGCACGTCGGAATTTGTGCAGAAATCGGACTGAGACGGTTAGTTAGAGAGACATGTGTCGGATGTGAATGGACTCGAGGGGACGGAGAGATAGGACGTACCACGACGGCGATGGAGGATTTTGCTGCGTGGAACTGTGAAGATCTTGCGAGACACTAGCTTTCCCGTACGCGCTGAGTGCACTGTTTCTATGATAGTGCGTGGCATGATTCAAGAAGATTAGGAGATGAGAGTATGAAGAGAGATTGAATGGGATTGGAAGTCTTCAAGTCAAGTAAGGAAGAATCCAAGACGAAAGAGCGTAGGACGTATAGAAGGAAAGTGACTGGTTGAAGTGAAGTAAAGGCAAGAATTCGAAAAAGAGTAGATTGGAAGTCGTTGGCCCATTCAAGGCCTTTTGTTTCATCTAATTGAACTGAGAGATATTCCGTTTATATCCACCAAGAACTTCACCGCAATGGAAAGACTCAAGCGTAAAGTCGTGTGCAGAGAGATATGTACGTAGTAGCCTAGAAAGCGAGCGCATCTTCCCTCACCTTGAACTCAACACACGTACTCAAATCCGGAATCACAACATCATACATGCTCGAGTTTGAAGGCCGTTCCGTCGACCCGCCCACAAAGCGAAGATGGTATCTCAACAAGATGTTACTAACAATCATCTTCATGGAGTGATCGGCAAAGAACCGTCCCGGACACACGATCTTGCCGTGGCCAAAGTGTAGGTTATTCTCGCTGGTCGTGGTGAATTCTATATCAAAAGAGTCAGTGGGTTCGATGCTATTATGGTTGTAAGCAGGAAGTCATACGGTGCCAGTTGCTCTCGCCCGGTCGCTTCCGATTGTTGAACTGACGTAGACCGTCGAATTTGTCTGCATTCGGGACTCGCTCGGGGTCGATGCCGATGGCGTAGGTTGCCATCTGGATGTGGGCGCCTTCCGGGAGGACGACGCCGTCATGTAGAGTGACCGGTTGGCGGACGATAGCGTTGAAACCGACTGAATTCGTTAACCCCTGAACTATGGAAACCTGGATAATGGTTGACAAAGGAAAAAGGCTGAACTCACGCAAGGTAGGCGGACTCAGGCGCTGAGACTCCCGCATAAAACTATCCATCTGCTTCATGTCGGCCAACGCCTTTTTCGTATACCCACCCTCCTGGGTCAAGATCTCAATCGCCTCCTGTCTGAGAGGCTCCACATACTCTGGATGAGCGCAGAGATCGAACAGGACCTGTGCAACGGCAATGATGGTTGACGGACCAGACCCCAGATAGGTGACCATCAGCCGCTGTACCGTTGTCTCGTCATCATCCTCGATCTCTTTCCCTCCATCCAGCAAGTGTTGAAGAAAATCATCGGGCCGCTCATAAGTGGGGTCTTCACGCTCACGGCGCCGGCGCTCGTGGATAAGAGGAATGACCATGCGCTTGGCGTTCTTCAGAGCGCGATCCACGCCCCAGCTCGTAGGAAGGAAACGAGCAACGACGGGCTTAGCCCAGTCGGGGAACACACGGAGGAGAAAGTTGTGCCTGAAGCCATGCTCAGAGTACGCGATCGCTGTTGACAAGTACTCCTCATTTTCGGCAAGCTCGGCAACGAACTGAGTGGCCACGCCGCGGTGGACCATGCGTCGTGCAAGATGCAAGGCGTTAATGCTAGCCCATTCATCCTTCGTGGCAGGAAGCTCCTGAGGCAGGTACTTGCGGAACTGGTCCTGCACCAGAGGGACATGCAACCCGAGTTTGGGCGTGAGTCGGGTCATGAGCATGCGCGATTGCAAGCTGTGATCGGTGATGACAGCGGTGATGGAGTGGAGGCGCTGAAATGCATCCACGATGGCGGTGTTGAGACTCAGCTTCTCAGGGGGCATGCTGGCCAGCTCAGCGAGGTACTTGTTGGGAACGATGAGGAGGTCATTGCCCGAGACCTTGAAGAAGGTGTCCTTGTACTTTTCATACCCTTCCTTGATCATGGCAGGACCGTTGAGGAAGAACTGCAAGCGTGCCGGAATCATGTACTTGTACCCGATGATCGGAGCATCGAAGTCATAGTTGCCATAAATGTTGGGGTACTTCTTTCTGTTCACGGTAATCAGATACCACCAGATGACCACAATGCCCGCAAAAGCTGTGAATATTGAAGTCGGTACTGAGAACTGAGGCTTAAACGAAGGAGCATCAACCCCTAGGGTGTCTGTATGATTCAAACCAAAACCGTCCATAGTGAAATTGGCAAGAGCCATGACTGCTAGTGCCACAATATTGAACACTCTGATAAAACAATTTCAACAAAGTGTTGACCGGCACTCCCCCCGCCGTGGCGGCTGACATCTTTATACCAAAAGCGTCCATCAAGCTCCTCATCTTGGATGCCTCGCCCACATGAGTAAAGGCCGCATAGAACACGGATCTTACACGCTTCGGAGTCCGTAAATAGCTTGGAAACGCCTCATAGCTCTTACTTCGAAGCCGACGCTCTAGCCAATGATGTTTTCATGCCAGCACATGTCGGCTTGAGAGAAAGGCTTACGAGTTTCAGCCCAGCGCCCTTTACATGTCTTTTCAAAGGATCAACTCGAAGGATGATGTGGGGTGTGAGGCCTTCAACACCCCACTGCGTTATTTTCATCCATTGACAGACGAGGGATAACTCAGCTCTTGGGCTCGAGTACAGCCAAGTTGAAGTGCGCGGCACATTTGGCCAAGTGTGGTAAGACTGACCACACTCTAGGCAAGATGAGGAGAGTAGCCTCTTTGGCTCGTCATCTCTGTAAAGCTCATAACGTATCAGACGAGTAGATCCAGGCACTCGAAGACGAAAGCTCAAAAAGCAAATTGCCTTTCTCCACGCCAAACTTCTATATCAAGTCTAAGAGTTGCAGCAGATTGTTGCTCTACTTCATCCCTTTTACCAGACAGTAGACTTAAGTGCATTTGTCACGGAAGTCCCGACATTAGCAAGTATGTCCGTGCGCCACGACTGGACACACGTCGGATCAACTTCGTCACAGGAATGCAGGTTGTTCTCGGCCCTTTGTAATTGGACAGCCTTTAGCGCTGACTACTTTCTGACTGGTGATTTCATACCTTCCCTGCTAGATAACGGCTTGTCGGCGTCCTGTCAGATCTGACTGCATGAAACCCACTAAGCCATTCACGGTTCCCAATAGGAGGATGGCGGGACTAGTATTTGCCTAGACCAGAGGATGAAACTCCATATCGGGTGCAAATTATAATCCGGATTCGGAATCCATTCCAGGTGCCATGTGCAGCTCGTATTTTGCTAGGTCTTACTTACCATGTCTTATTAAGCATCGACTCGCCACTCATACAGACATTCTGACCTGTCCATTATCATCATGAATTAGATAGATGATTTGGCCATTTCCTTCTTTCCGTGGCTCGCCAGCATCATGATCCAGGCAATCGCCTCCGTGCTTGTGGGAGTCGTTTTGCTTGCCTATGTGACCGAATACCTGTTGAGCATCAGAGACGACCCTCGAGAGCCTATCCGCCTTCGGCCGAAGGTACCGGTGATCGGACACATACTTGGACTCATAAGAAATGGCCCGTCGTATCATAGCCAGCTGAGGTACCGGAAATTGAATTTTGAGACGAAACCCCCTGACCGTTTCTTCCAGGACTGCTACCGACCAGGAAATATTCACACTGGGAATCTTCAATTTCAAGCTCTACACGAGCGTCTCAACGCGACTGTTACCAGCTATCCAGCGACAATCGAAGACGCTATCCTTCCGACCCCTCATTCAGCATGTGGCTCGCCGATGGGGAGATGCGAGCGACCAGACGAACGAGATATTTGGCGGACCGCATTTGGTCACCAATTTCAGCCATGCCATGAAGCTAAGCTTGGCACCGGGTCCACACCTGGATGCGCAGAATGAGAGAATGGGAAAAAGGGCTTTGGTGGATATTGATGCTTTGCTTGGTCCCTTGACTGTAGAGCAGCAGGGGATGTGCCAAATCAAGCTACTGGAATGGGTGCGACATGCGATTATGCAGGCATCGAGCTGTGGGGTGTATGGGACAGAACACCCTTTTCTTGACGTTGAAGTGGAGAAGGCATTCTGGTAAGCACTGTCTGGTCTAATTTCCACCCCCATATAGAAGAGTGAATGCTCATAATGCACGCAACGTCGACAGGACATGGCACGCTCATCTCTCCGCCCACATATCGGGATTGAACTTCGACCTGCTTGGAAAAGGCTATGCCGCTCGTCAAAAAGTCTTTGATGCGCATGTGAGATACTGCAGGAATGTTCCGTCGGACGCGTCGCCTCTTTTTACAGAGCGCTGGCGCGTCTTACAGGAGGCCGGCATTTCAGAGGCGGATTGCATCAAGCAACAGGCCACTCTCCCGATCGGAATGTTGAGCAACACTGTGCCAACATTCTACTGGACCATCTGGGAACTGTTCTCTCGGAGAGAGCTTCTTCGCGAGGTCCGACAAGAGCTGGAAGCGCAAGCCATCATAAAGCAGGACGATGGGTACGCGCTCGACGTTGGTTCTCTCAAGTCCAAGTGTCCACTTCTGCTCTCGGTCTTCCAAGAAACGCAACGCGTTCGACACATCCACGCCGCCATTCGCAGAGTCATGAAAGACACCCTGTTAGATGGAAAGTATTTCCTGCGAGAAGGAAACTATCTACAAATGCCAGGACACTCAATCCATTCGAACACGAACATCTGGGGCCCATCGGCGCGAGAGTTCGACCCGTATCGATTTATCAAGGCAGCAAAACCCGCTGGCAGCGACTTTTTGGCATGGGGCGCACCTCCACATCTGTGTCCTGCTAGACAGTTTGCTGCAACAGAGATCTTGATTATGGTGGCTCTCCTCGTGATGCGGGCCGATCTAGAGCCTGTGAGTGGTGCTTGGGAGGCAAGTCCAGCATTGGACTTCAATGATCCGGTCACGGTATTGAATCCGAAGAAAGAGGTCCAAATGCATGTCAGCATTCGAGGCCAATGGACTGGAAAGTGGGTACTACACATGTCACCAAGTCAGAGTCGCGTTCCTTTAGCTTCGGGATGACGATACCCAAATCAATTACACCACTTTACGGGCGTCAGCCTGCCTCGAACACGTAATGGGCTTAGAAATGCAGAATCGGAAACTGCCTCCCGCGAGACACTTCATTTCAAGCGCAGTCAACCATGTGAGATGGAGTGTAAGCCGGGGTACAGAGCTCCCTGGGTGGCCTTGAACTGCCAAGTGAAGCGGGGGCTGACAACTCCGGGTTAATCGGAGGGAAATTCCATCCTCCCAGCGTCTCGCGTAACTCCACCTTTCGGTTCAATAGTATCTGAAAGCACTGATTGCGAATATCGATACCGTATGTTATTGGTCCCGGAAGCCTGATCTGACCTTTTCCGGTGAGACGGTCAAGCCAATCATGGTAGCTCCGGCGTCTCGGCCCAAGCTGTTTCAATTCGTCCGCCTAAACTTCCCATGGATTGCTAATTCATGTAAGCCGCTTTTTGATTGGTAAAGCTGGCGTGGCTGGATGCTAGGTTCTGGCAACATGATGCAGGCTGTTTGCTTGGCCTGAGTTAGGGGTAAAAGAAAGTTCTTCGTGAAAATCCTGGAAGAAGAAGAGGGGAAAGGGAGCAGGTGACCTCACGTGGACACTGAGATGGTCCGGACTCTACAACTAGCGATGCAAGACCCTAATGGACTCGATAAAAAGGGAGACATATAAACAGGAATCCCAGACAGAGGTTCATGAAAATATAAATAAAGTTCATCATCCACAAGGTTGATCTGGGTATTTATGCATGATTAAATTAGTGTTGTACAGAAGGCCTTGCTCTATACTCAGCAAGATGAGGTCTAGTTACGTAAAGTCGCACATCTATGATCGTTTCTTGAAAACCAAATTGGCACCGTCCTTTTTCAAAGTCAGCGTAAGCCATGAAGGCCGAAAACGGAGAATATGTAAACTTACCATCGGGAACAGAGTGGCAAACACCCGAATCTCTTCCGACAAGGGCGTGGGGTGGTGCTCCCAGTCAAGCTCTAGCGCCGCCTTGCCGATCATACCGGCCATTGAGAGTGGTACGTATCTCCTCGCAAGGCAGTCATGCGGGCCTGCACCAAAAACAAGCCAGTTCTTGGTCTTTGACTCGGCGTCACCGGTGATCCAGCGATCAGGGTTGAAGACATTCGGGTCAGGATAAGCCTCGGGGTCGTGGAGAGCTGGGTAACAAGACGGGATGATCATGGAGCCCTTGGGGACGGTATAGTCGGGCGTGACAGGGAAATTTTTCGTAGCCAGGTACGGAACAAAGATGACGGGAGGTCTGTGGCGGAGCAGCTCCTTGATGACGGCGGCGGTGTAGGTGAGCGACTCCAGCATGGGAAGATCAAACGGCTTGTTCTTATCGCCACCCCGAGCAGCCAGGTTCTCTTCTCGCAATCGGGCAAGGACGTCGGGTCGCTGAGCGAGGATCTGGAATAGCCAGGTGGTGGCACTGCTGGACGCATCTTGGGAAGCAAACAGGAAGGTGAACAGCGTCTCCGAGATCTCGTCGTTGGTAAACTCTCGGATCATGTTGGTGGGTTTCTCCAAGCCCGTCTCTCCCGCAGCAGTTCTTTCGCGATACCGTTCGGATTCCATCATGTGAAGGACCCAATGGTCCACGACGCACGTAGGGGTGGCACCCTTAGCCATGTTCACCTTGCATGCCGCTGCACAGTTCGCGAACTCGGCATGGACCGCATCAGCCGTGCGCTTGCCCAACCAGGTTTTCGTGAACGGAATGTACATTGAAAGAGGGACATTGACCAACTCCATGGCGGCGGTAGCAAGATAGAAGTCGTCGGCAATTTTCTTGACTGCGCTTTGGGAGATGTAGTCGCCGAAGAAGGTACGGCAGGATAGCGCGCAATTGATCTCACGGAACAGGGTCATAAAGGCCATTGGCCGCCCTTGATTCTTCTCACTGGCGGCAACAAACTTGTCGAAATAGTCTCCGAGTACCTTCTCCTGAACAGGAAGATAGGTGGAGATGGCTTTGTTGGTGAAGAGTGGCGTCAATCCCCTTCGGTACTCGGCATGGGCTTTACCCTGAAGAAAAACCCATGACTTGTGGCCTAGGAGGTCTTTGGCAATTGGCACGATGCATGGCTCGGCATATGCGGGCGACTTAAAGACCTTGTGGGCAATATCGCGATCGGAAGCGAGGACGACGAATCTGTAGTGCTGAAGTATGAGTACAGCCCTTCAATATCCTTTACTCAGTACAGGGAAGGCGCATACTTGTGGAAAACCGATACACAACTAAGAGGGCCACTCGCCCACTGAGCCAAATATGCCTCAAACTTAGGATGGAGCGCTTGAATGAAGGGGCCCATTAATGGGATCTTGAACATAGGCCCAGCAATCGAGCCCTTCCGCTTGAGGTACATAACTAGATGGTGTCAGCGCATACTTATGATGCCCCGATCATGTCAATCACCTTGATCATAAATCACCACACCCAGGACGAAGGTCACAACATATTGCCAGGTCGGCCAACCCAGCAAGAATTCCGGCAAAGCATCTTTCAGCTGAGCACTGCCAACGGAGCCTGCCTGAGGCAGATCCTGCGAGCTGAGAGTGGTGTTGACGAGTTCAGCGTCCATTTTGGAGTCCTTGAAGGAAAGCAGACTTCGAAACTGGTGCAGAGGAAAGAGAAGAAGCCGACGAGCCGGTTAAAAGGGGACATCCCCTAACAAGAGGCAATAACGCCGTGGCTGATGATTGGGTGGCAGCGCATCGTCGCTCTGTGTATGAAGGCCCGATTAGGACTAGACTCCGAACACGACGCACGGATGCCGCATCGCCCAGGCATCGGGGACTAGTCCTCTTTCGGCCGGTGGAGTGTTTCCAATGATCTCGCCATGCAATGATGAAGGCCCCTTTATCATCCCACTCGGCCAGGAAGGAACGGCTGCTTTGCAATCATCCCGGCTCATGTGGAACTGTACTATTGAGCGGATCATTCCAGCTGTGCCGTGTGTGGACGCCTCAGGCCGGTTCTTCAACCGTGAGTCCAAACATCGGAGAATCCCTTGAACTGCCAGATCGACGTGGATACTCGGATCGATCATTTGACAGACATCACCGGAACGACGTATAGACATGCATAGATCCGAAGAAAACCTCCCATTCACCCGCATAGAAGAAATCGATCGCATCGAAGGATGTCGAAGCGCCGATTCAGGGCCGTGGGGGATTACGTAACCGAGTCGAAGTCTTGGCGCGGCTGTGATTACGCGCCTGACTGTTCAGGCTGTCAGCGGCCGGTCTCCACCAAACATTCTTCCTTGTTTGATTGCTCCGTTTTGCCGACTTCATCTTTGTCTCTCCCGCTGTCCCCGAAGATGCGCCAAACGCTTCGCCGGTCCTGTGCGGCATGTGCCAAAGCCAAACATAGCTGCGACTTGCGCACCCCGCGCTGTTCTCGATGCGTCAAGCGCCAGGTCCAATGCATCTATGCGAATGAGCCTCTGAGTGCACCGCCGGCTGCTCCCGGGCGGGGAGATGGCGGATCATTAGGACCTGTCGAGGGCCTCGGCGCTTTGACAACGTACAGATTCGGCTCTCTAGATCCTTTCGACTCTTATCCACAGACGAGACTTCCCCGGGAGCGCGTCCAACGTCTCATCCATAGCTGTAGGTAACCATAGTCTTCTGTCATCAAGCAGGGCTTACATAAGTACTCCAGTTGTCCATAAGATCGCATTCCAGTACTATCCCCTTGACCTCAATCCTACCTCGAATCCGTTTCTCATCTCTTGGTGGCCACTCGCTTTGGGTGATCCAGCGCTGTTCCACGTCTCGTTGCAGACAGCATGTCTTGATGAGGAGTTACTGGCGCAAAAGGGCTTTCAGGCTTCCGAAATCCTCATGGCCGACTCTGTAGCTCTACTACGACGAAAGGTGCAAGAGCCATCACTAGCTGTACAGGATGGAACGATGAACTCTGTCATCACCCTGGCAGCAATCGAAGTGAGATTCTACCCGTGTCTTCTGTCTGCAGTTCTTAGTTTGATTCACTGTACTGACATGTTGCACTCTCAGTTCGGGAAGGGTAATATTAAAGTCAGCGAAATGCATGTAGATGGGGTCAAAAAGCTCATCGACATGAGGGGTGGCATCAATTCGGTAAGGCAAACCAGTCCGCTGACCGCGAGAATGGTGAGCTGGTAAGTAGTTCCATTGAATTGTCGTGGCAGCCGAGTATTTACATATCTTAAAGGGTATCGATGATCGTTACCGGTCGCCCTCAATTCGACACGCAGGATGATCTCGGCACTGGAGATGGCATACCTCCCATTCCGGAATGGCAGCTTGATTCGACTACCCACGATGATTTATCGGATCTTGGCACCATTGAAGTTGATGATGCGGTAAAGAACGTTCTCATCCGTCTTCGCAATGCCTTCGGGCGGGCGCAGCAAATCCCGCTGCCTTCCACGCGACTGCATGACCTCACGTGCTTCGTTGTACACCGGCTTCTTCTCTCAGTGCCGAACCTGACAGATTCTCAGTTGTCACCATCACCAATCACTGAATGCATTCGCTACGCAACTGTCCTCTACATGTTTGCCATTCAGGGACCATTGTATTTCTCGCATGCTGTCATATTGAATATGATCGTTACCCGGCTCATGGATAACCTGAAGCAACTCGACTTGACAGGCTCTGTGCATGATGACTCACTAGATACTTGGTTCTTTGCAATCGGAATGGTGGCCTCGACTGGTACACCCCAGTACCAGTGGTTCATGAACAGAGCAAAGGCATTGACTGCTTCTTTACAGATCAGTGATTGGAGTGACGTTTTCACGCGTGTTAAGAACGTTCTGTGGCTGGAGCTACCGCAAGGCGAGGATACATTCCGGCCTCATTGGGAGACAGTTCTACACATGACAGACTCAATGTCACCAGATGTTATGATGTGTTTCTCGCCGGGCAGTGTCTATGGGGTACCATCTCACATACCTGCGTGGTATCCTGACTATCCCGATTACTCGACAGATGAAAGTCAGCCACTGCCCACGGAAGAGAAATGGGACATGGACATGGTATCATGATGCCGACATGGATAATCAAAGAAACATCCACAACCCGTGGGGGATAATATTTCCCCAGCCACCTCACAGCAGACCTACTATCATGACATACAATTGTCGAAGGTGAGCTCAACTTCCCCGCTACACGGTTGGCTAGCTTCTCATGCTTTTCACTTAGACTGATATATTGATCTGTACCACCGTACGGTGATCACTCATACCAGCGCCATCGAATCCATCCCAGGCCACCCTCAATCCATTCGCGCCGCCCAGTCGGAATTGGATTACTATACTTGACATTTTGAGTGCTGGGCTTTACCCACCAGTCTTCACTCACGACCAACCAGTTCACGATCTACTCCAATGTTTCGTCAGGCTTGCCTTACCCAACATGTCCACCAGGGACATCATTCTCACCGGATTCTTAGAGGCAGAATCCATAACTTCAGTCCTTCACAGGGCACAGCTAGCTCTAGACAGTATTTATCGAATATCTACCAATATTCTTTCATCATAAATTGTAAATAGCCTATTTCCTAGTCCTCGATACAAATTGTTGCACTCCCAAATACCTTATTTCATCTCTTGAATCAAACCTTGCCCCGTGTCCACCGTGCGTGGCATTTCCTCTGCGTAAAAATACCCGGTACTCGTTCCGCAGGCAGTAATCGGCACTAAACACGCTACATCCGCAAAGGTAAGGAATAGCCGGATGTTTAACCCCAAAAGTATAGAATCCGATTGCGATCGTCTCGAGTATCCCTTAGGGGACGCACAGTGATTTTGACTTATTGAGAATTTAAGCAGATCGGTGGGGATGGTTTTGATTCTCTGTACACTTCAGCGAGCAAGAAATAATAGCAAGGGTTCTTTGCGTTAGTTACACTGGGTAGTTATATACCATGCGCGAAAAACCATTAGTATTGAACAACAATAAAATATCGAACCATTCAACCAAAACGAATAACTCCCTAGTAATGATATAAACCCCTAACGATCCACTCCCATTCAAACCGACACATGCGCCGAACTCCCCTGCACCGCCTCATCCTCCTTCTCCCCCTCGCCCTCCCTCCTCCCCTCATAACCATGACCATGATCCTGCAGCTCCCCCGGAAACACAAACTTGGAACTCCTCCACGGCTTCACCTTCATCACATACATCGTATCGATCTCCTCCAGCGTGCGCCCCCTCCCCTCCACAACAGCCACATAGACCAAGCCCGCCGCAAGAAACAAACACCCCGCAAACACATACCCCAGGCGGAAGTCAATCGCACTCGTGATGAACGGGGTAAAGAACGCCAGGAGAAAATTCCACAGCCAGTTCGACGCCGTGGCCAACGACATCGCGCGCGCCCGATACTCCGACGGATACAGCTCCGCAATGATAGTCCAGGCCTGGGGGCCCCAGGTACTCGCGAACCCGAGGATGAAGAGACACGCGAAGACGACCATCACCACGCCGGGGGTCTTGGTGTTTTCCGGGTGCTCGTGGTCGAGCAGGAAGTGGCCGACGGAGGCGAAGACCATGAAGCAGATGAACATCCACAGGGCGCCGGCGATGAGGGAGCGGCGACGCCCGTAGTGGTCGATCAGGTAGAGGCCGAGGAAGGTGGTCCCGAAGTTCACCCCGCCGAGGATCATCTGGGTGACGTAGGAGTTCTGGATGCCGGCGCCACGGAAGATGGTGGTGCCGTAGTAGAAGAAGTAGTTGGCGCCGGTGAGCTGTTGGAGGGCTTGTAGGGCGACGCCGACGGCGACGCGGTAGGCCATGCGCGGGGCGCGGAAGAGGCGGACCCAGGTGATGGGGCCCATGGATTGTTCGTGCTCGAACTTCTCGCGGATTTCGTTGAATTCGAGGGCGAGGGCGCGGTGGTGGGGAGGGACGCCGTAGAGGTTGGAGAGGGTGCGGATGGCGCGGGGGACGTGGCCGTGGCGGTAGTCGTAGCGGGGGCTTTCGGGGAAGAAGGCCATGCCGACGCCGAGGATGAGGGCCCAGAGGTAGGTGATGCCCATGGGGATGCGCCAGGAGGAAGTGTCGGGGTGGTCTTCGGTGCCGAAGTTGATGCAGTTGGCGACGAAGATGCCGAGGGTGATGAAGAGCTGGTACGTGCTGACCAGGGCGCCTCGGATGTGTCGCGGCGCGGACTCGGCTTGATACATGGGGACCAGCAGCGAGAGGGCGCCGACTCCAAGCCCGGCGACCCAGCGGCCCATGGCGACCTGGACCCAGTTTCCGGATGGGCTAGAGATCTGGACGGTGATGCCGATGCAGAGAATGCCGCACCAGCCGGTGATGGACCACTTGCGGCCGATGCGATCGGCGATGGGCGCGGCGATGAGAGCGCCGATTAGGGTGCCAATGGAGAGCTATGTGTGTCAGTCAGGAGACATCATCGGTTGGATATATAGAAAGGGACATGAGAGGGGGATACCAAAGCAACAATCAATCCCGATCTCACGTTCGAGAAGTAGTACGTGCCATCCGATCCCAGCTGCCCGTATCTCTGCAGGAAATCCTTCATCTCCAGGAACCCCGAGATCTGACCGGTGTCATATCCGAAGCAGAAGCCACCCATGGACACAAAGACACCCATCGTCAAGGATCGCCACGTGAGTAGAGGAATGGGCCCGTCAACGACCTCGTCCGGGGCGACTTGGTCCGGGGGTATCTCATCTTGAAAGTGGGCATCCGGCTTAAAGCGAGGCCCTTTAGACCTTGAAAACTTCATCTTCAACCTAGAGTTAGTAATACAGGTTTAGTGCAGCATAGAAGAAACTCTAGCTCGCCTATACCCCGAGAACAACCCATTCCGGCTTTAAATAGTTCGTCGCGAACGATGATGCCATCAACGGAGAGGACCGCCGCTGTCGCATGTGGCGTCAGCTGTACCACCACGCGGTCTGGATGGAGATCAACCGGGGATGGCGACTCGGCGCCGAACTTTATCTGCAGTTTGCGGCCCCGGATTCCGGGGTGTGGGGATCCGGAAACACCGGTTTCCTGTTCCATTCGTGTCACCTGCTAGTGTGACGTCGATCGAGATTGGGATACGAGGTCTGGCGTCATGATTTCAGAATCTGTAGAATGAGTTCAACGAAACGTAGGGCATAGAGGGAGTAGCTCGTGGCATGAAAGTTTGGCACACCGGTCTTGTCGGTGCTAGTTCGTTAACGCCGGAGGGAAAACAGCGTAGAGAAGGAATACAATGAGGTGTTTGAGTTACGCATGTCTATGGTGGGTACTGTGCACAAGGAAATAGAGACCGAAACTTTGTGCCACAAGGGCTGGGCTAGCTACTGGATAGTGTTCAGGATGTTAAGCATACGGCCACGCCAAGATTCGGAGTCATTGATCCCATCTAGAGGATACTGTTTTCGTTGTAGTAAAGAAAGGCCAGTATGCCTTTCCAGGTGCGTGGCGATCTAGTATAATATTTAGCGGTGATCCTCTGGGGGACTGTGATACTCACCACCAAGGAAAGAGTCCTTATTGCTGGTTCGGACGGCAGTTCCATATGGAGCTATCGAGTCAGCATACTCCAACCACAAGGCTAACAAAGAACAGTGATAACATACCAATCAACGGAATATTAACACCTATCTGTCCGACATTAACTCGACGCTGAAACGTGTTCGCATGCTTTCCACTCGTCGTGAAGATCGAGCATCCGTTTCCATCTGTAATCTTAGCGTCTATCCTTCACATCAGACGTATTCACTTACATTTATTATGATTGATCAGCTCAATCGCCTCGTCGAGCGTATCAACCTCCATGCAGATCAGCACTGGCCCAAAGATCTCACTCTGGTAGCACTCCATATACGTTTCCACTCCGGTGAGAATCGTCGGCCCCATGAAATTCCCATGTGGATAGTCAGGCACCTGCACATCGCGACCATCCAGCAGAACAGAGGCCCTCTCTTCAACCGCCCGCTGAATGATCCCGCTGACGCGCTTCTTGGCCGCCTCGTCAATTAACGGCCCGATCTTCGACTCCTGGTCCCCACCACACCCAACGACCATCGACTGTGCCAGTTCGATCAGCTTGGGGATCCATTCTCGCGTGCTGCCCACGAACACTGCAACGCTCAACGCCATGCATCGCTGACCTGCAGCACCAAATGCACTCCCCGCAATGGCGAACAAAGTCGGCATCATGTTCGCGTCTTCGAGAACCACACCGTGATTCTTCCCGCCGCATTCGGCCTGGACGCGTTTACCTAAGGCTCTGGCGGTATCGTGCACTTGCTTGGCTGCGGCCTCGGAGCCGACAAAGTTGATGGCTTGAACGGACGGTTGGCTGATCAGTTGATTTGCCGTTGACGGTCCGCCATGGATAACATTGAAGACACCCGGCGGGAAGCCCGTTCTGAGGAATGCCTCTGCCAGAAGCGAGGAGGTGGTGGGTGTTCGCTCAGATGGTTTGAGAATGGTCGTGTTGCCTGTGATCAGAGCATACGGTAGCGACCAGAGCGGAATCATGAACGGGAAACTAAACGGGGTGATTGTCATGCAGACACCCTATTACTCGGTCAGTCTGCAGCATGAAGTGAAAGGGCATGATACTCACGATGGGCTCGTAGAACGTTTGCAGCAAGGTGACGTCGTTACCTAAGTACATTCCCGCCATCTCAGGACCAACCGAGCATGCGGCGTGGATACAATCCAGTCCCCGGAATACCTCTGCATCTGCATCTGCGAGGGTTTTGCCGACCTCTCGAGATAGACACGTTACCTATAGGTAGCCACCGTTAGCTACTCTACCTTCCTCGAGATGGAAGCAGACCACGCACGATATCAGGAGACATCTCTCTCAAAACATCAATTAATCTCAGAAGGTGCTCCCTTCGCGTTTGAAACCCCAACGCCGCCCATTCCGGCTGAGCATCTTCCGCCGCATCAACTGCGGTCTGGATCTCCGAGAGTGTACTCGTCGGCACTCTACAGAGTAATCGCTGCGAGACCTACAACTCCGTCAGAACCGACTCCCACAAACCCAATTATAGCTGCAGTCCGAATAAATCAAACCTACCGGATCCAGCACACTCCCCCAATCCCTCGCCCTCGACATGACGCGCCTATTGCTAACAAACAAATGCGTGACCGTCGGCGGCGGAGGCGGCGATTCTTCCAGATCCGGAGAATGTCGAACACAGTCCGAGCCCACCGGTTCCTCAATTTCAGTCACCGGCTCAAGTTCATCGTCAGAGTCCGCTTTCGATCGACCGGGTCGATCGCACCCGTCGTCTGATCGGCGCGCATGGCTTGAGATTAGCGTATCGTCGCTGCTATTAGGCGATACGCTGAAAAAGGGCGTGAATCTGACGCGTCTGGACGTGGCGGCCGGTGCTTTGGGCATTTCCAGTTATCGCAGGCAGATATCGACGGGGGGATGGCTATCTCCATGATTGTTGATTGCGAGGTTGAGGCTTATCGCGTCTCTTTTTGCGGGGAACGATAAGGGGTGGGGTATTACGTAAGGGGTGATAAGCAGAGAGTGTGTTCTGATTGGTTGCTTGGATTCAATTCACTAGAAACATCTACCTTAAGAGAAAGTAGGGACTCCGGAGTAACGTTGGGGTAGATAGAAGAGTGGATTGTCGCTGAAGCACTCATTACTCACTATCGTACCAATGATTGGGCTCAAAGCGGGATTTTATTTCTAAGATTCATAGTATACTTTTGGACAACCCGGTGCCCGAAAACATGGCGGATCCATAATAAATATATCATGTCTTGATTGCAACATATCGGCAAATGTTATACATCATACATTACACTCAGAAGCAACACCGTATAGGAATGGATCTTAATTGCGGGCGTCTACACGTTTGGAAGATTCCCAAAACATGTATTTCTATTCGACGTCAAACACCGAGGACGCATATCGCCCTTGTCCCCGTACTTGCGGGTACTATGATATATCTTGAAATACCAGGGACATAAAGAGAATTATAACATATCCTTTAGGGATGCATATTCGGCCTAAGGAGATATGTCGAGCTCTGAAACGTATATCAAACCAGAGAACTTGTTATCTCAAGACATACTTCTATCAGCCCGTAGACCGACCAGCAGAACAATCCTCCAAAAGCCCAGCATACGCAGCCAACGCCTTCCCAATCCTGCTCACAACATCCCAAACAGCCTCGCCACTCAAAAGCTTCGCCCACACCCTAACGATCCGCGCACAGAGATCCTCCCTATCCAAGCTAAACTCACCCCCCGGATCCGCCTCCGCCACCAAATCCTTAATATAACCCAGCAACCTAACTTCCTCCTCGTCCAGCGTTCTCCCACCCTCGCCACCATCCAACACAGCCCTCAACCACCGACTAACAATAAAAGCACACTCAAGCGCACACAGCGCATGCTGCAACGACCACGTAAATGCCTGCGTCCTGGCCACAATATTCACCCCGATTTTAACCGGGATGCTCAGCGCATGCGCAGAGTAGAGGACCGCACGCGTGATTCTCGGGCTCGGAGCTAGCGGCGGACTGGTGTGCATGCGTGCTGCGATTTCACGTGGGTCATGGGTCGTCAGGGCACGGTAGGGCCCGAGATTCACATTCAGCCGGATATAGGCCATGCGGAGGAGGGCGGTGGAGTTGAACGAGATCGGACCTCTGGTGCTGCCGGGGCCGAGGAAGGATTCCGGATCGCGGTACCATGCGGATTGCCAGTTTTGGAGGGCGACTTCGACCTCTGTGATGTCTCTTTGCGGGAGGGGTGGGTTTTGCTGTGAGGATAAGGATCCGAAGATCTTGGTTTTCCAGGTCTCGCGAAGGAAGTAGATGTGTTGGATTAGGGCTAGGATTAGAGTGTAGCCGCCTAGAGAGGAGTAGGTGATTTCGTGGTGAGTGTGGTGGCGGTGAGTTGGGGCGGAGAAAAGAGATGAGAAGGAGGATTGGAAGAGAAAGGATTCAGGTAGGGGTTGAGTGGATTTGCGTCGGGTTTCGATCCAGTCAGTCTCGCAGGGGGCTTCCCAGTCTGCTTCTCGAGATGGGAGGTGGAGGTCGAGTTCCGAGTTGAGAATCGGCGGTGGAGTGTCATAGACTATAGTGTGGAAAACGAAAAAGCAATAGATAATAGCGATGGTCCTGTTGAAGGCCTCTACTTGGATCCATTGTTGCCAGGAATTATTGCTGTCTTGAAAGCGAGGCTGTAGATCCAGAAGTTTTTCCTCTCGGATATAATTGGTGAGGGTATTTTGGAGACCAACAGCCTCGTTGAAGATAGCCTCTGAATTACCCCAGGTTGCCATGGCCATTAAGATAAGAAGTGTTTGTGCGAGGGAAAGCCGGGTGAACTGATTATCGGGGGTTTGATTTCCGCTCCACCCTGATAGAGTGTCTGTCGCGGAGAATAATCGTTCCCGTTGCAAGGCCTTTCGGTGACGTAGACGTTCCTGGGCTATGGCCAAGGACGATCTATAGAACATAATTGCATTGCCGTGATCGAAGGCCGACTGCGCCCCGATTGTCGCCACGGCCAATAGTAACTCAACCGGGCATTTGGTGGGTGAGAATGTTGGTATATGTAAGAATGGTAGATGCCGGTGGAATCCAGAGAAATAAGTCGCGATATAGCGAGTCAGCGTGTGGCGCGAGGGGAGAACAAAATTTGAGGGCAGCACGGGTAGGAAAGACTGGATCTCAGCCAAAAGATGATTCCAAATGTCCTGCGTGATCTTCCAGGGCTCTTGACTGGCCCTGGCAGATTGAGCTGGTTCGAATGAAGGGAATGTTGACGTAAATTCATCAAGTAACGGTGTTGATCCCTCAGGGCTTGGGGTGTTTGGTAGAACGGAATGGGATTCAAAGGAATCGAAAAGAGGAATGGGTGAAAACTGCAAAGTCGGTTGATCAAACAGAAAGGTTGACATGTTGCTTTCATGTGGCATTGCCATGCTATCAATGAATTGAGCGAAATCACCAAAGGTACCAGTCGATTGAGCGCAGTGTGGTTCCTGATCGAACGCAATTTGTGGCGTGGAATCGGAACAAGATATATTTGGGGTCTCTAAACGGCAGTTTATCGAAGGATTGCTATGGAACAGACATTTATGACGCGCCAGGAGGTCCCTAATGCGTCTCAGCTTAACATTTCAAGTCTCGTATTGATTAGACAATTACCTTCGAGTAAACCCTGCCGAACACGCCGTGCAGATAAAAGGCTTTTCTTTAGTATCTGGTAAGTGTTAATACATGACTGGCTATCAGGATGAGTTATTCGACATACGCAATCGTTCGTGCCGGTGTAAATGCTCCTTCCGTTGAAAAGCCCTGGCACAAAACTGACACTGGAATGACTTTTTCTGAATCTTCGAATCTGGCGAGGACTGATTTAAAATGGATACATTATCCACGGCTTGTCGCTCCTCATCAGCCGGCATATGTCTGTTCTTCTTTCTTGGTGGCATCTTTGTCAGTTTCGCACCGGGTTAAGGTAGGATGAAGCCGAAGCTGGTCCATGGAAAGGTAATCCACCCGCACCGCTAAGTCATACACTTACCAATGACAACCTCCGCAACTAAGCGAGTTCACGTAAGCAATTACCGCCGAAAGATTTTGATTGGTGAATTCAAAGTCAATTTAATTTAAGACGTCCATACTTTTGGTGAGTCATGGTAAGACTGCTTTTTTCTATGGCTATTGGCTATCTACTTCGGCTGCGGTAGGTAAACGCTCATCTCGAACCCGTTTGTAAAAGGCAGGGTCATATTCTGGAACCCATTCTCAGGCGAACGTAAGAATGCCAGCAGATCTGCGTATCCCTTCGCTCCAGAGATCGTGTTATCTGTCAGAACAACTGCTCCGTGTCGAAGACGAGGAAGAACCGTCTTGAGGGTCGGAAGTGCAAGTGCGGACCAGACTAGAATATTTCTGTTAGTACATCATCTTCACACTGTAGTGAACCGCCAACTTACTATCTAGAAGGAGCAAGTCCACTTCCGGCAGCCCTTCCTTCAACGTCTCAAGAAGGTCCCCCTCACGGAGGTCGATTTGCTGCTCAACGGTCGCACCACACTGTGCCCAGTACTTGCGCGCGATAGCTGCCTTCTCTGTTTCCTTTTCCGTGGCGATCACAGTCCCGGACTTGCCAGTCGCCGCGGTCGTTTTAGCCACAGCTAAAGCAAGGTAGATAGTGCTGACACCGAAGCTGGTTCCTGCTTCGACAACATTGGTGGCGCCCATGGCGTTGATCAACTGGTAGGTGAATTGACATTTATCCTCGTCGAGAGCGATAAACTTATCCAGCATAAGCTGGTCGAATTGATCTCTGGGATTTTCAGCTGGGCTTTTGTCTTCTAAGTCGCCGAGGATTTTGGAGGAGAAGACTTTGCCCGTTGTGGAGAGGACAGCTTCTTGTTCGAGAGACTTTTTGTGAAGTTCGGACAGGAGCTGCAGGATGTGCGCGGGGGCATCAACGGGTGTAGGGGTTGACATTATTCAATCGGGTGCGAAGATCAAGAGTTGAGGCTCAATGATTATTGTTAAAGCTGGTGAGCAGTGATTCTTCCAGGGTTATATACTCGCAGCTTCTTAAGATGACATGACATTTGTGCTGCTGCGAATGTGGGGAATGGATTCTTGGCATTTTGGAGAAAGGGATTGACTTTAGCCGGGCGACTAGGGAGTCCTATACTGCTATCCTACTTTCTACTTCTTCCTTTCTCCCTTCTTTTGATCGTGGATTTCGCCTCTCTCTTTCACCAAATCCGAGATAAAATCCCCAGTATCTCCCCCTATCTTCCCAAAACCGTCCACTACCCCCTGTCGATCCCCGGGCCTCATCTCCTGACTCATTTTAAACTTCCCCTCGATCTTAGTAACCTTGATCTCAATTCCCACAATATTCCGTTTCATCAACGCGAGATACGGTCCAGGTGCATCTGACACTTTCCATGGCTTCAGCCGTGCCCCGTTGCCGTCCCCAGTATGCCCCACAATCGACCTCTCAGCATGCTCAGACAGATCATGGATCTGCTTCGCTAGAAATGCGCCAGCGTCCGGGGACTTCGAGTCATAGTAGAGCGAAAGTTTGCCGTAGACCTGAACAGCCGTGTAATTCCACGTGGGTACGACCTTGCCCGTGGCCGGTTTGGTTTCGGTGTAGAACTTGGGCGTAACGTAGTGGTCGTGTTTGCCGTTGAAGACGACCAAAACCTCGTCGTCCAGGTCCAGGATGCTTGGGGGTTTGTTGTCGACTCCTTCGATCAGGGCCTGGGCCTGAGGGTTCTTCTTTGCGATGTGGGCGCGGAGCCGGGGTTCCGATGCGTTGGAGTCGTCATGGGCGTCGAGAACGAATGGGACGTGGGTGCATTGCAGGTAGGAATGTTGGGAAGAGTTGATGCCCGTGATTAGCATTCCCAGTGGGTTTTCGCGGATGAACTGGAGGAGGACATCGCGGTCAGTTTCGGCGTGGACGCTTGGAAGGAACATGTTGGATGATGAACTGAGAGGTGATACTAGTCCAACGACAGCTGAGTGTTTATTGATTGTTTATGTATTCGTGATGGAGGAAGGTTTAAACACCGGATGAGCCAATACTCTATAGTCTAAGGTCTAGATCCTGCGTGATAAAACTTTCATAGTGATGGCGAATTTTTAAATCGGGGTAAAATGAAAACTTTTCATAATGTCGCTCTTGCGCACCACATAGAGCAAGCACTACTAATTGAGGGAATATTAAATCCGAGACTGAAGGGTGGGAACCATCGCAGCCGCGCACTATATTGGGAATAGGATTGTTCGGGGTTCAAAAAGGTACCCTGGTACCACGACGTTTACAGATCCACCGCCACGGATCAATCCACCTCTTGCTAATCACGGTCAAATACCGACACAATGCGAAGCCTACATCGGTATGAAGATATAGACAAGCCTCAGCTACATGGTGGGAATGGAGTCGTAGCTACCCTCTGATTCTTCGTTTTCTCTCATTCAGCATCTGCATCCTTTCCGACCTTGCATTGCTATCTTCAGCACCATGGCCAACCAATCACCGCTAAAAATCGCCATCCTGATCAACACCCCTCCGGGCAACGAATTCCGGCACGATGTACGAAATTCATACACCGAAATATTCAGAATCATGGCCCCAAAAGCTCACTTGAGGTTCTTCGACCCCGTGTTTGCAAATGAATTCCCTGATCCCAAAATGAACCCTTACGACTTCCTAGTTCTCAGCGGTGGCAAAGCCGATGCTTCCTCCGAAGAGCCGTGGGTCCTCGGCGTTCTTCACTTTGTTCGAAGAACAGTATGCGAGACTACAAAGACAAAGCTTTTAGGCATCTGCTGGGGTCATCAGGCAATTGCACGAGCCTTGGGTGGGGAGGTTCAACCAGTGCCAACGGGCCCAATAGTAAGAGATCCCCTCCACCCTACCCATTCACATGTATTCGGAATATATCTAACTTCGCTGATAAAACCAGGCAGCCGTTCAAGATATCCGGTTGACCTATGCGGGACGAAAGTTCTTTGGCTATGCTGCTGAAGCGGGATATTATGTGAGTAGATGATGGCACTCTCGCTGATTAGTCCTATCCATATTAATTAAATATCTAGACAGCTCCCGAGTTTCATATCCGTGAGGCCGCAAAACCAGCTCCGGGGTTCATCCACTTAGCAGAGAACCATGAGTGCTTTTTGAACGCGACCGGTACAGTCTTGACCTTTCAGGCGCACCCCGAGGTTCAAAGTGGACTTGCTAGGAAGATGTTGTTGGAGGAAGACGACGTGTACAATGGAAACTCCACCAAGGAGCAACTGGAGGAGGAGCTTAGAAAGCTGATGCAGCCCACGGATGGAATTCGGCTTATGGAGAGGGTTGTTCAATGGATCAGGGAATAAGATATCTAGTTTCTCTAGAGGTAGTAATTTCAAGAGGGCTTAAAAATGATCGAGGTTGACGTAGTACTCCATAACTAAAATGGGGATTTTTAGGTGCGGTAGGGCGATGTTGATGCTTGGCATTTTGGAGAGAAGATTCTGCAACATGCCAGTTAGAATGACTCAATCGTGGCAATCATCCATTCACAATATTTCCTGTACTTCTCCAGAATGCCAAGATCATCTCACCGGGTCCGGGCGATCGGCAGCTCCACCACGCCAGACCCAAAGAAGTGCGCGAGAGCGATGCGTACCAACGGGGAGGTTCATTCCAACTCCGATGGCCCACTTACTCCCGAGTATACCATGGTCATGATACCTACGGAGTAGTTCTTATCCTTCAGAGCACAGTTTTATGTGGCAGTACAAACTGAGTATATAAAATCGATTGTCGTCGGTCTTCATATTCATGTGCGGGTATGCTATCTCAGTTTCAACATGTCTTCTTCAGCTGGAATCGAAAGATTAGGTGCAGGTTCACCAACCAATGAACAAACCTCCCATGGTCTTACGGAGAAGACACCACCAGATGGAGTACTTAATCAAAGACAGGAGAAGCCCTCGAACAGGTATGCGAACCCAATGGCGCATCCACGATCGAATGCCACGTGAACTAGGAACTAACAATAGCAGGCGCAAACTGATTATCATCATCGCCGCGTTCATGCTCAACTTCTCTGGCTGTGGGCTTCTCTTCTCTTTTGGCATCTTCCAATCACTATATGAAAATATGTCACTGGAGGAGAATAACCCATTCAGCGGAGCTTCATCAGCCCAAATTACTTTGATCGGTAGCATCGCTGCAGCCTTGATGAAGCTGGGTGCTCCCTACGTCGTTGCATGGTCGAAATACTATAACCCACAGCCGGTAGTTTGCGTAAGCGGTCTACTCTATGGGATTGCCAGTGTCCTTGCCAGCTTCGGAACACAGCTGTGGCACTTCCAGCTCACACAGGGTCTTTTGATCGGCATCGCGACATGCCTCTCCTTCATGCCCTCCATGGCCGTCCCGCCGAGCTGGTTTGGAAAGTATCGTGGTCTGAACATGGGCGTCATCTCTTCCGGGACCGGAATTGGTGGCCTGGTGTGGTCTCCTGTAGTGAGCGCTTGCCTGCAGACCATGGGATTTCGAAACACCTTGCGACTTACTGGCTGTATCTGCACTGTTCTCATCTGTGCCTCTGGGGCCGTTCTCAGCTGGGAACCGACCATGATGGCGCAGCTCCACGAAGAGAACCAAAAGCTGTCTTGGATCTCTGGCCTATTTGTTGTTCCTCTCCCCCCTCGGAACATCGTCATGACCCGCAAATTCCTAGCCCAGTGTCTCAACGCGACCTTTCAAAGTGCCGCCTATTATACTCCGATCTTCTACATCTCTGCATACTGCAAGACCCTCGGCTACAACGACACAGACGGCTCCAACTTCACCGCACTGAGCAACGCCTGCAACGCAATCGGCAAGATTGTAGTTGGGTTCGTGGCCGACAAAATCGGGCGCCTGGACTCGTTCTTCCTCACCACGGTCTTGAGCTCTGTGTCGACGGCTGGGCTCTGGGTTCCGAGCACCGTGCTGGGATCTACCGATATTGCTTCCGGAAAGGGAGCCTTCGTCGGATTTACCGTGCTTTATGGTCTGTTCGCCAGTGCGTATATTGGCCTGTTCTCGCCGGCATTGGTGGAGCTCTTTGGGATGGCTAATATGCCACACATCACGGGCATCATGTACATGCTGCAGGGCGCTGCTGGCTTGGTAGGGACGCCTGTTGCTGGTGTTTTGGTACAGTCGACAGGTGGGGAGATGTTGCCGGATAGCTACTTGTATATGGCGGTGTTTACAGGAGCGTTGATGGTGGCTTCCGCTGTGACTGTATTCTGGGTGCGGATGGAAAAGATGTGGGAGCGACTTGGTGGCTCATTGAAGTGGCATTGGAAGTTATAGATTCTTTGACAGTCCGCCTTTACCTCCGTCTCAAAGCGCAACTTACCGCGCATGTGGAGAGTGAGAAGAGCTTAATGGGATAAATGAGGGTAATATAGTCATTATTCAGATGTGGTACTTGATTACCAGGGCTAACGTCTGTGGAGCTTGTGCGACATTAACTGGGAGGCAGAAATAGTCCAAGGCAGCCACTAGACCCAAAGCTGAGCTGCGCCTGGAACACATCCAACTGAGCTCAAGTGTGCAGATCATTGTGATCTCATAAGCAATAATTCACAAAGAAGATCACCCGGGCACATGACCACCTGCCGAAAGCGGGGAAATATACTCCCGTGAGGGGGTGGCACTATCGCCAGCAGTCATAAAGGTGGCATCTGCAATATCACTGACCCTATAACTGATAAGCCTTGCAAGAGCGGGCTCTTCGATAAACATATCATTGCTGGGGTTCTATCAGCCCAGTCGGTGCAGGTGGTACGATAAGCTTAATCAATGATCGTATCTTATCAGTCATCTAATCGGACCCTACCGTTCAGCGCAGATCGACGAGACACTGAATTATTTGCTCCTTCCCTGAGCTCTAAAATCCAGGAATCTCTCTGAAATTGGCTGCTCTTGATCTTTTCTTTGATTCTAGTGCTCCGATCTTGAACAATTCCTCAAACCCTCTATCCATAACCACCACTTCCAACCAACCCCGACCATGGAACTATCCAACGGCGTGAACCACAAGAAGCCCGTTCCGTCGATTGACCGAATCGCCGTCCTCGAGCAAGATGCACCACTTCTCAGTCTAATGACAAGAATCCGAGACGAGAGTACCTCGCACCGCGACTTTTGTGCCGCGGTGGATAGAATCGCCCAGCGGTTAATCACACTAGGTTAGATACATTTCATCGCAATGCCGTCCCATGCTAACAGGTAAAGCACTTAACCATGTCCCCGTGGATTCTCATACTATTACAACGCCAACAGGCGCGACCTATCCGGGAGTCCAATATACCAAAGGCGTATGCGGAGTGAGCGTTCTACGGGCGGGTGCTAGTATGGAGCACGCGCTGCGAAATACGTGGATGTACGATTTCCCTTACTCAATTTCTTTCCCTCTTATGCGTGCTAAACTTCATGACCAGGGGACCACTCACCTTCGGACACATCCTGATCCAACGAGACGAACGAACCAGTAAAGCACAGTTATATTACTCCAAACTACCACCGCATATTAAGGACGATGGTAAGTCCAACACTATCAACGAATGCAAACCAGCCTATCTGACAAATCAGTCGTCTTACTCCTGGAACCGATGCTCGCAACAGGGGGGTCGGTAGTCAAGGCCGTCGAATCGCTCACGGGGTTCGGCGTGCCCGAAGAGTCCATTGTTCTGGTTAACGTGGTCGCTTCGAAGAAAGGGCTTGATGTTGTGTCTACGAGATTCCCTGAGCTGAAGATTGTATCGGCAGCTGTGGACTCAGAGCTGACGGCTGAGAAGTAAGTGCTTTTGAGTCAGAATTCTGAGCTATTTGCTAACTTGCTCCGTGAAGTTACATTAGCCCTGGGGTGGGTGACTTTGGGGATCGGTACTATGGTACTTAGGGGTTTTGTTTGGGAGCGTTTACTCTGATGTCTTATGTGGGTGTTGGGTTCTGGTTCGGTGATATTGGATGTCATTTCTATTAAGCATATTGCTCTATTGGTTAAGGTTCTGTAGTGTTCATATCAAGTGTTTTGTGTTTATATCGTGTTCGGATAATTCGTATCAGGTGTTCATACTATAAATCTAGAATTGACAGATGATATCTCTTTAGTTACACAATTCACCCTAGCAGCTAACGATGACTCCAAAAAATTTCATTCAGATTTACGTCCTATTTCCCGCAATCAACTGTTATCTATTCTTTCACGCACGACTTTCAACGTGAAATTATGGAAAAGCTACTGTTTCTACAAGCCAAATAACACTTGACTTGTAAACTGCGTCGGAATTCTAATTTAGGTTAAAAGATTTCAATTACTATTGACTCTAACAAATACACATCTAATCAAAAAGCCGTCCCAAACAGCCTATCACCAATATCTCCCACCCCCGGCTCAATATACCCCTTATCATCCAACCCCGGATCCACCGCGCCGACCACAAACTGCGTCGACTCCGGCCACACATTCGCCGCACGATCGAGACCAACCGGCGTCGACAACAACGACAAGAACGTAACCTTATCAATTCCCCACTCCCTAGAACCAAACCAAGCAATTAGCATCCCCAAACTCACCCCAAGAAAGACATAGAACAATGGAAAAGAACTCACTTCAAAATATCCACCACCGCACCCGCCGTACCCCCCGTCGCGATCAACGGATCCAGCACAATCGCCTGCTTAATATGGTCTGGCTTTTGCGGCAACTTGTTATAGTACTCGACCGGCTGGAGCGACGATTCGTCACGGAAGATGCCCATGTGGTAGACGGCGGTCTTTACCTCGGAGGGGACATTCTTCATGAAGCCCTCGAACATGGCGAGCCCGGAACGCAGGACCACGATGATCGCGAGGGTTTCGTCGTTGGGGGCCTTGAGGGTGGTGTTTTGGGCGATTGTGGACGAGGCTTCGTGGACTAGGGACCGGACGGAGGAGGGGTTGAGAGTGCGGTCGCGGAGTTTGTCGAGGAGGGAGGTGAAGGTGGGGTCTTGAAGTTTTTGGACGTTGGGGGGGTAGGAGATGGTCATTTTGGGATTGATTTTGTATTGCTTGGTGAAGTGGTGATGAGGATGAAGGTGAAAGGATGATGGTTGATGAATGCTTCGATGTTTGGATCAGGACAATTGGGGATACATATATCTGTGAACCATGAGAAGCCCAATCCGTTGTTATTCTGTGTTCGCTATTTACATCTACTATCTATACAGATTGCCCAGGTAATCAGATAAGATAGGTCTATCTCTCAACCTCCATCGATAAGCCTCGGGCCACCTAAAACGGAAAGGCTTGGCACCTGCAGCTGGCCGCGTCTACCAAATCAGACGCCTTCGACCTGCATGCAACCCCTCATTGTCGATTTGTTGTCAACCTCATCTCGACCTGGAGCTTCTCTTCATCCTTCGCATCCTTCCAAATTTCAAGCGCTGCTACCATCGCTGAAACCAAACACCCACCATGACAGACACAATCCCGTACCTTCTCAGCCTAAAGGCCGTGCGAGAACGAGCACAGATCGTGTTCAAGAATGCGGAGCAAGGCAAGCTGAGCAACTTCGACTACCACCCCGAGAAGCTCGATGCGGCCGCCAAATATGTGATGGATATTATCGAGGTGAGAAATGCTTTAAATATCGACCTGGAAATCCACTAACAGGTCTCCTGGACAGAGAGACTTCGGACCAGACAAATACCACCTCATCCCCCCGCACGGTCGCTGGCAGCATTTCGAAGTCGGTGGAGTACCCAGGATCGCAGATTTGATCGAGCGATGGGAGACACAGGGATACGACGATGCAGAGAAGGTGCGAAGTCTGCTCGATCTGTTCTTTGTGTCGGTTCTCCTGGACGCTGGGGCGGGTGATCACTGGCGCTTCCGCGAGGAGAAGACCGGACAGGTATATAACAGAAGTGAGGGGATTGCTGTCGCGTCGCTGTATATGTTTTTGGACGGGGTGTTTGCAAACAAGGATTCTTCGCGGAAGGATGTTGTGCATGGTAAGTCCAGTACCTTTGTTATTGGATGGTGGGCTAATGAGAGGTGGTAGGGGAGGCGCTGGAGAAAATCACCCCGGAGGAGCTATCTCGCGGTTTCCAAGTCGATGAAAGCAATCCCTTGCTTGGAGTGAATGCACGAACGGAACTCATTCAACGACTAGGAGCATCGTTGCGTAATCTGTCCGATATCTTTGGTCCAGAGGGCCGTCCAGGTCGACTCTTTGGTAAATATTCATTTCTAACCCTTTCAGATATCTGTCTAACATCACGTAGACTATCTACAATCCCAGAACAAAGGAAGTCTCGATTACACCCAGCTCTGGAACGCCCTGCAAACAACCCTCATCCCAATCTGGCCGTCCGATCGAACTCGCATTGACGGAAAGCCCATCGGAGATGCATGGCCTTTGAAAGTCCTCGCAGACAACGCCTCCACCAGCACGGGCGGCATCCAGCCATTCCACAAACTCACTCAGTGGCTCGCATACTCGCTGATGGTCCCATTCCAGCGTCTCCTATCGGTGAAATGGACCAATGCCGAGCTCGGCACCGGTCTCCCAGAGTACCGAAATGGCGGAATGTTCGTTGACATGGGGGTTCTCACGCTGAAGCCCGATACGTTGCAGCAGGGATTGAAGACCTCCGGGACTAGTTTGCCTTGCTACGGGGCTAGTAGTGATGAGATCGTGGAGTGGCGCGCCATGACGGTTGCTCTGCTGGATGAATTGCATAAGCGCATCTTGTCGAGTGGTCGGTTTGGTGAGACGAAGTTGACTCTGCCGCAGATGCTGGAGGCAGGGTCTTGGAAGGCGGGACGGGAGTTGGCTGCTGAGAAGAGGCCGGAGAGTAGGTGCAGTCCGATCCTGAATTCGGGAGATGGTACATTGTTTTAGATAGTTATGTCTAGCGTTAGTCTCTGGCTATAAGGGCAAAATGCAAATGGCACATTTTCAAAACATATCATTGACTCCTAGGTCAACACAATATTGACTTCTTAGCTCAAAGGGATACCCTAAATGCGATGCTTCTTCTGTGCACTCGTTATTCGAGGCGTAATTCCACAACATAGAGATCATACACACTTCCTATCCACCCTACACCTTCAAGGTTGCAAGATAAGATAAGATTAGATGAGATAGGAAGATAAGCCAGATAACTCCGGATCCGCCGTGTTATCTCCGCCCCTCAACCAGCTTTATCTACCAAGGATTTCCCCCGTGTTGCTTATGTTCTGGTCCAGATAGTTCAGCTAATCTCCAGGTCCCTCTAGCGCACGATGACAGATGATAGGTGCCCGGCACATCCGCAGCTGCCGTCCAGATTGCAAGCAAGGGCTTATCAGTGTATCTGGTGACTTGGTGGAAGCGACCGTGGAATAGTTAGGTATATAATTGTGATGCCCACCGGTTAAGAAGGACTAATATTGTGTTTTCATATTCTCTATATCCGTGTGCATTCCATTTACACACTCTTCACCCTTCGAGATGACCGGCACAATAAACCCTCCCAACCCAGTAATGGAGCATTACTCCAACCGCATCGTCGTACGCTATCCCTCACCCCACCACCCCCTCCCTATCTCCTGAAATCCCACTAACACTCCCAGCTCACAACCTACCCCAACCAAAGCGTCGCCAACCCGATCCCTCTAACATGGGGCGCCGCTACACCCACGGAGCGCGGTCCCGTGATCGTCTCACGCTCGAAAAACACCCTCAGCAAGCGCAACGCGATCGGCGCCCACGGCGGCAGCTACGCGATCTACGGCGCGCTGGCCATCGCCTCGGGGGCGCTTGACCCAGACTTCCGGCCCAACTTCCTCAACACGCAGCCGACGTTCAACTTCCCGCCGCAGGCCGCATGGGGGGACAAAACGAAGATCGTCTCCATGGACCCGTTCGGCCACGACATCGTCAAGCACTACAGCCATCACATCGAAGCTGGGCTGGACGTCCGCCCAACCATCGCGGTGACGCGCGCCACGATGCGCGTCTCGGAGGTCAGCGAAGCGATCAAGCTCGGCCGGCTACCTATCGACGGGAACATCGTGCTGAACGGACAGGGCGACGTGCGCGTGACAAAAGTAGCCGTCGAGCCGGTGTGGTATCTGCCCGGGGTAGCGGCGCGGTTTGGCGTGGACGAGGTGCTGCTGCGACGGGCGCTGTTCGAGCACACGGGCGGCAACTATCCGGAGCTGATCACGCGGCCAGATATGAAGGTGTTTTTGCCGCCGATCGGCGGGCTCACGGTGTATATCTTCGGGCCGCCGGAGAAGGTGTCGGATCCGAATATAAAACTGGCGCTGCGGATCCACGACGAGTGCAACGGGTCGGATGTGTTCCAGTCGGATATCTGTACGTGTCGACCGTATCTGGTGTTTGGGATCGAGGAGGCAATCAAGGAGGCGCAGAACGGCGGGTCCGGGGTGGTGATTTATTTCCGGAAGGAAGGGCGCGCGCTGGGTGAGGTGGTTAAGTATTTGGTGTATAACTCGCGGAAGCGTGGCGGTGATACGGCGGATCAGTATTTCCAGCGGACGGAGAATATTGCGGGCACGAAGGATGTGAGTTCTCTTTTTTGTTGGTTTTATTTCTTGGAGGGGGTGGTGGCTAATGGGGTATAGATGCGCTTCCAAGCCCTGATGCCGGATATTCTGCACTGGTTGGGGATCACCAAGGTGGATCGCATGCTTTCCATGTCGAACATGAAGCATGATGCTATTGTGGAGCAGGGGATTCCGATTCTCGAGCGGATTCCAATCCCGGATGGTGAGTTCTATCCATCGATGGCTTGGAGTGGTACTGACAGAGTTAGAAATGATTCCTGAGGATTCGAGGGTGGAAATCGATGCGAAGATCCACTCGGGCTATTTCACAACGGGGAAGCAGTTTACTGAGGAGGAGTTAAAGCAAGTGAAGGGTCGTGGGTGGGATGCATGGGAGGATGTTACGGTAAGCTTTCTTTGATTGTATGAGATGTAGTTGACTGACTTGTGTTGTAGCACTGAGCGCATGAGAAATGGAAACAAGGGATTAGATTTGGGCTTTATTCGAAGTAAATTTGTACTTGACATGAATAAGAACTTATATCACATAAAGACTCTCCTAATTCTTTTGGCATCAAAGTAAATAAGACTGCGATACAGGCACATACTCTACTACAGAGCCACCATTCCACCTTCACCAGAGTCCCTAAGAATGAAAGCACCCGCAGAACGCGATGACACATCCCAGCACCCCTTCTATTGGTTAAACATACCAGGTAGATACTCGCGATTCTACATCCAAGTTCTCTGACTGGCTCGCAGAGTCTATCTTTGCAAGACAAACCAACCGGTCCGAAAGTTAGATGTAAGCCTAAATGTAATTGATTCTTCGTTGTTCAAGCCGAAAGACATATTCATTGAGCTTCAGCCATCTCATGTTATGTTTCTGCCCCTACCTATCAGATTCTCTCTAATAGCTTTAATGTCCCCCTCATCCAGACCACAACAACTCCTCACATACCCCTCAACACTACCATACCTACACCTCATAAACTCCAACGTCGCTCTCAGACTCGATTCCCTGAACCTGATCAGCACTGTCACACCAATAAACCCCACAGCAAGAACACAGGACACATACCTAACACTAAAAATATTCCTCACCTCCTCCACCCCAAACACCCCCGGCTCCTTCCTCCACAGAATCCCCTCCAACGCAGGTCTCCAGTCCTTCAGACCCTGTTCCGACAGACAGTAATCCATCTCAATCGTCGCATCGTCCACGCCCACAAGAGTCAATATCACGGCCGCCAGGATCCCCGTCCTGTCTCGCCCCAGGGTACAGTGGAACAAGCAGCCCGAGTAGCCATCGCGGAGATGGAGCAGGATAGGACGGAACGCGTCCCCGCCGGCGGTTAGGATGTCGCGGTATTCTTTTCTGAAGCCCTGGTACAGTCAGCATGTTAGTCCTATCCATGTTCCCTTACCTCCCTTCTTGAAACGAGGTGGGCCGGACATACAATCTCCCCCATCGCATAACTCTCACACCTCGACTTCGTGCTCTTGCCTGCACCCTGAGCGACACCCCGAGATGAAAACACAGGCGCTGCGACCCTCCTTATCCCCGCGACCTCCGTCACCCTCATCGAGGAATCATGCGTATCGCTCTCCCCTGTGGATCGGAGGTCGAAGATAGTCGAGATACCGAGTTTGCGCAAGACATCTGCTCCGGCGGGGGTGATGCTTCCTGGCTGGGCGCTGCGGAAGAGCTTTGAGTGCTTTATGCGCCCATGACGGGTTGGTAGACCGCCGAGGTCTCGGATGTTGTGCACCCCGGGGACGGTGAGGAGGCGAGATGGGGTGGGGGGTGGATGGTCGAGGAGTTTGGTCGGGAGGAGGAGGTCAAGTTTGAGGATGAGGGTTGGTTTCATATTGAGGTATTGATTTAGTACATTTGGTTAAGTTGATTGATGGCCGTATAGTAGGTGTGGAGGAGAGGATAGAATACTATATGTTTGGTAGGACATATCCCGATACAGATCATATGAACTAGGAATCTAGAAACAAACAGGTCAGGAACCGGTTAAACCCATTACATGCCAAGGCTAAGGCTGCTGTCTATCTGGGTAGTATTCGAGACCCCGAATCCCGAATCTATCGACATGGCTATCTAACACGTTTATGTCACACATAAGGATCAAACAATCCAACAAGATCTCTATCTATTGAATGGAACACCTATAGCCCTCCCAATTCCGTGGATAGCATATTCAGTAGACAAGAAACAGCATCGAGACTAGAAAGCAGCAACCCCAGAAGAAGGCGATTTCGCGAAGGACGGAAATGAAGTCCATATTGTTTTCTGTAGACAGACGTCGAAAGAAAGCGTTCTAGAAAATGGAGTTTTGTGGGCCGAAGATAGATGAGAGGACTTCGAGGTTCCCGGAAGCATGGATAGAAATTGTGGTTATGTATGTAGATGTATGAGGACGCGTCCTAATCTTGAATTTCTAGTTTGATTTCTTTCTTGTCGAGAATCAACAAAAGAGGAGAGGTATAGTAGAATCGAGCTTTACTTTCGCAAAATGCCCGGGGAAAGGGGATTAAAGTATCGGAGAAGGCATAAAGGGCGTCCACCGTCACAATTTGGGTTTCGGGATTAGTGACTTCTGAACTCTGCGTGATGAGGGATTTTCCAGCCCTCACGAGGACCTGGTTCCATGGAATGGCATCTGTCATTACTTGTTCCTAGCCAGAACTTTCTTTCAACTGGTAATTCTGGGCGCATTCTCCGAAGAGATTTAGGAAGTTGGTCGTTGTAGTAAGCTATATCCATGTAGAGAAATGTTGACATGACATGACGTGACAGATAACCTCGTGAGAACATTAACACTAATGACTGGATAGTTATAGATTAATTCCATAACAATGTTTCAGGCTGCCGATAACTTCGCAGTCGACTTGAAAGCCGTTTCCACATCGCTCAGTCGAAAGCCTGGTGCTCGGCCTAGTATAATCATGTTTTTCAGAAGCACTGTCAAATTAGCATAGGCCCAAGATGATCCGGGTGAGAAACTCACAGCGAAAGAAGCCCTCCACATTGAGGGTCAAATCGCTAGTCCGCGATCTCACTGACGTTCCATCACCGATGTGAAACTTCCTAGGCACCACACTCTCCTCATGCGCATCCACATCCATAACACCCTCATCCACCCCCTCGGACGCTTTCGCAACAGCACCCGACCCAGACGCATAGACACACGAAGGACCATCCAGCGCCAGCCCCTTCTCCTCCAAATACCCCTGCACATCATGACAATCGAGCCATATACCATGCAACCCCAGGGCCTTGAGCAGCGCATCTCTCTCCTCACTCGCCTCATCGACCTTATCATCCCTCGCGCCCGAAAACGGCATCACGCTCAGAATCCTCCTCGGAAGACGCATATTCTCCGGATAGACTGGCACCCCGTTCTGTTTTCGGGGGTAATGCGTTCCCGCGCCCCCGATGCAGTAGAACGGTGCGGCCGCTATATCCAACGATTCCTGCGCCCCCGACCGCACGAGACACTCTAGATACGGGCGCATTTTGTCCGTGTAGCGGACGCAGGGGACGAGTCTGAAGATGCGGTAGAAGTCCTGCGCGTTGGCGTGTGGATCGATGAATATGCGCCAGGTATATTCGAGACAGTAGCGGTGGAGGCGTCGCGAGAAGTCGGTCTCGTGGAGGCTGTGCGTGTGTGCGGAGCTGCCGGGGAGAGGCTTCTCGATGTGTCGCAGGTGGTAGGAGTATAGAGGATGGCAGAACCGGACGGGTCGGTGTCTTTCGTGAGAGGTTGGGAGGTGGGAGTTGGGGTCTTGCTGGTCCTCGGGGTTGATCATGTAGCCGAATGTGACTGGGTCAGGGTCGGTAGTCGTGGTGGGATAGAGTGGATGGTTTGTTGCGTGGATGTCTTCTGTACGGGTCCAGTGTTGGTCACTTCTCGGGGTGCTACTCTGTACCTGGGCGATTGTCTCGTTGAGCCTGTCGAATAGATATGGATGGGTGACGTGCAGATCGGACTGGATGGCCATTTCGTGGAAGTCGGCGAGAGACGAGGATATTCGCTCCACGGTATCTTGCAGCTCCGAGACCCGATTTCTCATATCGCGGAACATTGTCTCTTTCTTCTGGCGGTAGGTTCGTTGTGCGTGTCGAACCTGAGTGCGACGGTCCTGATTTCGTCAGACTCTATCATCCTATTTATTAGGAAAGACTACATACATGAGACGCTGTGTCTGTTGTCGACGGCGACATCCTCGGTCGCCCACGCTTACTCACTCGATTAGAAGTCATAGGCGTCGATCGATGAACGAAGCTTTCCCTGCTAATAACCTCCACACTCGCGTCCGGTCGAGATTGGAGCTCAGGATTCGGCAAAATGCGCCCCGGCAGATAATATCGCGCCGAGAGGGTTCGCGCCAAATCATGATCGGCCATGTTGGCTTCAGGAAATTAGCAATTCCTGACACTGGAATAACAGACCGAGTAACCGGAATACAACGACAAACGATGAGAATATCAGCGGGGAGAAGAATCAATCGCAGGTGGGGGCATATAACATGTCAGACGCAAAAAGATCCCTCGGCTCGATTGTGATCAGATAATCTTTGCCGATCCTCGGCTCACGCATTTTGCCAATTGGCCACTCTCTTGCGTGGTTCGCGCTAAGAACGCCCCTATCGCTTCGAATCACGCCATGATCTCTGGAATTCTATTTAGCCGGCTGGTTCCATATCGGCCCAGTCCCGTCTTGGGTTTCCGTCGAGTACTTCGTGCAACTCCCAACCGAGATGCTGTGCGGCCCGATCACGCTGTCTGCGTTGTTCGATTAGTGGATTGTGGATTTGGGCGGTTGCATGATCATGTGGGACAATCTCCTTACGCATGAAGGTAGTAGTCCACAGTCTTCAGCATTCTCGTCGGGGCGTCCTCGTTTAAACACATACCGCAAGTCAAAGCTAGCAAAGACCTGTTTCTGAGGCTGTTCGTCGACCTGCTCTCTCGCCGATAATTTCCGGTCGACCATGGCCTGTTTCAAAGATAAGTCTCGGGATAAATGCCCTTCTCCAAAAGGTGCGAGACCACGTATAGCCCTTTCTGGTCCAATGTCATGGCGCGAGACTAGATCTCATACGGCTGGTAGGGCTTATCTCTCGCTTCAAGACAATGCACCCCTCCCAGAGCAATACTTGTGGAATCTGGAGCAGGAAATATCGAGATACAAGGACCAAAAAGGACTCCGCAGAGGTTTGCTCTGGAAATATCGAACACGTGGAGTTGTGGATGTTAGTCGCAATCACTCTGAGGCGATCGTTTGAAGTTTGAACTAATGACGGCAGAAACAGACAGTCGGGGGTTAGCGAACTAAATGACGTAGGAGCGATGTACAATCGTGCGATAATCAGGTGAAAAATCAAATCCTTGTCGTCAGTGCTATCGGAATTCGATTGATTGCTGAACGTACATGCCACATCAGGGTAGGGTCTTGTATGCCGTCAAGAGAATCATCAGGACCAGCACTCCCAGACCCGTCGAATCATGCATGGCGGTGAATCTATTCTGAATTTCTTCGAATGATCTACTCCATAATATGACGATCCACGACGATCAATAGTTCAGTTCGAGTCCGACCGATGATCAATTCCAGCTTATTTATTCCCGGGCTGCCACGCATCGGCATGCCGAAGTGCTTGGCTGTACTACAGATGACGTCGCATCTATTTGGCAAATACCAGGATTCTGCTTGGATCGTTGCACAGTAGTCAATTACACTTCTTCATTGCTCAAGACGGTATCAGTTGTCGAGAACAAAGTTCTTGTCAAACCCGTGGGCCAGGTAAAGGTGCGTCCTGCCGCTCCGGTATTCAGCAGGGCTTTGCCCGCGAATAACAATCCAGTGATACATGACTAACATGCTCTTTCTGAGCAGAGTGAGAAATCCGTGGTTCGTGAGGGCAATCATGGCATGGTGGTCACCAATTGGAGAGGGTCAAGCAGCCATCCGACGGTTCGCCAGCCATGGCCAGTTAAGCTCTCACCGACAACGCCATCTACGTGATGAGTACATGGATCGGCCGCATGTGATATAAGATTCTCATATTATGAGTCCAGCACGTCGCCCAAAACCGAAGAGATCATCCTGAAGCTGGAGAACTCCTACATGGAACATGAACTAGTAGACTGCAGTACCACCCCAGGCCATAGTGGAACATTCAGCCCTTATCCCTGGCTCCACATTGGATGCCCATTCCCCAGGCTGACGCACCTCCGCGGAAAAGAATCCCCACGATAAGAGCCAATGCGATGACTCGCCCATTGCGGTGGGCAAAGGAATGCCGTCGATCCGCGATAAGCAGGTCCCTTGCTGATTGGGCCATTGGGGGCGCTTGGCGATCATTGTCGAGATCTTGGCGGAGTTGAGTATATCGGATTATCATATTATCTCATCAGGGATTTGCATCTCCTATAATACATGTACTGCGATTTACCCCTTTCCTCGCTCCCCGTAGTCTATCGTTACTACTCCTTTACTCTCCTCACCATGGACGCCTACACTCCCCCGGAAGTGGCCGAGCTGGTCTCCCGCGCCGGAGCCACCAAGGGCAATATGCGCCTGGATAAGGTATTTTTCAGCGCTTTCTCCGCCGGATGTCTCCTTGCTTTTGCATGCGGAACCGTGCTCAGTACAAATACTGCCTCGTGGTTCCAGGACAATGCCCCGGGACTCATCCGGACCATCGGGGCGCTGGTTTTCCCGTACGGGTTATGCATAATCGTCCTGACAGGAGCAGATCTATGCACGGGGTCGTTTATGGTTAGCTCCACATGCCCAATCCATATTCTAGATCCTCCTAACAATGTACTGTGCAGTATACCACAGTAGCTGCTCTCCAGCGCCGACTCTCGTGGCCCAAAATGCTTCTCCACTGGTTCGTCACTTTCTGGGGAAACCTCGCCGGCTCGTTATTCATCGTGGCCATCATATTCGGTTGTATGTCCTCTCTATCCCAAACGACATCAATCGCGCGCAGTAATTAACCCAACACAGACGGTGAAACCTTCTCCGCCGACCCCTACAAATCCCAAGTCATCTCCTTCGCCACAAAAAAGCAACTCACCCCAGACTTCCACATGATCTTCCTCCGCGGCATCGGATGTAACTGGCTCGTTTGTCTGGGCTGCTTCCTTGGTCTGCAAGGACGGGAGTTATCATCCAAGATCATCGGGATCTGGCTGCCTATTTTCGCCTTCGTGTCTCTGGGATTCGATCACGTTGTGGCTAATATGACGTTTATTCCGATGGCGATCTGGCTGAAGGCTCCGGGGTTGAATATTGGGCTGTATATTTGGAAAGGGATCATTCCGACCTTGTTGGGGAATATTGTGGGTGGTGGGTTGTTTGTTGGTGAGTTCCTCGGGGGTTCGATATTCGTCGAAACTTGTATACTGACTGTTTCCAGGAACATACTATTGGTACATGTATCTTGTCAAGGAAGAGACTATCACTCTTACCGGTCTTCGAAAGGGACAAGATAAGTCCGAAGCGAGCAGCTTCGCTCCCAGGGGAAAGGAAGATGTGGAGGCTTCTGCTGGGGCTATGGATAGTGGGTTTAAGATTAATAGCCATTGATGTTATTTTGGCACCACACTGTAATCCCGTCTACGATTACCATGAACCCCAACGCACAATACTTTGAATGAACTTTCCATTTTCTCGAACTTGAACTGAAATGAGGCTCTAGATCTCAATACGTCTTCAAGCATGTCAGTCAAAGACCTCAACCTTGGTCTGCTCCTTCCTTCTCTTGTATTTGATCTCTCTCTTTTTTTTCGATCTCCTGGTATTCGGCGACCGGGTAGTAGCTTCATATCCTCAAGTTCGCCTAATTTGGTTTGCTGGTAACTACCCCAGGGTCGAGGTACAATCCCTGCTGCTCAGGTAGCAGGCTCTTGTCCACACCTTTCATGGTAGATGGCCGCAATCCGACCTTCCGCATCCATCTCCGCGTAGCCCAACGGGCAATGCGCAGTCGACGCTCTTCTTCGGTCATGGATCGCGCCGGCCTTGTCACCTTTATTAAGTCTCCTCCGAGTAGCCGCCACAACTCGAAACTTCCAACTTTCTGCGGGCTAAGCTGGTGAACCGGAGGAAACTGCATGCTGGTGAAGCGACTTTTGATTCCCTCGAAGATTTCAGTAGCCGGCGCCACGTATGTAATATCCTGGGCGCTGCATCCGGCAACTATACTTCCAACAACGGATTTCTCGTCGGCATTCACCACCCATGCACCGCAGTCTCCTGGTTCTAACAGCAGGTTTTAGCGTTCCGGCAGATTTGTGACTAGACTTTACTCATGGGGGGTCTTACCTGGTTTCATTCTCAACGCAAAGACATCTCGAAACCCCGAATATGGCGTTGACAGACCACACAACGTCTGGGAAGCAATTGCAGGGACTGGTTTCAGTGGGCCGACTGCCGCCCACACCCGGCCTTCTGCCCAGACTGAGTATTTCGAAAGCACGATCTCACCGTCCTCAGTAGACACAGAATTTTTCGGAGAAGCCGAGTCAATGAGCCGTATCAACGCCCAGTCAGCCTCTATAGACCAAAATGCAGGTTGCGTTCTACCATTCTCGAAGCCAGGCATAGTTTCTGGTATATCCCCTAGGAGCCTTGTCTGATTTGAGCCGGTACTATCCGTTGCAAAAGCTTGTGTCGCCCTCAATTTTATAGACTCCTCATGCTCCAGGATGTCAAGGTCAGTGTCGGAACTTGACTCGTCGCTGTCGTCATCGCTTCCGTCGGTCTGATCGCCGTAATGAGCGTCAAGAAACGCGTGAGACACTGTCACGCCGAAATATACCCCGTTGATCACGACTGCTCCTCCAATGGTCGCACTGTAGTCGTATACATTGCTCTCGTCCCCTACATTAAACAATGTGCCGCAAATGCCCCCGTTCCCTTCTGCTTTTCTGTCCGAGCCGCCGCGATTCGAGGCGATTTTGGTCCTGTATCCATACACTCGGAACCCCCATCGCCCATGTACCTCGCTTTTTCGAACGAGCTTCAGCGCTTTTTCAGAGAACTTCGCATCATCACAAATGAACACCACCGATGGATGGGCTGATTGCCGTTCCTTTCCAACCATCCAGCAAGTGATAATATAATGCGGCTGTTTCCTGCGGCGTTTGAAGATCGCTTCGCCGTTCCCGAGAAACAGCGGCTTGAGGATATTCGGATAAATTGTTTTATTCCAAGCATCTTGAACAGGACCGGCGGGATCCCAGGCATGCTCGTCGTTGAAGCTGCGCGAATATTCTGGGTTGGTCGATGCGTTCTTCTCTTCGAGAGTCAGGCCCTGCCAGAATGTCTCGCAGGTCGCTTGAAGCCCGGTGGTATAGGAATGCTTTACATTATTGAGGGGTGGCTCAATCATAGTGCTCACTGCCATTGTATCGCTCATATTTCGAATCGCCTTTCGAGTGTGGGGAACGGTTGTGATCTCTGACCTGCGTCTTCTCCCTCGTCTCGGGTTGATCCCCGCGCGGGAGCCTCGTCACAGTCAGCCTCATCATTCGCCGAATTTAAGCGCCTGCAGGGAATTGTGGCTGAGTGTTGCACGCATCATGAATTGGCGCTGGCGTTCCAGCCTTCCAGACGAAGAAGCCTTGCCATCTCAATAAACTCTCGATCCCAGACTTTCAGAATTATTCTAGTGTTTCAACTTCAAGTGCTATCTATAAAGCAAAGATTGCCACAAACCCTACATCACTCAAACACTAGTACTGTAACATGACAAGCCAACCTGAAAATGCCCTGCAACTACCTATCAATCAAGCACTAGACGACTCTCGAAACCAGGCACTGAGAGCCAAGTTGCTCCCTGCATTATGGGGCCTGTCGGGTGCCGCCCTTCGACAATCAGATCCCTATATAGATTACTACAATAGCCATATGATATTCATCGAAGCCTACAATCTCCACATCCGAACCCATCAAGACCTTCTTGATTTGATCAATTCCATCAGATCAAAATCCTCTGTTCCGCTCGATGTCCTTCTCAAAGAATTGAATGCGGAGTTCCCGCAACTGGGTCCTGCGATGCGAGCCGTCGAAATCGCAGTCCGGATCTGGTTGATGATTTCCACTGAGGGTTGGGAAACCACTCAGTCACTGGAGGACTTCCTCAATCATTGCTTTCCAACATCCAAACAACTGCCGCATGCAGATCCTTTTCCACTGGCGTTCAACGCCCTGAATCTCCAACGCATCGGTGCGTTTCAGATCGTCTGGACGGAATGTTCACAGGATCATCTTTCTCTCACGATTACCGAAACGCAAAAAGTGCTAAACCTATTTCACCTATCTGCCTTTCTGCAAAGTAACAAACATGGACTAGATGGGTAAGTAACCACTTTGCTTGAACATCTTAACAGATCTCTAACCCACCCACAGCACCATCTTCCCCCCCAACCTCCTCCAAGAAACAGCCCAAACCCTCTCCCTCCTCATCCCCGCCTCCAACATCGACTGCATGAGATGGGTCCGAAAAGCGCAGCGACAAGACGAAATCGACCTTGAGGCTGGTCTGTTTCCTCCAACGTCGCGCGACATCTCGAATTATCCGTACTGGGGACGTCAGTTGCAGATCTTGCGCGATGAGCATGACCGAACTGAGCCGACGACGCTCAAACAGTGGATTTTGGATAGAAGACGGCCAAATCAGCGGTATACGTTTTTGATTGCGGTTGTGGCGCTGGCTCTGGCGTTGTTTTTTGGACTGGTGCAGTCTGTTACCGGGGTGTTGCAGGTTGTTTATAGTGCGAGAGAGTGAGTATGCTATCATGCTTGCTATTATGCTTTTCTATAGATTATGATTATGTAAAATGGAGGAAATGATGGTGTTCTGTTTTCTTTTTCTTGTTCGACTACCTTTTTGGTTCGCTAGTTTTGTATTTGCCTGATTCGTGCTTCTACTTGAACACTCTACCTTTTTTTTTTTTTTTTTCCTTATGTAAATTATTATCTCTTTCACTTTCACACTAATGCTTATTTGGCCAAATTTGATTTCTTTGCCGTATTTTGAAAATGCCATGATCATTTGTTAATTTGTGCCGCGTCCAGAAGATTTATATATAACTTCGATGCTCTTTCTCCACCCAGTTCAAAGACCAATTCAACAATCACCTCATACCATTCATTTACAACACTCGACAATTCTATGAATGCAGATAGTTCAATATCCAATTCATATAAACATGTTGATGCTATAGATCATCGATCCGACATCGGCAAGAACAGGAGCGGCCCCGCCAATCCCAAGCGGCAAGTTTCTCCGCAAATCTCTAAAACTACGGAGTAATGTTCACCGGCGCCTTGCAATTTCTACTTGAAAGGTTTTCAGGCACTTGTGAGCAATAGATTTAAATTCGGCCCTGTATACTTTTACCGGAACTCGTTTCCTGAGATGGCGATTGTTGTTCAGCATTCATAAAAATCTTCACGATGATCCAGGTCCCCAGCGCAACGGCTGAGCGCCCCGATGGCATCACCGCCGACAAGGATGCGGCGCTGGCGGTGGTAAGCGACGAAGCGCAGGAGATTGATCCCGCCGTGGAAAGACGCGTGCTGCGCAAGATCGATATGTTCTTCATGCCGGCGATGTTGATCGGTAAGCTTTCCTCGTTCTTCTGGGCGATGGTAGCTAATTATTCTAGGTTATGGATTTGTATATTGGGATAAAGTCGGTCTTCTCCACTTCGTTCCCATCAACCACGCTAACCTGTCAGGCTATTCTGGGAAGCGCCTCTCTCTTTGGAATGACGACCGATTTGGCCTTGATGGTGGTGGATGATTCCACCTCGCCACCGTCAAAAGATACATCGCGTCTCAGCTGGGCCACCTCCATCTTCTACTTCGGTATGCTGGCCGGGCTGTACCCGATGACCTTCATCCTGCAGCGATTTCAGATTCGATACGTCTTCGGACCGATCGTCATGCTGTGGGCGATAACCTGTGCAGCTACTGCGGGTGTAACAACTTGGCAGGGGCTGTTTGTCCAGCGGTTTTTCCTCGGTACGTCGCACGCCCTAACTCATCGTTACATATCTAACCCGAACAGGATTCGTCGAGAGTGTCGTGCCAACCGGCTTCATGACCATCGTCAGCGGCTACTACACCCAGCAAGAGCAGGCCATGCGTCAGGCCTGGTGGTTCTCCGGCACCGGGTGGTTCACCATCATCGGCGGAGCTCTCAACTACGCCTTCGGCCAGATCACGTCCGGCGCGCTGACCCGATGGCAATACATCTACATCTTTGCCGGAGCCTTGACCTTTCTCTTCGGCCTCTGGTGCTGCATCATGCCCAACTCGCCCGTGTCCGCGTGGTTCCTGTCGCCAGAAGAGCGCGTCGTCGCCGTCGAGCGCCTCCGTAAGGGCCAGACCGGCGTCCGCTGCCAACAGATCAAATGGGATCAAATCAAAGAAGCCTTCCTCGACGTCAAGATCTACCTTGTGGCGATCATGATGGCCGCAGCGTAATTCCACCGTACCCATTCACATATCCTCCGCCGTGCTAACCACCACAGATACACCATCAACGGGGCCATCTCCGGCTTCGGTCCCCTCATCGTCTCCACCTTCGGCTTCGACACCCTCGACTCCATCCTATTCCAATTCCCCGTCGGCGCCGTCTGCGTCATCTTCATCCCTCTCTGCGGCTTCATCTCCTCCCGGATCCCTAACACCCGCATCCCGATGCTCATCGCCTGCTGCCTCCCCGTGATCGCCGGGTGCGTCATGATCTGGAAGTCTGAATGGGGATATCAACCCGCAACACCTGTCGCCGGGTACGCGATTACCGGATTCTTCGGGCCCGTAGTGAGCCTCATCATCACACTAGGAGCCAGCAACGTTGCGGGAGCCACGAAGAAGACCATCATGGCGGCGACGGTGTTCGTGGCGTACACGGTGGGCAACATCATCGGGCCGCAGCTGGTGAACAGCAAGACGGTGGATCAGCATTATCCGGAGCTCTGGCAGGGGTTGATTATTTGTTATTGTATTACGATTGCGGCAGCGGTGGTTTTGTATGTGTTGCTGAGGAGGGAGAATCGGCGCCGCGATGCCATGGATGTGGATGAGAGCTTGAGGGATAAGTTGGCGTTTCAGGATCTGACGGATAAGCAGAATCCGTTTTTTAGGTATGTTTTGTGATGAGGTTGGTTTGAATGGGTGTGATGATAAGTGGATTTAATATTCTCGATCTATATTTCTATTCCGATGGCATCGATATCATTCTTAGAAAACAAGTACATTCCCATCGGCCTGTACATCCACCAAGGTAGGAGGCTCACCCATACAAAGTCGCAGAACATAATCAGCATCGCACCGAACTAGCGATGCTACATGAAAGACTATTCTCTGCTTCAACTACCTCTAGCCTGCATATATCGAATTTTCCGGGCTGTAGGTGTGGACAGGCTATTCTTAAATATTCTGAATTCGACTTGAATTTGGTATAAAGCGCCAAACACCATACTTCTATGGCAGCCGAAATGACTCTATAGGCGGTGGTAATTCAAATACAGACCCATGGACCTCAGACTGTTACGAGTAGGTGCAAAGCGAAATCTATTACTGGGCATGATTTAAAGCAACCTAAACCGGAAGCAATTGCATATTCCGCGGTAATATTGTGGGCAAACAAGAGGTTTGAAGGTTAATTGATCTGAAGAGGTATACATTGCGATGCCTTTCTCTATCTGGCTAGTGGTATAGATTGGGTTGTCTTATTCTAAGGTGCTAGGCCTAGACTGGGACCTAGACTGGGATGCACGCACAGACATAGATACGTTAATATAGCTTAATATCTGCACTGTATGCTACTGCATAATAGGCCGGGTGATCCGAAAACACCCCTGCCTGAGATTATTAACAGTACCGTTCCGTACTTTGTTCCAGTGGCCTGGAACCGGTCTCTGCTAACGCTGCATGCAGACAAATCGAGCCATTAGGGTTCCCGTGCTTTCGGCCGGGGTTGTACATACAGAGTCCAGCCACGACGCCCATCCAACCCTGCAGGTGTCACAATTTAGACTTATGCATGTCTGTCCGAGTTCTCTTTGTTTGCCTGTAGATAGTGGCTTCTATAGAGTGTCTCGATCATGTGGGACCGAAATAACCACACGTGATGGAACTGTGACTACAGCAGTTGTCTTGGCCGTTGATCTAGACACTCGCCACATCTCCCCTCACTTGATAGCAATGCACAGACATGTCAGGTCCACGCCTTGCCGCACTTATTTCTCACCCTGGGACCAGATTAAGTTCAAGCCCTGAACCAAGATCAGCTAGTTCATGCACGTCTCTGATCACCGGACCCGAGGGCACTCGGAAACCGAAGCCACGTTGCGTCGGCCTTCGGTGATAGACTTTATAACACATCTTATATACCATATTGGCACATCCTTGCATGGAGCAAACTCATCCTAGCGTTCCAACCACAGTCTCCAACCTGGCTAGTCCTACCGAGACTCTTAACCACCACGCTCACCCGTGTTTGTCGGCGCAGTTTCGGCCGGAACAAACATCCCATTCAGTCGAGTGCAGCGCCGTCCTGACTCGACAGCGCGTTGGCAGGATCGCCGTCCAATCGGAACCGCGAGTGTTGGATTTCCGCTGGGTTAGGGGGATTAGTGCGAGACTGATGCGGAAGAATGGCACGCAGAGAGGACCAGACGGACGGATTCACCAGCGTGCATCACCGGAGGAGTTCCGGCGTCGTTCCAGTGGTTGTAGTCGGTCTTCTGTACGGACTCTGGACGGCTCCTGCCAGCGTGGATCGGCAGTTAGTCCGTAGCAGCTCCATACCGGCCTTATGATGTATTTGGATTCCCCTTCGATTCCAAATTTTCTCCCCGAGAAGGAACCAACGGCGGCTCAGCCAATCAGGCCGGGCCTGTCGTCAGATTCTGGAACCTCTCTAACTCCTTTGGGCCGGGCAGACCGGCCAATCCGCGGGGCAGGCCGACCTCCTCCGTGGGTGACGGAGGCAGCGCCATCCAAGCCATTGGCTGGCAGATACAGCCGGCCAGCGGACCCGCGTGGGTCGATCTGCAGCCAGACAAAGAATGGAAAGCCGGATCCACAGGAACCGTCGGCCTCGAGCGCTGATTGGGCGGCCGCAGGGCCCTCAGCGAACCTTTTTCCGCTTGGACTTTCGTCTTTTTCGTCTGTTGTCGGCACGGGAGAACGTACACTGTAGGGAAAGTACCTACTTTTAGATCCTCTCCTTTTACTATCAAAGTCCACAACCAACACCAGATAAAATTAAAAAATTAAAAAAACAAAATTAAAAAATCACTCCGTTTCCCTTTTTCTTAAAGAGCTCAACCCGTCCCGCCAACGATGGCGTCGATATGAGCTCGTTCTCCCCGTTTGTTCTACATGTCCGATTCACAGTCATCGTCCTCGCGTCCGCTCGCTCCGTTCCCTAACCCCCTGCAAAAGACCAACTCGCCCGACGATGTAGTGCCCGGCCGGAAGCACAAGACCACCGCCTGTAGGGCGTGCAAGCAGAAGAAGTTGAAAGTGAGTCCCCCTCGGCCATCATTCATCCCCTTCTCATTCTGGCCGTCTGACGTCGCCACGCTATAGTGTCGAGGAGATCCGCCCTGCGAACATTGCGTGGCAAATGGCATCGACTGCCACGTCGACGAGATGGCCGACATGCGTCGGAAATTCGCCATGAAACGGAAACTCGACCGGCTCGAGCTGGCCTCCGACGTCCTCCTGCGTCTGGTCAACGCTCTGCGAGAAAGCGAAAGCACCCGCGTCGCCCAGCTGCTGAACCTGATCCGCAGCAACGCGTCCTTCGGCGAGATCCAGGTCTTCCTGCGCCAGGAATTCACCCCGTCCGAGATCGAAGGCTCCCCTGAACTCCGCGAATTCCAGAGCCAGCTGTCACGACCGGACGAGGAGGCCGACGAGGAGGAGGCCAGCGGTGGTGCCGCCGGCCACCATCGAAGCGGGCGCCGAATGCTGGACGTCCATCGTCTCACCGATATCCCGACGTACCGCGTGCCGGCGAAACCGTGGACAAAGGTCACCGACGACGACGACTTGGTGTCTCATCTGGTGTCGTTGTGGTTGACCTGGACGTATCCGTATTTCCACTGGATGGATAAGGACGCGTTCGTACGCGACATGCAGGCGGGCAGTTTGCACTCCCGATTCTGTTCTCCGTTCCTGGTGAACGTGATTCTCTCAGAGGCCAGTGTACGTTAGCATGGACATGTAGATGCTGTCTTTTTTCTCTTTGTTTTCGTGTTCTACCGACAATGGGTCCGGCGAGCTGGATGTTGATGATTTGAGCGTTCAGTATTATTCCGACTACGCCGAGGTGTTTACCGTCCCCGGAGACCCCCTATCGCGAGGCACGCATTTCTACGACGAGGCGCGTCGGTTACTGGAGGAGGAGGAGGAGGATGGTGCTGCGTCTCTGCCCACCATCCAGGGGCTGTTGATTCTCTTCATCCGGTGGGTGGCCTTCGGTTTGTGCATCGCGGACTGGGCTAACGAGCAGCAGAATGGTTCTGATGGGAAAAGACCGCATGGGATGGATGTACCTGGACCTCGCCTCGCGATCCGCAGCCGAATACGCCGCGTCTCACCCGCCTCGACCGACAGAGAACGAATCCGCACGGGAACTGGAGGAGGTGGAAAATCATACCTTGTGGGGGACATTCTGCATTGCCGCGTACGTGGACCATCCGCTGGACTGTTAGCATGGCTAACAATGCTGCAAAGTACTGCCGCCGTGTCGCTGATGAAACACATTGACGTGAAGCCTCCTCGCCGTCCTCGCGTGGCGATTCGCCACGACCCCCACGACGTCTGGTCGCCATACCCGAGACAGGCCGAACCGGTCCCCGGCCACCACAACTGCGTCTTCGACCGATGGTGCGACCTCAGCTGCATATGCATCGAGATCAGTCGCGCTTTCCACGACGTGGATGACCGATCGCCGCAGTTCTCCATAACACACGTCGTCAACGACATCTACCGACAGCTGCAGGGCTGGTACGCCAATCTGCCGGAATGTCTCCACGTGGAAAACGCCACCGTACCACACATCCTGAGCATCCAGTAAGCCCGTCCCTCTAGTGCCATGGACCAATCTAACAATCCAGCCTCTTCTACCACACGACAGTCATGCAAATCTTCGGATTCCTCCGCTCGAACCCCAGCGCCCGAACAGACCTCGACCCCAGCGCCGACCACGCGCCCACCATCTGCCTCTCGACCGCCCGCCGAATATCCTACCTGCTCAGTATCCACCGCGACAAGTGGGGCATCGACCGGATGGCCCCGTCCACAATCCAATGGATCAGCATCGGTCTGTTCACACTGCTCGAGGGCTTGGACGCGCTGGAGAACCGCACGGCGTTCATCGAGCTGTGCATCGTGGCGCGGGCGTTCTCGCGGCGGTTCCCCCTCGCCAAGGGCATTCTGCGCATGATCCAGCTGTCGGCGAGCCAGCAGCAGGTGACGCTGCCGGCGGAGACGGGGGCGCTGTTCACGGACTTCGAGAGCCAAAGCTGGCGCAACAACGACGCGCACGAGTTCAGCAGCTTCTATCCGCATTTTTCGTCGGTCATCCAGCAGGGCCCCGCGCGGCAGCCCGACGTCGCGATGGATTTGTTTCTGGAGAAATGGGACCAGTTCGGGATCGGCGAGGACCAAAAAGATACTTAATGAATAACGATGATATGATTTCCTTTCCTCAGCCCTGTCGGCCCTTTTGCCAACAGACACATCCAGTAAAATTAAAACAAATCCAACATGATTACGCCCCGTTCAGGCACAAGTGTTGGGGTTTCAGTCAGATTGGAAACGGCCCCTTGGCAGCCTTTGGGGTCTGGCAAACGGTGGCACAGGCGGATATAACCACGCCCTAACGATCCGGCATCAATCCGAGGCTAAAGTAGCGCGGGCGATGTTGCATGCAACCCTCATAAGGGCCTGCAGTCCACCTGTTTTGACCTTCTGGGGAGCCGGAATCGTCAACATGCGCTGCCGAGCGCCAGAGATTTTAAGATGAATGTTCGCCTCTTTCTCCCTCTCCTAGGCCTGCTTCTGGGGGGTATGTACATACTACGAGAGTTTCTCGACTCGCGGACGGCTTGCTCAACGCTAATGTGACTCGCAGCCCGCTCGCAAGAATGCACCCCGCCGGACGGGCAGATTTACTTCAACATCACGGGACAGGATTCCATCGATGCTTTGTCGTCGTCGTGCACGACGCTAGTCGGGCCGGTGTCGGTCGCGAGTAACTTCAGCGGGGAGTTTGTGCTGCCGAAAATCACCAACATGACGAACGAGTTTTCGGTGACGTCGAAGTTCAGCCCGAACGTGGCGGTCATCGATCTGCCGGACCTTGAATACATGGGGAGCACCTTTCGACTGGGATCCGTGGCTGAGACGCTGGAACGGATCTCGGTCCCGAAAGTCGAATCCCTGCAGTCGTTGTCACTGTATCAGTATCGTGACAACGCGACGGTGGATTTCAGATCGTTGAGGACGCTGAAGGATTTGTACATCCAGGGGAATTACTCCCGGTGTGTATTTCGTGTGTTCTCGTTCGAAGTCCATGTCAGGTCGTGTTGACGCCATGCAGTGTAAGGCTGGACTCACTGCGGAATGTTACATCTCTGACGATCTGCAATACCAAAGAGTGCGACTTTCTCGGGACACAGACCGCGCGTCGGGGGATGAAGGTCTCGTTGCCGAATCTCGAAACGGTCGACATACTCCAGGTTACGGGGGGAATAGCCAAGTTCGTTCTCTCACAGCCCGTCCCCGTGCAACATATTAACGTTTCCCTAGACTCGCCGTGCCCAAGATCTCGTCGGGGGTGATTCGCGTCGAATCCGACAAGACGCCCGCCGATTTCGACTTTGCTCAGGTGACGAGTGTACCGGATGGCTCCTCTCTCAACATACAAGGCCATATCACGAGGTACGCACCCACCGTTTCCTTTCCAGCTATGCACCCGCGCGCTGTTCACTGCTAACTAACCCTAGGCTCTCGCTGCCTCGCCTCGAAAGTATTTTAGGAAATTTCGACGTAAAAACGAGCCACCCTCTGGAGGTAAACCTCCCTGTCCTCACCGAGAGCCAAGGTCTCTACCTCAACGGATCAATCAAAAGGTCAGCCAGTCTTGTCTCATGAAACTCTATATCGTGAAGCTCCAGGATCTAACCCAAAACAGCGTCTCCCTTCCCGCACTCGAGGTCCCCCCTAGAATTAGGGTCCATTCTGATCTTGATCTCAACTGCGGCAAGCTGAGGGACGAGGTCATCGACAAAACCGGCGAGCCTGCGCAGGAGTGGGATATCTTATGCAAATCGACGTATAAGCCATGGTTGAATACGAAGAGGAAGGTGATTATTGGGGTTGTGGTGGGGGTGGGCGGACTGGCTGTTCTTGTGGCCGCTTGGTTCTTCTGGAAGAAACGGGCGTCGAAGAGGAAGAAGATTGATGGGATGGTGGATGAGTTGACGACGTGGAGGCAGAGTCAGGATAATCCGCCTCCGCCGTATACCCGGAATACTTAGTATAAGTATTTATTGTTTAGTACACTGCATTCTATATCAGGTATAAAGTACTAGACATACCATTCAGTTGAATTCATCTGCACTACAACAGAAGGGAAGATCGACCGCTGAGTCATCAAGTAAACGCACAGACAACGAAATCTTCTCTCAGTTGTTCTCCTATTCGATCTCCATCTGCATCGTCATCTCATCCACCGAATCACATCATCCACCATGGACGAGAAAGACCTAAAAGAATGCTATAGACCACCGCTGCCGCCTCGGCCGTCGCGGAATCCGTCTGCATCGTCGTCTTCGTCGCAGACCCCGTACCCCAAGGATGAAAAACACCTGTATGATTATAGCGGCCAGGCGCCGGACCCAGGGCCGACGCATACCACGCAGGACGGCTTCGCGGGCTTCACCTACGCGCATTCTCCGTTCGACCCGCCCCCTTTGCCGGCGTATTCCGAGCATCCGGAGCCGCCGACTCTGATCCGGAACCAGATTCCCGATGAGAAGGAGGCGAAGCTGCCGGTTGTGATTCCGCGTATGTTTCCCTGCCTGCCATCCCCACATCTAGAGTCTAGTCTAGACCCGTCACTAGCCCTCCTTCCCCCACATTCCTCCTCCTCCTGGAGTATAGACCGTAGATCCCAACCAACCAACATCCACTAACAAATAAAAGAAACATCCCACACCCTCCACGGCACAATCTACCGGCCTTTTGCGCGCGCCTACCCGCCGTCTCTCGCCCTCACGACCGCAACATACAACGACCTCTCCACCACAAACACCTACCAAGGGCCGAACCAGAACCTCGCCGCCGGATCCATCTCCGCGACGGACTTCCTCGCCTTCATCGACGGCCTGAACGCCGTCTGGCTGGCCCATCCCTACCTGCAGGCCGCCAGTGCCACGACCTGCATCTTGGGCTTCGTGCCGCTCCTGGAAGTCCAGCTGGCTGCGCTGGGCGTGCAAGTCGCCACCGAGTACGGGTCCATCAAGCTGTCGCAGATGCGGACGCAGGCGTACCTAAGGCTGGCGAATGAGGAGCTGTTCGTGCCGAGGGGCCTGCGCGTGCAGGTCCTCAAGACGAGGAAGATGATGGAGGTGGCGGGGGTGCCGGGAGAGGTACTTTCTTTGGGAGAGGGGAGGGGCGTGAAGGGGGGGATGGACGGGGAGGAGGTTTTTGATGATGATGACAGTATGGCGGGGACGCCGGTGGAAGAGAAGGGGAAGGGGTATGAGTCTCTTTCGCGTGTTTCTCGTGAGCTGGATGGCGAGAAGGGCAAGGGGAAGGGGAAGGAGAGGGAGAAAGACTACGACCTCAACCTCAACCCCAGCTCTAACCCTACCTCTCCATCTATTGAAAAGACACAGACACAACCAGACAGCATAAGCAAATACGACCCCCAACTGCGCCGCATGTCCGCGCTACACGGCTACGTGCAACCCCTCGAATTCGACACCGACCTCCCCCTCTCCGAGAACTGGCTCAAGCGGGCCTCCGAGAAGCAAAGCCGACTCTTTGCATCTCGCCAGAACTCCATCTTCAGCGGGAAGCGCGACAAAGCGGCGAAACAGATCTCGGAGGCGCAGGACGCCGAACGCGAGCTCAACGCCAAAGTCTCCGAGGTGGAGGACGCACAGCGCGAGGTGCGGGCTCGGGCACGCGAGAGGCTGCAGGGCCCGCTGGGCGAGTCGATGCAGGGGAGGCTGATCGTGCAGGAGGATCTGGAGAAGGAGATGAAGAAGCTGGAGAAGAAGATGGAGAAGTTGGGTCGGGAGCGGGAGAAACGGGTGACGAGGAAGATGCAGCAGAGTCAGAGGAGTATTGAGCGGGTGGAGAAGCGCGAGACGAAGATTGCGCAGCGCGTGATGTGGGTGGTTGTCACGGAGGATGATGGCCGGGGGTTTGAGAATCATCTGTGGGAGGATTCCGATTGATCCACGGATTCTTGTGGCTTGTTTTTATATTTCGGTTTGTTCTTTCAGCCCTAGCTGATGGATCGTACATGAAGACATCCTAATTCTAGAAATCAGCATTCTACTAATTCGAGCAGTGATAACAACAAAATAAACGCACATAACTACTCAAGAATCCATGCAAGAGATATCAAACAATCCACCCCCTCCCCCTCCCCCTTAACCCCCAAAAAAAGAAAAGAAAGCAAGATCACCACTTCGACCGATCCGCATCCCTCGGCTCCTGATTCCCCAAACAAACCACCGCTCTAGAAACCACCTTTCCCACCCTCTCATTCAACGCACAACTCGTCCACGAATCCACAAACACCCTCCTCAGCACCGGCCTGACCATCAACACCGGCAGTCTCCCATTCAGCACTCCGTCCGGATACTCCCCCCTCGTCCACCCATGCGGCTTCATACTATCCTCGACCTCCTTGTACCCAAGCTCCAAACACTCCTCGCGGCCGGTGATCTGACCATCGAACGGGCCCAGCGCACCGACCTCGTCCGCGAACACGAAGTAGCTTTCCTGCGTGTACATCCAGACCGCGATCTCGGCGGCCTCGCGGAAGATGGGCACGAGGTGTTTGGTGCGGGTGGACTGGGCCTGGCTGTCCAGGGGACGGAGGAGGGGATGTATGGGGCTTTTTCTGGTGTTGGAGCTTGGGTCGGCGAGAAGAGAGTCGACGAGCCGCTGCACGGCGTGTTTGCGGAGAGTGCGGCTTTGCGCGCCGATCGAGATGTCGTGGCACTGGTCCCAGATGTCGAAGCCGTTGAGGAGCTGGGTCAGTTCCATGCGCACGCGGTGGGCTTTGACGCGGCTGGCTGGGGGGTGTTAGCTTGCTTTCTTTTTGGGGGTTGAGGGGAGGGTTAAGGGTTGAGTGTTAAGGGGGAGGAATACCTCGCATCAGTCTCTGCCAGACGTTGTAAAAGTCCCTGCCGAATGTGGTGGGGACGGCGTCGATTATGTTGTCGTCTGCTTTGGTGAGGTAGTAGAATGGGTCTTGGATGATGGTCTTGTAGAGCGATTGGCTGATCAGACATTCGACTAGGAGTTTGGGGAGGCCAGGGGGGCAGGGGAGCTTTTTCTGTGAGGTTGATAGGAGGGGTTGAGAGGTTGGTGCTTCGGGGGAGCTGGATGGTGGTGTGTTGGGCGTGGAGAGAGGGTCTGAGTTCACTTCTGGAGCAAGCTCAGGTGAGGCATCAGGAGTACCTGATAGAGTATATGGATGGACTTCCGGGGTATCCTTCGTAGAGTCTCCCATGGGTTCGGGTTCATCCTGAGCGCTCTCCTTTGGCTCGTCCGGAATGCTTTCTATCTTCACATCCGTCTTCACGTCTGAAGTACTCTCCACTGCATCATTCAGACTCATCGTCAACGGAGGATTCGGCTGGACCTCCACCAATTCCATCTCCTCCTCCTTACCATCCGCATCCTCCGAAATACTCGGCGACACCAACCCCAACTCCTCCACATCTTTCTTCGAAAGCCCCTCCACCAACTCATCCCAGTCCTTGAACACACAATACCCCCCCAAACCCTTCATAATCAACCGCTTCTCCTCATCCGACAGCCTCTCTCCAACCGCCTCCCCATCCTCCGCCCACTCCTCCACCCACTGCGCGATCCGCGCCTCGAATCGATCCAACAGCGGCTCGATCTCCGCGTCCTCGAGGCTCGTCCACCGCCGCACACCGCTGTAGGGCGGGACCAACGATCCTTTGATCCAAATGCATCCTTCGTATTTCGGATGCTGGAAGGGGGGGAGGTACTTTTGCTCAGTGGTGGGCTTCTCTTCCTTTGGAGCTTCTTTGGTTTCGTTCGCTTCTTTGCGGGGGCGTTGTGTGTCCTGGTCTGGGCTCTTTTCTGTTGTAGTGGTAGTGCCCTCTGGGCTCTGGGCCTCAGTGGCTGCGGTGTTTGATTCTTGATTTAGCCGGGACCATTTTGAAGGACGACCTCGTTTTGCTTTTTTGTTCGAACGGGAGGTTTTCTTTTCCGGTGGGAGGGCCCGTTTCAGGCGGGGAGATCGTCGGATCTGTGGGCGTAGGAGTTAGCATTCTTTGTGAGATCTGCATGGATAGGAGATATCTGAGTAGGCATCAGGGAGTCGAAAGTCTCGGTGATATCAGGATCGAGCCAAGCGACAATCGCCATATCAAGAAAGATACACGCTTGTCGCCATGAAGTGCTTGGTTCTATCTTACCTGCATCTCGCCCAGTCGGATATGCTTTCCCCTCACTCTCGCCATGATGTGTCTGGATTTAGCTTTAACTATTGATAGAAGATAGATATGCAAGAAATATCGCCGTAGGTCTTCGGAGCTTCAAAAATCAATAACTGAAATCGAATCTGATAGATAGTTAGACTATAAGCAGGTGACAAGCAGAGAACATCGCAGCCAGAGGAAGAAGTAAGAGCCACTATGCGATCTTTACAAAGAAAACCGAATCTTTTGTTATCCGAGTCCGCTTTCTCGATCCTTTCTTTTGAACTGCGCTTTGAAACTATCGTCTGTTTGAGGGTTTCTTTGTTGCGGGTTAGTTACTACTTAAATAGCAGATAACTAGACTCAGCAATTAATCGATAAATGAACTTCAGTCTGGCGTTAACCTAACCGTTTAAATTTTATAATATCCTTTTGAATGCTTTTGATATGAATCAGTCTCATACTTATTTCCCCTGTCTAGATTCCTATCAATGTTGGTAGACATGATATTGCCCACCACTCAAAAAAACGGCATCAACAATCAGGGGCCAAAGGAATGCTCGACGGAACAATCACAGTTTCAGTCAAAGGTTCTCCAAGAGACTTTAAGGCTAAGTTTCGAGATCCCTGCTTCCTCAGTATGCACAATAAGGCTGTTTTGCATCGGCCGTACAATGGCATCAAGCGCCATTCTTTGAAGTCAGGCGACTTCGATCAGAAGAAAAGAATTTTATTTGTAGATATCCTATCGAAAGCAAATTCGAAGAAAGAAAAGCAATATGGTATTATAACAGATACAACAAAAGATCGAAAAGAAGCCCCCTAAACCAAACCATCACAAGTCCAGTGATCCGTCAAACCCTAACTTGCCCCTCTCCATAACCATCTCCTAATCCCAAGATAAAGTAAATCCAACCAAACAACCAACCCCTTATCCCCTCCAACCCAACAATCACGGCGCCTCCTTAATCTCCGCCGCCTCGCCCCCGGCCACAAAGACCGCGTCTTTCTGCAACGACGCCTTCTTCGGACTCTTGGCCTGGAAGATGGCCGTCAACTCCTCCAGCGTGCGCTTGCTCGTCTCCACAAACAGGAAGTAAATAATCAGGAACTCGAACGTATCCCAGAAGATGAACAGGAAGTAGTACTTCCAGCCGGCGCCGGAGAACGCGATCCCTGTGACGAAGGTGTTATAGAAGGAGGCGATGTTGACGAAGAACTATCCCATAGTCAGCACCAGCCCTCAGTGAGAGTTTGGGCTAGAAGGAACTTACATTATTCATCCCCATGCCCTTCGCACGACTCTCGTACCGCAGACACTCCACGGGATACATGGCCTGGTTAGGCGTCCAACCGGCGGAGTAGACGAACCCGAAGAGGAAGATCATGGCGATCTGGGCGCGCGCCGTGACGCCCGATTTAGCGATGGGCTCGCCGTCGGGGCCGTCGATGACGTTCGTGGCGTTGAGGGCCGTCACGATGGCGAACAGCACGACGATGATGGCCGTCGAGACGAGAAGTTGGGGCCGACGGCCCACGCGGTCGGTTACCAGGGCGCCGGCGACGGCGCCGATGAACTGCACCACGTTCTGGAGCCCTTGGAGCAGCAGTCGCGTGCTGTTGTTCTCGATGCCTGCGCCGCGCAGCATTTGCGGGTAGTAGTAGGAGACGGGGCCGTTGCCGGACCATTGGCCGAAGAAGGCTGGTTTGGTTAGCGTTAGCTTCGAAGATGTGCTGTGCTTTTCAGGGATGTAGATAGGTAGAGTGGAGGATAGTGCTAGATCATGTCAGGCAAGGACTCACCCATGAAAATCACCAACATCGACCGGTATCTCGTCTCGCGGCTGTTGAACAACTCGCGGTAATCCCACCACCGCTTGTCCGAACCGGTCTTGGAAATATCCTCGATCATCTCGCGGTACTCCAGCTGGACGATGGGGGCGTTTCGGTCCCCGTCGCCATGGTAATCAGCCAGGACCTTGAGCGCGGCTTCGTGCTTGTCCTGCGAGATGAGCCAACGGGGGGACTATCAATCGTCAGCATCACATCTTCAATCCAACCTCAAAGGGGACGGGACATACCTCGGGAACCGTAAAGCAGAAACAAAGCACCAGCCCCGAAAACACCATCTGCAACCAGATCGGGATCCGCCAGCTCATATTGCCCTCGATGGAGCTGGTCCGCCACGGGATAAACGTCCCGGGGATACCTCCACCGAACCACAGCACATTGTACAACCCGGTCATGGCACCACGGTACGCCGGGTGCGCGATCTCCGAGACATAGGCGGGACCAGCGGTGGCGGAGGTAGCGACGCCGAAGCCGAGAATGAAGCGGCCGGCCATGAAACCGCCCAGGTTGTGGCAGGAGGCTTGGACGATAGTGCCGATGATGATGAAGATGGCGCCGAGGGCCATACCGACGCGACGGCCTATTCAGACTAGAGTCAGTACCCCACTTTCACTTCAATCCCTGTACACAAGGGGGGGGGGGGGGTCTAGAGGGGAGGGGTACCTTTGAAATCAGTAAACGGGCCGGCCGCGAACGAACCCACGATGTTACCGATCGTGTAGATGGCATACACGATGCCGGTGGAGGGCGTACCCTCGTCGGGATCGAAGCCGAAGTACGACCGGTACTGCTCGTAACTGTTGATCGAGCCCATGAGGGAGCCGTCGTAGCCGTTGATACAGGAGTTGAGCATGGCGACGCCGATGCACCAGTACAGCTGTATTGCGGCGTGAGCCTCCAGCTACGTGGAGAAGTTCATTGTCAAGGGATGAGGTTGAACACACCTTCAGCATACTCTTGCTCAAGAGCTTCGGCTTCTGCTGCATGGTGGCTACCGCCAGGGCGGCATTGTTGACGCCACGCACCTCGGCATCGCCCTTGTCGGCGTGCGATACAGTGGTGTCCAGTTTTTCGGACATATTGGCTGGAGTAAAAAAGAAGTAAAAGCTGAAAGACAAGAGACAGAAAAGGAGAAAGACCAACAGGACGACCCTGATTTATATCAATCCCTCATCCCAGTCAGACACAAACCCACCTAGGAAGGGGAAAAAGCGAGCAAAACAATGTAACAACCCACGCAATTCCGAACCAAACACTAGACCGAAAAGAAAGAGGAAAAATCAAACGATCCTCCGGCTATAAGGCGTGCATTATACGTGGATAATTGCAGGATCTGGCCCTGTCTGTTCTCCCCGCGACAAGGAGCCTTCGGTCCGTACCGAATCGGGTAAGGATGAAGTCCGGGGAAAATCCACCGTCAAATCATAAGACGGACTAGGAGCTGGGGTGACTGGGATGTGTGCACTGGAGAGGCCAGATCAGGATGAAAAATCTGCTGTCTTGTGATATGGATTTGCCTCTCAGTTGAGTCTTTCCGCAGGACAGTTGGGTGAGCTGACTGTGACTCTACAGACAAGTAGAGCGTTAATACGCAGGCGAATTCCAGAAACCCAGCATGGGCTGATCATATCATACCTGACCGTCAGGCAGGCAAACTAAATGCTCACGTCCATTCTGATTCCAACCTCACGGCTGACGGCCCGATATGCCGTGGCCAACTGGTGCAGCCTGGATTCTCGCATCGCTACTCCGTAAGCGAAGGCCGGAGACCCTAGACTCCGCATTGACCCCATAATCAGATCAAGTATGGGGTAGAACCACGGAGTCGGCGATCCTATGCTGCCCGAGGTCGGCGGTCGTTGGAATAGTCGCACCGGACGAACAGTCCGAAGCCATCGGATGGTGAGCCTGGGACCATGCATGCGCCACCCGCTTTGATACTATCTGTTTTTATATCTCGGTGAGAGGTTTAGCCTGAGCCTGAGAAATTGGACTCTTAGGATGATAAATCACCCCAGGGAATGAAATCGAATCCTGCTCATATCATCCATACCCAATAAGAAAATTCATTCCACATAATATACATCCAGCATAAATAATCCAGTCCCATCCCACCCCATACCTAAAATACAATCCCAAGCCCAAACCAAACACCCCATCCCATCCCAAAAGACCCTACCTAAGCTAACACCCCAACCCCATCGCCCCCTTCTCCTCGCCACTAACATACAAACTAAGCGTATACTCCCTCCCCCCAATCAACTCCGACACACTTTCTGGCTCCCCAACAAGCACAACCTTCGTCCCCCCAGCCGCCTTCCTCCCCCACCACAGCGGCTCCCCCTCACGATCCGCACCCTCCCAGTGCGTCGCATGGCACGACATACTACTCCCCACCAGGAGCGGATTAAAGCCATTACACAGCGCGTCCGGGATATGCAGGACGTCATCGAGACGGATGGTTCGGGGGGACGGGTCTGTAGCGCTGCGGCAGGTCGTCAGCAGGACGGAGCCGACGCCAGCGACGCGCAGCTCGTCGTGGGCGTTGAAGAGGTTGTTTTTCAGCACGGCGGACACAGGGCGGTAGCTGGTGAAGTGGGCGAGATCGCGCGCGTAGTGGCAGTTTCCGGAGACGACCATCCAGTCGTGGCAGATGTTCGGGGTTGGGTGGGTTTGTTTGGTGCGTTTGCGTGGATCGGTGCTGCTGGGGGAGGGGGAGCGGGCGTGCATGGTTCGTTCGTGGGGTGTGGATCGAGAGTAGGTGTCGAGGTTCGAGGTTCGGAGGAGCGGGATTTTGAAAATTGAAGGAAGGAGAGGAATTGAAGAGGAATTGAAGAGGAATTGAAGAGAAGTTGGAAGAAGGAGATCAAAATTGATGAAGCTGTTCGATGAATGCGGATGACTGGCAGTATGCTGCGTTGGGCAGGCGGTGTGCTATATGATCGGACTCACCGCTTCTGGATTGGGATGGTGCGCACGTGAGATGGGTCGACATCGACGCGTTTGATTGGTTGGATTGTCTGTATACATCTGGAGATTATTCAGATTAACAGGTGGGTTTGCTAGTCTTGATTGCGAAGGAATATATAATTATCTAAAGATGTTGCCTGTCCTCTATCAACTGATCTATCCCAAGCAAAGAAGTCCAACACGACGAAAGTCTTCATTTCATGCAACAAAGGGCAAAGGCCAAATTCGATCTAGTAATCTGATACAACCACTATCAGCTCACAAGTTCCAACCAAATATCCTCATGGAAGCCTCAACCGATGCCGACGGCATCGATGACAAGCCCTCATGTAGCAGTTTCTGCAGACATAGATAAAATTAGTCAGGGTTTTATTGCAAACATCGCATACTTTCCAGCCTTGTTTATGCCGCATCCACTGAGCAGTCTTTTCGTGATTACATCCGACGGTTCCGCGATATCTAAGATCTCCCACTATCCAGTTCAAGGCTTGCTGGTGCCCTATGTTTCCTGTTTTCCGCAAGGTGTTCATAAAGAATCCGTTGGAAACCGCCTCATTCGCAACATGATGTAGCTCATATTCGGTCCATCGTGGACAATGGCAAGTTTTCCACTCTTGACCGCAGACGTAGCAGAACTGGTGACCGCATCTATCACAGTATTATCATCTATGGCCTTCCTCCTGTTGCATTGAATGACAGGGCGGTTTGAATAACTTACCGACACACCATATGAAGAGAGCCATGGCTAAGCTCGACCATGGTACGGCAGCGGAAACATCTTTGCCATTGTTTCTCCTGAGCCATGGCAATAACAGCTTGCAGAGGCAGATCATAGGGGCAATTAGCCCGCGGATGCTCCAGCGAGCGGCAGGCCAGATGGGTCCGTTCAAGGCACCGCGTACAAAAGCCGTGGTCAGCTATGAAATCACACGGCGGAATGAATTTCGAGCAGGTCGGTGCGGCGCAATACACTCGATCCGTGCTGGAATATTCGATCCCTCGTTATTTGAATTGACTTTGCTCGCGGTGGTCGAACAGTATGAGGTGTGGTTCGTCGAGAGGGATCGTGTGGCCGCAGCAGCGAGGGGGGTAGAGCTGTTCGTCTCTCATCGCGTCCATGAATAGCTTGCGTGTGCAGGTGTGACAGAAGCTATGACCACAAGGGTTTTTGAAGGTGTCGTGCTCGCCGAATGTGTCCATGCATGCGGCGCAGAAGGCCCTGGACTTGACCTTCGACGAGACCTCGCCATTATCGTTATTCGGCTTGTCGGTGAGCGTCATTCGGGCCATCGGATCGTTCACGATCGCGGAGGTGGAATCACCAAGATCGTCTTGGGAGGGGTTGGGGAGTGAAGAACTGTGGTTGTCATCCTTGGGCGCATGTTCATGATCTCGTTGAGCCATCGTCTCCTCTTCCTGGATGGACTGTGGAATGTTCTGGTCCAAACCAATTGCCGTGCTCGTACCTTGGCTCTGAGCACGGTCTCGAATGAGGGCTTTTAGCGTGTGCATGTTATTCCTTGTGCTAATGATCGATGCTTTGAGGTCAGCTTGCTCTTCAGCTGCTTGCTTTTCTTTCAGTCGGTCCTCCAGGTCTTTGAGGTCATTTTCAACAAGGTTTAGAGCGATTTCGAGACTTTCATCGGTGAACATATTGGTAATTGTCATAATAGAGACTGATCATATAAAGCGAAATATAATAGAGAATAGAAGGATCTAATCGTAAGATACAAAGTGGATCAGTTAGTAATAATTGAAGAATGGCCGTGGTCAGTTGTAGGAAGAATCAAGAAGGAATGGAAGGTCGAATGTCATCTTGACTTTATGCGCATAATATCAGTTGAATGCTTCTTACTGGAATGGAAGCAACAAATAATTCAATCATGGCAAGTGCCAACAACAAGTCAGCTCTGTATAGCAAGATCTCGCTTAGAAAACAACCACCCCAGAATATACAATATATACAACCGACCCATAAACATCATAAGATACTACTGTCCCTCCTATCTTTACTCCTCACAATCGTCTCCCTCACCACTGTAATCCCCTCCTTCTCATCCCCATCACCACTCAACCTCTCCCACTCCCTCCCCAACCCCAACGCTGACCCTCTCTTCCTCTTCTCCCCCTCTCCCCCAGCCTGCCCATGCCCCTGCCCCTGAGGCTGCACCTGCGCCTCCGCCCTCGCGTTCGTCTGAGTATGACTCTGACACCCCTCCCCCTCCACCTCATCACTAACCGTAAACCCCCACTGCGTATCCGGAATCGACAACGGATGCCTAAACTTCTTCTTCCGACTCTGCGCCGTCGACTCTGCATCATGACTCGCCTGCTTGCCATCGCCCTCCGAAAGAGGATACGACTGCGACGTGTTCCCGCCGTGCCCATACGTCGTGCTGATGTACCAGCCCGCACGACGCGCCATGCGCCGGAACAGGGGATAGATCATGGGCGCGTTGCCGATGATCACGGCGACGAAGGTCTCGCGACAGGCCCAGCTGCCGGCTTGTTGGGCGCCGTTGGCTCCGGCCTGGTTTCATTTTCATTCATTAGCTTTGAGGTTGGGAGGGGGATAGGATGGGGTGGGGGAGGGGGTAGTACGGTGACGATGAGCACGCATCGGAGGATTCCCGCGGCCATGACGAAGATGCCGCCGCTGAAGAGGACGAGGAGTTCGAGTTTCTCGCGCCAGGGGAGACGCGCTTTGAATAGCATCTGCACTCGGGTTAATCGGTGGTTAGATGCAGAGCGAGTGTAGAGACCGAGAGGGGACTCACTGGCGTCGGGATCGAAATCAAATATACATCCGTCGCGACATTCAACGTCACTGTCACGTAGACGTCGATATGCGAGACAGCCGGCTGGCAATAGTTCCCCGGGTCGGGATAGATCTGCCAGTTCTTGCTCATGGGGTGGCAGCCGAAAAGAATCGAGCAGATGACTGCAATATAAGTGGCCGCGACGAAAAGGTAAGCAAGACGAATGCGAATGGTCATGTTGACGAGGCCGGCCCTATTCCACAAAATCAGTTAGCAAGGGAAGAAAGGTAGACGGGAGGAGTAGACGCACGCCACTCTGGAAAAGAAAATAGCCATACAAGCCTTCAGCAGCCACAGCAGCGTCGTGTACAGACTCCAGCCCACGACCTGCGTTTTGCTGCCGCCGACTCTGAGCGAGAACTCCTCGGACGCCGGGTCCAGGGCCAGACGCTGCTGGTCTGTCATGGCGTTGTTGGCGAGGCCTTTCCACCAGGCACCGACGCAGTATGCGGCGGCGGTTTCGAAGCCGTAGACTATCTACTCATATTTCAGTGTTAGGATGCATGCCGACAAACGCAAACAGACCAGGTAACTCACCCCAGCCACCGGCATCAAGTAATCGTCTAGTTGGAAGTTCTTCACCCCGACAGTGAGACAGCGGGCGACGATGCGCACGGCGATGGTGACGATGGCGAGAGCCAGCAGGGTGAAGGCCTCTATCGTGAAGTCGTCGGTGGCAGCCATGTCTTCCTGTCCTGTATAAAGCAGAAAAATAGAATCATCGAAAATAAAATCACACCTGACTCGAAATGAACGTGAAAAAAATCCCCGGCAATCAAACCATGACTCGTCCAGAGTTTAAAAAAAGAACGAACCCCAGAAAAACAAAGAAGAAAACAAAATCAGAAACCAGAGAACAGAAGGGGCTTTAATACCCGCCTGACAGCCGTTCGATTCTGATGCATCACCCAGACCAGTTTATCTATCGATCCAGGGCGATCACCGGAAATGCCGGTCTACGACTCCGTACTAATCTAACTTCGCCATCGTCGGATCAACTTTGCACTGGGTGCAGTCCTACGCGACCGTTTAATGTCAACCGCCGTCGACAGGAATAGCAGACTAGACGCAATAGTCGACTCCACTTTGCCAGGCTCAGGCACAGGAACAGGTTCCGAGCACCAGCCCAGCCCATAGTGCCGGTATATACTCCATATTCCAAATGAACGAGTCCCACCGGATCCATAGCCGTTGGGCTGGGAGCCTGGGACTGAATGCCGAACTTCACTTACCACACTACGGTATAGATAGCGGGTGGAGTAAATCTTGGCTTCGTTGACGTCTGACGTCTGACAGAGGATTCGGCTGACGATGACGGGCCTGCGAATCCCGACAGGCCAAGAAAGCCTAGCCTGAGAGTCAAAATATACTGACTCCGAGGACTCCTTACTCCTTACTGCGTACACAAAGCTTGCAGTTCCCCTGAAGAATCACAGCCCTCAGACCCCTGCACAAACTCCGAAGATGGAGAACGATCGACAGTCTTGGTTTGTCAAAGTGGAGCTGAACGCAACTGCGTCTCCTGACCTCGCTTAGAAGGCAAATGATAAGAATGCATGGATGCGCAGGCAACCGACCTTCGTACTCGGGGAATAACTAATAACTCAGTCTGACTTTCCCTGGACATGATCAGCTATTCGTATACACGGCACATATACTTCACTCATAACTACATATCCACGCCGTATGCATAGGAGAGGAGTACCAAATAACCTCCGACGCGACCACGGAACGGACACTCAAACCCGAGTCCAGCTGTCAGTGTCAGTGTTAAACCAAAAAACACTGACAGGAATCCACAGACTCCACATGGCGGATGAAACGCCGAACCAAACCCAAACCTCCATTTCGCAGCCTGATGCCTCCCACTGGACAGGACGCAGAAGTCCCGAACGGTCGATGGCAACAAACTCCGGGAATTAGGTTATTAGTGATTAAATACGAGAATGGCATTGTCTATCCTCTAGTCTCCAGTCTCCAACTCAAGTCTGTTCAAAAGTCCAACCGACCGTTGCGTTAACCGACACTAAAAGTTAGGGCTGGTTAGTGTCACGCCGGGGAATCCAGGGGGGGAGAAGGGAATGCGGTCGATTTGTCGAATCAATAGTCAATTAATATTAATATTGCTTGTCCTGAACAGTGGCATTGTTAACCTTGTTAAATTGGAATAGGAACTGGGATTATTTATCCCATCCCTGAGCCTCCTCCTCCATCCATCCATCTCCCTCCTTCGCTTCTTCTCTGTGGAGACTGGAGTCCCCTCAGCTCAGTTCAATCAGTTCTATTTATTCCCGAGATCGGCGCTGCGGATGATCTTGATTTCACCGTTCTTTCATTTATTATCTCCTAGCAGTGGTTACATCGGTTCGGGACTTTTTTAACCCCTCTGGTCCACTTCTTTTTTTTCTTTGCTTTTTCTCTCGACTCCGAGTGACTGACAGGTGCTATTGCCAACCTCCTTGCTGAATGCTGGGACTTTTGCGGTGGATTTAATCAGGAGTCAATCAGATCAGTGGATTGCTTGCATTCCGGCTTTATCTGCCGAGTTGTTTACCCTGCCTATCTGTCACCTTCCTTCTCCTTCTCCCTGCATTCCACGCAAACCCAAATCCAAAGGCAAAGAAAGTACCACGATGCTCAAGCCCGAAGACCCCTTCGACGTCACTATAATCGGCGCAGGTATATCCCCCCTCTACCTCCCTCCCTCCCCGCCCTACAAACCACCCAGAACTAACAACCCCCCGTAAAAAGGCTGGAGCGGCCTCTGCGCACTCAAAACCTACCATGAGGTGCATCCCACCGCGCGCATCCAGCTCCTCGAAGCCGCGGACTCCGTGGGCGGCGTGTGGGCGAAACACCGGCTCTACGCGGGCCTCAAGTCGAATAACATGCTGGGGACGTACGAGTTCAGCGATTTCCCGATGGACGAGGAGACGTTTGGCGTAAGGGAGGGAGAGCATGTTCCTGGGGCGGTGGTGCAGCGGTACATGGAGTGTTTTGTGGAGCGGTTTGGGCTGGAAGAGATGGTGAGGTTGGGGGTCAGGGTTGAGAGCGTGACGGGGGATGGGGAGGAGGGGTGGGTTTTGGAGACGGTGTCAATTGATGGGGATGGGGATGGGAGGAGGACGATGCGCAGTAAGAAGCTCATCGTCTGCACCGGCATCACCTCGCAGCCGTACCTCCCTGCGTACGCCGGGCAGGAGGACTTCGCAGCGCCGCTCTTCCACTGTCGTGATCTGCCGCTTCACCAGGATGCCATCTTCCAGCCGGATTCCCGCGTCACCGTCTTCGGCGGCACCAAGTCGGCGTGGGACGCTGTATACGCGGCGGCGACGGCCGGGGCGCGCGTGGACTGGGTGATCCGCGAGAACGGACACGGGCCGGTGTGGATGGCGCCGCCGTACGTGACGCCTTTGAAGAAGTGGCTGGAGAAGCTGGTGACGACGCGGCTGCTGACCTGGTTCAGTCCGTGTATCTGGGGCCCGGCGAACCGGGGGATCCGGGGACTGCTGCACGGGACGTGGCTGGGGCGCAAGATCGTGGACCTGTTCTGGTTCGTGCTGGGCGACGACGTGCTCAAGCTGAACGGGTACGACGCGCACCCGGAGACGCGGAAGCTGAAACCCTGGGTGAGTCCGTTCTGGGTGGCCTCGGGGCTGAGCATCCTGAACTATCCGACGAGTATCTTCGAGCTGGTGACGAGCGGGCGGGTGCGTGTGCATGTCAACCATATTGAGCGGCTGTCAGAGCACGCGGTGCATCTGGCGAACCCAGGTGACGATGGTGATAAACCTCTTGTTCTCCCCTCGGACGCCCTGATCAGCTGCACGGGCTGGCAGGCGACGCCGAACCTGGACTTCCGGGCCTCAGACGCGCTGCCGTTTCCGGATATCGCGATGGGTTTCCCCTGGTCTGAGGATTCCATCCCCAAACCGATGGTCGAGGCTGCGGACACGGAGATCCTGACTCGCTTCCCCCGTCTGATGGACCAGCCGTCTCGACCGGCGTGCTATAAGCCCCTGGCGCCCGGGGCCGCCGCCACGGCGCGCCACCCGTTCCGGATGTATCGGTTCATGGTGCCGCCGGCGCTGGCGGCGTCGCGGTCGATCGCGTTCATGGGGCTGACGATGACGATCAACACGACGATGGTGGCGCAGGCGCAGGCGCTGTGGGTGGCGGCGTACTTCGCGGGTGATCTGATGGCGCTGAAGCCGAGCGAGCGCTGTCCCGAGAGTGTGCGCGCGGAGCTGCAGAAAAAGGGAACGACGGACGAGGCGACGGACGTGGATCTGCTGTGGGAGACGGCGCTGCATAGCCAGTTTGGCGTGCATCGGTACCCTGGGGGGTTTGGCAAACGCAACCCGGACTTCGTGTTCGATGCGCTGCCGTATGTCGACCTGCTGCTGGGCGATCTGGGACTGGATATCGGCCGCAAGCAGGGCGGGCTGAAGTGGTTGGAGCCGTATGGCATGGAGGATTATCGCGGGCTGGTGCAGGAGTTTCTCTCGAGCAGGCAATAATGGAGAAAAGACTGTAATGAGAATTCCATAATCAATCAACCTTGTTCAATCCCAATCAATATCAGTCCATACAAGTGCCATTCCGTCGCAACGCCCTTCTACATACATAGGAGTACATAACATCCAGGTGTGACCGTTCGCTCGATGCCATCCCAGCAAGCATTCAATCAATCAATAAGCACAAAAAGAAACAATATCCGACCCGCCTTGCGAAAAGCCGCCCAAATCCAAGCTGAATACAGTTGACAAAGTCGTGGAACATACAGTAGACGGAAAAGTCAGGGCCAAAAAACTCACGTACAAAGCTCGACATAGTAACACCGTTCCCAGAGGCAGAGCGAAGATCCAATATATAACGCCGAGGATGACAATATTAACTCCGGTAAGCACGAGCCAATCAATCAGGTGTGACCGTTGGACTCCAAATCTCGTTCTTCCTCTTTGACGGTGCTCCGTTCTTGCTTCGCAGAGCTCGTGTCGGTGGCTCCCTCCTTTCCGCAGCCTTTGACCAGAATGTGTCGCTAGCACTTGTTAGTCTTTCTGTATCTTCCTGTATCTTTCGGTAAAGTGTTCAAGGGACGAAGCTCACCTTCAGTGCATCCTTGCGGGAGAAGCTCTTGTCGCAATGGGTGCACGGGAACGGCTTCACCGCCAGATGAATCCGTTTATGTCGTTTCAGATCATGGTTGCGGTTGAAGCTTTGAGGGCACTCGTCACATTTGAATGGCCGGTCGTTGGTGGGCCCTGGCGCATGTCCGGGGTGCGGTGGATGTCCTCCGTACATTTGCTGCATGCTGGCCAGATGACCACTGTTGAATCCCGGTAGAATGCCCGGTTGGAGACCGCCCAAAAGCGACATCTGACTTCCCGGGTTATGGACATTGGTCATCACGGGTCCGTTCATGGCGGGAAGCGAATACGATGGCCAAGGCTGTCGCGGGTGGTAGCCCAGAGGGTGATGGGGAGAAGGATGCGGATTCGAAGCCACTCGTCCTGGCGGATGGATTCCCATTCCCGGTTGTCCGGCATAGGGTGGATATCCCGCTGGAGGACTGGCTAGCTGTTGAAGCCCGCCGTATGCCGGGGCGGACGAGGATTTGGCCATGTACGGATCGTTGAACGGAAGAGGAGGCGGCGCAGAGGCCGGGTTAGGTAACGCATTCTGGGCCGTGAGCATCGCATGCGCCATGGCGTGGTGATGCGGGTGATGCGTGTGCTGATGGTTCGGGTTTGCGGGAATGCTGGCGACGGAGGGGACTGAGAGCGGTTGCTGAAACGGAGGGAGCTGATTCATATCGTACGATGGAGAGATGCCGTCGCTGCCAGGGGGTGAGGTTGCGGGATTTCGGCTCAGAGGATTCAAGGATGGGGAGAAGGTGTCTCGAGTCGTGTAAGAAGCGGGATTGTTCCACGATTGCCGTGGTGTGGATGAAGCGGTTCCGTAGGAGCTCTGGCTTTGCCAGTAGCTCGGCGCATAGGACGAAACCAGATCCGGAGACGCGGAGACGGTGGTGGCCGCCGCTGTGGCGGTCGTCGCTGTCGCCGTGGCAGGTACCGTAGATGCGCTCGTCGGAGCCGGAGTATCAACCGATTGCGTGGATGCTGGCGGCGTGAGAAGGTTGCTGACGCTGGGATTGGTGGGGGGATGCTGAGGATTCGATGGATGCGTAGGCAATCTCAACCCGGTCGTTCCAATATGGAAGTTTGGCGGCGGAAGTTCAAAGTTGGGAAGAGACGAAGCGGCAGGTCTGCGCGTGTTCAGTGGCGGCTGCGGGGTGTTCAGCGCATCGAGCGCCGTCCCCATGCCAGAGGGAGGGATTGCTAGGGCCGCCAGCGTGACGGAGTTATCTCGAGTAAAGGTTAAGGGTTGGAAAAAATCGCCCGCTTCCACAGATGGTGGAGTGGTCAGGGTAGTTGCCAGTTGCCCGGTAGGAAACGTGACGGTGTCGCCGCCCAGCGTCCAGTATCGATTGCCAGACAGGCCGCCAGAGAGATCTGGAGGATCCAGGAGGGGCAATGATCGCGATTAGAGCGATCTGACTGGGGGGAGAGGAGAGGAAGAGATGGATAGGGGGAGAGAGGAAGAGAGGCAGATGATCAGTCGGACGCAGGTGAGAATGGCCGAAAGTGAGGGAGGATTTCCTCGTCGTCCGTCGAACTCTCGCGGTGTGGATCCCTGGATGTTGAAAATCAATCGAGTTCGATGCGAAGAATGCAGCAGGTTTGCGCTTCCTCGAGGGTCGTGTCAACCGAGGCTTTCGTTGGTTTTTGTCAGTCGGGTGACATATCCCAGGCGATGTACACAACGAACAGCGGCGAATCGATGAATCCAACCAAGGAATGACGAGATCAAACTTTGACGTGCGCAGGTCAACACGATAACATTTCCTTTCTCAACAGACCGACCGTGCGATGGAATCAGAAAACAAAAACAGCAGCGACACAGCGACACAGCGTATATAATCGAGCAGGCCAATTGGCGACGTCCAGAACAACAACAGTGGATACAGAAACGGTTCCTTCAAGCGCGACGCAGATGGCGGATGACGATGGTGACAAGAAAAAGGATCAGAAGGAAGGGAAGAAACAAAAGGAGATGACCGATGGATGGATAGATAGATAGACAAGGGAGAGAGAGGCAAAAATAATCAGTGGTGGTGGTTGCGGTGACAAGATCGAGGGAAAAGAAAAGGCGCCGGAGCGAGTAAGTGTGGGATTATTAGGTCAATCTTTATTTTTTATTTTTCCTTAACGTGTATGGATATTTGTATAGGCCGGGAGTATCAGGCAGTCAATGATAGATTGAGGCGACTGAAGGGCCAAAACCAAAACCAGCCGGGAATGGAGACGTATCCAGACCAGTCCAGCGCTGGGTCTGGCCAGCGCGGGGGTTGAGAGTCGTGGTCGGATGTGGGAATAAAATACCAAGGGTAAGGAAAATAAAATCAAATCGAATGGGTGCGACTATGGAGCTAGAACGGATGTAGAAAATCAGTCACCTAATAATTAAATCCAAAAAGAAAAGAAAAAAAAATAAAATGGAAAAGGGAATAAAATAAATGCCAGAGAAAAAAAGGAAATAAAAAAAAAAGAAAAGGAAAAAAAAAATAACAGACACACCTCCAGCCGGACGACAGACCCAGGAGCTAGTCGGGATCTAGTCAAGAAGAATGAGCAGCTGGACCAACCAGATTTCAGAGAAAGATTTTATTGGGAAATTCCCTGGGATCGATCCATGGCAAATTTCCAGGGAAAACGGATAGTCACGAAACCAAGGGCAGATGGCCGAGAGAAAAAGAGAGAGAATAATAATAATGATAATAATCAACCACCTGCGCAGTCCAACCCCCGAACAGACGTTGACTGAACAGTAACAAGAATCCGCTTACTGCGTATATACTGCGTAGGATCCAAATCAAACATGCTCCTACGGAGTAGAAAAGAGGCAAACCATCAGATCAATCATGTTCGAAACCCACCACTAGCAAAATTATCATACGGAGTATGCATTATTATCAGAGAGATTATTTATAACTCGCCTCCGATGGACTCCATCTCCCCATCTGGCAAGAGCATATACCACGGAGGAAGCAAAAATAAATTAGATCCATCCTCAGGAGAAAAATCCGCTCAGGCGCCGTCCGCAACACCAGACGGACTGATCAACGGCAACGTGGTTGACAGGGCTCGCCAGAGGTCCAAGTCCCAGCGCGTTCCCACCTTTCGGCCGCACCCACGGTCAAGGACCAACTTATTTTAGCCAGATGGAACGGTGACCGGATGAAGCATACTCCGTTTCATCGATCCATATTTTTTTTTTTACTCTCTGTATTATTCTATCGTCCGTTCTTTTATCCTTTCATGACAATAATGCCAATAATCAGCTGCATGGTTGATGAACCGGAACCATTCGACGGTGGTTTCTACATCTCTTTCTCGTTTGGTCAGATGGTGACTTCATAACTTTCTCACTCGGCAGGGTATGGAGTTCAAGGTTTGATGCTGGACAATCGTATTCGAGTAGCTCGAGATAAACAGACAAATACGGAGGATACCCAATTACACATAGAATGGATGTATATGAAACAAAAGAGAAAAGAGCCAAAAAGCAATTCGCCCGCGCAATGAGGCTAGGGGGAAGCACAGGAAAAGATGGACATGTGGAGCGCATTCTGGACGATCGGCCACCCCGACCCAGCAGGGAATATTGCTGAGTGCTTTCCCTGTTTGGTGGAGCAGAGAATAAGCTTAGCAAGTGGTGGACGATCGATTCTGCGTCTAGGAGGGATCAGAGGTTTGGATCGACAGATCTGGAGTTGTGTCAGAAGGAGCTTTTTTCAGGAGGGCCTGGAAGAGCATCGTCAAATCCCATCGGCTCAACGCCGCAAAAATACGAGGTCGAAACAGAAAAACAATCATACCGACTTGTATTTCCCGAAGCCAAAACAAACGGACAGAAAAAATAAATAAAAGTCAAGTCAAGTGGAATGGACGTTCCAGACAGACAGCGAGACCCAGAAAAAAAAGGGGGAGTAGAAAGCGTTGATGCTCCCTTGCATCGGGGAATGCATGACAGATGGGGAATGGAGGGAGATGGGCAGAAACTGAAAGACAGCGGAGTCGGGGCAGTTGTGAGGCATCAACCGATAGGATCCAGAACCATTGGATGGGTTTCCTTATCGGTTGTCATAGGAAATATCTCCATCATCGACTCCCGTCCTCGAGTTAAGGTACTGCCCACCCAGGGACCGGGTACTGCAACCACCACCGGTCTCCGTTGGGAACCATTGCAGCGAGGACGGCTTACGGCGTCTTCGCGAGTGGTGAATAATACACATGGCATATCAGAGTATGAATGGCTTGTTCTTCTCGAGCTTCTGCGCCAGACCCGGCCTCTGATGGCGGATGATCCGGCGATGATTTGTCGTGCTGACGGGGTCTGATAATAACCATCAATCTTATTTCCCTCCGTACCGCTCCTTATTGTTCGATCCCCAGGAGAATCGAATAATTACTATTCATCTGATCCCAGGCTTTCCTCCGGACATACTTACCCAGTAGTACTAAACAATAATTTCCACTCGCCCGCTCGTATTTCCTCGCCAGTCGCCTGTCGCCTTCCCCTCTCGCACGGACACTTCCCCCTCCTCGATCAAAGAACCATTCCTCGTCTTCAGACAAACGGTCCCTGGTTTGCCCGGTCGGTCGTCCCTTCCAGCTCATTCCAGTTGGTCTTCCTGTTGTTTCCCTTCGCTTCCCTCCCCCCCCTCTTCAGGATCGGGTCAGGTGTTCTTGTCGCTTCGTTCTTTTGCACTTCCCGTCAGATCGAGGTCACCGACCCGGCTCCAAACCAACCCCGAGGCTGCAATACGAGACCCTCTTTCTCGTCAATATTTTCCCATTATTCCCCGCCGGGTAGATGCAAGCGAGAGACCCTCGGAACCGCAGGGACTAGAGCTGGTTTAGGTTTCTCAGATCCCTGCGCGGCGGTCATGTCTGGGTCGGGCGCTGGGACTGGCTCACTGCCTTTTTTTTTTTTTTTTTTGTCTTTCATTTTTTTCGGGATTTCCTTGTTTTTGTTTTTCTTTCTTTTTGTCTTTGGCTTGCGTTTTTCTAGCGGCGGCGGTTCATTGGCTGGTCGTTTTCCCACGAACGACGCTAGGACCGGATCGGGACTAGATCCGAGAACGACTGCTTTCAAGCGGGCCCCACTTGGGCTTACCCGGCTGGTCTGCCTGCATCTCGGTCAGCTTCCACTTGGACCATTGCCTGGAGAGACAGAGCCAGAGCGAGCGATAGTCTCAGAGCAGTCCGGTAGGAGGAAAGGGAGGGGAACGGAGACTGGCGGAGTTCTTTGACTCATGACCGGGATCTTTTCGTGGTCCAAGGCTTACGCCGCACAGAGAGATGGTTTCTTATTTCCTGAGTCCTGACTCTCGGTTCCTGCCTTACCCACATTTCCTCTCTTGCTCTCTCCTAGGAGTAGTCCTCCAGCCCTCCCCCCTGAATTCTTGGTAAATGTCTAATTGAAAGTGGAGACTGACGATAGCTAGTATAGCTGTCATGGACAAACCCAATTCACCAGAGTAAACACCGGCGTACGCAGGAAGTACTCGTACGAGCGCAGAGCAATCGCCAACCAAGGAACTGGCCAGTTCGGTCGTGGACAAGCACACCCCGTCCGTCTGCGTTCGGGATCAAAAGCAGCGCAGAAACTCGACTAGGTGGAATCCAGCAGAGTGTCTCCTGCTGCTGAGACTAAAAACCGTCCGTCAGATTGATTCCACGGGCCCCACCCGTCCAGAACCTTCCATTGGCCCCCGCCAGCGCCGAACGGGCCGTCGATTGGCTGAAACTCAAGGCTATCTATCGGTGGTGGCCACATCCCCGCGGCCAATGATGGCGCGGCCGCCCAAGAGGGAAACAGACCACTCACAAAGGGAGGGGGAAAGATAGCCAACGGTCCACCGCTTTAGACTTCATTCGCGGCGGCGGACAGCACCGGCCTGTCGGTGTCGGCGGGGACGAGAAGTTGTGCGCGGGAGATCTGGGTGGCGGCCACACGGTCGAGGTGGAACGATGGGTCTACACCTACTCGTACGGAGTGGTACTTTGTCACTACTATCTCCCAGTACTGCGCAGATAGGTCTGGAGCTTACAGAGGCTGGTAAATCAGATAGGTAGATAGTATACCCTAAAAACTTTCCATCTCCCCGACGACTGCACATTCCTATATCCTAAAATCCTCAGAAAGCGGAACCCTATCAGCGACCGTCGTGGAAGATGCTCTTTTGGCACGGTGCTAGCCCCGACTAATAGGGGGATGTTTGCTAGTCTCACAAAATAATTTATCCAGACTCGAGTTGAGCTGGACAAGACATCCGGACAGCATGGTATCCATCCAGCCAGCGGAGGGAGGGAGGAGGGAAGGACAAGAACGGGGTCGAGTCGAAAGTAGAAAGTAACTGTAGGATTTCCTGCCGCAAGTCTAAGTCCGTCTCGGTACAAGCTCCGTACAGAGTATCATCGGTACAGGACTAAACCTGCCCGGGGGTGCTGGCCATGCAGGAAGAACGATGCCGGTGGATACGACCTGACCTGACTGACCGCTTGGGTGCCAACGCTATTCGTCCCCTGTCTCCGATACCTGACCAGAGACTTACGGAGTACGGACTAAGGTACCTGTACGAGACTGCTAGTACGGTAGTAGTAAGCGGGCGGACATGTAGGCGGTCGGGACCAGATTGATTGATTGATTGACGGATTGATTGATTAGTTTAGACTATGTCCACCCCGGCCAGGGTAGTATACTTCGACCTCGAGAGTATGGGGATGGATGGGATGCCCGGAAGAGCCGACGACATGAGGGTATTCTGCTTATGCAGGCCCATGTAGGGGATGCAGAGCACCATGCACAGTACTCCGTATACTGAAACACCAGCAACAAAGGAATAAAGAGGGGGAGGGGGGGAAGGGTACGAGGTGATAGATAACCATGCAGCACTTTCCTCCGTACGTCTGCGTCTGTAGCTGTGCGGAGGGAGGACACCCACACCTACCGGACCAGAACCTAAATAACTCTAGAGTCTGGAAGGACGAGGACGATAGTTCATTCTCGAGCTGCAGTGCAGTCTCCTCGCGTCGGGACCCATCCCACTGGACCAGCTGAGTCGATCTTCTGCATCAAAGGGCGGCGTCCGTTTGCTTGTCGCAGTGCGTGGCGCAAAAATAGGACGAGAAAAAAAAAAGTCTGGGGAAAGGGGAAGGGGGAGGGGAAGTACCGGCCAGGTACCGGGCTACTTTTTCCCTACCGCGGTCGACAGGTTAACTTTGGGATCAGGCTGGACTGAAATCAGATGTTTGTTCCGTTGCAGGAGAGGTGGGGTTTCCCTGTCCTGACCTACGCAGCAGAGAGTAATAATAATAGTATACTCGGAGAACTAGCTGGCACTTATCGTGGACTCGAGTCATAATAGGGATTACTATTACTACCGCGGCGACGTATTCGGAATATGGTCTAGACAGCTGGGCAGATACCTGGCAGGTACTTCCTCTTCCTGAGTCCTACTCCGTCGATGCTAAGGACGCGGCTACTGTACATCAGAAATTATGCGCTCCAGAATTAAGGGTGCGGTTGACCAAATCCCATGATGTTCCCGGACGGGATTAGCGGAGCAGGGATGGCTCTCCTTTTGTCTTTTTTTTTTTTTTTTTTTGTCTTTTCTCTTTTGCGGCACTCCCTGTGTGTTATTCTTATTTTTTATTCTGATTATTTTTATTTGATTGATTTATTTGTCCTCCGCCAATCCTCGTTCTCGATCTCCGTCTTCATACCACACCTCCGTGCGACTGGATCTAGAATACGGAGGGTGCCAGAATCGACGAAATAAATCAAAATCAAAAATACCAACAACCAAATGATAAAATAAAATCAACTAAAATCAAATAAAATCAAAATGCCAGTCTGGACTTCGGTCCAATCCTCCCCGCCCAATCCGGCTAGCGCGAAGAATGTTCGGTCGAGTCACGAGATGGGGCCTTCTGCAGCAGCGACCGGTCTAGACTGAGCAGAGCGAAGGGAGCCGATCGAATCGCCAGCCAAGGGGGAGGGGAGAAGAACCCGGCAAGTCCACGACGGGACCGCAAGGCAAAGGCGTTGTGGTGGCTTATCGTTTGTAGTTTATTCTGCTTATGATAACCTCATCTCAGCTCATCTCGACTCACGATGCGGAAGAACTGTATGTTCATTCTCTGTTGATCTCTTCTCTCTTCCGGAATATCTAGCTGGCTGTCGCTAACTGATCTAATTAGATGCAGCAGCCTCATACGGTGCCTCCTCCTCATAAACCTCATATTTATATCCGCTGCCCGGATGGTCCGCCCGCAACTCCCTCTGTCCCTTGCCATAGACCTTCTCGCGCGCCGTCAGCCCGTCCTCCTGCTCCTCCGCCGCAGGATACACGCCTCGCCGCCGCAGCTCCGGGATCAGCAGATCCACCACCTCCTCGAACGTCCCCGGCGTCGTGACATACCCCAAGTTGAACCCGTCGACGTCGGCCTCGCGGATCCACCGCTCCAGCTCGTCCGCCACGCGCGCCGGGCTCCCAATCGCAACGGGCCCCAGGCCGCCGATCGCCGCCTTCTCGGCCACCACGCGCGGCGTCCACCGCGGCACGTCCTCGCTGGTCGTCGTGAACGCGTCCAGCACGCTGGTGACCTTGTGCGCCTCCAGCGAGTCCGCCGCCGTGATGTCCTGGTCCAGCGGGATGCGCGAGATATCGATGCCCGTCCAGCCGCTGAACAGGACCAGGCCGCCGACGACGGAGGCGTGCTTCTTCAGCTCTTCGTACTTGGCCTGCGCCTCTTCGTCCGTACGCCCGATGATGGGCGTGAACGTCGCGAAGAACTTGATCGAGCGGGGGTCGCGGCCCTGAGACGCCGCCAGCTGCCGGATGTTGTCGATCTTCGGCCGCAGCACGCTGGCGGAGTGGCTCGACACGAAGATGGCTTCGGCGTGGTTCGCCGCGAAGGCCGACCCGGCGGCCGAGGTGCCCGCTTGGAACAGGAACGGCGTGCGCTGGGGCGACGGGTCGACGATGTGCCGCGTGTTCAGCGAGAAGTATTGGCCCTTGTGGTTGATCTGGCGCACCTTGTCGGGGTCCACGTAGGTGTCTGTTTCGGGGTTGGGGTTGAGGGCGTCGGGGGCCCAGGATCCTTCCCAGAGTCTGCGAATAGGTTACTACCTTGTCCGGTATACTAATGAGTGCTACTTACTTGTACAGCACTCGCAGGTATTCATCCGCCTGACGATATCGCTCGTCGTGCTCGATCGGCGTGTCCAGCCCGATAGCCTTGAAGGCGGCCTTCTTCCACGAGGTGACGATATTCCACCCGATGCGACCATCCGTCAGATGATCGAGCGTGGAGAAGCGTTTCGCCAGCAGAAACGGCGGCTCGAAGGACGTCGAGGCCGTGATGCCGAAGGCCAGATTCTTCGTCACGGCCGCCATGGCCGAGATGGGCTTTTCCAGTCAGCTTTGCCTTCAGCCGGAATCTCGCAACACATACAATAGTCGGATCCGTGACAGGCCACTGGGCCGCTCGTCGAATGCACTCGTCCAGCTTCCCTTCGTAGGTATCATACCCACCGTACGTATCCGCCAGGAAGAGGGCATTGATGCCGCCGCGCTCAAGCAGCTTGGCCAGCTCAATCCAGTACTCTAGCTTGCGTTTCGTGGCCGATTTATCGACCGGATTCTGCACTCTCAGCTACTTCCAATAACACAGTTTCTGACTAACTCACCTTCCACTGCCCAGGCGACAGATGCCCCACGGTCGACATGTCAAACGCATTCAGGAGGATTTGCTTCTTGCCAGGGCCATCTTGGCCGGAGGGTGCGGTACTATCGCCCATGTCGATTCAATTTCGGATTCAAAGCTCAATCCTTGAATCTCGTCTCGTCTGGGCCTTCCTTCCCCTCTTCTTATCTGACGCAGACCCCTCAGCAAAGAGACCCCACATATCGCCATCATGTATTCTCATCGCGTGAGATACATTGTCATGCTGATCGTAGTCGGTAGAATGCCGGGCAGGGGCAGAGATATTGACTGATTCGCCATCGTCTCCGCTGTAATCGCCACTGCATTGGATGTCTTATTTGCTGCTAGGACGTAGTACATGGACGGACATCTAGCCGATCCGAGGTGATGCGGAGACGGGTGGCATCATTAGGGGGTGGATTGCGTGCGCGGGCGGATCAGTTATCAGCGATAATCACTTAGTTAGAATTGCCTTGGATCGTTAATGAGATGTCATTCATAATTCCTAATATCAGCTGTCTACAAATTCGAATAGAAAGATGAGACAGGAGGGAAATGTAGGCTTGTTTTGTTAGATGTTCAAGTGTTATATCAGAAATGAATTACAAGCAACACTGTCAATAAAAGAGAAAGGAAAACGCAGTCCAATAGTGTTAATCACATCCAAGAAGCGTGATAATTGTTTAGCTTCGAAGTCGTTATGGTTAAGAAACTAGTTTACTCGGAGCAATGCAGTGTAGTACTGTTCACCCTAAATACCATCTTATACTGTCTATCTCTACTGACCAGTTGTATCCCATATATTCAATCAATACCCTCCGCATAGTTACTCCAACCTTCTACTCTTTCCCACCCTGAGAATGCGCAACATGCACCACAGCCTCTCCTCTCTCATCTGCCTCTCCCTCGCTGACACCAGCCTCCTCCATCTTAGATTGTCTACAGTCCGTCAGCCAACCCCCTCCCCTCCCCTCCCAAACCCCCAAAGAAGAAAGAAAAAAAGGGACATACCTCCTAACCCAAAACATAATCCCATGCGCAACCCCCACCAAACAAACCGCATTCGCCAACACAAACGCATACCCCTTGACGAACCGCGGCGCCTCAACCGTCTTAAACACCAACAAGGGCGTCCACGCCGTCGTCGACTGCGCCACCGTATTAACCGCAACCAACACAACAGCCCTCTCTGCATCCGAATACCTCAGCAAACTATTCACCCAACCATACAGCACACTCGACATCGCGACGGCCGCATACGTCGTCAAGAACGCGAACCACAGCGCCGACTCCGGCACGTCCCAGCTCACGAGGATGAGGAGGCCGAGGGCGTTCCAGGCGTGTGACAGGGTGATGGCCCATGCCGGGCCCAGCGCCAGGTCGGACAGAAAGCAGACGGCGAGGGTGTAGAAGATGCCGAGGGCGGGGGATATCGCGGCGAGGGTGTTCAGACGGGGGGTGGAGAAGCGGTTGAGGGATTTCAGCCATAGGAGGTAGCCGCCCGCGTTGGTGTTTAGGCAGGCGTTCCAGAAGAAGATGTCGAGGGCGAGGAGGGCCCAGAAGCGCCAGTTGCGGAGGACCGAGGGGATGGTGGATGTGGTGAAGGTGGTTGTTGAGGTGGTGTTGGAGGGCTGGGTGTGGCCGGCGCGGAGGAGGCGGTGTTTGGAGATGGCGAGGTCGGTGTCAGACAGCACGATGCGGTTGGGTTTGCTGGGTGTACCGGGCAGGATGAAGTAGCCGAGGATGCCGATGGGGATGGTGATGAGCGCGCAGATGATGTACATCCAGCGCCAGCCGGCGAGGCCGTGGACGCCGTCGAGGCGCGCGGAGGTCCCTGCTTGGATGAGGCTGGCTGTGAGGGTGCCGAGCGTGAGGCCGACGTAGAAGCAGCCGCCGCGGCGGGCGATTTCGTCGCCGCGATACCAGGCGCCTGGTAGTGTTAGCAATGAGTGGGAGACGAGGGAGAAGGGGAGGGGAGGGTACCGAATATGTAGTGCATTCCGGGGAAGAATGCAGCCTGTCTTATCAGCATCAATTATAGACATATGGAGGGGGATGGAGAGAGAAACCTCAAACCAGCCCACCAGAAACCGATACGCCATCAACTCGGCATACCCATTCACGCGATACTGCAGCAGCGTAAACACCCCCCAGCAGATATCCAAGAACGGGATGAGCCACGACATCGGGACCTTGGTGAACAGATACGCAAACGGGATCTGGCCGACCACCGCGCCGACCGTATACATGGTCTGCAGATGGACGAGCTCGTTGCCATGGAGTCCGAGGTCTTCTTGCAGGCCGGAGACGTAGGCATTATCTGACAGATGTTAGTTACACTCTCCGTCCTTAGAATGGCAATGACAATGGCATGGCAGGATAGCAGGACGGGAAAGGTAGAAGGAAGGAAGACGTACTAATATTCGACTGATCAATATACTTCGTCCAATACGCCAAAAAAGCATACGGCACGATCAACAGATCCAATTTCAGAATCAGCCTGCGCTCCTCGGGCGAGTCCTGGTCTGCGAACCATTGGATGCGCCACCATTTGCGACGCGCTTGGACGGTATCGGCCATATGAACCACAACTAGAGCCCAGCCTGGACTTCACTTCAACTTAATCCGGCTGCAAGCATAGCGAAACCAAACCTCTTAAATCGCCTCCCTGTTCGACAAGATGTCAACGCAGCTTGCGATGACGTGACTGGTCCTGTCGGGCATGGCATTGAGGAGAGGGGGCTCGTGGAGATGACCTCCTTGTCCTTCACCAAAACATCTAAACAAGTAAGAAGAAAACAAGAGAAGATGATCTCGGAAGATCCCCGACGAGGATGGATAAGATTCGGCAGGACGAAGACGGGAGTTGGCTGCAGCCAAGCATCGTGTCAGGAGGTGGAGGTAAGACGTGCTTAGATGTGGTCTAATTGTCTGGCTATCGGGGGAGCGGGTCTAGAGCCAGGTAAGTGAGGGGTGCTATTTTATTCATTTTGTGGATTAATTGTCAATTAGAATGGGCCTACCTTGATGTATATTTATCCTTATTGTCTGACAGCATCTTGTTACATAAAACATCCATGATAACACAGCTGATAGACATAAAACTCATGGGCTCCAATTGTATATTCACTTATGTCAATTCAGACCTGGAACAATGCACCGCCTTATATACAGTTCTGCAACAAACCAGCAGAAAGAAACACATGGATGGATGTTATGTGATAGAGAACTAAAAGCATCATCTACCACAAATATATATACCCTTCATATACAGTAGTCTTGACTTTTATTTTTTATTTATTTTTTTTTTCTCTCCTGTCCATTCATTCAAATAATGGGGGATATTAGGTTCAAGCTTTATACAGATTTACATATATATTCAGTTCTTGCGTCCCAAATCAGAAGAAAAGTCAGAAAGGTTGATCTAAAGCAATACACTATTTATATCTTCGAGTATATATACTTGACAGTTATGAGAAGGCATTGACTTCATACTTTTCCCTTTTATATATACCCAAGCCTTATAAATAAACAATAACGCTAATGCATAAATTAATTCCTCACATCTAAGACCTGTATCAAAAACAACACCTTTAAGGTATATATATCTACCACCTCACCCACGAACTCAAGACTAAAGAGAAGCCAACACCCTCCGAATCGTACTCGACACCCTGCCCACCTCCCCACCCTCCTGTCTCGCCGCTTCCACACCCCCCTTCACAGCCCCCAAATACCCCCCCTCCACGAAAACCCGATACCGGTCCTCCTGCGTCTCATACATCTCGCCATCCGAGTCCCTCGGCGCCCCGAACAGATTCAAATACGCGTACGGATGCGCCGACTCCGGCACCAGATGCACCGCCGAGAGGATCGGAAAGTCCCCATTCCCCTCGCCTCCTGCTCCATCCTGTCCCGGACTGGAAAGTAAATGCGGCGCAAGACCCGCTTCCAAGAACACGCCCAGGACTGATAATCCGCGGATCAGACCCTTGCCTTGCTTGCCTGCTTTGCCGAGTTCGACGCGTCCGGTGCCTGAGCCAGATCCAGAGCTAGAGGTCCCGCCGGCACCGGTGCTCGTCCATTTCGATTTCCCGCCAGCCGGGTCGGGAATGTGCCATCCCAGCAGCGACAGGAAGCATTTCAGAACCTTGACCCAGCCGCCGGGGGCGCTGACGACTTCCTCCCCTGCGACGTCGACCAACCACTCGAGGATGTCGAGGGTCGAGAGGCGAATGTCAGCGGCGAGATGGGTCATGCCGGCGCGAAGGTACGGCAGGAGGGTGGGGACGTGGTCGCGGACATCTCCCGGGGGGAGGGTCTTGAAGAGTTTGAGCAGGGCGGAGCGGACGGAGACGTTTGCGTCGAGGATGAGAGGGAGGAGGGAGGGGAGGAGAGACGGGACCGGGACGGGGAGGGGGACGAGACGGGGCGCGAGGCGATGGCGGTGGCGAGGTGCGAGAGGGAGTCGCGGCGCTGGGAGTCGGATTTGCTGGACAGGAGGGAGAGCGAGTGTGTGAATTGGGTGGATTGGGAGGGGGCGTTGAGGGTGAGGGATTGTTGGGTGAGGGTTATTGCTTTGCAGAGTTAGGTTAGCTTGCGAACTGGGTTTGATGGATGAGGGGGGAGTACATTTCGATTTGAAGCTGGTGTCTGTGAAGTTTTCGGGCTTGGCTTTGGCTTTGCCGACTTTCAACTTGGGTTTCTGGTACATCAATTAGCATGCGCTTCATTCAACATCCCATTCCGTTCATCTGGCACCCATTCATCTGGCAGAGCATCAGGACATGGCACAGGGCATAATGGCTTACCTGGAAGTCCTTCTGCTTCTCCTTCTTCTTCTTCGAGCTGGCACCCATTGTGTCTTCTTATCTTGCGACGTCTCTTCTGGCCTGAAATGTCTGAGGAATCAATGGCGTCGGAGGATGATCTGCGGAGAAAAAGCAGGAGGAAATTTTGGTTGTTCGATAAGATAAGCTTATCGCACGTGACCTTATCCACATGCCTGAGGTGTCTGCAACACTACATTTACAAGATGCATGCTACCATCTGGCAGTACATCTACATCTACATCCATCTACACCAAGACAAATCAAAATAAAGACCATCACCATAAAACAGTCTATAATCCATTCAATAAAAATTCAATAAAATCAAATCACAGTGCGCACTTCTGTCCGGCAAAGCCATAAAACAAACACCGGACAGACGCGATTGTATCAAACATAAAATCAGGCCGACGGAGCATCAAACATCAAACATCAAAACCAGAGAAACATGAAACATGAAACAACTGCACACGAAAAAGGAAAGAAAAAAAAAACATCAGGCGCTAGAGTCAACCATTAAATAATATCCGAAAAAAAGAAAAAAGAAGCTTTCCTTCCTTCATCACCATTAATCCTGTCCTCCTCCCCTGATAACACAGCGGGAGCTCGGATAGCGAGCGCCGTCGTGTTTCATATCTATGAATATCGGTCATGCGGGCGTTGCTGATAATATCGAATAAGAGAATGAAAAGAAAGAAATTATAAGCTCATGGTCAACCATTCCCATTCTTGACTGGCGCCTTGGCCACCCGCGATGCTGTGGTTCGCCGGGTTCGCCGCCGCCGGGGGCATCGCAGGAGCCAGAGGAACCACCTTGGATCGGCCGGAGGATTTGCTGCTGTCTTCGGTCTCGTCGCTGGCCTTTTCCAGCCGGCGCTGCCGTTTGGGAGCCACTTGCACCGCGCTGCGCGTCTGTCCGGTACCCGGGGATGCGGCGACCGACGGAGCGGACTTGGGCGGCGCGGCGGCAATCGGGACCACGCCGGACGCTCGTCCGGGAGCACTCGGCATGGCCGGCGGGGACTCCGACGCCGTTCCTCCGCTCTGGGCGCGACTGGATGTCGGCGTGGTGGCGGGCGCCTGCTGCACCGAGTTCTTGCGCGCGGATTTCTTGGACGATCGGGACGTGCCCACGGCCAGGGTGTTGGCGCTGCTGCGGTTCCGCTTCTTGATGACGTCCGTCTTCAGCGACAGCGGTCGCACCACGCCGTGCAGCTTCAAGAACAAGCCGCAGGCGTTACACAGCGGCTGTCCCTCGGGATTCCGTCGCCACAGCGGCGTGGTCTGGGTGAAACAGTTGGTGCAGGTCGTCGGGCCCGTGCTGCCCTCGCCGTTCTTCGAGCCTCCGGGGCTCGCGGGCCGCGAAGGAGCCGCACTGCTCAGGCCCGACTCGGGCGGGGTGTTGGGTGAAGTGTGCGAATTGTTGGCCGAGTTCATGCTCTGACGCAGCAGCTGCGCCGTGTTGGGCGTGGAGGCGGTACGGGCGATCTTCTGCCGGCGGGGATCCTGCTCTCGGTTGCGAACCTCGCTGACCGAGGCCGCCGACCCGTGAGTCCGATTGAGACTACCGCTCTGGTGGTTCCATTCACTCGGGGTGTCCATCATATCCGCCGATCCAATGGTGACATGTTTGCGGTGCTGAGCGAATCCCGGCAGCGAATGGAACGATCCCGGGAACTGTGTATCCCACTGCATACCCGAGTTCATATCGCCATTCTCGTCGCTGAATTCCGCCGGCATCGCAAGTCCGGCACGCTCCGAAAATGGACGCCCCTCGTCATCCTCGTTGTCCGAATCGGCTCCAAAGGAGAACATGTTGGCGTGGGATGCCGTGAAATCCCCCGGTCCCAAAACCTGAGACGGATCGACATGCGGAACCGGATATCCTGGGGAATGCACCGAGGAGTTGGTCTGCTGCTGCTGCTGCTGCTGCTGCGCTTGCTGCTCATGCTGGTTGAACATATACCGCGGCTGCAAGGACGCCGACAGGTTCGAACGGTGGGAAACGTAGTTGGGCACTCGGCGCTGGGTGCGTGCATCCACCGTCGGCATGTCGAAGTACATGGAGTGCTCGCCATCGTAGGCCGGCTGCGGAGTCGACACGGTCGACTGGTATCCCGAGGGAGGGGGCGAAAAGAAATCGGTCGAGTTGAGCGACGACGCCACGGGCGTCTGTGCATACAAGTTCGTAAACGGATTACCCGAGGTCATGGGCGAGTCACTCGGGGAGAAAGTAAAGTGGGTTTGATAGGGGCCGGCGGAAGGAAGGATGGGATCTTCGCCGAGACTGAAGGTGTCCAGCGCGAACGGCACGCCCGGGGAGGTGTGGCTGGCATGGTTCGACGCATGCTGGGTGGCGTGATGCAGTCCGAACGCCGAGGTCGACGCATCCAATGCGTAATCGGGAACGCCGCCGGAAAGATCGGGATCGTGGGCCAGCATGGTGTTGGACACCGGGGGAACCTGGGGCGAGGATTCGGCGGGTCGTTTGCGGTTGGGCAACTGCAGACCGAAGAACTGGCGCTCGTCGATACTCGTCTTGCGCACGCGACGGGGCACGTAACCGAATTCGCTGTTCTTGCGCTGATCCCGAGCCGGGTGGTGGAACGACGCAGGCACGGGCGTGGATTCGGCCACTTGGTCCTTGCGAGATTTGATGGGGATCGCCGCGGAGGTCGTCTCGGGCCCCTTGGGAGCATTCGGGGATGGGTGATCGGAGGGAGATTCGAAGGGCACGATAAAATCGTCCAGGTTCATGGGATCGGAAGCGAAATCGTTCGGGGTGGAAGACGCCGGGTGGGCGGGAGCTCGGTCGGAAATGCGCAATTGGGCAATACCACTGGGGCTGGAGATGCTGTTCCGGGCGGGAAACCTTTTAAACCGAATGATTTCATCCCATAATAAGCCAGATGTTCCAACCAATAAAGATCTTACGGTTTGTAAGACAACCAATGCTAGGGACAAACCTCGACTGATATAACCGCTCCTGCTCCTGGCGCTTCAAACTCATGGCCATCATTCGCCAGGTCAAGTTTTCCATGCGCTCCTGGTTCGGCAACTGGGCCTTGGTCCTAGAATACAGCTTCCATATCTGGGTGGCTAGCGGATCTTTCCTTTGCATCTCATCCGGACCGTCGAAGCCAACGCGAGGCTGCGCGCCAGAGCTCCACTCGGGGAACAGCGAGTCCTGCAGTAGGCCGCCGTCCTGCACATGAGACGAATCGGGCGGACTGAGGGGAGAACCGAAGGAGAAGTCGTCGGAGAGTTGAGAGGAGGCAGTGGGAGGAGGGAAAGGTTGACGGTGGTGGAAGGAGGCGGAAGACCGGTCAGCGTCGGCGGAGGAATCGAAGCCAGCGGGTTGAGTCGGTCGCACGCCCCCAGGACCTCGCCCGAGGGTCAACCCGGACATGATCTCGCGGACCTTCTCTCCCTTCTTATTGGAAAACGAGCCAGGGAATTAAAGGGAGGGAACCAGAAAAAAAGAAAAAAGAAAAAAGCCGGTATGCAAGGCGATAAGACGGAAGAATTTCGAAAAAGAGGGGAAGAAAAGAGAGAGATTAGAAGGAAGGAGGGAAGCCCAAAAAAAAGAATAAAAAAAAAGAGAGAGAGATAAGAGTCGTCAAAAGTCCAGACAACGAGAGGGGAATTCCTGCTCTTGTGTGGGTGGATTGGCCAGTCAGGAATTCCAGCTTACCCGCCGTAAACGACGTCCGGGCGGGAAGAACAATAATCAATGGGATCCAGGAAGGGTTTCAACCGATCTGTTCGGGGAGGTTAGTCGAGGTGGACGCAGCGACTAATGCGCGTGGATATCTCGATCATCTAGATACAGGCACAGGCGATGGAGAGATGGACAGGACGATGGAGCAGAGCAGGCGAGAAAGAGTAGTGGTATGTATCATACATCATTGGCCAGTCCACTAATTCCCAGCACTCGGACAAAAAGGAAAGGAACGTACCTGGGAGACGGAATGCCGAGGGATGGCCAGGAAGGGAATTGAGACAAAACGGGGGGATCGGACGACAGAGAAAGCCAGACCGAGCAGGGAATATAAGAGAGAAGAGGGAGGGAGAGGAAGAAAGAGGAGGACGAGAGGAGGGGGAAAAGCGGACGATGAAAGGAACGGAGGAAATGCATGACGGAGACCAGCCTGACCGTCCGTACCGTATTATTCTGCTGGCCGGAACCAGTAACGGGCGTCTTCATTTTTGGGTTTCCTCTTAAACCTACGGAGTGTGCCATATGCTATGGTATATTATAATTCTCTCATTTATTGTCTATAGATCACCAGCTGTATATAATGAAGATATTCAGGATGAATCCGGACCAAGACTCAGCCTACAAACGTATGTAAACTAGGTCTACAGTATACGTTAATACGGTACTGGTAATACCAATACCATCACCCGGTGGCAACCAGGTACGGGCGTGGTTTGGACGAGATTTAGCGTGGCTTTAGCGCGCCGGACTAAAATAGGACGACTCTGAGTCTCCAGTTTAGCTCGTGGTTTAACGTTGCCGGGGATGTTCTCGAAGCTCCACCGGGTTAATATTGGACATGAGATTCATTCGAGTACGTATTCCTGACCTCTGAACTGTCTACATCTATGTCTATCTATGAATACAGACATTCGATATAGATGGATATACCATATATATAACCAGCTCATGACTCTTCCCCACATCCTCCAAAGCACTGAAAGCATCGGCTAAAATCCAAAGGACTTCAGATCCGTCATCCATCGGGCCTAACCAGGCTAAACTCCGCCAATGACCGTGCGCAGCCACCGTCGGCCAAATAATGTTCCGCGACTCTGCCGTCCCGAGGCGGCGGAAATATGAAATCTGGTGGTCTCTGCTCTCTCCTCTCTCGAGGGATATTAATCTACGGCTGCACTAGTCAGTTGGTCGCAGGCCGTGGGATTCTCATCCCTGCTGCATTGCCAAAGTCAATCAGTTAATTAGTTACTAGTTGGCTAGGGAGTGTACGTCTCCCTCCAGAGAAAATAACCAGAGGTTTAAAAAAAAAAAAGGCAGTCGGTTCGCCTCCCATGATGTTAACTGCTGACGATGCCTGGCTTCCCATTCGTTGTTGACTGCACGCGGCGTCCGACCGAGTCAGATCGTCCGGGGCGCCCTGTCCAACAGGATTGAAATCCGCTCGGGCCAGCGATGTGTCTGACTTCACTGTGATCCAATACTCCATAGGAGGAGGCTACTCCGGGACACTGGAGACGGGTTACCGCTATAGGCCACGCGAACCCGAAGCGGTAGGAGTAAGACACGACAAGAATATCTACTGCGTACTGCAAGTCGGGACTAGATCCTTGTCAAGCTTGGACAATGCATGCAAGATGCATAGGCTACTCCATCGTGATAGAGGGGGGAGGGGAAGGGGGGAGGGGGGACCCCCATCGGGCCGATATGAGGACAGGAAGATGGAGATGAAGCTACTGCTAGTGTTCCGGAGTGGTTAAGGCTGTCCGTGAGTTGAAACCACGCCGTAGAGGCCACGGACCAGACCAGACCAAGGCCTACTCCGTATGAATTGGAGTAGCCAGAGGGACAGGACTCCGCTCATCGGACCGCGCGACCAGTCTGACCGGAGCAATCAGACTCCGGGTCTAGGAGATATATGACAGACTTGGGCCTCGGAGGGCAGAACAGCGGGGCGGACGTTGGTCGGGCTGGTCCTGTCTGGTCCGGACGAGTCCCGAGGCCGCCAGAGTTACGGAGACCGTCCTGCGCATGGATGACTCGACGAACCATGGAGAGGTGAAAATCCCGGATATACTTCTGTCTAGGGCTCTAGTGGTTGTAGTTTGTAGTTTAATAGGAGAGGCACCTGAAGTCGGGGCTTTTCTTCTTGTTTTGTTTCAAGGTCGCAGCCAGATGATGGGGAAGTGCAGCAAAGCCGTCAAATCTCAGATCTGAATCGAAAGCGACTTCAGACTCCCCGACTGTAAGCTCCGACATCGTCACTCTCCCTCACTAACCCCAAGTCAGTCTTCAGCGTAGTCTTGATGCTTCGTGCTCACCGAGAGCTTAGATTCCTATCTTACCCGATCGTGTACGCGGCCGGTATCGAACGGCGGTACCGTACGGCTCGTAATGCGGTTTCAACCGCCATACTTGAGGCATGTTATTACCAGCCTGGGGGTAACTTACCTTACCTCGCAGCCTCAGACCTACCTGTTATTCCCTACGAATATCACATCGACCCAAATCACAAACCGTGCCAGATTGATTTGGCTCCACCTCCCTCCCTTGCGGGGTCATTCATGTCTCTGGTGTTGTTCATCCGGCCCGAATGCCAACGTCTCTGGCCAGTGGCCAGTCTGGCGGCGTCATGCATCGTGCTGCAGTAGTGAGTTCCGCACTCCGTACTGCGTAGGTGGTCTCCTCTAGCCCGGCCCTGGCATGTCGATATTACCCGATTGAAAGAGGCGAGATCATTCGGCAGTCTCGCGATGTGAATCGACTGGGTTATTCGGCGGGAAGACCCTCAGGCCATGAACGATGGGCACTGGCCAGAGCGAGCCCCTGGTGGCAACAGGACGGCAGAGATGCCAAGCAGCAGACAGACAGACAGGCCAAAGACAGAGAGCAGGGCAGGACAGAGGGAGTGCCGGAAGGGGCTAGGCGGCGCGGTGATTTCATTTCCTCGATCCTTCCGCCCATTTTCGCATTCATTTGTATTCATTTCGATGGATCAATCACCTCCGTCAGCTCGTTCGGGCGAATTTTGGGCCCCACGGGAGAGGAAGCAGGGTCCACCGCGCTAGAGTCCCGTTCTCCGACCCTCCCAGGTGATAATCCAGAATCCCGAATCCATATGCAATCCAGATAGCGACGGTGATAAGCTGATAAGAATGTCATTAGCCGTGGTCATCGCAGCCAATCGACTTCCGCCGATCGGGCGACGTAAACCAGGTCGGGTTTCCTTTTCCTGTAGTCCTGGAGACTAGAGTTAGAACGTTAATATCACCGCTCAATCTTTTCGAGTCTTGTTTCATTTTAGCTGTCCTTAGTGACGGTTAGTTCTGGTCTTTGGTTTTGGCCCGGTTGCCCTTTTTTTTTTCTCTCTCAGTAGCGTCCCTCGGTCGGCGGTCGTACTTGATGCGTGGCAAAAAAGCCAAAAGAAAGGAAATCTCCCCTCCTCCCCCCATGCCAAGCTAAAAAGCAAAGGGCAGATGTGGGCGAGTGGCGTCCCCCGAGGAACCATTCACAGCGCACACGCCCTCTGTATAAGCCGGGCAGTTAATTGTTCGGATGGAACAGACCACGCCACGCACCGCGGGTTGGCCTGGTGCCCTTTTGGACCGGATGCATTTGCAGCGCTTCCGGCGAGGGGCTTAAAAGGGAAGCCAGTCAGACGGCGCTGGACGAGTAAGAGGGAGCGAAAGGCTTGTCGTGTGCCTGGGCTAGCGGGCCAGCTGGACTGCCGACCGACTGAGTACTCTGGAGTCTGTAGAGTAGAGTTGAAACCGACGAGGATGACCGACAGAGAGGATGGCCGATCGCGACTCCACATCATGCAATATGTAGAGATAAGAAAGACACCAAAGGGGGGGAGGCAAGGCAAGAGTGACGTACCTCGACAGCATTTGCTCGGTCGGTCTCGTTGGATAATAATGGATGCATCACGATGATGCCTTTTTTCTTCGTTGCCTTCCCCAGTTTTGTCGGTGGAGCGTGGCGGGCTGCGCCGTCACTAGAGAACCGGAGTAAGGGGAGCAATCGGAATGCAGACGATGGTCATCGTCAGCGTTGGAATCCTGCCACTTCTTTTCTCTTTCCGTTGCTGTGCTGGTGACCTGGGAGTGTGTTCTCCCGCGACCGGGAAATTTCGTCTTCATCGCAATCATCCCCCACGCGAGATCTGGATTTCATCATGTTGAGGGGTGTTTTTCCTTTCCCTTCTTCTTTTTTCATTCTCATTCCCATTTTCTTTTCTTTTTCATTTCTTTTTCATTTCTTTTTTCATTTCTTTTTCATTTCTTTTCCCAAGCGGCTGCAGCGGACCCGCCCAAAAAGACAATAATGACAAGTCGGGCCGGCATCGACCCCGGCACCAGCATGTGCTCGCGCATATATTATTGCAAGCCCAGGAGCAATAATACGGGCATCCCACACGCCTGCAGTCTGCAGATGAGGTGGTGTGTGGCCTGGTGGATTAGTTCAAGGGAGGAGGCCCGTGAAATGCCTCCAGCGAAGGAGGGAAGCCGCTCGACTAACGATGCAGGGAGGAACACTGGAAAAGTGCTCAAGCCCATCCGTAGCAAACGACTAGGAGCAGTTTTATCGAAATTATACTTTGTTTGAGCCGAAATGCGATCATCAGATCATGTAGTGTGGGCGAGCGAATCGAACGGGTCGCCGGTGCAGCGTGGGTAAGATTAAGGTGGGAAACGGGTCCGGGGGGAGTAGTTGGGAGGGTCGTCGCTCGTTTCCCCACGTCCAGTTCTTGATATATATGAAAAAGAAGTAAAGATGGTAGAGAAGTGAGAATCGAAGAAAAAATGAGAACCGATGCCCGACCATTCCCCAGGCTTATTATATGACAATTTATAACTCGGCCCTGGATCCGAATCGATTGCCATTTATCACCCCACAGATTGCTGATAAGGCGTGATGCAACCCAGATAGAGGCGAAACTGGCACGCCGAATGAAGGGGCGGTCAAAATCTCAGCTCAGCACAGCTGGGCGACAAGCGTCGGGTTTTGTATGGCAGGGGGAAAAATCTGAAAAAGGGGAATGGCGATAACTGTACATGTGTCAAGACGCAGACTCGTCCAGATAAGAGACCCTAAGCAACACGTCACAAGTCGGGTGTAACTGACCTCGTCCAGAGCGTTATCTCTTGCGATCCTCTATCTCTCGCAAATTGAGGACGTGGCTGTCAGAAAATCGAGCTCCGGCGTTCCGATTGAGGCTGCTGGGTGTGTTTGGGCTCCATTTTTCTCCACAAACCCCAGATAGAGTACGGAGTAGACGGCTTCTGTCGTGTTCTTTTCGATCGCGATCACTCCGACATGGGTGAACGAGTGACTCGTATCCCCGATTGACTGACCGGCCAAATCCAAGGGTCTCTCTATTGCCTTCCCCCATGCGATCCTCTCTCCTAGGATAGACTTATACCCATGAAAACCACCCTGTCATCCGCGGAGATCCTGACAACTCTCCGTCGCCCCCGTGCAACCTTACCTGGACGGTGATAAGCGGAGCGCCGGTGCGATTGGCAGATCCCGAATGACGCGAACGTTATCTTATATTAAGCTTTGATCCATGATCTCCGTCATTGGCCATGCGCCGAAAGTCTGAATATCGTGCCCAGCGGTCCAGGCCACTTATCTCGGGCTTGGGGCGGAGGAATTACCTGAGACGTGTGGGGGGGGTTGACGGGTTGACAGGATCTTCCATGGCATTGTTTACTGTTTATTGTTTGCACGGTGGATGGAGTATAGGGACACGTGACTCAGACCAGGGTCCTCACGGTGATTTGCATTCCACGTAGCCGGAGATGGGTGGATTCCCTGCAGCGAACAGCTGGATGGAGCTCCGCCGTGGGATTACACATCCAATCCACCGAAGCGAGGCAGTGCGATAGGTGTGAGCGCCTGCATGTGCACACCGGTTCTTAATCCGAGCAATGATAGCCGCTCATATCGGTGACAGATACGACACTTGAAGATAGGCAACTGACAGGTGTTTGTGACTGATAGCCTGTCGATCTTGACTATCACATCCTGCAATCTGTAGATCCGAAGGGGTCTGACACATCCAGGGCAGCTCATTGATAGCAGCGTAGCTGACCACAACAATGTGACAAAGATGGATCAGATTTTGATTTCTCAATGGCAACCCAACTTGTCAGGTCAGGTCCAGGCAAGCCTCCAACAGTCCAATGCAATTGGGATGCAACTCGGTCATACCGGTAAATCTATCATTTCTGAAAATAAAGCGTCCAAAGTAAACGGGTCTATATGGCAAACATTGATGTGGAATAGATGGAGAAAATATGTAGATCTTGAAAGAAAAGAAAAGGAAAAGGACATCAAACATAAGCTGTTTTGGAATCAGACCGCAGGCCCCCCAAACCACCAGCCAGCCCATCTATCAGTTGAAACGACCCGGGCCCTGGTTATGTACTCGCCGCAAACAAGTTGGAAGACAACGAACGGAACCACCGGTTCATCTGGTGTTTAGTTCCGCCGCCACTGACCTCGTAGATCCATTCCAACATCCACCAACGCCATTATGACCTATTATCAATGACACCTGTCCCGCTGGTGACTTAAAACGTAGCTCGTGAAACCAGACATGGATAACAACGTGTAAAAGAGAAGAATTAGGAAAGAAATCAAAGGGAAGACATGAAGAATCTAGTCGCCTGCCCAAAACGACAAACCCCGAGCACGTGCAACGACACCAGAGGATGAAGGCGCAATAAACAAAAGAGAGAAAAGAAAAAAAAAAAAAGGTATGGTAATAGAAAGAAAACGAAAAATGGCTCTCATGGAAGAATGGAAAATGCCGCCCATATAATCCTTTTGCGCCCGCTAATGACCAGCTGGTAAAAGTGATGCCCACCAAAAAAAGGTGTATAGGTGAAAGATAAAAGATGAAAAAGAAAATGGGAAGAAAGAAAAAAGAAATAAAAAGAAATAAAGATGCAACAGTTCACACAGGGGGTATTATGCAACAGATTTGAGGTCCCTTTCTAAATCTTCTCGAGCGTGAAGTTTTCGTCAGTCCCGCAGAGACCTCGGTGTCACGGCGGAGATTGCCCGGGCCCGGGATGACCCATGGGCGGTTGGGGACTGCCTCCGAACGGCGCCTGTGGCGTGCCATCGCCCGCGTACATGGGATACTGAACGACATTCATCGGGGACATGTTGCTCATATCCGGCCACCCGGTGAGGCCCATTGCGGGTGCTTGGCCGGGATAGGACACGGATACCGGCGTCCCTTGCAAGTCAGTCGATGCAGGGCTCTGCGGATGGACGGGACTTCCGGGGTACGGCTGAGCTGGGCTGGTCATTCTCCGTTTGAGATCCGGGGGTATCGGCTGCTGGAATTGGGTGGGAGTGGGATACGGCGCGGTCATGTCGGCCTGCGCAGGGAAAGTCATCGATCGCGCCGGGGCCATGGGCCAAACCGAACCGTCGGGTTGCATGGCGTATCCCGTGGCGGGACTCAGGGCGTGCGATTGCGAGGGTACTGTCGGCGTTCCTGGAAGCGGCGAGGTGGCCTGCATAGCAGCCATAGGGTTGGGCCCGGGATTCCACACGCCGGGTGCCATATTCATCATCGGGTGCTTTCCTGCTGCGGTCATATTGGCGAGTAGTTGGGGATCTGAAATCGTCGTAAATTCGTCCCACGGAACGTTGGGGTCAAGCGACGGTCCCGGTGCAAACTCCGTGGCTCCTACGTTGCGCTCTATACCAGGTTTCTCGTTAACACACCCTATACTCACTTGTCTCAAGAAAACAAACAGACAGAAAAAGACGGAACCACCCACCTGGCGCAAACTGAGTCATAGGATTCACCGGGAAGCCTCCCGGATGGAATGCCGCGACGTCCGGACCCGTGCTGAGCGGAATCGGTTGATAAGGGAAGAATGCCTCGGTTTGCTCTCCCCCACTGGCAGTCGGAGGCGACGAAGAGGCCGTGGACGGATCGGTCGACGCAGTGTCCAATCGCGAGTTGGGACGGGATTTCTTTTCGACGGGGGGTTGCTGGTCGACGGGGAAGAATTGGCACTCCTTTCGAAGTCGAATACAGTTCTCGCATCGGCCCTGAGCGTCGTCGGCTGCTACCAGACATCGGATCTTTCGTCGGCGGCAGTGTACTGTCGCAAAGACGATCAGCAACGGGGGATCGGTCGAGGAGAGGGAGGAATGGAAAGACTAACCACATGCGACAGAGGTGCGATGGTATCCCAGCTTGTTGCGCTTCTTGTCGGCGGTGGAGGACTCCATGACGGCGGCTTGCGAATTCGGGGTTGAGCTCATATTTTCGACGACGGCGAGCATAGCTCCCAGGAGCGAGAAGAAGGAACAAAAGCCCAAGGCACAGGGCGCATCAATCGCCGGCAGCGGTGGGCACGAAGAGAGGGGAAGATAGTGGGAAACGGTGCGGCGCCCCAGAAAACGGTGTGGAAGGACGGGACTACCCTAGATCCTTAGTAGATGGGAGACAGAAGGTGAGGAATGACAGCGCGAGGCCGGCAAGAACCATCCAATTCCATACACGTGCGATCGCAAGGGAGAGGAGAGGCCAGGAATCTGGGGGAAACCGGTGAATGGCCGGTGATGCGCTGGTTTGGTGATAGGCGTCGTAGTACGTATTCCGACCTCCCCGTTTCAGCAACGTTACTCCACCCTCAGTCGACCTAGGACCGCCTGGTAACCAACAGGAAACACTCAATAGGGCGATGGATAATAAAGTCTTGGAATGTTTCACACCAGGAGACCCTGTAGACGAAACCGCGCTAAGGATGAGTTTGATTTGCGATTTCTGGATACTTGTTTTTGGGCTTCCTTTTTTTTTTTTTTTTTTTTTTTTTTTTTTTTTTTTTTTTTTTTTTTTTTTTTTTTTGCGCCTCCTCCGCCTGGTTGCTTGTTTCCTCCGATGTCGTCGGGAATCAATCGATGGTTAGAATAAATTGGCCCACGCGTAACACGTCCGTGGCGACGGGCTCCGGCCACGAGTTGGTTTGAGAAGATATAAATAGAGAGAACGAGGGTCAAGTGGGTGTGGGAGCAGTCCGGAGTAATAAAAGGAGGGATGGATGAAGAAGAGGGAAGAAAAAGAGAACAGAAGCCGAATCAATCCCAGAGATATAGTAAAAATTAAAAAATAATTTAAGAAAATAAATGAAACCACGGCGAGGGCGTGGGAAGCAACGACACTAAACCACCGATGCAGATAATAATAGTAGGAGTCGTAAGTGTGCAAAGGATGGACATGAAATGACAATAAAATGGAGAAACCGAGTGGTGATTAATATGATCGAAGGGGGGCAAAGTAAAGGGGAAAGAAGAGAGAGAGAGAGAGAGAGAGGATGGAGAGACTGAAGGCGTACGGAGCCAGAGCTGCTAAGTCGACTCACTTCTTCGGGATCGAGGATCTCGGGACTTTTTCGTCTTAGAGGCAGTCCCGTAAGGGTAGGGATTGTTGATATGTTTAATCGTTTATTGTTGGAAACCTTTCAAATACAAGGTTTGGGTTTTATTTTTCATTGCTGGTACATCGCGCATGGCCTAACGCTGCCCACGGAGTATAATGCCATGCCGAATTAAACTCAATCCCCTTTCTTGGTTTTTCAATTTTTGGAATTTTTTACAGGACAGCTACACTACGGAGAAGGACAGTAGAAGGGGGACCCATGAGCGACTCAGAACGCAAGAAGCGAAGGGACTGAGAAAAAAAAAAAAAAAAAAAAAAAAAAAAAAAAAAAAAGTGTCCAAGTGGATAACAGATTGCACCGAAAGGGTCAATAACACTGGTCCCAATCCAGATAATTATAGAAGGTGCAAATGGGTGATGATGAATCCTCCCCAGGCCGGAGATTCAGAACGTCCAATGGAATCCAGCCTTAAGCAGACCCTGAATAAAAGTCCTGATAGCTAAGCTGAACAGGTCTTCACTAACCCGAGGATGAAACACCCAGCCTTTTTTATTTTTTATTTTTTCCCTTCTTTAATTTCCAGACTTTCTGGTTTTTATTAATGGATTTCTTTTTTTTTCTCTGTCTCTTGTGTGAGTTGCCATGATGAGAATCGCCCAGGATTGTCGTCATCACCTTCTTGGGACTCCTGGGTAGTACGCTGTAGGAGGGTTGGGCTCCATTCGTGATTTCCTTCCCCCTCATTCTCCAATCCCAGTCCAATGGAGTACCGACTGACAGGTTAAAACTTCATGTCAGGTACCACAGGTTTGAATGGATGGAATGTGGCATGTTTTACGGAGTACTCCGCACATGATACCGATGGAATGATGCGTCTGGGTCCCAGGGGAGGGGAAGTCTGACGGAGTCGACAACCGGTGATTTGAAGGGGTTCAGGGCTGGTGATGCTGCATACAATTTTCCCCTCCAACAAATGGCTCTTGAGTCTTGAGGCCCAAGATCATACCACAAAAAAAAAAAAAAAAAAAAAAAAAAAAAAAAAAAAAAAAAAAAAAAAAAAAAATATACACGCCATGCTCCCCCATTGCATGCATACCCCTGATCCCTTCACCTTGCGCAGGTGGTTCATTCCAAACCCGACTCAACCATGGACCCGGAGGTCTGTGACAGACATCTGTAACGGGTCTAGTGGGGGGGGTGTGGGGTGGAGGGGAGAGAGGGGAGTCTTTTCCCTTGTTCTCAATTTCGATTCGGGCTTTTTCCTGCAACCAACACCGTGCTACGGCGTAGGGTAGGTCGGCTTAGAGCTTTACGGAAGATTGTGCGAATCAAAGCCCAAGAAAAAGACATGGACTTGGGTGGCTTACCTCCATCGGGGTTAGCGGACCAAGGCGAAGGGGGGAGGCGGAAAGACCGAGGTGAAAATCCGGAACCAGAAATAGGAGAGACCGACAGAGAGAAAGAAAGAAAGAGCTGTCAATGGGGGGAAGTAGTCTGCTAGGGAGTCTGCTAGTATCCGGAATTCCCAGACTAACAGGCTCAGACTGGGTCGTCCAGCAGAGAACAATGGAAATCTCGTGGTCAAGGAATTGACATTGGATGTCTGCCTCGTTTAACCCGGGTCCAGCCAGGAACCAATCGTGTCGGGCCATGGCGCATGGGACTTTCCCTTTGCGGCCGCAAGAAGATTCGCGGCGGTGTCGAGGGCCTCGGAAGGGCTTAGCGCGGGGGACGAAACGGAAACCTCGAAGTTTGCTTGGGCTTCGAGAAGGTCGGGAGTCGTCAGCGTTTGGGGCTGGCGGGGGCCCTGATTGGCGGAGCCTCTGGGGGGAGTGGGGCAGGGACGAATCATCGTCATCGGGATTCCACAGATGTGTTAATAAGGATGAGCGTTTCATCTGCCTGGTTGAGTTAGGGTTTGGGGGGAGGGCCTAACGCCACTGGGTCAAGCTCTGAACGGATTCCTTTGTCCTTGGCTGCTTGCCCTGCGCGCTGTCGGTGGCAGTCTGAAGAGCGCAATTGGACTTCGCGTCGGGTACCGTCACCGTCGCGCTTCCTTTTTCCTCGTCCATGCCAGATTCATCGCGGCCCAAGATATCGATGCGATTCCAGATCTGTCAAGGACGCGGTGGGCCGCGGTCAAGGTTTAATTAAGGATCATATCTGCATCCTAGCGTGTCTGGCCGTTCTTGGCTCTCGTTGTCCTGTAAGGGACTTGCCTGACCTGCCTTCTGGAATTGGCATTTGGTCCAAGGACAATCTGGCTCCTAGGAAAAAATTCCCCGTCCATAAGGTACCCATTTCATAGGCAGAAAAAAAATAGAAAAAAAAAAAAAAAAAAAAAAAGAAAAAAAGAAAAAAGTGCCCAGACTACCAGTGTTTTTCCAGTAGATAGCTGATTGATAAGAGCTCCAAAGCCTATCAGCCTCAAATCCACAAGTTTGCGATGAAACTGCCAGTCTGCGACTACTGCACGTCTTTCCGCAGGTACTACTTATTTTTGCGTATGTAAGAGAGGGACCCCGGAGACCTAGACCTGGGTCCATGGATGAATGCACGGAGTACACGGAGTCCCTGCGTAGGGAGAGCGAGTACGACTACGAGTTATCCTCTCCTGCTTTCTCCTTCTCCATCAGGAAATGTCAAGGTCTCAGAGTAACCACCAACAATTGATTGATTTGCCTCAGGGTCCATCTTCCAGGAACAATAACGGAGGAAGAGCGAAGTGAGAAGAAAAAAAAAAAAAAAGGAGTACCCACGTCCATCGTACGTACTCACTCCAATCGGGGCCTAGTTTAGCGCCCCAGCTGAAACGACACCAACTCTGGCTCGGGGCTCCGCTGACGACAGGCGAAACCCGAGTCACTTTGGGTAGGGCTGGCCGGATGATGCGATGCTCGATGTGATATGCACATGCGATATATATAGACGGGAGGACCCGACTAAGTATATACTCCGATTCTAGGCTGCGTTGGAGGGCACTGGGACCTTGTGCCCTTAAATCCCTCGGGCGTGGAGGTTGCTTCTTTGGTCATGCTGTGCATTGGCTAGTGGGATCGGGGTTGATATACGTAAGCGAGATCGTCGGATTAATCTAAGTAATACGACTCTATTATTCCCTGCCCCTCTTCTCTCTTACTGCGTCCTGGTCCGGAGTAGATAGATATGAGGATTGAGGACGCCATACTCCGTATGCAATATGCATCTAGGTCCTCCGCATCGACTCCGTAGTCCGTCCGGCGCCCAGCCCAGCCTCCAGCGAAGCCCAACAGCGTCCAGTGTTAGCTGAGCCTCCCAGCCCGATAAGGGCTGCACCGGAGATGAAACAGAGCAATGCTATATGAGCTTGTTTATTGATTGATATCCAGCCCAACCGAAGTTAGCAGGTTACTCCGTGGTAGTTCCGTAACCCTACCCAGGAGTAGGGCGTGCAGCCCTGCCTGCAGAGTGCCGCCCAAGAAAAACCAAAAGTTAATTAAAACAATTTAAATAAATTGGGCGCAGAAACAGGAAGAAATAACGGTTCTCCAGAAATTCTCCGAGAATGCCACCATCGCCAGCACATGCAGCCATTGTCCTACGGAACCTCCCCTCCCCTACACTCCCCTACCTTACACTGTGACTCTGACGCTTTTAATCAAATGGCCATCCGAACCAACCAACCGCCTGCGTCTGCTTTATTGGTTGCGTTTGCAATTTCCCAGCCTTTCCCTACGGAGTACCTCCTCCGTGTCGTGGCAACGCTGAGTGACATTCCCCCGTAGCGGCGAAAAAGCGAGGGTCATCATCAACTGACCGAGTAGGTATCTACTCCGGACTGACGGAGCAGGTTGGATGCTCCAGGATCCAGTCATCTGCTGTAATATTATATCACGGAGGACCGTCAGTGTCAGTAGTGAGGCCTATGAGGCAAACAATATCCGTACTCCGTAACTGATTATCCATGCGATCATCCGCCAAGCCGCGACTCGTTCTCCATTTCCTGCTCCCACTACCTGGTGTCCACGAGTCCACGACACCGCAAGCTGATCAGTCGGCATTTCCACTTTCCTTCTTTTCCTTTTTTTTTTTTCTTTTTCTTTTTCTTTTTCTAGTGTCTGTCCCCGGGGCTGGGCGCCTGCGTAAACTCCGTCAGTTCTACGGAGTACGGAGTATGAGCGAAATGTTGATCCTCGTGGGATGAACAGTGGTTCGACCTTTTTTTTTTCTTTCTTTCTTTTTCTGGGTGAACCGAACCCCTTTGGTTCGTCTACCCCCTGTTCTACTCCTGTCCGGTGTCGTGCATGGCGATAGAGTGGGTTGGTTTGATGTTTCACATGGCAGGTCCCATTGGATCTTTGAAAGAGTTACCCAATCCGGCCACGAATGCCACTTTTTTTCTCTCACGATGGACTTGTCCTCGTATCCGTTTGGCAGATTAGTTAACATCCATGCGCTGACTCAGCACGACCAGTCCGTCCAATGATCCGATCCATATTCTTTATCTGCCTACCATCTAGATTAAGAACCCGAACCCGAACCCCTTGCTAATGAGTAATGACATAGCTGCTCTCTTAATCAATCATTGACAGACAAAACCAAACCACTCCGTAAGGGTAAGTAAGGCACATCCAACGCGCGCCCCAAGCGCAGAACAAATCGTTCCCTCAGCTGCGCTATTCCTACTCTGTGGTTACTGTTAGTACTCCTATCGTACTCCGTATCGGACTCCCTCCATCCACTAAGCCTGGGGAGGAGGAGGCGTCCACCGGCCTGTTTCACCATCATCGGGCACTTGACTTCAAACGGGCATGGTTCTGCTCTCTACATGCAACGTGCCCTTACGTGTCCCTGCCCTACACCGAATGATTGACCTGCGAGATAAATCCACTTGATTTGATTTTTTCTTTTTCTTTTTCTTAAGGGAAAAGGGAAAAGGGAAGAAAGGAGCCAGACTGGAATTGGAAAATCCCGGATGGAAAGGGTCTTCCTTCTACGGCGGACTAGCTGCTGGTCCATGCGTTTCGCATCACCGCCAGCACCACCGAACCCTGTTGGTTTTGGCTTTGGCTTTGGCTAAATTGCGGTCTTGGCTGGATGGTTCAGGTTGGATGGGATTGGATGGGATGGGATAGGTTGGTTTGCTTGACCCCTTTTTTATTGTCTCTGCAATCTGCACAGTTCATTGCCATTGTTCGTTGTATAGGGGATATCCTAGGTACATTGTTTGGCACGTGTCGGAGGGGAAAACGTGGTGTCAGGTGGTTTATCAGGTGATTGTAGAACATGACAGGATTTGGTGACAGGCAAACCGTTTCCTCCCTCCCCTCTCCGGCCTCCGTCCCTGTCGCATCATCTCCCCTGTCACACCTCACGTCCTCCATCCAAATGGCTCGGACATCGACATCGAGAAAGGGGGGCAAATTGATTTCTACTAGAAGGCCTAACCTCTAGACGGGGATGGTCTGGACGGAGGGCGTTCGACTAGGATGACCCTCGCCGACGCGAATCACCGTTTTGACGCTAAGGGCGTAGGCTTCGCGGATGCAGCACGCTAGGCATGTCCGACCAACCCTGCCAATGATGGCGTTATGGCCCGCCGACGCACACCATGCCCTGGCGAGGGTTTCCTTGTCGCGAGAGCCGCGCGCATCGAGCACTATCACTTCGTGCTGCTGGTGCTGGTGCTGGTGATGGCTGAGCGTCCGTCCCATCCCCATGCGGTCCAGGGAGATCGTCTCGGGGGCGGACGGTTCGGGTAGGGCGTCGAGGGAGAGCACCTTGTATGCGTAGGTGCGGTAGAGCGGGTGGCCCGGGAGGCGGTGGTGTTTGTGGGACGAGCCGCTGGACGAGGCGGATGAGGAGTTGGTGTCGGTGCCTGTGCCGGCTGAGGACGCGGAGGGCGTGTTGGGCGACGAGATGAATCCGCCCGGAGGTCGGCACTCGTGCGAGGCGATGAACTGCACGTTGTATGTCAGTGGGAGGGAGAGCGTGCGAGGCAGTTTGATGGTCTCGGAGGCCAGGGTCACAGTCATGCAGGACTTGTGCGCCACCAAATGCGGGCTGCCCTGGAGTGGTTGCTGCCCGTCACGGCCGGAGAAGCTCAGGCCCTCAAAGGTGACCTTGACTCCGTCCACAGGGCCGTCGGTGGGCAGCGAGAAGGCACCGCATTGGGTGTTTCGCACGGGCAGGGGGCTGGATTCGTGGGTCAGTTTCTGGCCCTGCTTGATGCGCGGTTTGCCGGTGAGCTGAGGCACGGGTTTCACGACGACCTCGAACCAGCTGTTGTGAATGTCTTCCGATGTCTGGGAGGCCTTGGGGACAACGGGGCTGCTGATCCATCCCATGGATTCTTTGGTGCCGTCCAAGCTGGCCAGGACTCGGCCGACGATGCATTCTTTGCTCCACCAGCTTCGTCCGGAGTACGAGACCCCGCCGTACAGGTTGACGACCGGTCCCAGCTGAGCCATGGCTTCCGGGTCGTTCTCTAACATTGTAGCCATCAGTAAGTGGTTGATCATCTCGCCGGGCATGACGAAGCCAGACAGCCAGCTTCGCGTGATCCAGCCACCGATCTCCCCGGTATCTTGGGCGCAGTGCAGCAGTAATCGTCGCCGAGACGGGCTTCGACTGTACATCTCGTCTATATTGGATCCCAGCTCCAGGCCGTCGGGCACTACATTATGAGTAGGGGTGTTGTACACATCTACGATCGCTTGATTAGTCGGGTCGTCTCCAATCTTGGATTGAAGCCGGGCCTTTACGGTCTCCAAGCCGGGCCAGCCGATGTTGTCGGCAAACACGAATAGTCCCTGCATTTGCAGATGCACACGGGACGGTATGAGCTTGCAGTTCCAGGAAGACTCGACAGGTCCTACCGGGGGAGGTTCCGATCTATGGATGAAATTTTCGAAGAAGCGATGATGATGGCGTTCGCTCTTCTGGTGAGTTGGCGACGACGGAGAAGAGGGCTCGTCAGGTGCGACGGCAGGCTCGTCCGGAACATAGCTGATGTCGAAGCTGTCCATGAGGCGCCGCACCACCACGATATCCCAATCGACCTTGCCGTTTCGCGTTCTATCAAAGTCCAGCATATCTCTCATCGAGGGGCGCAGCTCATTCGAGTGCCCCAGGATACCCACCCGCACCGTCGCGTCCAACCGGAGCAGCAACTCACCTGCCAGGAGCATCTGAACCAGGTACCACTTGCGCTCCAGGGTCGGGTGGACCCACGGCTTGTCGCAGCCGCTGGGGTCCAAGAAGTCCCCATCCACATGCGGCGCAGCCTCCCAGAGCAACTGCCCGGCGCGCAATCTCCATTCTGCCAGACTGAAGTTGGCCCAGGCCCCCGGCGTGGCCAGCACCACCGTAAGGGCCTTGATCTGGGCCTTGATCCCGTGCGGGTTGTTGATCCCTTGCATCATGAAATGCGGCAGGGGGTAGAGGAAGTTGGTGAACAGCTCTCGGGACAGCTCGTGCACCGACTCTCGGTCCATGATCGACGTCGCCTTGGTCCCATGCAGTATCTCATCTCGCACGTCGGCCAGCTCGCGTAGACGCTCCACCAACGTTCTCAAACCGATATCTCGAACGCCGATCCGCCTCCACGCCAACGGGCCCTCACAGAGCAGCTCTTTCCGATCATGCACCGTACCATCTTCGCACCGCGAGTACGGGTCCTGATAGTGCTCCATCAACTCGTACGCCGCAGACGCAGGCAAGCTCGAGAGATGCATATAACCCGCCATGGGTCTCGGGACCTCCGGCCCAACATACCTCACCGCATCGCAGATGGGCAGCTCCAAAAAGTGACACGACCCGATCGTCCCAGGCTCCCGACCATACATCGACAGCATATTCGGCGTCTCAAAGATCCCCACGTCGAAGCTCGCCCTCTTCGGCGCCGCCGCTCTTTTCCAACACTCCAGCCGCACGGGCGTGTTATCGCCCTGAATCACCCACCCATCCGGCAGCGGCAGATGGGCATGCAGCGTGCAGAGCGTGAACGAGGCGTGCGCCAACGGCCGCCGGTCCCACAGGTTCTGGATAAACGGGTCGTGGTCGTCGAATGGGAAGATCACCTGCAGATACCAGTGGCAGTGTCGGCCCTTGTCGAGCAGGAACACGGGGGCTCCGGAGAACAGGAACTCGGTGTCTTCTCGAGCCAGCTCGGTCTCGGCTGATGGTGTGCTGAGCTTCGTGTGTGATTTCGTTCGCGCGGTGGGCTTTCGTCGGACTTCTTCTGACGGTGGTTGCTCTGTCGAGGCGGTGGTTTTATCGTTGGGACTCGATTCAACCTACACTTCGTTAATTTCCACCAACTCAACTTTCCATTTTCGTTTCTGTCTTCTTTACTTACCTGTCCCGCAGCAACAGTAGCAGTAGCAGTATTCGTAACACCCTTCATCGTCTCTCCATCTTGACCCCGCTCATGACCATGACCCTGCTCCCGACCTTGATCATGATCGTGATCCAAATCCTGATGCCTCCGAAACAACTCATGAAACATGCCCCCCTGGGCGCGCGGCTCCGTCGCCGGTGGCCGTACATGCGGCTGCGAGCTTCGTCGTCGCAGCGTCGTAGGCATAGCATCGTCGTGGAGCGGCGGCGCGCCGGAGATCGAATGTCTTCGACCAAAGAAGAAGGACATTTTCCTTTCTTTCTTTCTATGTAGGTAGGAGTAGGGATGGCGTCGCTGATGCTTTCGCTGTCGTAAGTTGGTTAGTTCAGATACACCGTCCCTTGAATAGATATCACATCATTGCTAGCCCAGATAGGCGGTTGAGATATTCTGCGGGGCTTAGACAGGTCACAGTCCACGTACCTCAGTTAAACCAGCAGGAAGTAAGTCGGTCGTTAGCTAACCAATAGCGCAGCCAGACCACACACGCCCAGTAAAGCAAGTAAGAAAGTCAAGAGAAAGTAAGTTCACCTCACCCACGGATAATCGAGTCAATGAAATTAACTTCGTCGATCAGGGCTGATAATAGGTCCAGAGACAGACGGAGGGGACTGTCACATGAACAGGATCATCAGATGGAGGAGACCAGAGCAGACCAGTTCCGATCGACCCAGGGAAGAGATTTAGGTGCTTTTCAGGTGCCGGTATGGTATATGTATCTACCTTATTATATTACCTGACTCCGGAGGAAGTGGTAAGTCTTAAGAGTAAATGTGAAGGGTTGGGTGTTAGTTAAAGGCCCATGATTAATGAAAAGATGACGTCGATGCCTGTCTTGCCTGATGGGGAATGAGATGTGCATCACCTGTTAGCTATTAGGTAGCTGGTGATCTATCGAAATCTGCCATACCTATTAATATACCAAAAGGAAATAAAAATTCTCCTGTTCGTGATAACCATGAATATTGACATGACCATGGAAGAACACGCCATGTGTACGCGTGACTACTACTTCCCAGAGTCATGATAAGGACCATGAATGAATGGCATGATTGATGATCGGTTCCCGGGCGGGGCGGCGGGACTGGCGTAACCGGTTTACTTGAAGGGTCCATTTTTACGGAGTATGATGGGGTGATCTTTTTTTATTTTTGTTTGGTTTTGTTTTGTTTTACTTTGCGGTGAGCTGCTGCTAAGTTATTGGTGGTTGTCTATCGGTTTTTGTTTTTGTTTTTGTATCACTGTACCCCAGAGCAATTAATGGAACTTGGTGTGTTAACAATCCCTATACTTATGAGCATCGATTTTTATAATCTGTACGTTAGAAATTGACACAATATCATTTGTCCCATGCAGCTATGTCATTCACTAAAACATAACATCCTAAGAACATTACTCATTACATTCCAACCATCTAAGCATGCTTGTGCAAAAAGTCCAACGCAGTGCGATATCCCCTCTCATACTCCTTGCTGACCTCCTCATTCTCCAAATCCGACCTCGCCGCCATCCACCCATGGATCTGGGTTCCAAACGTCTCCACGTAATGCGGCTTGGCCAAGTTATCCCCGAAGGCCGTCACGTCGGCCGCGTTCTCGTCCTTCGACGCCAGCACCGCCATCGGCACATTCACGGACTTGGCGTCGTCCGGCGCCAGCATGGCGGGGTGGCACTGCACGGCCGCCTTGAAGGTCGTGTTCTCCTGCCCGGTCGCCAGGGCCGTGATCTTGCCGCCCCAGCAGTAGCCGAGAATGGACCAGTCGAAGGAGCCGGCGGGGGCGAGCTGGTTGGCCTCTTTGACGACGTCGGGGATGCGGGACAGCGTGGCAGGCGGGGCGGCCTTGGTCTGGAAGAAGTTGCCGAGCTTGGCCTTGTGGTCGTCGGTTTGGGGCGGGAACCAGGAGATGTCGGCGGGTTGGCCCTCGAAGAAATCGGGCATGAAGACGCGGTATTTCTGGGTGTTGGAGGTGGAGAGGATGTCGGCGCCTTGGATGGTTTGGGGGAAGAAGCCGAAGATATCTGGTGCGGGGTTAGTTGAGGGGATGGTGGTAGGAATGGGTGTTACGAACCGTAGATGACGAGGATGGCCTTGGTGGCGTCTTCGGGGCCAGTGACATCTATGGATGATTAGTTTGGTTCGATTGGATGAGTTCAGAGGACGTACAGGTCTTCAGGCCATTGATGGTCTTGTATTCACCCTTGGCCTGGTAGTTCTTGGCCACGACGGGGGGGATGCTGTCGTCTGTCAGGATCCGTTCTCTGTCTGAAGATACAACAAAACATACGAGCAGCAAGCCTTGCTAACACCCGACATGGCTGCAGATGAGCAATGAATTGGACGGAAAGAAGAAATCGGACTGATTGGTTTGAGCGACGAAAGGAGGGACCTTCGTAGCGGGGCCGAGGCAGAAGCGGAAGCTAGAAGTTGTTTGTATATCATTAGTACGGTCTTATGGAATTGAGGGAAATAATATAATTAACGCACAAGAGAGATGGATGAGGATCAATTGAACGTGGGGGGAGAGAGAGAGAGAGAGAGAGAGAGAGGAAGAAAGAGGGGGAGGAGAAGGAATAAATTAAGAAGACGAAGACCGGCAAAGCCCAACCCCGCCGCGTCGACGTCATTTCGGCTATTCGAGGATGATGTAAGCCCCGCATAATCCGATCTATACACTTTCTCTATACTTATAGCTGGCTGTACTTGATAAGCTGCTGAGTAGAGTTGATGGCCTCTACTAGCTGGTTCGGATCTGTCGGTCAGATCGGATACGCGGAAAACCTCAGAGATTTTGTTCTGTTTACTCTCCGGACGTGTATATAGGCTATATGTCTATATAGTGGATACCTACCTTTTCGACGATGGTTTCTCGTAAGTGACTAACTGATAGCTAATCGGTTTTTTCGATCTGTTCACTGATTCGATTGATTTCTTCATATATAGACCTATCATCATCCTAGTGTACTACAAATAGTATGCAAACATACACTTGCCAATTTAGCAGATAACATGGAAGTAGATAGTGAACAATTCCAATTCATCCCTCCACATCCCTCTCCCTATACCCATTCCTCATCCCCTTCTCACCGACCTCCTTCCTCCCCTCCTCCCCATCCCCAGCCCCCTCCACCTCAATCCCGTCATAAACCTCCTCCGCCATGACCGCCCGAGCCACCAAACTCTCCGAACAAGGCCACATCCACGACACGCCCACGTAAACAACACTCGTGCCCACAAACCCCAGCAGCCAGCCAAACTCATACGGATGCTCGCCCTCTCCAACAGGGATACTCCCATTCACCGAGTGAATCAGACCCGGTAGATTGGGCACCACACCGACCAAGAAAGCGACGATGGCGCGCCAATTGACGCCCCACCCGCCGTAGCTGTAGATCGGGTTCCGCGGCTGATACAGCGCCAGGGTGTCGTATTTCCTGCGCTTCAGGACCCAGAAGTCCCAGAGCATGATGGCCGCGATGGGGCCCAGGAAGACGGCGTACGCAGACATGAAGTTGAGGAAGTTGCCGGCGCTTTCGAGGATCTTCCACGGCACGAGACACCACGAGAGAATGCCGCAGATGATCTGCCCGCGGCGCAGATTGACGTACCCGGGCAGGAGCGCGGTCAGGTCGTTGGCGGCGGAGATGGAGTTGGCGGAGATGTTGACGCCCAGGGAGGCGAGGGCGAAGGAGAAGGCGGCGAAGAAGCGACAGGCGCGGCTGGACCAGTGGCTGATTAGGTCGAGGGGGTCCCAGGGGATGGAGGCGTTGTTGTAGTAGCGGGCAGCGCCGGCGGAGGAGGCGGCGATGCCGATGAAGGAGATGAAGGTGAAGACGATGGGGAGCATGGGGACGTAGAGGAGCTGCCATTTCGCGGTGGAGCGAGAGTAGCGGGAGAAGTCGCTCTAGATTTATCGTTAGCTCTCATTGATCTTTCCCTCCATCCAGCAAATGCATAAGATGCAATCTCCATCGAGAGAGAAGCATACCTGATTCACACTCAGAGTGGCATAATTCCCCAACACACTCGTCATACTACCCAAGAACAACCAACTATAACTGGACCCCGTCACGGTAGCCTTCTGCTCAAACAGCGCACCCCCATTCTCCGCAACAAACGCCCACACAAGGATCGCAATCCACGCCACAGGGACCAAAACACTCTTGGCAATAAACAGCCAGCGCACCTGATTCGGATGAATCCAGAGGAACGGAAACTGCACGATCCAGAAAATAAGGTACGAGATCATACCATTGGTCGTGATACCCTCACCCTCCGGGATCCCATTCCCCATCGTCAGGAAACTCGGCCAAATAGCACCGAGCATGACGCGGACGGCATTGCCACCATTAACGTTCTGAATGGCGAACCAAAACAGCGCCAAGATGACACGCGAGATGATGGCAATGTACGAGCCCCAGAACCCCCAGCTGGCGCGGGCGATGACGGGAAACGGAATGTGGTAGATTGCGCCGACGGCGCCGTTGGCGGCGATGACGAAGGAGATGATGAAGAAGGACAGCGCGATGATGCCGAGACTTTCGCGCCAGCCGAGCCCGACGGCCATGATGCTGCTGGCGAACTGCCAGGTTGCGGCGTTGAAGGCATCGGAGATCCAGTATGCTGTTTCTGCGTTAGCGATCCGAAGTATAGGAAGATGGGTAGATTGGGATAAGGGAAAGCTACCGATAAAACTCCACGGGCCCCAGTGTCGGCGATGTCGAGGCACAGGGTCGAGATCGAGGTTCGTCCAGCGGACGTTGCCCTCCGCGAAGGCGGATTGGGAATGCTGGACGTGGAGACGAGGGCGACGGAGCTTCATTGTAAGGGATATGGGACTAGATACGGTCGGTCATGGATATATGCATTGAGGACAGGTTGGATATGCAACCACTGTACAAGATACTATGGAAGAGAAAAGGAAATGAAGTGACAACGAAGAACGAAGTGTTGTCGAGAGTTCATGCAAGAGATAAGCCGCCGCCGCTCATTGGATCTCGCCTTATCAAGGGATGCAGATAAAACATCCCTGCACGCAAAGTCTCATTCGTGGATAATCGACGATAGCTACACTCCCCCCAGTAGACCAGTAGGATTCCTGTTAATACGAAAAACCTACTGCCGGTCTAGACTTTCTCGCCCGGAAGCCGCACATCCTGCCATCCCCGACCATCGCCTACACCGGCCAAACTCCCCTTCCTGCGAATCCCCGCCCACTCCGTCACATTCATCCATCCGATCTGCTGCAATCCTCCAAATCCGCCGATCCAGTACACCTCCGTAACGACCATCCGCGCCCAGAAGCTCGAATGCGGCGACCCCGGGCGCCCGGGCAACCAGACCCGCGCGTCGGGATGCGCCTGCAGATAGCACGATTTCAGCGCTTCCTGCGTCTCCGCGGGCACCGGGGTCGGGAATTCCTCGACGTATCCGAACAGTGTCACGCGCGGCAGTCCGGCCTCGCTGAGCGGGAAACCGGGGAAGACGGGCTTGGTGTCGTTGACGTGGTCCCACCAGTCAATCGAGACGCTGAGGTTGGATCCCGCGGCGATGTTACGGAAGGTGGTGGACACATGCAGGCCCAGGAGGGTTGGATCGCCGTTGCCGCCGTGGCCCGAGTCGGAGGGGAGCTGCTCATCGCAGTCCGAGATGTATTCGCGCAGGCTGACGGATTGGCCGGCAAGGGAGGCCGGGGTGTGGGATTTGTCCGGGGCCGGGTCGGGGAATATGGTCGAGACGACACCGGTAGTGGAGAGAGCCAGTAGGCGTCGGGCCATCAGTGTGGATGTGAACCAGGAGGGGGCGGCCGTTGCGTCAATGTCGTCGTCAGTGTAGATGGCATCATGTTCACGGTCGGGGCGAGGGTCCGTATGTTCGAGTGATGATGACGACGTAGATGCAGCCGATTTATGGCTGCCGCCGAGGAATGTTTGTCCTAGGGCATGATTCTCACTGCCAACGGGGGTGGCTAGCACCGGAGACAAGGGACTGAATAGAAGAGCGAAGGTGGAGAAAAGGGCGACTGTGCGACTGCCCATTGTGATGATATTACAGCTCTCGGAAGGATAGGGAGAGATGATATGAATATAGAGAGACCGAGGAGCTGGACAGCCAGAATGAGGAGCGGTGCAAGCAGAAGAAGGTGGAGGTGGGAAGAAAGACCGAATGAGGGGAAGACCGACGCACTTGACCGCGGCGAGTGACCTCGTCACTGATCGATCTTATCAGATTGCACTAGGCCCCATCCGGCTAGCCGGCGGTTGCATGACTAACCACCTGATCGCCTCCGATCCCGGCCGGCTCCGACTGCTGCCTCAGTTCTCAAGCCACGACGCGTGACTCATGGGGCGGCGCCACTTGCGCTCTCGGATGGCAGACCGCGAATCGCAGCGCGGCGGTGAGTCACGCTGAGCCGGCGGTCAGCAGTTGCACGCCACGAGGCCAAGGGTCATGCGAGGCGAAAATTTGATCGCCCCGTCATTGGCGTGACGTGCGAATTTTTCCATAGGTAAGTAGGTGGTACCGGCTAAATAGATGATCGAGTGGCACTCCAGGCATCCAGGCATCCAGGCATCCAGGCATCCAGGCAGGGACTATAGACGGTATTGTAGACAGGTAGATATTTGATTGGTAATAGGTATTCGGTAATAGGTGAAGCCAAAAACATTCCCTTCCATCCAACACACTCCGGACAAATAAAAAATAGCAACAAGTGTAGACAAAGAAATGGTAAGTGTTGATAATGATCGAAAAGAAAAAACACCTTCGCAGACACAAGAACCACCCCGACGTAGATCATACAAACCAGGGACTTGGTAAATCAAACAAATCAAAGCCCCCTGCACCATGCTAGAGCCGACGCAGACTCCCATCTCGAATCCCGATAGAACACCTGGGTATATACAAAAGACGAAGAAAAAAAACACCGTTTTTTCCCCATGAAAAATAAAGAACCGGAGATAAAGTTCGCACAAAACTTTTTTCCTCTGGTTAGTCTGCGTCTCGTCTCTGCAAGCGGTCGCGGTCCTAGCTGGGCCGGACAAGATAATAGAAAAGATTATGCAATAAACAATAAAGGCTTTGTTCGTTTTTCTCCTTCTACTCAACACAAGAACAGAAAAGAAAAAACGTAGATCACCTGGGTCCACTGCATAAAGAGAATGGAAGAACATCGGGAGCTAGCCCAGATATTCAGCGCGCATCGTAGGATTCAACGCGATCTTGTTCGCTTCGCTACCGCAGCAGGCCCGTTTCATTCCGACGGGTCCGGACAGCGGCGCGTACGAGTTGAGGGCGTTTAACTGCGTCGCCGTCAGAGATTGCGAACGACGCGGGCCCGAGTTCAGAAAGAGGTCGGCCATCTTCCCGTCAGGGAGAACCGTCCCCTCACGAATGGCGGTGGAATGGATCAGGTGGCGAACATGATTCTGGAGCGGGAAGTCCTCGGAACCGGCGCGACCGCGCTTGCGGCCTTGGCTATGACGCTGACTGCCGGCCGCATGAGGTTGACGAGATGCGGCTGCTCCGGAGAGCGCACAGAGACCCTGTGCGGCCTCGTGAGTAGAACTCATATCCACCGGAGTGCCCAGCGTGAAGTTGGACAGATCGGGGACGGCAGTAGGGGGGGCGCCGTAGCCGTCGAGAGGCGACGAGTGGTAGATATCACTCAGCGAAGTCTCGTCGATGGGCGACGCAATGGCCAGCGGCTTCCGATTTTCCTTCATGGTGTTATTCGTAGACCGAAGCGCGGCCTGCACCGCCAGGCGGGGCAGAACGACGCCGCCAGACCCCGATGCACTGGACATGGAGGAAGATCGCGACGACTGCGAGGACAGGGTGGAAACATCCGAGATCATCGAGTCCGGAGAGGATGCAGACGAAGTCGAGCGAGCCAGAGACGACCGACGCACCATGGTCGGGTAACCATCAAATGAGCCATTGCTCGCCTTGGGGCAGAACGGCAGCGAGGGGCGCTGGTCGAGAGTCGACCGCGCCATGCACATGTTCTGCACCTGAGACATAGCGGCACAGATGTTGCGTCGGTGGGGAGGGTAGGAGCCAGCACTCGCTGCAGGAGTGGAGGCCATGCTCGACTGGGGGGTCATCTGCGGGGTCGGCAGCATGGGCGGCCGCGGAATCGAAGGGAGAGACGGGTTGAATGAATCCACAGTCCGAGACTCGGGAATCCGCTCGGACAGGGAGGGCAGGACGCAGGGTTCGCCCGCGGGGTAGGACGAAGGATAAGACGCAAATCCTCCTCTCGTCGACGTGCCACGGGGAGACGGCGAGTCCGCCATGGAGCGGACATCGTAGCCTTCCACGCTCGCCGGGGGAGTCATCGGAGCAACGTCCACTTCTTCCAGGTCGGGCGTCAGCCTGGGGATGACAGTGCGCCAGGAGTAACCTTCCAGGGCCAGCGCGCCGGCGCCGGGGGTATACTTCAGGACGATGTCGGTCCATCGCTGGAAAGTCGCCTCGGTGATGTGAAGCTTCCAGTCAACCGCCTGCAGGAACATCAACTCGTTCTGGTTGATCTCGACCGTGTTGAGACCGGAAATCTTGCTCCAGGCGCGGGCCGAATAGTTTCGGTCCTGCAGGTACTTGGAGGCCAGGATCAAAGCCGCAAGAAACATGCGTCGGCCACATTGCATGGCGCGGCAAACAGGCTTGCTGCGAGTCTGATCCTGCGTCAGATCATGACTGGGCACGTGCGGCTTGATCTTGATCAGATAATACAGAGCAACCTGCAACGTACTGTAGCTGGTGCGAGATCTGCGCAGCGTCTCTTGGATGAAGGTGCGAAGAGGCAAGACGCCCTTGCACCCCGTCGCCGAGTCACTCCGCAGAGAGACGGCCGACAAAGGCCAGATGATCTCAACGATTTGGGAAGCGGTGTCTTTTTAAAGAAACGAACCCACAAACAATGCTTAGCCAGACGCCCGAACGCCAAAAGAGAGAAATAGCGACTTACCGACGAGGTTGTCGACGAAGTTAACCTTCCGCTCCGACTGTCGCATGAGACAGGGAGGCGGCCGAGCAGACGCCGCAGTGTCGTTGGCGGCCTGAACGCCGGTGCGCCGAGGGTGCTTACGTAACTCCGGAGCCACCGGGACGTCCGCGGGCTTGGGAACAGGCGCCCTCAGGCAGGCTCGCTCACGCGGGCCCTGCAAGGACGCCGGTCCTCGGCCAGCCTGGAATTCTCCGTCATGTTCCCAGATCACATCTGCCGGATTCGTCGAGGTCGAGGAGGTCGATCCCTGGGTGGACAGTCCGTCCAGGGAGAAGACCGACGAGGACGAGGAGGAAGCGGAAGAGGAGACGGACGAAGAAGGATAGGGGTGCGCATAGGACGTCTTGTATGAAAGACCAGGGTTTGGATCTTTCAAACCCAAAACGTCGATTCCTGTCATATCCGAAAGTGTGTACTGTAGATCCAGTCCAAGGGTGACCTATGATATGTCCTTTGATAAGCAACTCAAAAGATGGTCATCCGAAAAGCGGATAGAAAGTAGATCGAAGTCGAATATGGCGAAGAGTTGCGCGGATGTATAAGACCGTGGTATAGATTTTTTTCAAAGAACCGTTGTGCAAATAACCGTTAACGAGAAACCGATAAGACAAGAACCGTCTTTTGTTCACAGGCGACGGCAAGCCTTCGAGGATATGTTCGCCAGTTTATCGTATGATAGGAAGAGGAAAAAAGAGGTTAAGATAAAGCGGCGGTGGCGGAAAAGGTAGAGCGATATGAGTCAAGGTAGAGTGACAAGAGGATCAGGTAGGTATCGGGCAAAAGAGGTATGAGGTGATTTAGATCTAATGTTCCGATCACCAGGTGTAGTAGAAGTCCAGGTGTAGATCAAGCCGAAACAAGCGGAATGTTCAGAAGAGACACGTAGGAAGGGTATACACCGCAACGTGACTCTCTCTAAATACAAAAAGCGACGGAGACGTTGTTATTCTTTTTTGGAGAAAGAGTTTAGACAACAACAGCCTGGCCGGCGACTCGGAGATCTGAAGTAATGGATTCTGCAACACAGGCGATCGGAACAAAAGATTTCGAAGCAACAGAGTACATCTTGAGGTTTGGTATAAGTATAAAGAGGGTTTAGAAAGGAGCCGCTAGAACGGCAGACCGTCTAAACAAGCAGGCAGATTTGGCGCTCGTCCAGGCAGTCAGCAGTTGTTCGACAGCTCTTCGCGGGGGGCGGATGGCGGATGACGAAGGATGAATGAGATATGAATCTAGAGGCGAAAGAGGCGAGAGGAAATAGTCAGCAACGAGGTCATCGGACTGTGAGCCTATTCTTTAATTTTTTATTTTTGGGGCGGCGGAAGATTTATGACTCCCCGAGGTAGAGAGGAACCGCTGCCTGGAGGGCTGGATGGACTGACTTATGGGGGAGGAAGAGGGCGGAGCGGTAGACTAAATCGAGTATGACTAACTGGGGGGCGAACCAGTCAGAGTGGGGGTGGGCAGGAGGATCAAGGGCCGATGGAAAGATGGAAAAGTAGCGAAGGGATGGCGAGATGGCAAGATTTGCAACCCGGCGAGAGGCATCGGGCAAGAAAGAGCAGAACCAGAGGGACTGTTACTCACGATGAGTGGCGACGGTGGCGGGAGTCAGAGTGGCCGCCGGGACCAGTTTTTTTCACAGGGAGAGCGGAGAGATAAAACGAAGAGAAACGAAACCAAGCAAATCAGAGAAATGGAATACAGCAGGCACGGAGAGGAATACAAATCACACAAGCAAAGAAAAGGGAGAAGAAGGCACACGTCGTCCTTTCAGCGAAAGGATGGACGAGAGAAAGAAGAAGGGAAGGAGAAGGAGAACGAGTCAGGATCGGGAGCGCCTGAGACCGATGACTCCTCGCCGTTTCCGACCAGACGCCCGGCTGGCGGCCGAGGATCCCTATCTTTGGTTTGATATGAGTCCTAGGGCACTCCGGATGGGTTCATGTTCTGCTAATCCGGATTATCATTATTATCATTCCCATTAGACTATGTATTACACATGGTTCCATCCCTCGACGTGGTTATCGCTTTGACGATTGTACAGTACCGTCCATAGTTACGGGATGCCTGGTATCTCCGGCATCTACGGAGTATTCCTCAACCATCCACCTAGGTAGATAACTCTACATGACGTACTATCTGTAGACATTTCTAATTAATTCAATATCAGATATACGGAGTAAAGATAAACATCAATATCAAACAACTACTCCGTCTGCCTGTAGGTACCTTAGGTCCTTAACGTCAGGCACGACCGAAGCCGGCCCAGATCAGCCAACCATCGGCGCTGCATTTGCCAGTCCACGCCACCCTTCCGGGCTGTGTTTCCTGCTATTTATACCTGCATAATTTATAAAAATAAATCCCGGTATCTACTCCGTATATAAATGCCTATAATTATCTGCCTTCGTATACATAATATGATCATCACAGTAACACTCACTGCCTCAAAACCTGACTCCTCGACCTCCGTAAATTAGAAATCAAAAAACCCTCGACATCATATCACTTCAGACCGGTCCTCGACTACCGGCAGAAGTTCCCCCGACCATCCCTCCTAGCCTGCATCCGGACTAGGCTTTTTTACGCATTCACATTCGACCGGGCGACGCAGGCAGGCATAAACCCATGGTCGTGCAAAGACAACTGTCCTTGTGGAACCCCGAGGCCATGTTAGCGTGAGTTCCAGGCAGCAGAGAACTCCACCGACTGCCCGAGACTAAGCCTGAGGAGGAGTGAGAGGGAGGACGGAGGACGGAGGCTTGGTCTGGTGGTTGGAGTTGGTTCATCAGCTAATGATTACGAAGATCGTCGGGTCATCATCATCGTCATCTTCTGAGAGGACAGAGGCGAGGCATCCCCTGGTCTCCGGCGAGGCGAGGAGGCTGGGGGAATTCCGAGTCTTAGTCATGAAGACATGAGGCGATGAAACCCGGCTTGACCGAATCGGGACAGTCCGGGTTCAGCAGTCCGTGACAGGAGACATGCATATCCCTGCAGCGTACATATTCTGGATGGATCCCTTGATGTGAGTATCTTGACAGAATGATATTCTGGAGTATAACTATGAAGGGTATCGGAGACATAATAGACCGTACTTGGATATCTCCCTATTTACTAGGAGTAACTAGAAGTCGGATGCGTTGTGTGACGGCAGCAACGCCCCGCGTAGAACCAGTCCCGCCGTCCACCAATCACGTGCGGGATGGTTGCCGGGGATCCCGTGAGCATTTGGTCAGCATTACTGGCATAATTACCTAATGCCGAGTATACACGGTATTCGAGTATTCAGGAGGATTCCGTCGAGTATGCTGCCAGTTTCACATCTCCTGCAGACATCAGTAGATCAATCTATCACTATGCAAAATATACGACTACGACCCAGCTCTTCTCTATATCATATATACTTCCGAATGTGTCCATACTACATCAGTACGTTTATAATAAGTAGTATACTAAGTCCTCCCTCAAGAATATATAACCACACAGTCCAGCATAGAACATACAACACAAAAAACGAAACCCCAGTAAGCAGCAACCAACCAAATAAACGACCCACGAACCAATCACCGCAAGCGGGGTCACCATGCATGACCGTCCCACGTTGATTGACTGCAGACTCGAGACCGCACTGGACCGCCAACCCGGTTCGAGCTGCATTTGACCCGTCCCGTCTGTGCCAATGCAATGCAAGGTCCGGGACAAGACCAGCCTGGACGTGCTCTCCTCATTCTTACGCATTCTCGTTCATTTGATTTAGTTACTAGAATAATCCAAACCATTCCAGAGAGAAAGAGAGAAAGGTGAGAAGAGAACACTCCAGTATATACTTCTCCTATCCGTCGAGCTAGTAAATGCAGAATAATCAGATCAGTACTAGGGTAGACATTTTATCCCCATGGATTTAATACCCCCAAAGTCTGCCTGTCTCCTCCAGAATAGGTACCAAGACATACCCATGCACAAGGCCATGGTCAAGGCTTCACAGGTGACAGCGGGCATCCCCTCGGTCAGCCTGACAAAAGGCCAGTCAGTCGCCAACCCCTACCGGGTCTACTGCGCAGTCCCTTGTAAAGTTCCGTGTCAAGAAAGCACTACGACCGAAACGAACCGACCGTCGCCCGATCCGGTGAGCCGTGCATGGAAAGGATGCGTGCTAATGCAGGCTTCCCGCATGGGTGCTTACTCGTACTTACGGAGTACGTTTTACTGAATGGGGTATTTTGGAGAGGTTGGATTGGATTGGATTGGATTTTTGGACTGTCGTGGAGGAAGTACGATGGAACCTATGGGGGAGGATATTGAATATCTGGGTATCGAAGTGTCTGTTGGGTATTGATTTCACTACCCAGGTGCCTAAGTTCTCTATATGTGGATGGTGGATGTTGGGTTGGATTCTGGACTGAACCTTTTACTGACTATCTGAGAGAAAACTTTTAGGTACCTCGGTTAGTTGGGCTTTTTCGATTTATGGCATACTATAGGTATAAGAAAGAGAAGACATCAATCAAGCTATAGCCAGTCGTCAAGCCCCAAGCCCCAAGATTTATACCCAACAACTTAATCACCCAATCCAAATCTACCTACAAGTAAAAACGGAGTATAAGGTACTCACAAATCCCCCCTCACCTGCTCCACAAACGCCAAAACGTCATCAAGCAGATCTCTCGGCCGTTCCAGCGCCGCAAAATGGCCTCCCTAGAAGTACCCAAGCACCGTTAGCAAAACCGACCAACCAATCTGCACCCCCACAAGTAGCTAGCTAAGCTAGTAGGATCCCAGCACGGCACCCCGTGCTGACACTGAGACGCTGGGAAGGACCAACCTTCTCATGATAATTACAAAACACCAGGTTTCCCGTGGTGGCGACCCACGCCTTGGGCGCGGGGATCAACTCCCTGGGGAAATACGAATATCCGAATGGTTTCTGGATGTACCATCTGGGATCCATGGCGTGTTTGATAGGGGGCGGAGGGAAGGCCTGTTCATTGTATGTCAAACATGTTAAATCAAGTAAGTAGGGAGGAAGTAATAGCATACCTCACGATAAGTATAAATCGACCTCGGCAGCGTCCCCGTCAACCAATACAACGTCGCCGACTTAAGAATACTCTCCAGAGGCAAGGGATCGCGATCATCGACCCAGTCGAGGAACTTCTCCCCAATCCTGCACACAAATCGTCAGCCAAGCAAGCTCAATCCCATCCCCGCTACAACCCAGCCCGACGCGGGACATAGACATGCACATGCAGCCGCATCACCAATCCTCGACTTACCAAGCGAGCAGTGCAACCGGGTTCGTCGCGATGGCGTTCCCAATCGTACTGGTGCGGGTCCCCTGCTCGACGAAATAGCCCGAGCCCCAGAGCGCGAACCACTGGGCGCGCTGCAGATTGCGGGCTTCGGACTCGGAAAGCGCGGAGTCGGCGACGGAGGCGGGCTTTTCAACGAAGCAGGCGTTTACTACCGATCAATAGGTCAGTATTGAACGGGGACCGGGACAGAGTCCGCAGGCAAAGAGGGGACTCGGGACTCACGATGCACCGCTATAAGCGCGCGATATCAAACCAAATCAAGTCAGCGTTTATTGTGTTCCAAATCACCACCCCACGTAACACAGATTGTTGTAAGAGGACAAAAGGACATACCCCTGCAAGCATCATAATCAACGCCCAGGATGCGCGCAACCTTCGAGCCGATATCACCCGCCTGTACGACGTAGGATTCAAAACCCAGATTCGCCATGACCTGGTTCATCACCTTGGCGATGTCTTCGGTCCCGAAGTCCCTGTCCACCGGGGGCCCTGAGGAGAACGTGTACCCGGGCAGCGAGGGCACGATGAAGTGATAGGGCAGGGTGGCGGGGGTATACTTCTCCTTGACGAGGGAGAGGAGGGGGAGGAATTCCGTGAAGTTGCCTGTTGAGGTAATTAGATTAGTAACCGTTGTTCAATTGTGCTTCATGTTCAAGGATCTCGTCTCTGGATGGAGGAAGGGGGGTGATGGTAAGGACAAGGTCTGCTGGTCTAGCTCATATGGAAATGTTCCGACGCGACACAACTCTATGAAAGGGGAGCTTCCCTGGCCAGCCGTGGAGCAGGAGGATTGGGATGGCGTCTGGATTCTCCGAGAATAGAGCGACGAGGTGGATGTCTAGTCCGTCAATGGAGTACTTGAACTGGGGGAAGCCATTGAGGTGGTCTTCCACGGCTCTCCTGTTTCTGTTAGTATGGGACCCCACGCTGGAATAACACGATGATCAAGCTAGAAAAAGAAAAGAAAGCCTAGAACAGTACCAGTCAAAGGTCTTCCATGCCTCTCGAGCCGTGGTCAGCCATTCGGTCGTGATACCGTACTTCCGGTCCTGCTGCTGACTCTCGAAGGTGGGCGGGGCGATCTTCGACAGTTTGATCAGGAGCTGCAGCTCTTCGATCTGCTCGTCGGGGACATGGACCTGAAAGGGCGAGGGAGGGATCTTTGCCCCGGAGGGAACCTGACTGAATGGAAGGGCCATGATTGCTTTGTTGGAGGTTCAATGGTGATGAAGTGGGGTACGGGGACCTGATTCCTGATCAACTGGCGATATAAATATGCCGTTCCTGTAGCATCAAGATCACCAAGATGATGTGAAACTAGGCAGAACAGACCTGTCTACTAGGCAGACATACCTCAATATCAATGGCGTTGTATCTCGTCGGTGAGGGAATTAGGACTAACAAGCTTTGGCTCTAGCTGATCCTTCAAGTTGGAGTGATAGTGATTGACTCACTTTGCATCATACCGACAGTAGGTCCATTTTAGTGTACGAAATACGCACCTGGAGCATCTAGAGCAGAAGAAGAGAACAAAACAAAACAAATCTGCTTTCCAACCGGGTATATTCCATACAAAAACATATGTCCATCAAACCACCATTTCCACCACTCATGCCAGTAGTCCAGCCCCCAGGATCCATCCCACAGTCCCTTATTAGACCTATCCCAACAATTCCACCCCAACCAACCAACCTAGTATCATGATATCCTAGATCCTAGATCCTAGACCTTAGACCCTAAATCAAAAGTCAGAATCACCTCCCCCTCCCAACACCCCCCACCGCAGCACCACCACCAGCACTCCCTGCAGCATCATGCACCACACACAACAAATACTTCCGATCCGGCACCACCACAATCTCATGCTTCTTCGTGCGCATCCGTAGCAACTTGACCTCGTCGTCCTCATCTCTTTCGAATCCCTCTCCTCCCTCCGCATCTTCCCTAGCTCCAGCCCCCGTCCCACTTAAATAACCCCCCTCCTGCGCGCCATTCACATCGCCGGCCTCAACCGCTCTAGACCCGGCAGACGAAACTTCCGCCCCAGGGGGCCTCGACAGCGAGAGACTGAGATCCGTCGCGCTCGCGACGAAGGCGAAGACGTGTGCGGCGAGGGCCTCGGCCTGGGATGGTTGGTAGGGTGTTGTGGGGGTTTGCTGCTGCTGCTGTGTTTGTTGTTGGGATTGTTTCTGAGCTACTGGGCTAGTGGGCGTAGAAGAAGGGGAGGATGAATCTGCGGCGCCGGCGCCGGCGGGCGTAGCAGAGGAAGTAGACGTAGAAGTAGGCGAGGCAACGGAGGGCGCAGGGTCCAGTTCCTCAGCTGCAGGGGCACCGTTCGGGGTAGAGACGTTCGGAGCGGGTTTCGAAGCGATCAGGCCGGTGCTTTGGATGATGGAGCCGTCTTTGCGGGAGAGGATGAATGTGGATTGGACGCCCGGGCGGGAGGTCAGATGCGACAGGAGAGCCGTGACATGTTGCGGGATCTGGAAGGGCTGGGACGAGAGTTGTTAGCGATTGCGCGGTTCTGGGATCATCGTGCTGGGGAGTGTATGGGAGAGCTAGAGCTTCTCCTGGTGGAAGGTCTTACTGGTGTTGTGGCCGCCATTTTCGAGGCTGCGGGGATGGTTGTGAGGTGCTGAGTGCGGGAATATAGTTGAAACAGTGATGTTTTGGAGATAGAGAGTCTCTCTAGAACATTGCCTCTGGCTGCGCACTGGAGCTGTTTAAGTCTTAATCGACTGGGCGATGTTGATTGTTGATTGTTGTTTGCAGGAGTCTCAAAGCTGCGGTGGTCATGGATGACTAAGCACGTCGTGGGGTCCTCACGATCCAGGCATCAAGGAGTGACTCAATACTCTACTATAATACTACCTAGGCAGTTGGAAACTAGTACTCTGAGAGGATTCGTCATTCGGCGTCCTTTTATTCATATATATTTCTCCCACCGACGTGGTAATTAAATCGAGTACATATTATCCTATATACACTCCAACCCGCAAAGCACAAGCACAATGGTATCGTCAACAAAACAACAAATGCAGCGGCACGAAAGGAAAAGCCCAAAACCAAGACCCCCAGAGAAAACGAATGACTCTCCAGGAGATGCAGACACCAGAAACCCAAGGAAATTAGATTCATACACGAAAGTGGAAGTTGGATATGGCCACCCTCGAATCAACCAAACAGATGCATAGAAAGCATGCAGATAAAAACACAGCAAGGAAAGGAAAAGAATGTGTGCACGATAAAAGAGAAAGTATTTTCAGTCAAGTAGCCGCCCAGGAAATAATGCAAAAAATGAATGTAAGAACGACGAGAAGAAGAAAAAAAGATTAATTGCGCCCCAACGGGTGTCTCTCAGAGCCAGGCTTATCCTTATCCAAGATCCAGTCAAAGTCGAAGTCCTCGATCATGTCTTCTAACTCGCGGACATTGGTGCTGTCGTCTGAGGACCCGTAGCTATCGCGTCGACTGGACCCGGGACTGGCGATCCAGCTTTCCTGACGATAGCAGGATTGTTCTTTGGTCTTGCTCCGTCGAGGGAGCTCCTCTACGCTGGATGAATTGGTCGTGGACGAGTAAGTCCGCCCGGTGCCGGACGCAGACGAGGTGCTCGAGCCTCCAAGGAGAGCCTCGAGGTTCGGCTTGACGCCGACATCCAGAGCGGCCAGGAGAGCTGCCTGGAGAATCGTGTTTTGGCGCTCAAGATGCGCGATACGTCCTTCCAGATTCAAGGCATACGCACGATGCCGACTGCCCCGCGAGTCCTGAGAGTAAAAGGTGCTCTGAGAAAACTGTGACTGCGGCGATAGCTTCTCGACACCGCGGCTCCTGCGAGTCCGGGGAGTCGACGGACCGATAGATTCATGTAGAAGCTTCTTGGAGTGCCGTGCGCGCTGGGTGGCATGGTCGCCGATGGAGAGGGGAGCCGGTCTAGTCTGTCGATGCGAGGGGTGTGGACGCGACTGGTGGTCCTTGTGCGAGCTGACGCCGATACATTCGTCCTCGGAGGAAGGAAGAGGGCTTTCGGCGCGATCCGGTGGACTCTGCCCGATTGGCAAGTCCTCGTGGATCACATCTGCACTCTGTGCGCTGCTGCTTCGACTTACTCGTGAGTCTCGGTTGGATCCGGGTAGCGAAGTGGGTTTATCACTTCCGCTCGAGTAAACAGGTGAGCTGCAGGAGCGTTTGCCTGAGATGTGCTTGCTGACAGGGAAACTGAGTGGTTTGGAAAGCAAAGGAGAGAGTGGCGGCGAAAGAGAATTGGCCTCACTCAGTCGAGAATCAATGGATCCTCCGCTAGCTGGCTGCGACGACTCTGTGTGAGATCGCGAGGACTTGGAGGATTGGTCCTCTTTGGAAGCCTTTTCTCCACCCTTGAGGTAGAGGCGACTGGCAGACATATCCTTCATCTTCAAGGCCCGCACCCTCTCCGCTCGACTGGGTCCGGTAATCACCACCTCTTTAGAGTCGGAGTGTTTTGAAGGAGAGGTCTTGGATGCGCCATTTTGCATGATAGCAGCTGGGTCTTTGTTCTCTTTCGCCCCAGACAGAGCGTCAGGGTAGACACCAGTCTCCTTGGAGCTGGTCCCTGAGATTTCGCCCGACGATCGAGGATCCGAGTTATTGGACTTAGTTTGGGACGTACGGTTCCCACTGGCTTTCTTCTTGTCCCGACCCGCATGAATGCCAGGGACTGGCTCCGGGAGAGAAGGCAGTGGTCGCATGGGCGCTGGGAGAGGAAATGCATTGATCGCACCCAGTGGCAGGGACGCGGGACGACGATTCGTTAACGGACGGGGAAACTTCTCATGGATTGGACTGGCGGCCGAAAGTTCAGTCAGATTGTGAGGTAGTGCTAATGAGTCAGGGCTCGAGCCGCTCGAATCATTGTTGTAGGATTTTGTGATCGGGGTGTTGTTAGACGAGAGTTTTTGGTTGTCGCCGCCAGATTTGGCTGTGGATGGCTTGTCCTCTGGCCGGATTTCACGGTTTTCCGGAGTCACTGGGAGAGGCCTGTTTGGGGGACGGCCGTTCGATATGCGCCAGGCTCCTTTGCTTGAGACCCGTGGAGGCATCGGATCAGGGAAGAGTTTCAGCGTGTGCGCCGGGGTCTGTGACGACGTCGATACGCTGGACGAGGTTGAGTTGCGCGCGGACTTTACCGGCGCATCTTTGCACTCGGCTGGCTTGGAATCACGAGTCTGCTCAGTGCTTGACTGCTTACAGTCAATTAGTCTGCATTTTGACCGAGAGAGAAAAACACTCACTTGGCGACTGTCATCCGAAGCACCGGCATCCGGCGCGACAGACGATGCCTTGGAATCAGAGCCGGCAGCCTGCTCTGTGCTAGGAGTCTTGGGAGGAGCTTCTGTTTCATGTTTCTGCAGCTCCCCATTCTCCAGCATTTTATTTTGTAAACCAGGGCCACCAGCATCGTATTGCTTGTGAGTATACTCATCACCTGCAATACTGCTTGACTCTATCATTGGTTGATAAGGCGGAAAGTTTCCATCCTCATGGTGAGAAAACGAGACCGAAGCCTCAACCAACGAGGTTAGATCTCTGATATCAATCGAAGACAACTGACTGTCCTTTGTTCCACGCGTATCCATCTTCTCCAACGGATCATCCAGCCATGGCTGTCCAATGCGCTCCACATCCCGCCGTGAACTAGACTTGAAGCTCAGATTCGAGCTCGACACAGTCGAGTCCAGACTCTGCTTGGCCTCCGATCTTTTCGGTCTCGGAGGGGGAAGGAAGCCCGCGTTTTGCAGCGCCAGCAATTGCTTGGATGCTTCCTCAGCCTTTACCTTGGGGTCCACTGGTTTCTTCTGGCGCTGAGCGAGCTGTCGCAAGCGCCGATGGCCAGCCTTCAGGAAATCGCGAGCCCCCGAGGCTTGGATATTCCCATTGGGGGACGAGTTCTGGGCTTGGAACAATTGCACGAGCTCGGGGACGTTCTCGCCTCTCATGCGACTATCAGGCGTTTCGGGACGCTGAGGGTCTCCACTCGAAAGGGCGGACATGCTGCGGTATGCTCGCCTAGATAGCTGCGAGCTAGGCCGACAGGTGGGAACGATTGGACCGGGGGCAACTAGGTTATCATGCAGCTCGCTCCGATGCTGCATAAGGGGGCTGGGCTGGAATGGTCGGATTCAAGCAGGCCCGCGCTGGATACGAGACGTGCGCATCGACAGCGGTGAGGGTCGGTGTGTAGGTATAGGGGGAGAGGAAGGAGATGCGAAGGAGGCGAAAGGAGGGTGATCGTGATATTAAACGTTTTGCAATAGGATGGCGTTATCCTCGAAGGTAGTAGGTTGCATCAAGTTGATCGTGTAAGAGGGTAGACAAGTAAAAGAAGTAAATAGGAGACGACAAAGGTAAGCTAGGGAGAAACAAGAGTTATGTCTCATGTATGTACAGGAACTCAAAGGAAAAGGTACTACCGTGGGAATTGTGATAGAAAAAAAAGTAACTACAAAGAAAACGAAACCGAGGGAGAACAAGAATTCATCGAGTTTAAGAAGGAAGACGTCGAATCTCGACCTGTCACGCTCCTACATAACTGGGTACATCCATCCCGGGCGTGACAGACGGGTGGAATGCAGAGCAGATGCATCGTCGAATGAAGAGCGGTCCTCGTTCTCGATAATTCAAGAGATAGAGTTAGATCTAAGTAGTGCTATGCCACCATGCCAGGATTCATCGGCATCCAAGGGCCAAGAGAGGAGAGAAAACCTCCAACAGGGAGATGGCGGCAAGCAAGGCTAGTGGACCCTTTCGCGGCCAGAATAGGGATGGAGGGAAAGAAGAAAAAAAGTCCAATAATCCAAATAAAAAAAATCCCAAAAGAAAAGAAAGAAACGTTGAGCGAGGACGATCCCGTCCGTGCCAGCGGTTCGATCGGGATTCAAGATGCCACAAATGACAGACCGGCGGGCTCCATCCAGCTGGGAGGGACTATTTGCTCGGAAAGAAGGGGCCCCCTGTCATGGCTGCAGTAGTCGCGGGTTTTCTTTTTTTGGTCTGCGCCCACTCGCATCGACTGTTCCCAATTGGAGTCATTGCCGTTGGTTTCTGGCGAGGATTTCGCTCAATACTTCCAGCCCTAGCTTGACGGAGCTCCCACTACTGAGCTCAGCACAAAGGGAAGCTTGGCTCGGTCCCGAATATGGGAAACCTAGATCGGCATTATTTACGGTCTTGTGTGACGTCGCGCCTATCTTTTCGGCTCCTATTTCAGGCACAGGGGACCCCCAAAGAACCGTTACACGCAAGGGATGGCCTCGCCCTTTTTTCGAAGACCAGCTGGAGGGGCTGAAGGTGGAATGATCGAAGAATCCATCCCCTGAGGACAGAGCTGTGAAAGAAAAGGCGATGACGCAGAAAATGTGAGGTATCAACTCGGACTCTGATCAGACGGACAGTCGGTGGCACTGAGGGCACGTAAGTACTGGACATCGACCAAAGTAAGGACGCGAGTGGAGCGCGAGAGGAAGAAAGTCGAAAGAGCCAGAAAAGCAAACCTACCGAACTAGTGGCAAGGGGAGCGATGCAGGTCCGACAATCATGGCAATGTGATAGATGGGATGGCGAGTGGAGCGGATGATGAGAGGAGGTGGAAGAAAGAAGGAAATGGACGAGTCACAAATCGAGCCTTACCGCCGCCTCCCAATGCGGCGTCCTGACTTACCCTAATTCCCGGAGTATAAAGAAGGCGATAACAGATTCAAATCGAATATTAGGTTATTAACCGTTCCATCCAACTATCCCCATTCTCTAGACCCAACAGATAACTAAACTCACGCCGTACTTCGTAGGAACCAACACTAAGATCGACCCCCTGAGATACACGAAATGTAGGGAGAGACATGGCGCGGCAAACGCCATGTTTCCATGCTCGATGCCCCTGTGCTGTCACATTCCCTCAAAATCTCGTGTCAGAGATCTGATGCAGCGTCACCACGCGCCCAAGGGGTCTCCAGGCAAGGAGTGGCACGAAGGAAGCAGCAGGGAGAGAGAACTACTGTAGGGGAGTTTGCCGCATGCCGCATGAGAAGAACAGAAAATAAAAGAAAATAAAATAACAATGAAAAAACTAGCGAACTGTAACTCCGTAGACAATAAAAAAACAACTAAAATAAAATAAAACAGGATAGAATAGAATAGGAGACGCGACGAACTCACCCACTCCAACCTGCCCAGGTCCACACCCTTCCTCTTGCCACCCCTTGCAGATCGCAGAACAGAACGCAGAAGAGAGAACAGAAGAGAAGATAGGGAGCAGAAGCAGAGAGGATTACGCAGAAAGAGAGAAAGAAGAGCGAAAGAAAGAGGGATCTTCCCAGCAGGGTTCGCTGTCGCTATCCACAAAAACCGCAGCACCGCATAGCTAGCATACATGTTCCATTCTGTCGTTCATGCAGCGTATACCTCGCAATCCCCATCGACCCCATTTTTCTCCGATGACATACATGTGTAACCGTTCTGAAGAAAGGTTCGATCCTCCAATCGATTTTTCCCGGGAATCGCCATCGCCGTCCGATGCGACGGCAATCGACATGACAGGTCCTAGTACGTGCTGGAAGTGCAGAGAACCCAGAGATCTGCCATGATCCATCCACCCATCGGTGGAATGGGCTCGAATTTCGATCTTATCATCGTTCGTCCTCTTTGCATTTGCCTTTGCGCGTCTTTTTCTTTGACATGACATGGCACTCGTTGACTGCCAGTGCTCCACGCCAATGCCGGTGCGACCCGTCAATAAATCGTGTCCTACGACTACGACATCCCCACCCACAACATACGCATATACACAGCAGGCATCTACAGATAGATACGGATACTATTGAATATCACCTAGGGTAGGCAGCGACTGTCCGCCTACTATCGATCGATTGGAGTCGTGCGGTGTCACGTCGTATGATTTATTAATTCATTAGCCAACCGACTAACTAATGAAATTGTACGATAGGCTAATCGCGATTTCGAGTTCCGAGATCGATGACAAAGTGACACGACAGCTTTGCTTTTGTTTGCTTGCTCACTTGCCCCTTGGAAACTCTAGCGAGTCTAGTCTAGTCTAGGTCTAAGTCTCTCTTGGTAGCTACCTTAGTTTCCTCTCCTCGAACAATGCGCATTGCGGTCAGACGGTGTCTTAATCTCACCTGCAGTTGATTGTCCCTCGGACGCACAATAAGACCAAACAGTTAGTTAATGGAATTGTGGTTATTTTAATTTAGACCCTAATTATGTAACTAAGTAGCTACTAGCTGGGCTGGTAGGTAGGTACTTTGTTGCCTGCGTGCCTGTCACATTATTGTGATTAGAATTAGGGCTTGCATGAGCATGAGCCCAGTGCCAACCTCCCAATGATAAGGGGAAAAGGAAAAGAAAAGAAAAGGAAGGAAGAAAGGAAGAAAACTCGACTGCTAGTGGTCATTGGCCAGTTCCATTCACAATCGTAGTAAGACAAGCACATCATATCATATGTATGCACAAGTATGCATCGATAGGCCAAGAAAACCCATCCCTCGTTCTCGTCCTTGCTCCATCCCCATCCCCTTTGCCGGACTAGCAATGAGAATGGCCGGACCTGATATTGTACGGAACATGTATGTATGTGTCGCCAAAAGTTTAATAACACACCCAATTGAAATTGGAATTCGTTTATCCTTTGTTCCAAACAAACAAACAGAAAGTAAAAAGCCTCCTGTACCACCTCAGCCGTCTAAAAATTCCCTCCCCTTCCACAATGCATATCGCAGAAGATGAAGAATCTAAGTCACCAACAGAAAAAAAAAACGCCTCGCAATGCTTTTTCGTCTGGTCTCTAGAAAGAAATCGCAGCCTTGCTTGTAAAGCCTTAGACCTGTTGACCAAAAAGAAGGTTATGCGTAAAAAAGATACAGGAAACACACGAAGATAGTATGACATAGAAGGAAGCAAAAAGGCAGCAAGAGCAGTGAAAAGGAGATAAAACAGACATAGAGAATCTCAAATCAATGATCCGAGACGCTCAAATGCATGCAAAAGACTGGGGTGTCATGCAAAAGCCATCCGACCTCCCAGGAGTGTATGACAGGTCCTTGGGATGGACGTGCAACTCAGGAGAAAAAAAGATACAATATGTCCGGTGCCACAGCGGCAGACGAACAGCCATCTACCTTCTCTTCGGCCTAATAAAAGGATCGGCATCTTTCTTCTTGCGCCGCATAGGAGGGGGAGGTTTTACTCCGTTTCCAGGGCGTGGTGGCGGTCGTGGAACCTACGTAAGGTACGAGTCAGTAAGACCTCACCAAAGAGACCATGTGGAAGCCAAGTTGCGGAGTAATTCGAACATACATTCGCTGCTGCAGAGCCTGCGGAGCCTGCGTCCGGGCCGCTTGGAGGGTTATTATGCTTGATAGGGGCATATGCCGGGCCATCCCGAGACGGCTTGATCAGGCCCTGTGGGATTCATTAGTTCAGAAGCCAATTTAATGTGGAACGCGGGTCAAGATCGTTCCGACAGCCCAGAAAAGGATGCCAAAAGGGGATACATACCTCAGGCTTGGTTGGAATATTGGCATCGAGCTTGCCACGCCGTGGACCCTTAGGGGCATTCGGCGGAGCATTCGGATCGCCCCTGCGTTTGGGACCAGTCGGAGCACCGGTGGGTGGAGAATTGGGGCGTTTGCGCTTGATCGAGCCCTTGTTGGGATCCAATTTACCCGGCTCGACCGATTTATCATTGTCCGAGCCCGTGGTCACCTGGATGGACGGAACCTTAGGGTCATGTCCCCCGAGTTGCTTGGCACGCTGGCGTTCCGTCCTCTGCTTCTGCATGTGAGCAAGGCTGCTCTCCTCGCGCATAATTTTCCCTTTCTCAAATTTTGACAGACGCCTGGCCGCTTTGCAGGCATGGGCGAGATGTCCGATTTGGCCACATTCCACACATCGCTCTGCCGTACACGTGATACGTGTATGCCCAGTCTGCCTGCATCTGAAACACGTGCTTTGGGTTGTCTCCTTTACCTCCATATTGTCGCAGTTGTGAGTCATATGGGAAAAGCTTCCACAGTACCCGCACATGCGAGTTTCATCCAAGCCATTGTGGCCTCCTGAGGGCCCGTCCGGAATTGGCATTGGTGGGGTGCCTTTCCCAGAGGCAGACACGGAAGGAGAGTCAGAGGGAAGGTTATCAAGAGAGACGGAGGATGGTCGAGAGACAGATCCGACCGACGCCGGCCGAGAAGGAGGTTTAGACCCCGGGGCATCAATGTCCGTCATCTCAACGTTGGTATAGCCGGTGAACTGAGGTTGTTGAAGTATCTTCAGGACGTCGCCGTCCGTGTAGACGTTTCTTCGGCGGGCATCCTTGATCAACTTATTCCAAAACTCACCCTGCACCAGAGACTGGGAGTTACCGAGAACCCAGAGAGACGACTTGGCACGCGTCAAACCGACGTTCATACGACGGATATCGGACAAGAAACCGATTCCTTTCGTAGACGATCGAACGCAGGAGAATATGATGACCTCACTCTCTCGACCCTGGAAAGCGTCTGTGGTGTTGAAATCGATCATGTTGAAGATGGAATTGCCGTACCTGGCGGCAAAATGCGTTTTCAACTCCCTCAGTTGACCCTTGTAGGGCGTGATGATACCAATCTTTCCAGTAAAATCGAAGCCCCGGAAGTCGCTCATCAGACGTTCGTATAATTGCATTGCTACCCTCAATTCTGCCAAGTTCACCAGGGAGTGTCCCCTGGCTGCACTCTGATGAAGACCCTGCACATCGAAGAAACGGTACGGACTGAGAAGCTGGCTTTGGTGCCACGGACGCGTCCGAAGCTTGCCCATGTCCGGACCATCCTGCAGTTTGCCGTCGTAAAAGGTAGCGCTCGGGAAAGCACTGATTTGCGGGTGCATACGATACTGGATATCCAAAAGATGCACGTCCCGTGGGTGGTTGGTCTGCATTCGCACGAACAAACTTTGTTCGTACTGGAACTTCGAGGCGACGGTCGACAAAACAGTAGGAGGCAACTGTTTGGGATCACCGACCAGGATACATTTAGAACAACCGTACTTCAGCGGGATGAGGGCACTCAATTCAATCGACTGTGCCGCCTCATCGATAACAACCGTCTCAAATTCGATACTCAGATTTTGGAACATTTCGTGACCACTTCCACTTAGTGTCGCACAGATAACGTGAGCGCCGTCGATGATCTCCTGTTGGATCCGTCGCCGATTCAAGTCGGCATCACGCGCCGCCGAATGGTTCTTGTCTCGGGCATCGTCGATTTGCTGGCTCAGCTGAGTTTTCTTCTTCTTGAGCAAATCGAATTCCCGTTCCAGCTCCGCAGGAATAGGAAGACCCTGTGCTCTGCACTGATCGAGTCTCGAGCGAGTTTCCTTGAAGGCGGTATCAGCGGACTTGTGCTCCATGTAGATTTTCTGGAGGTCGACTTCGCCGGAGTCCTTGCGTGAGTTCTGGCTCAATCTCGCATTCACAAGCTCATCCAGGGTTACATCAAGGACATTCGTATTGATAGCATCGCTTCTTCCCAAACGGATAACCGACAACTTCTCGTGCCGCCCTTGCGCCGTTTTCACGCCATCCTTAAATCGCATGACCAATTCGTCAACGGCAGCATTACTGGGCGCGCACACAAGTAACTTTTTCGACGTGGTTGTCCTTGCTGGAGGTCGTGCGCCGCGGATGGCGGTAGGTCGTGAGATTGCTACGCCTTGTTCGCCGAGGACATTGGTTAGGAGAGCACCCACAAGGGCAACGATAGTCTTTGTTTTTCCGGAACCCGGAGGACCTTGAATGAGGGTGAAAGCATCGTTGTCCAGAGCGGACTTGATTGCCTTGGCTTGAGCCGAATTCACGTTGTAATTATCGGCGAGGGGCTTTAGGCTTGCATCGGAGTAGTTCAGAAGGGGCGATGGCTTGGCCTTCACGATTTCTTCGCAGAGATCATAGTATTGGACGGCCATAAGTGCACCGTACTCACGCTCAAGCGGCGTTAACGATGTGATTTTGGCCCCAAAGATTGTTGCACCCGGGGAAAGGGCATTGATGAAGGAGTGGCCAGGGTTGACTCGGTAAGATACTTCGACGGTGCCCTTCTTCCTGTTGATCCCGGAAACCCTAGCCAGGCAGTGGGGAGAGGAAGGGTTCGAGGTCGGGGCCTCTGCCTTTGACAGAAGAACGATGTCTGCCTCGCCTAGACCGTAGTCCTTAGCCTCCATGGCCGGTAGAACCGTGCTAACTTCGACAAACGAATCCACAGACAGGCGGGTGGCGACCTTGATTTCAAACGTTTTGAACGAATTCTCTTCCTTCGATGACTGGAATCCCTGCCAAGCTTCCAGGATCAAAAGAGGCTCAAATGTCTTCTGATACTCAATAGGATCCCTGAATGCATTGGAAACCAAGCTGTAATCGGTCCGTCCAGAATTCGGCGGTAGGTCGCCGTTGGCGAAAAAGTCCCAGGCAAGGATAGTCCGATGCAGTGAGGAAAGGTCCGGTGCCAACCGCGCTCGCATGTCCTTTGCAGAGCGCACTTGCCGGACCTTCTTGACCGGGCCCTGATGCTTAAACGCCAAGCGTTTGCCCTCCTCGTAAGCCCTGACGGCGTCGGGTTTGGATTTCGATTTCGCGCCAAAGAGCTCCTTGTCGAGCTCGTCTTCGCTTTCCGAGTCGGATTCCGATCCAGAGGAGACCATCATACTATCAACAGCCCCATGGCTATGATCTTTACCCTTGACCCCGATTCCACTCAATCCAGATCCCTGTTCGGCAGTCTGCTCACCAACACCAGACGCGGCGAGATTCTTCTTATACCGTGCCAGCTCCGCCAGGTCGCGCTTCTTCTTCGCTTCTCGCTCTTTCTCTCGCTTTTCACGGAAAGACTGAACGCTCACAACAGGGGTTGCAGGTGCGGGTGCTGGAATAGGTTTAGGAATCGCAGGAAGTGTCTTGGCTTTCTCAGCCTTCTTTTTGGCCTCTGCGGCCACCCTTGCCTTATTGAGCTCGACAGATCGAGACAACTGCATCAGGATATCATCTGGAACGTTGTCGTCGAACTCATCTGGGGTCCTCGAAGGGCTAGAAGTGCCCGAACCCTCTGATGGCTTGGCAAATGCAGTAATGCTGCTCTGCTTCTTGAAACTAGCAGTCGACGCGGTTACTACGGGTTTCTTATAGTATGCCTCTAACGCCCGAACAAGTTCTGCCTTCTCACGCAAAGTCAAGATGGTCTTCGTAGTCGAAGTGACTGCGACACTTTCGATAAATCGCAGAGCATCATCTTTGATTGCTGTTACGCTGAGTTCGCCTAGGCGGCGAAGGAGCTTGGAAACCAGCCCCACTAGGGTGGTGGCTAGGTATTCATCCTTGAGTCGAAGCCATCTAACCATTGCGCTCATTGTCGTGCTTGGAGATTTGAGGAAATTCTCACGCGCGGAGGCCTCCATATTTGGGTCTGCATCGCCAACAGCACTTAGGAAGACGCCATACTGATCAAATAGCAAATCGGCAAACTGGATGCTATCGCGACAGAACTCCAACATCACAGATCGGTCGTTACCTCGAAGATGCCATGACTCTGTCTGGTCAAATATGGTGGTCAAGGCCTGCCATAAGTATTCCCAGAGCTTCTGCAGAGAGAGAACTTCCCTCCGATCAGCAAGTTTTCGAGTTCGAAGCATGCCATTCTGGCTATCACAAAGAATATCCACGATGTCCGTTCCTGTATGTAACATTCGAGGAGCAGAAGCAAATGTTTTCATATTCGATATCCGGCGGAAGGACCAACTGAGGCCGTACATCGTGGTCGTGAAGAAAGCCTGTAGAAGATGGGAAATCGCGTCTCTTCTGGCGGACTGACCGCTGACGTTCTTGATGAGATCAACAGCAGCTTGGTAGGTGTTTAGATCGGCGGCAAAGAGTGCGGAAATCAGAGCGCTGCTCGTGTCCTGGCTCTTGAAGAGTTCGTCAAGATGCTCAGGTTTAAAGTCCGCCAGGCGTTCGATTATTTGACACGACAAGTGAGTGAGGTGGCCATAAATCACGTTGAAGTGGGTTTTTTCCTGGTTCGCATCGCCCCTCGTAGGGAACTTCTCCAGGCCAACCAGTGGCAGTATGCCGAGAAGAGCTGACGTGGAGAGAGGCAGGTTGTCTTCATGGAGATGGCCTACTACCGCATCCCAGATGGTGGCCGAATATGTACTGACCCCGTGCTGGAGAGTGTTCTGCCGCAGAATGACTTCGTAATCACTCTTAAGAGACTGGCACTCAAGAGCCAAAGTATTCCGGATGACATCCATACAAAGTGTCGATATCTCCTGCTGCCGCCCTTGCTCTACATCAAATTTAGGGGGGTTTAGGATCGTACTGATGTTTGCTCCCACAACTCCCAATGTCTCAGACAAAACAATACGCGCCACGGACCCTCTCGAGGACTCGTGGTCAGTAAAGCGGCGTAGAGTATGGAGCAAACTTATCAATCCGACGTGGAAGCAATGATACCTGGCTAGTTTGGGGAAGCGCGAGTCCTGCAGGCGATCAAGAAGCTGATATACCAAAGACCTACACGCCGATGGCTGATGCGCACCCTTCAGCGAAAGCATAAATGGGGTAACCCATGACAGCATATCCTTCATGGCGGACTTTTCGTAGGGTTCGCCTTCGGTGGTCTGCATCAAGAAGGCGTCCACCTGGGGGTTGTAGAAAACAAGCTCAATGAGAGCCTGCGGGGATATTGTTTGCATGGCGTCCCAAAAGTCTCCCGGGGCTTTTTCCAAAAAGATCTGAATCGTGTTCAACAGGAATCTTAGCCCCGGTGACTGGATTCCGAGATGGTCCACGGAAAGGCGGCAGGGATCGATCTCGAGGGCGCGCAAATGATGAGTAATTTGGTCCTTATCCAGGCGTTTGACGACCAGCTGCATTCCACGCCAGAGTCTCTGTATCACGGCCACCTGGGAGGGCTGCTGAGACGCCATCCGTAGTGCATCTAGCAACCCCTCCTTAATCGCCCAATCAAACTCCATAGCCGAAGGGGGCCGCGAATACCGCATCCACGAGCTGATAGCCCAATAGCTACGGCCTTGGTTGGGGTCGAACAGGAAGCGCGTCACGGCAGGAATATAGTCCGACACCTTCAAAGTTCGCTTAGTTTGGATAAGCCGAAAGGGCTCGTCGAAATGCTCCTGCAAAAGCGCATCATTGCGGAGCATGGCGTCGCAACTCAAGGTCTCAAAAATCGACAGCAGCGACGCCCGGTCCAAGACATGAAGTCCGATTTCTTGTGGGGGCACAGATTTCAGCCTATCCGTCGCCGTCGTCAAATTCCTCGTTATCCGTTTAATATCCCATTCGTCCAGCATGCGCGCGAATCGTTCGATATCCTCGTCATCGTGATTCTCTTTCAGATGCTCCATCAACCAGATTTTCCCCGTGTAATATTTCTTGATGCAGAGGTCGCATTTCTCGAGCGAGTCGTCCAATTTGCGCCAGATCCAATTCTGCAACTCCTCGACCTCTTCCTGGCTGTAGGCCAAGAGGCGCATACTTGAGAGGAACTTCTCTTTGCGTGTGTTCGCTGCCGTTATCCGATCCGCCATAGTCTTCCCCGATTCGTCAACCTCGTTAGGATCGTCATATCGTCCGTGGTCGTCGTCATGTTGTCGCGGGCATAGGATGTGGACGCTGTCGGGGAGGGCCTGGAGCTCGCTACAAGAAATACGGTCACTCGACTGTTGCTGTCTAGAGAGAAGGAAGACAAAATAGGAGCAGTATCGCCAGATAGTGTAAGACTTACCCAATAATGTTCATAAACTCCATGGCGTCGGTTCCAACCTGTGGTGATTTGCAGTGTGTTGTCGCAGCAAACGAGAGATCACGGCATCCCTCTTCCAACCAGACACGAAATTATTCTTTGACTCAAAGTTCACAATAGTCTTGTCCACTATCAATGCAATCAGATCATGCAGCTATGAAGTGTGGTCACCGACCCAATATGATCATGGCCAACGGTGGGAGGAGACGAACTGAAGCTTCACTTTTCGAATGCAAGCCGCCACCATGGATGGAACAGGGAAAAGCGATGTAAGTTTAATGCAGTAAGGTGAGCAATGCCTGTTCGGTACCAGACAAAAGAAGATAAAGAGTAAGGTTCACCCTAAGGCCCCCTACAGCTTGAGAGGCACAAAGGAATTGAAAGCAGGTGAAGAAAGAGAGCGTCGGAGCGACGGGCAATACAAAGAGTATGGAAATTAGCACGGGCAGTTAGGGGGTGATGATTGGCTGGGAGACCAAGGCGGTGAATCACGCCGAACGGCCACTTTACGCGCCGAGACGCGTTTACCATTTGCTGTGGTGTTACTCCGGAGCCAAGTCACACTGATATTGAAACCATCTACCTGGGATTTACTGAACTCATCTACAATCCGTTTCGGAGTTACTTCCGCATCAATAGTCAATTCATTGAGGTTTCCAATAGAACACGTAAAGACCCGTAAATCTCCTCCCCACATAACCTCATTTCATGTGCTGGCTTTCGAAGCACTAAGAACCTCCATGAGCTGTAGAGCAACTCGAGATTATTATATGAAAAGCAAACAAGAGAAAGAAAAAGAAAGAAAGGACGGATATAAGAAAAGATGAGAGAATGCGCATTCACAGAGATGCTTTTGTACAAGAAAGAGACAGGCAGGAGTACGCCAGAATGTAAATGTAAGAGAGGGCAGAAAGCAAAGGTGGATGAAGTAAACACTTCGAGGGGGGAAGCAAAGAAAAAAAAGATGTGCGCCAATCACCAACCAAATTTGTATACCGAACGCCTTCTATCGGGGAATAAGTAGACAACGGGGCTCCAGTAAAACAAGGAGATTACTCGTCATACAAAATAGAACAGATCAGATGCAGCGGCAATTAGAGAAAAGAGAAAATGAGAAAGAAGCCGACATGGTCGTAAGGACAGAGGTAATCAATCGGGGGCTGACATATTAAAACAAGAGGCAAGGGGGTTTTTATACGGCATGGGTGGGCGGATCGTAGGGCCCTTTGAGTGGACTGTGGGGACTTTGAGGTTCATGAACCCCCGTCAGTGACGATTCCACACGTGAAAGATCATGGGTGGTCCCGTATTCAGGTTGGACTCGATCAAAAGAATGCCGTGTACGCTCAGCCGAGGTTCGGACGTAATCCACCGATTGGGGGTGGTAGTGTTGAGTGGTGTCGAGGCTGGAGGCATAATTCGTCCCATTGCTACCGTTTTGACTTCGCGGGTTATGTGTATGTGACGTGGGAGCGACCGAGGGCGTGTAGATCTGCTGGTCATCTGAAAAGGGATCCTGCTTCATACTAGGTTGGATTGGTTTACCCAAATCTGAAGAGGCAGCAGATTCGTCGCTGAAACCGCCGGAGGGAGCCTTACTCTGCGGGGGGACAAATGCCTCGTACTGGTCCAAGTACTTGAATTTGCCCAAGGTAATCTGCTCACGAATGATGTCCACATCACGAGGGAAGAACACCTTTTGGAATGATTTGATGGCGAATCGCGGTAGAAGGCAGATGATGACGGTAATGAGAAGCACCGTCCAGAAAGACAACGCACTGTATACCTGTGACGCAGCCCCGTAGAACTGGGCTGACGCGGAGATGGAAGAATAGATACCGGTCCAAAGGAAGATCAGCAGCGAACTGATGACATTGATCAACACCGTCAGCCAATCCCACCGATATTGGTTCAGCATGATGTAGGTGTTGCTGGCAATGACTGCGCTAGTGGCGACGAGAACACCCATTCTCGTCCGGTCGCTGATATCTCTTCCGTCGGCATGCACGAAGTTTGCGGGGCTGTACAGAAGATACGGCATGAAGAAACAAATGATTGACTGGTACAAACCATCGCCCATGTACATCCTGCAGTGTGTTAGTGCAGCCGCACGATAATATAAGCACAGATCATTTGCTTACCAAAATTTAAACTGCGACCATTCCTTTCGCTCAATGCCTCTCATATACAGCTGTGGAATGGCAAGAGAAACCTTGTCATCGACGTCCTGGTCAAAGATTCCCATCAGAATGACAGGCAATGACGTGAAGGCGACGTTGACCAAGACGATGTATGTATAGTCGACAAGATACGAGCCGTCGAAGTCGTTGTAGAGCGAGTACCAGAAGAGCGCGATTGTCCAGACCAAGTTCTAATCAATGTGAGAAAGAATCGATGTGAGTGATTTCAAACGTAAACGTACCTTGTAGAAGAAATTCGCGATACATTCACCCATGCGGCGATAGGAGTATCTTCCATGGACAAGAATGAGTCGCTGTAAGAACCGAAATTGTCCGATAGCATAATCAGACGACATGGCCGCCTGGCTACCTTCCTCTCCGATAATACCAACACCGACATCGGCCTCCTGGATCATAGCAACATCGTTGGCACCATCACCAATGGACAGTGCCATGATGTTGAGACCGTTCCTCACCATGCGCACGACGGCAGCTTTCTGGGCAGGACTGACACGACAGCAGAGAATAGACTTGCACTGCTTACACAGGAGAAGAAATTTCTGCTTCAACGTATCATCAAGCATAAGCTTGAGCGTCTCGCCGTCGATGACAACGGCATGGGTCGGGGCGGGTGCTGAATGATCCTCGCGAGCCGCAACCAACTCTTCGTCAGAACCGGTTAACCCAAATTTCTGCAGCTGCTTTTCGAGTTCCTGAGCTGCACGTTGTGGCTCGGATTCGGGAACATTGAAAACAATCAATTCCATGTCGTTATCGAGAAGATTGCAGGAAAAGCCAATGTTGATGGCAGTTTCGAGCTTGTCACCAGTAAGAACCCAGAGTTTGATACCGGCGTCTGCGAGGAGAGAGATGGTATCAGGGACACCGTCCTGAAGTCGATCCTCAATCGCAGTGCCACCAATAAGCATGAGATCTTGTTCGATCTCACTCGCCACTTGCTCCAGCTTCTCCTCACGATCCGTGAGCGCAGCAGCGGCAATGTCGTGCTCCTTGCTCCATGCACGATACTCCTCCTCGCTGAGTTTCCGATCGGCGACACAGAGTGTCCGCAGACCTTCACGAGCGAAGACTTCCAAATGTTCCGCAGTTCGCTTTCGCAGATCCTGCTGCTTGCCCGGGGCCAAACGCGAATAGATGATGCTGTCGGCACCCTTACAGAACAGCCGAATACTGCCGTCTGGCATGCGGATGATCGCACTCATTCGCTTTCTGGTCGAGTTGAACTCCAATGTGTTCAGTACGGTATACGTTCGTTCTTCGCCCATCACGTTCAGAAGGAGGTCGTCATTCGCCCTCCCAAGGAGGGTGAAACCACAGTCACGAGCCGTGCTGACCAAAGCTGCCTCATCGGGCGACTGCGCTTTGAATTCGATCTGTGGAGGGTCTCCGGGGGTGTGTTCGGTGATAACAGTGTGGCACACAGCAAGGGCAAGCATGAAGTGCTCGTTGGCCTTCTTTTGGGCGACGCCCGACTGACCATCCAAATCTGCGACGTAGTTAGAAGAGACGAAGGTCAACGAGTCGTCATGTAGGTAAGGATTGTCGTGGATTCCGCGAAGCAATCGAATCATCCGTTCCGTATCGTTGGCGATTCTTTCCCGAGCGCTAGCGGCCACAGCATCAGCATCGCCACCTTCTCGGCGTACCATACCGACCTGTGCCTCCGTAAAGGCTTCGCCGTATGAAACGCCGTTAACCGTGCACTTTTTGAAGTCCATGACGTTTTGAGTCAGGGTACCCGTCTTATCGGAGAAGATGTACTCGATTTGGCCGACATCGTCCGAGATGTTCCAAGTCTTCGGTACGCAGGAGATGTCCAGCTTCTCGTAGTACATGAACACATCGCTGTGGATGAAGACGGCCTGGATCGTACGAACGATTTCCAGAGAGATGTAGAGCGAGATCGGGACCAAGTTCTGGAACAAGATAAGAGCCACCCAAAACGTGATGATGCCAGTAATGGCCGGTGTGTCTCCAAAAGGCTCCAAATCGAAGTAATTCAGGGACCTGTCGGTGGAGGACCAGGCAACACCGTTGACGATACCGGTGATGAGACACATGGCAAACAGGAGAATGAAATTGTAAATGACGTTCCAGTTCAAGTCCTTGGCGAGTCGGGGTCTCTTGGTGGGGGTCACACCCGAGTTCAGCATGATCTTGGTTTCATCACCGGTGAAGACCACCACACCCAGGGCCCATTCGGTGTTGCGCAGAGTGCAACCACGCAGGAGCATGTTGTTGATCGTGATCGGTTCCACCATTTCCTTCCGAGGGGCTTCCGCGAAGTCCGGATCGCGCTGGTCCCATCGCAGCGCACCGTTGTAGGCGTACAGATTGGGATGGGGCGCTTCGCTATCGATCACGAATTCGGCTTTCTCGCAGTCTTTGGCGTGTCGGACTTGACGCCCGCAGTTTAGAGCTTGTCGAACCTTGAGGTTAGTCTCGCCATCCAAACTCTTGGTTTCCACGTAACAGGCGCCGTCCGGGTCAGAAGTGGACATCACCACCACGTCAGCCGGGATGGGATCTCCATTATACAATCGGACAAAATCTCCAACCTGGATGCTTTTCCAGAAGTCGCGCTTGAATCGAGCCTTTCCGAGGGTCTGCTTCGTCTTGTCGACGACGCTGCCCCCTTTCCGAGGGGGCGTGGTAGGTGTAGGCGGTACAGCCATGCTATCCCGCGCAGCCTTGTCGGGATGCAGATAGGCAGCGTGGTCACCGCCCGGAAGGGGCCAGTCTGGTCGTGCTTCGGGTGTCGGAGATGAAACGGGGGTCATTTGGATCGCGTCGTCTACGGGCTCGCCATCGCCCCGCTGAGAGTACATCGACGCTCGCGGAGACACGGTTGTCATGAAGGATGCGCGCCGGTCGCTCTCTTCAGCGGTTGAACCACTCTTCTTCTGAGCCAAACTCTTAAAGAACCTATAGGTAAAGATTGTAGCGCGAGTAGACGCTTTCTTAACCCGACGCCACAAAGAGACATTGTCTTCGGTCGAATTGACGTTGTTCCACTCAATTAAGCGATAAACGGGCGAATTGTTGACGTCGTTATCGATGACCGTTCGCCGCCAATCCTCGATCGCGTCTTTGATTGAAGTCACCACGACGATAACAGCCAGCGGGACGACGTTAAGGGCCGGGGTGTCGACACCGAAGATGGAAAAGAACTAGACGATTGATTAGCATCACAGCGAGTTGCGCCTCCCCCCTCTCACTTTCCTTCCGAACCGAAAGAACGGGGCGAAACATACACCAAGGATAATAATAAACAAGAAATAGATATTTGCAATGTTGTGAAACTGCAGCCAGATGTTTTTCGGAACGAACGATAGAGGGGTATATTTGGCCGTTCTGATCTTATTCCGGGGATATGCGGCCTTGGGGTGGCCATCTTCGTCTCGTTCGGACTCCGGGATGGGGATGTTGAAGTAGACCCTTCGGGTGCTCGCTTCGGAGTCGCCCTCGGCGTCAGGGTTTTCGGCGGTAGGAAGATTGCTGGCGGTGGACTTGCGCTTCTCGTCCTTCGAAGCCGTTCTCTTGTGAAGGCGATCCATGATAGACACGCGTTTCCGCACGCCTCCGGTGCCGCCAACCCGCTGGGTTGCCCATCGTTGTCGCTTTGTCGGCACCGAGACGTTGCTGGGGACCTCCCTGGCCTCCGTCCCGGGCTCGTTCAGGTCTGCGCCGAAATTTACCGAAGCCATTTAGGCTAGATCTGGCCCTCGCGGGGGCATGTAATGGGCGACCGTGCTGTATTCAAGACGGTGGAGGGAGAGCATCCGCTCCGACGAGCCGGACCCCGACGATGGCAGCCAGTTCCCTTGTATACTCCTTTTTATGAATGGAATCGGCAGTTTCGGGCGACCAACGGAGCGGCGAATGGAGCGGCGCAAGGCAGGTGAGATATATACAGCGGAAATTGCGATTGAAGAGTCGTGGCGGGACAGCAGGACGAGGGTGCTGCAGCCAGACGGGAGAGCGTTTGGCGGAGGGACGATGGCAAAACGAGCGGAAGGGTAGGGAAGTCGAGATGTAGACAGAGGATTGGGGAGCTAGACCATAGGAGAATTGACGTGCAGCTCCAGGGACGTGGCAATCGAAACCTCAGGCACAACACGCAACGGAAAGGAAGCAGAAGAAAGGAAAGGGACGGATGCTGGAGGGCAGAGCAGTAAGGTGTATTGAGGAGAGAGAGGGAAAAGCGGAGGGAGGAGAATAGCGGATTGGAAGGGCCGATTGTTGCTGACCGTGTATAATTACTCAGTTACTATGGATTATTACTCTGGATTACCGCCCAAGCCACGGGTGGTGTCAGCCCGGTATGGTAACAATCCATCCAGGGAACGCGTAAGTTTCCCACGATTCTCCAGACACCAAATGGATCGTCATCTTAATAATGATTAATGCTGCCCGGCTGCTCTGGAGGTGTTTCATCTACATCAAATGCTGTGCTCGAGTGAAAACTCGACTCGGTGGTCCTCGTCTCCTTTTTTTTTTCTCCTATCAAACTTGTCCCTGTCTTTGTCTACAAAAGCGCCCCAAACCCGTCACCTACTAGCTATTGGCGGTTTTTTATGTCAGATTGATAGATTACCTACCACCAGGCATTTACATCATTGCCCCGATTTCTTCAAGCGCACTGCATAACGGTAGGGTCGGTAAGGTAATCTTACCAGGCGTACCAGTCCTGCCCACGAGGGAACCAAGTCCAGCCCAGCCAAATCGCCAGCCTCGCCGCAGACTGCAGGTCAGCGTTATTTGGTTCCCTTCGAAAAATCTTCTGGGGATGGTGGCAAGCACTGGTAACGGTCGCGCACGAGGAGTCCAGATCCGGGAACTCGGAAAGGTTCGTCCTGAGATATCCAGGTCGGACCCTTAAAACGGTTGACCTGATCTATCTCGCAATCTACTAACTCCGTCAGTACTACCGTACGTAGAATGAATCCTCCCCGGCTGTGGCCCCCGTATCCTTACCCGAGCTTATTCCGCACGGGTCATTCGGTCCTTTTTTCTTTTTTTTTCTTTAAATTGAACAACTGTTAATAATAATGAAAAAAAAAAATTACTCGGGCCACCTCGTCATCAGGAATCAACGACCCTGGGTCAATCGTTCTTGTTTCTAAACGTCCGCCAATAGATAGCCAATGCCTTAAGGCAGTGCCAGCCGGACCGGAAGCCACGGCATGTACCGCCAACAATGGTATGTCCGTCCTGAATGTTACTCAGCGGCAACCACATTTCGATCGCATGTAGTCCCCTAGTTACCTGCTAATTCGCGTCGGTGGTAGGTATACATCCAGACCTCCTGCCGACGGAGGAGACTCCGTATTATGGAGCCGATCCGAAACCTCATAAACACATTGTATTAACATTAACAGCGAGCCATCCGACCGCTTCCATGGGACCCAAGTGTCACCCACTTTCCGCGAGTCGGAGAATGGAGACTGAAACAGGCTAAAAGCTGTCGGGGACGGCACATGCTTATGCCAGACGGTCCACTCTGTCGCGGAGCCCTAGGATGGGTATTTTCCATGATTCGGATTCGGATACCGCTGCGGTGTCAGTCTCCTTTTTTCTTTTTCTTGTTACAATGCTGAACAGCCCACTTCCGACGCATGGACTGTGCATACTACTACTACTAATCAAATGGCAGGCCGGAATTCCAGTCCTTGACCTTCAAGTGTCAACACCCTGAATGGACATTCCTCGTCGAGACCGGCGGCGGTGGTCATACCAAATGGATCTGGGAGAATTCCCATCGACAGCCAGTCAACCACCCCCTTTTCCTCTCCTTTTCGCGGCTTGGCACGCCTGGTAGATCGCTCAATCCAGTAAAGTCGGGCTCCGGTTGGCAGGTACTTTTGCTCCTGATTGGGGCTGGGAAGTGATCTTCTCGCTGGATGCATGTCGATAGCCTCAGTTCTGTTGGATGGTTTTGCTATGAGACATATTCACGGCCCCCTATCCATTGGTCTACGGAGATTATCAGCGTAATTTCCTGGGCCCCGTCCGTTACGTGAGCTGTGCACGGTGAGGGTTTTGCTTTTTTCTGTTTACTTCTTTCATATTCTGATCGGTCATCAAAATTATCTTTTACTTTAAAAATTTTTTTCTATGATTGTTCCTTCAGTCGCGTTAGCATGGAATAGTAACAAATTAAAAGAAACCATCCGTGAATACCGACCGAGAACGAGAGGAGCCAGCAGAAAGAAAAGATAAAGTGTTTAAATCCTTCTCCGGAATCCCCAGACGCGCAATGTTCCGAGCAAAGTTGCATAATTTACCGGAACGAGTAGCAGATTTGTGTACACAGTGTCATTTTGTTGGATTTTTACATTGACTTGCAGCGTACTCCGCAGGACGTTGGAGTGCTCGACCAAGTACTTCTACTTGGTCTGATTCATGGATTTTCTATCTTTTCCTTTTCAGTATCCTAATAATTCTGGTACGATGTCCTGGTAGCTCGGGTTATCTCCATGTCCTCTGTACAGCCTCCGGAGTATATTCTCTGCCAGGTCTAACCAAAATCTCTGATCATGACAGGCTGGCGTTGCGGTCCGATCGACCGCGAACTGGTGTGGAGACGGGAAAAAGGCCTAAAGTTCGATCTGCACTTCCCAGCCCTTGGCCGTAAATAATAAATACGTCGGAATATGTCAACCTCCGAGCCTCCCTAGATTGGCCAGGGGTAACAGGCAGCGGGAAAAAAGGCTTACATGCGGAGATCTGTATTCGATTGATCACTACCCCGTACGGCGTAATAGGAGTCCTGGCATCTCGCGAAGGCGTAAATAGATTGTTTGAAGTACTCAATAGAGAACATGTCTGCCTGTCTGTTTTCCGTGCGAGAACAGCGCCGAGGGGGCTCAGTCACTTGGCATTCTCCAGTACGTCGTATACCAACACGACTACGAGGCTTCCTGCTCTCCTCTCGAGGCTGTATCCGTCCCTCTTCGGATTAGATGATGCGTAACTCTGCGATCACTGATCAGCCTTGCTGCGTCTATCATCATTAGACACACCTAAACTACCTAAACCGGTAATCCATGTGCTTCAGAGTTCAGAATCAACGGTCCGCGTCACTATATATAGCACCATGTTACAGATTAGCTTTCTCCCTGGCAATTACTTAGGGCGGGCTATCAATAGATCGTTTCAACTCCTCGAACATGCTGGCGAACGACTCCTATGCCCCATGTAGCTATAACCGGATGTCGGGAAATTACCTTGAATCCATGGTACGTCCGGTGATGTTGCACCGTCTCATTGGAGGACGTTGACATCATGGCGCTGCAGCCACCGGAATGCGGGCCTTCAGAAGAACCTCCAGCCGAGTTTTCTGTGCTTTTTCCATTTGCTTCGGCGCCTTCCAGCCATCCCCGCTCCGATCTTTTTTTTTTTCTTTCTTTTTCTTTGGGAGGGGGTTCTAAATTTACTCCGATTACTCATCGCATATAATCCATACCTTGTAGCTTATAAAGACTATAGTACCGTATAGACACCGTTAAGTCCGTAGTTACCTTCCGGATCATCCGGACTCCGACGGCGTCGGATCCGAAGAAAGCCGCGCACAGAGGTCGAGGTCGAGGTCGTTCTTTGCCTGGATAAATCTGCTCGAACGATGGCAAGAACGCCGGTGTCCGATTCACTTGCAACGAGTCAGCAGTGGAGACAACTACGGAGTACCTTGAGAGGGAGCCGCCGGTCGACACCTCAGGCATGAAATATACAATGAAGATTGACTAGCGTTTAGTTCGACGCCGATAAATAACAAAGACACACTCGGTTCGCACCGAACAAAGATCCCTCGAATAAAGGCTCTGCCTATAGATGATACATCAAGCATTCTACCGCATTATAATACAGGACTCCTCTCATCCCAAGCTGTTCAAAATCACATACCGCGTAGCACGGCGGATGGAGCCCAGCGGATGACTAACGCGCCAATCCAGACCACCCTCACGCGCTGATTGGTCCACGCGAGCTCTAGCGCCCAACCGAGCGAAAGGATATACTCACAGGCATCTGCCGCGGGACCGTGCTTCGGCATCAACCCATCAACCGATCTCACTCCCGTCGCATGCCCGGCATGCCTCCGCGTAGGATCTCACAATACTTCAAACCACCGCCGTTCGCTCACCAGGCCAGCGAACAGGTGTCTGAAACGCCCATCAAACCACCGGCTCCCGCGCCTGAGTCGTCTCCACCCTTGTCCAGCCATGCCTCTCCGCAGGCTCCTGATGAGTCGGCGTCGCAGCTAAAGCGCTCGCTGACCCGGGCGGCGGAGGCCTCGAACGCCTCGAGCGAGCAGCTGGGTCCTCTGGATCTGGAGGATGAAGTTGTCGCGGATCCGCCGTCAGGCGCCGGTTCCAGTTTCGACCATTCTCAGCGCGTCGTGAAGAATGGGAAGGAGGTTGTTATTAGTTCCGATGGCGAGGATACGGACTCCGTGGCCTCGTTTGAGGCGCCGGACGCGTTGTTCACGAAGTTTGCTCAGCCCTCTGTTGTCGTGTCTGCTCCTGCCAGCGAGAACGACAGCGATGTGTTCACCCCGGGAGGTCGGCGGTCAAAGGATGGTCTCACGTTTGGGAGGTTTGGCAAGTCTAAGAAGGCGTCTAAGGTGTACAAGAACACGATGGATACGCTGGTTACTCAGGCGGTTGATGATAACGAAACCGAGGCCGGTATCGCCAAGCTTAAAGCTGCACTTGAGCACGACAGAGCTCGCAGGGAAGCTGGCGCCGCTGGATTTGACCAGGCGAACCATTTGGATGAGAATGTCTTGACGTCGGCTCTCGGTGAACAGGATGATGAGATCGAGATGCGACGTTTGCTAGATGCGGTCAGAAGAACTGAGGCTTTCGATCTGGAAAAGACCTGGACCTTCTTTGATTACGGCAGTGGGCTGGCTCCGGCGCTGGATTTCCCCCGACATTCAATCTCAGAGAAGACATACAAGAATGCTCTGAGTGGTGAGTCATTGTGCTTTTATTTCTACTGGGTCTTTCTAACAATTCACAGATCCCGACTCGCGGGAACGAGCGTTTCAGTCGGGCATGTTTGACTTCGCACTATCAAAAGGATGTCTTTCGGATGATTTTCTTCTATGGATATTCCACTCCGGTTAGTATACTGAATACTTAAGAAAGAAAATATGCTCACTCTACCTCAGTACCTTCAGAGCCTCGGGAAGGCCTGAGACATGCTTATTGCCGGGCATTCAAGGTTAGTCCATGTCTCAATTGACTCTGCCTAGCTGTCGATACTAAATGTTGCAGCATGCCAAGGAAGAACGCGTGAAGTCCATAGTAACACCTGACGCTGTTGATGTTCTGTTCGAACGACTGGGAGCCACCAAGGAAGCGCTGGCAGTTTCCGACCCTGTGGTTCCCCACACGCTCCCTAAAGGTGCGTCAAAATCCAGAGCATCTGCAATGTCCAGGTAACTGATAATCGCAGGCAATCTTCCGAAGGTGGACGTGCAGCATCAAGCTGCACTGCTCTCCATTCTAGAACTGCTCTCTGGAATAGCGCATCTGTAAAGCCCATGTCCTTCCATATCCAGGCAATGCAATCACTAACGTGGCGCAGACTTTCAGACACCACTCGTGAACATGTCATCTTACTCTTATTCCGCCTAACACTAGACATCTCCCTCACCGGAGATCCCACGATCTGCTCAGAGCTAGAAAAAACAATCACCATCTTCTTCCAAAGTATCCCAGAAGACGCAGACGACGACCTAGTTAGCCCTCCCCTCCCCTCATACAATAAGACAGTCCCACCTAACAGCGCAAAACCAGGAATTCCGCCTCTGCACCTCCCTCCAGATCACCATCAAAGACAACATCCTCCAAAGCCGCCTCCTCAAACACATGCTCCCCTCTTTCGAGCACATCGCAAAATGGAGATCCCGACTTGCCCTCTCCTTCCTCCTCAACGACGCTACGCCCCTTTCCCAAGACGCGGACATAATGCTCGATCTGCGCCGCATAATCGACGTCCTCAAAGACCCCCGCTTCAACATAAAGCACCACAAGGGAAAGAGCAAACAAAACCAGAACCAGCACCAGCACCCGCACCAAAGCCACCACCACACCGAATACGACTACGGCTGGCTCAGCGCCATCACGTACCTCCTCAGCGTGGTCCTCGACTCGGGCTGGTCAGGCATCGAGTTCCCCAGCAAGGAGGCGAAGCAGGAGTTCAACGCAGAGGTAGACACGCTGGCGGAGCGGATCAAGAAGATCTTCACGGCGATTGAGGACTCCGGGGCGTCGCATTTGAAGCGGACGCTGGCGAAGGGGGCGCTGGAGGCGTTGCACTATCGGGTTGTTTATTCGGTGAGGACGAAGCCGCCGCCGAAGAGGACGCTGTTCGAGAGCCTGAATACTCGCAATCAGCCGAAGATGACGCATCTGTGGAAGGGCATCAAGACGGAGGATACGGAGATGCCGATCCGACCGCATGAGGCTCAGTCATGATATCATGGCTTACCGGCTGGATAGGGCTGGATGGTGGGAGATGATTGGTAGCTACGGTTTTCCTCTCCGGGTTGACTGCTTTTCGGGACGGACTCTAGCTGCACCACATTATCACAGGCCATTGGTCCATTGTGTAAACCTAGGCGACCAGAGTTCCTTGTCATTGACTAACGCATACGAAATCGAATACCGTCGTTTGGCGTGAATTGGAATACGGATAAGATACCAGAGGAATAACTGTAACTGTATACAAGGCTATGCTGTTCTCCGCGGGTAAAATCAGAACAAAGGAGCAGTCAATAGATAAATACAAGAGCCGCAGCAAAGAAAAGAGGAAAATGGCGGTGCAAAGGGAATCACAGGGCGCGCGTTATCTTGAATTTAGTCGTAGAATCTCCGGTTGACGTTCTTTCCGAATAGCGTTTCCCTAACGGCGGGGAGAGCTTCGATCTCCAGCAGCCGCAGACGCTCCTCAAAGGTGTTGTTGATCTCGATCTTGCCCTGGCAACCCAGCACGACGACACCACCGGCCCTAGGTGAAAACAAGTCAGTAACTGCCTGGACCAGACACAATGATAAGGACGAAACATACAATCCCTCAGGCAACGGCTCCTCCTCGTCCAACTCAACCGTGACGTCCTTACCCACGACCTCCTTGAACTCCTTCTCGGCCTCCTCAATCGCCTTCTTGACGGCATCAAAGTCCTCCTTGCGCGCCTCCACACCCACCTTGTCCTCGTTCAGCGCATACAAACCCTCCAGAATCAGCCCCTTCAGCACGGTCTGGTACTTGTCCGCATCCTGGGCCGCGACGCCGGAGATGCGCTCCCGGGCCTGCTGGAACAGCTCGTCCAGCAGCTCCTGCCGGGCGGAGAGGACACGCAACCGGGTCTTGTTGGCCAGGGTGGAGCGGGTGATCTGCTGGGACATGGCGGCCTGCTTGAACTTCTTCTCGTACAGGGTGTCGATGGCGGCGGTCTCCTGGCGGACCAGCTTGGACTTCTCGATGGCGAACTCCTCGTCGGCTTTCAGCTGGATCTCGCGGGCCTTCTCCAGCGCTTCTTGCCGGATGAAGGCGGTCATCTTGCGGAGCTCGCCCGCGACCTGTGTGTTTCATCGGTTATGGTTATGTCATGTCCTGTCATGGCCGGGGTCGGATGCGGAGGTTCTTGAGCGTACCTGGTCGTCGGAAAGTGCATGGGTTTGCGACATTTTGACGGTGTGGTTATGACGTCTAGATTATTATGGGAGTCGAGATGTATAGGAGGGGAGAGTGTGGCGGGGAGAGGCGTGGCGCAGAGAGTCGAGCTACTCCAAAATGCGGGCTTGGAGAATGACAGCAGGCATTAGCATAGCTTGCGAAGCAGCAGGGGGGAATGAGGGGAGGACCAGAGTGACCCCGTGGTCAACTGGGGAGAGGGGAGGTTGTTCAGTAGGGGGGAGGTCTGAATGGAATGCTCACCTGTACCAACCGGGGAATTCTCTGGGGGGGATCAGAGGCGGGTGATGCAAGTGAGGGAGAGAAGCGAGAGAGAGAAGAGAGAGGAAGGGAAGGTTACCGTCGAGTGACGACCAGCAAAGCGGATCTGCTGACGATCGGGTCACCACTTGGCTTCCCGCAGGTCACCCACTCCGTTTCAACTTATCTCCCTCCCCGACTTCATTTCCCTCCACTCCCGCTTTCCTATATATCCTCCCTGTTTTCCTGTCTGCTGCTCATCTGAACTATGGCGACCGTACTCTGGCTTGTTTCTCAGCTTCTCTAATGCCCTCCCTCGTCTGGTCTTTGTCCGCCACTTTGCGACCAATGCACGAGGATACTCGAGATGGGTAATCTTGGTGACCTGTCGCCCCAGGGCAGTGTCGCGGTATGACTCCATTCTTTTCCCGGCGTCATGCTCGCCTGCTCAATGCACAGCTGAACTGACCGAAATTGTGCCGTCAGGTTGGGGTGATTGTCGGGTTGATCTCGACCAGCTTCCAGGCCATTGGCTTGACCCTACAGCGCAAGTCGCATATCCTCGAGGACGAAAAGCACGACTACGATCTACGAAGACCTCCTTACAAACGTCGGAGATGGCAGGTGCGCAGATTCAATGGACAGCCTGATTTCGAGGGACCGTGGCTGACCATCCGATAGCTGGGAATGCTGATGTTTGTCGTGTCGAACATCGTGGGGAGTACGATCCAAATTACTACACTTCCGCTCCCGGTGCTCTCGACTCTCCAAGCGGTCAGTACTCTCAACCCCAACCAGTCCAATCGAGCCTTGCTGATAGAGTCAAATAGTCGGGACTTGTCTTCAATACCATCTTCGCTACCCTGATCTTGGGCGAAGCTTTCACTAGATACTCCCTCATCGGCACCGTCCTCGTCTGCATCGGCGCACTCTTGATCGCGATTTTCGGCGCCGTCGGGGAGCCCGCGCACACACTCGACCAACTTCTAGAACTCCTGCAACGGCGAGGGTTTATCCTATGGATGGTGGGAACGGCTGTACTGGTGCTGGCCATCTTACTGGGTTCCAATTCTCTGAGATATTTCACCTCGTCGCGCGCCAAACACTCCGGCTCTCGCCATCCGTGCTGTCCTTGCCTCCAATTGCCTCCGAGCCGAGTGCGGCTGATCCGTGGACTGTCATACGGCCTGATAAGTGGGATTCTCTCGGCACATTCGCTTCTGTTAGCCAAATCCGCCGTTGAGCTGCTGGTGCGGACCGTCGTGGACCGCGTCAACCAGTTCAATCGGTGGCAGTCATGGGTTATCTTGATTGCCATGATCTCCCTTGCGCTCACACAACTATTCTATCTTCACCGCGGCCTGAAACAGTGCAGCACCAGCGTTCTCTATCCATTCGTCTTCTGCATCTACAACATCATTGCCATCCTCGACGGACTCATTTATTTCCGCCAGATGTCGCAGTTGACGGGTTTTCATGCGGGACTTATCGCGCTTGGCACCATCGTCCTTCTCAGCGGTGTACTTTGTCTCTCGTGGCGCTTGGAGGTGGTCGACAGCCACGCAGCCGTGACCGTTCCCGCGCCAACCCAGACCGCACTGGGACCGGGAATGGCCATTGTGGACGAACATCCCCAATCCCCTGTCGGCCTGGAACCCGAAGAAGACGAAGAAGCGCAAGTCGGCGAACGCGAACCTCTCCTCCGTGGCGCCCCTCCATATCGTGGCCTTCCTCATCGACGCACCCCCAGTCTCCCTCTCCTCTCCCCATCACATCAACGGAGCTCCACCGACTTGGACCCAGCTTCGATCTGGGCCGAGCTCGACGATTCCGATTACGACTATGCCGACACTGACGTCCAATCCCCATTACTCCACCGTGCCGACCCATTCAAAACCCGACCTAGGAGTAAGACAGGTCGAGACGGCTCCCTGCGTGCATCCCGGCACCCACAACATCCTCTGCATGCTTCCCACCGACTGTCCCTTTCCGAACGACGAACCTCCGCCCCGGCTGCTGAAATCCGTAAACCTCTGCAAAAGCAGCACGTGCATTCCGATGCTGCCCATCCCTTGACCCGGGCATACGGCACGCAAGATGACCGCTCCGACCAGCTGTTTTCCAGCCAGACTCATCCTCATAGTCACGCACACCACGCATCACCGAATCCTACACACTCACATTCCCATTCTCATTCCCGCCCCCTCGCAGGCCCGAGGAGCGTTTTCAACACGGCATGGACAACTCTCGCCCGGTGGACGGGATACCGACGACGTAGTTCCGACGATCCCGAGGCTCTTGATTCTCGTGAAGATAACAACCACGGGCTATGATCATTCGATATCCACCTACCCTATCCAACCTCGGAAGTTTCCTTTCCTCAGAATAGAACGAGAAAGACAGAAAGACAGAATATTATGACGCAGTGTCACTGATCGCATGTTATTATGTATGCATGTATGTTTGTACAGTACTCTCTTTCCTTTCCCTTTTGCTTAGTATAACTCATCACCATAAGTGTCTTTTCTTTGTTTCTTTTTTAATTATCAATATATAGATCGAAGAGATTATCTACTATACTTGCTTCCATATTTCCTCGTCTTCTTTTCGGTGTCTTGTTGCTTATTCCGCAATAATAGCTATAGATATAGTTATGCATAGTCAAATACCTAGCGAAAGAAATGCAACGATCTCTCATCCCTCTCAACATTCCCCAAACATATCCATACCTCTACCCGAACCACTCATAATAGTAAGAGCGAGTGCGATCGATCTTCCCGTCTTCACAATCCCGGGCCTGTGAATAAGTCAGCCAGTCCTTAAAGCTACCAGCAACCAGGTAGGCAAGTTGAAACTGAAAATATACACCTACCAGCGCGTCGACAAAATAATCCACCATTTCGACTTCCTCCTTAACCCACCATTCTTGTCTCGGTGTAAGAAATCCATCCTCCGTGAAAGTCTGCGCAGAATCAAAGTCGATCCAGAGGACTCTTCCATCTTTATCTTGCTTTTGCCCCTGTTCTTGTTGACCCTCCGATGAAGCCTCCGATACAACCATCATATTCCTCGGCATCGGGTCCCCATGAAGTACACCCGCCGGATGGATATCCTCGAGCAGAATCCTCCTTAACTCCGACACCCGACGTTCTGAAAAGTTAGATAGATCGATCATCCGCATGTTGGGAATATACTCGATCAGAACGGCGTTTGGAGGGCGCTTGTCTTCCAGAAACATGCCCAGGCTGGGCTGACAGAGCAAGGGCTGTATGTTTGTGATCGTGCCGTAGAAATCAAGAATAAGTCCTCGCTTGCATAGTCCCTTGTCGTGGAGACGCTGGTAGGCGGTGGATTCGCAGACGAAGAGATCTACCTCGCGGTCTGGAGGGGCCCATTCTGGTGGGCAGAGGTCGAGGTTGTGATACTTAAGGATTTAGTATTGGTAGAGTCGAATTGGGGAGGATATGCATGCTTACTACTTTCATGACACGGAGAAGTCCGTGGATGGATACTTTGAAAATAGCGGAGTATTTCGACTCTTTTAGTTTTTCGAGGAAGGTTATATCTGAAAGCTTCACTTCACACGGTATAGGCATGTCGACTGGGTTTGTAGTCATAGTGAGTATATTAAAGTAAGATAGTATCCATAGGAAGTATCTTAGTGTAGAATAATATGTAGGGAGAAGGTTGGTGTGGAGATGGCAGGCAGCATAGCGGTCACTCTCTTTGCTGCCTTAAGATGCCCGGATGGCTGCAGTCAGCTCATCATGTAAAGTCCAGCACCTTCGCATTATCTCTACCTACCTAACCTACTACCTACATCACCGTCCATCTCCCCTCAACCACCATGCCATGCCACAAGTCAACCTCCAAACATACCTCTCCCACGGCTTCCAGCCCCTCCCAATCCTCGACCCAGAGGACTTACATCCACCACCAACCCCACGCCCCGACCTCCACGATGCCAGCGACATCCACACCAAAAACACCTGGACCAGCTTCACCCTCTCCACCATCCAGCACCAATTCAGCCCTCCTCGCATCAGCACATATCGAAGACGACCCAATCCCGCCATCACCTCCCCGCCCCATCAACTCCCAACCCGCAGTCCGATCCCGTATCCACTGCTACTTGACCAACCGGATCATACGCGCTCTTCGCTGCGGTTTCGCCCATTTAGAAACCAACCCCGCTACCAATCTACCCTGGACAGGATATAAGTATACAGTCGTAACCTACGACGTCGGATCCATGGCCCTAGCCCTAGCCCATTCACCCCCGTCTGAGCCTGATGACTACCTCCCTGACCTCGCTATCTTCGACCCGTCCCTTCCCCCAGAGAGAGCTGTCAACCGTGCACCAGGGGTTATTAAGCCCTCGTTTACATGGTCTCTCGGTCAGCGAGATAGTTCTGATCCTAGTCAACGGACGGAGTTCAGGCAGGTTCTCGCCGAGGTGAATTTCCACATGAAGCGGAATCAGACGCGGTATGGGTTTGTTCTCACGGATGCGGAGCTGGTTGCGGTGCGGAGGCCTGATGGAGATGCAGATGGAGATGGGAATCTGGAGGTTTCGGAGTCGATACCGTGGAGCGCGAAGGGGAGTGCGATGCAGCCGAGGATGACGGTGCTGCTGGGGTTGTGGTATTTGGGGATGTTGGCTGCGGAGGAGAAGGGTTGGAGTTGTTAGTGTTGTTTTTTGGTTTTTAATCTTGGGGTTCTGGCTGCTGGTGTTCAACATTAAGGTGGCATCTAATATACGGGGAGCTGTTTCAGCTGCAATTGAAGTTCTTGTTTATATACGCTTATACTTCTCTTCCATCGTCGGCCAGCTCTGGAGGCTTGACCGCAACCTCGACAGGACTATATACTATGTCTCCGTATTTAATTCCCAAATTTGGGTTCTCTGTTGCACATACATATGCAAAATACCAAAGACAAAATAATATCCATTTTGTCATCAGTCAGTCTAACCTGGTCTTGAATTGATACTGATAGTTACCGCCAATCTAACCTTCCCTGCCAACAGACCACGACGCAGTCAAATCACCACCACCAGAACCTCAGCCTTATGAGTATGACAAAACAAGAACAAGAATAATGCACGGAGCGAGACATGCAAAAGCACCGAAGGAAAAAAAAGGATAAACTCCAATTTCTCATACCATACACATTAAGACTAAACTGAACCAAATCGAGCATATGAATGAAGTACATCCATCAATCCACATAATATAGCAGAATTACGAACTAACCCTCACCCTATTTCTCAATCCTCCACCGGTCCTAACCAGACCACCTTCATGTCCTACAATTTAATCCACATCATTGCGCATGACATTGAGATCCACGATCACTCCATCAAGATAAGACAGGACAGACTCAAGTCAAGGAATTCAATAAGAACTAGGTGGGAAATTGGTCAGAACGCAGAATAGGAAACAAATTATGGAATAAACATAATAAGAATGAAAACAGAACAGACAACCACTTCGCCAGCAGAAATCAGAGAAGAGAGACAAAAGGAAAAGCACCAGAAACACCGCCACTTCCCCTGTTCGTCTAGGTGAATTAGGAGATGAGATGAACAGAAAATAAAAGCCCGAGGCCTTCGAGGGAGGTCCAGAATAGAATGAAAAGCGCTCACATCCTTCGTGGTTCATCGTCAATTCGAAGCTGCTTCCCTGCCCTTGTTTTTCGTATGTCTTTTCTTTTCTGTTCATTGCTTTTTCGGGGGAAACTTTTTTTGCTTGTTTTGCTTCTCTTTTCTTGACTCCCTTTCGTATAAAACTCTCACATCAAAAGGTTCACAACACAGTTAACGCGCAAACAACTAAGACCACAACTTAGACACTTGCAGATTCTGGGGGGGTTTTTTTTTTGAGACATTTTCCAGGTTTTTTCGTTCTCGAACCAATGGTTCATGGTATACACGGGTTACAAAAGAAAAAGGGATCAACTTCTTGTCCTCGTTCGAATGGTTCTCAGGTGATATACGATCAAGACCGCTTGCTTCTTCTTCATCTTTTTTCTTTTTGTTTTTCAAGGGTTAGGAGAGTAATCAATTGTTTGACCAAAGGGATTTGGCGGTGGGTATCAAGAGAGAGGCCCGGGAAATAAGCGGAGGAACAACTTGTTGAAGATGAAACAAGGATGCAGTCCAGACTGAATCTGGGACCCCCCTCGAAAAGCGTCTCGAAGGACGAACTATGCGGGGAAGCGGGCAGAAGGAAATGAAATCGAGCGCCACTACACACCTACGCAGTAGGTTGATGCTGGGGGGGCATGCGGTTGCCCACGGGCATACCGGGGTACTGCCCGCTCGCCTGCTGTTGCTGCTGCAGGTTTTGGTAGTAGGCCATCTGCTGTTGTTGTTCGTTGGTCATATAGCCCGGGTGAATTCCTGTAGGACGAGGCATGTTGGACTGCTGAGCGCTGACGTTGTTGTGAGCCACGTCCTCAGGCGCCTCGGCAGGCACCTCAGGGGCATCGACACCGTTCTCATTGGTGGTAGGATCGGGAGCATTGAGACAAGCCTGAGAGGTTCTCGAGTGTCAGTCGAAATCGCGTCCAAGTCCGAATGCATTGCGCGCCTCGAGTCGCCGTCATTGAAAGGAAGGGACGTCTCTTTTGACTCACCTGGATGAGGTTCTTGCCCTCGGCCTTGGTCACCAATGGTTGAAGCTTGGGGGTCGTAAAGGTATAGACGAGACCGGTTTCCGACACAACGAGCAGCAGGACTTGGGTACCCGTAAGGACAGAGAGCTCATAGGCCTAGATTGCGACCGCATTGGAGTGGTTAGCCGGCAGGTTCTGTGGACGCGACCGAGCGAAGCGGCTTCGGTGTCGATGAATCAATGGAGGGACGATCCCATTTTAGGATGAAGCCGCAAGGGAACAAAAGAAAATTAAATGCACGGAAATTAAAAGCGACTTGCAAAGACCATAAGAAGAATCACGAAGGGTTGGTCGAGACGAAACGCGAAAAGAAGCACGTACCTTCTTCATGATACCCGCCTTCCGCTTGGAGAAGGTGATGTGGCGACGCGACTTATCCTGGATAAACTTGATCTCAATCTTTCTGCGCTCGCGACCGGGCTTGTCATCATCATCGTCGTCGTCGTCGGCGCTCATGCGATTACGCTTGGGACCGCGGTTGTCAGCGGCGCCGTTACCGGCGGCCTGCTGCAGGTCATCCTGAGTGGGAGACGGGTTCTCCTCACCGACGGCAGTGATGTCGGCCATGATGGAAACGGGACGAGGGAAGGGGGGAAGGAGGGGAGGAAGGGGAGAGGGCGAGTTGCGAGGCCGGGCAGGTCAAGGCAAGAGGTTCAACGGAGCGCAGGCGAAGTCTGGGGGAGAGCGAAGATGCCCAAAGAGGAATGATGCTTTTGAGGGGGAGGGAGAATGACCAAATCGAGTAACGCGTTTGCTTCGCAGGGTTTGGGTTCAGGACGAGAGGAGGAAAGAGGGAAAGTAATTCGGGGGAAGGCGAGGGCGTTCGAAGAGGGCATGGCGTCGGTGTCTTTGCGGCAGGCGGTAGGTCAGGTGATCTGGCTCCACCGGTACGGTATTGTATTTTCCTTCTCTTTTACCATACATTCCCATCTCCAGATTCCAGGTGTACCCCAACTTCTACAGTGCTATTATAATTGTATGTTAATCATCATCATCATAATAATAATAGTCCTATTACTCCTCCTCACTACTCTCCAATCCTCCAGGGCTACTCCTCCCACCTGCCTCACTCCGTCCATCCGTGACCGTACCGTACCGCCTCCCGTGGTTGTCCAGACCCAGCGATGGAGATCCCTCGGCCTTGGCACGCCTCCCCATTGGTGCAGCCGCCTGCAAGCATTGGGGATTCGAATGGACGGCCAACTCAACTTCCCCACTCCGTAATCTTACGCGCGGTATGGTATTCCCTTTCATTCTTCCCAAAATATCAACTGCAATTCCCTGCCCTACGGAATAGAACAACAATCCCTCATTATTCAAAAAAGTCATGAACAACCCCCGCAATTAAGTCACCATGATACCTAGGTGCCTACCTACCAGATCTGTCCTAGATCTGTCGCCATTTGGCCCCCAACCCGTACGCACCGTATCCCATTTAAAGTCGTCGTGAGAGTCCGACCTGAACTACTCAGGCAGTCAGACTTTAGACGGAGATTCAGGCGATAGGGGAAGACCGACGGCGCTCTAACAGGCACTAGACAGTCCGTACTCCGTATGAAGAACCCTTCCAAGGTTCTGTATGCATACAGCGTAGATACTAACGACCTATTATTTCCTCATTTACCCGACAAATCCCCCCGTATGATCGGTACTATCGACCTCATACATCCCCACTACTACCTACCTACAGACATAGGAGTAAACACCTCCCTCTTGTCCCCTCCTCCCTCATAACCAGATACTCACTACTACTCCGTAGGTGGCATGTTAGGTGGTATATCAAAAAAAATAGTCAACCAATAATTCGCCCGCCGAGGCGAACGCACCAATAATGGCTCTCCGCCCTGCAGCTCCGGTAGTTATTTGCCCCAGTCAACGTTCTATTTTAAAGTGCACGAGACTCTCCGTCTCTCCCTCCCTTGTCCCCCCCCCCCTTCTTTTCCCTTTTTCCCCTCCCTGAGAGTGACCCGTAACTTTACTTACGGCGGACTTCCCTCTAGTCTCTCTCGGCTCTCGCCTTCTCCTCGTGCTGGCCCGTCGATCGCAGATGTATCCGTCCATTTATCTAGTCTAGCAGCTATCTGCTCCGTTCTCCGTCGATGGTACTATCCCCGGTTAATCTAAATCGGTCGAGTGATCTCCAGGGAACTGGGTCTGGTGACTGGATGCGTAGGACTAGAGGGTTGTCGCGTTCTATATATATCTCAGGTACATGTACTCCGTACGTATTACTTCTGCGAATCTGTAGGGCTCAATAATATTGGCCTGGTTTAATAAATGCACCTTGGGGTAATAGTATGCCGTACTCCACCTACCAAACAAATATATATCTTACTGCGTACATATAAGCCAAATCCCACCCCAGTCATAAAGAGAAGAAAACAGTGAAAAAAAGAAACACAAAGCCAAGTCCAACCAAGCACCTATCGTTGGACCAGAAAGAGCAGGAATTACACCTGCAGACGGGAAGATCGCGGCAACCTACGTAGGCACCAAGCCTTATCCTTCTTTGAATAAGAATTGATTGTGATTATGTAGGTAAGACAGTGCGGTGTTACCGATTCACAAGTAGTAGCATGTACATGTACATGGCATGAAGGGAGATAGTATTTTTACAATATCATCTACCCTGTCGCGATAGACACTCATCTAGTATGACTGGATATGAATTCTTCTGCTCAAAAGCGCTCAAGTATAGAGATACTATCTGACACCTACTCGAACGGTCAACAAATCGAATGGAATCCAATCATGCGTATATCCCTGCGCGAGGTTTATTATATCTGCACCACCTAACGACCTACAGACACCCACTACACGCAAGTATCCGTACAACCCCATACAAAGACATTATAATATATACCCAATATTATAAGATATCATACTATTAATATACCACCCACCAATAACACAGAACCAACCCGTACCGTAAAACAGAGCCGACAAAAGAATGGACCTCGAACGAACGAACCAAGGAACAAAGCACGATCACGCGCTTAACCAAACCAAAAAACGAACACACAGGTAACCAACCAAGCCATGAAGTCATGGGAAATTCATGGACTACGTCAAGTAGCAAACCGCGGAGGCATCGGCGTCGGTGGAGCGGAGACCAGCTGTTTCTTTTCCACGGAAAGAAGCAAAAAAGATGGGTTGACGTTGCATTCGCTCGAGAGTTTCACGGGGTTCACTTCACTCGACGAGGACAGTCGAAGCGGTCGGTCGGTGAATCACTGAATGAAAATGAACAGGCTGCCATGCATTCCAAAGTCAGACAAACAGGCAAGGCAGCAAAGATTAAGATTAAGATTAAACAAAACAAGGCTGTCAAGGTGAAACAGGAATCTGAAACATCAGATGGATTTCGATGGAGCCGACCGCGTAACCGCCCGAGTAATTGTAATGACTCCGCGTGAGAATGGCACCATAAGGCGATTGATTGCAAGCAAAGGCAACGATAGATTAATCGGATCTAGATCTAGGACTTAACTTCATGATATTTCTGGCATAATGACAGATGCGCTAATCTCCAAAAGCAAGACGGACCTGAGCACCAGGCCGGGAATTCTATTTTTACAAATGCATCACAAAGCCTCACCGAGTCGTAGCAAATAGCAAACACGGGAGATATAGTAGCAAGTGGAAAAGAAAAAAAAAGAAAAAAGAAAAAAGAAAAAAAAAAGTTGATGACTCGTGAGTGAAATTCGTGCGAGGTACCAGTCCAAAAGTCGAGACTTCAAGACGGTATCGCTCGTGGGAAAACCACCAGGTGCCGATCTTCGACTGCGCCGTTCATAGACTCCGCCAATTCAACGCCGGCAAATGAACAATTCAAATATATGGGTCGAAGGTGTTTCCATAGTCGAAAATAAACAAAAGAATCCGTCCATGCACGACACATCCTCTTCTTCTTTTCATCTGTCGATACTGGCAGTTCTCTTTCCCCCAGAGGGAGAAGGCGAGGTTGGTTGGTATAAGTGAAGATAAAACTCGAAGAAAAGAATAAAAAGGAATGTAAATAATGTGCAAGAATCGAAAGCAAAAGTAGAATATAAGAGCAATTCACAGATCCCAAGGGCCAGCCTCAGCATCGGTTGAGTGTGGTTTTTCTCATTTCCCATCCATACATGTGCGAGAGACGATTAGTGCATCCGAGTGGGACGGGCGGCGTAATCCCGAACACCGGCACCACCACCTCCCTTGGGACCGAGCCAGACAATCTCGATGACACTGTGGCCCTCGTCTTCCTCACGAACATACCACTGGTGGACGTTGTCACCGACGACGAAGGCTTCCCTCAGCAACCAGCGGTCCTTGAGGATGCCCTCCTGATCCCGAAGACGGAGGGGTCCGAGACGGCTCTCATAACCACGGGGGTCCTCCTCCCACGTCTTCTCGGCGTGGTCGAAGTTGATGGCATCGTCGGGCGTCTTCTCGTCGTAAGTGTACTTGACGAGGGAGTATCCGTTGGTGAAGACCCAGAAGGTGCGGGTCGAGTCTCCGGTGGCGTTGTTGACGAATTCCTCCTGGTCAAAGACCCAACGACGCAGGACGGACTTGCGACCGGCGGCGGCTGCCACGGTGGTCATCTTGACAACGTCCTTCGAGTACCAACTGTTCCAGTGGTGCAGGGACTCAATCTTGCGGCCCGACTCGTAGACACCGTCGACCTCACCCTTCATGTCCATCTGGTACAGGGAGGGCCAGAGAGTCAGGTCCGTGTCACCGAATCGCTGGATACACTGGCCAAGCTTCTGGTCACCGGGCTGCTCACCCCAGGCCTGGCACTCGTCGTAGTACTGCTCCAGGACGTCGAGAAGAGGCTTCGAGACGAAGACACCGGCACCACCGAAAGCGATGTGGCCGAAAGTGTCGACCTGCCAGCTGGCCTCAGACAAGGCTCCGATGTAGTGCTTCTTGTTGACATCGAAGAGCTTCAGTTCCTTGGCAATGGTGGGGAGGGACAGGAAGAAAGTGTCATCGTCCATGAATCCAAGCCACGTGGTCTGAGGGCGCTTGGTTCGGATGTGGTTGGCGAAAGCCTCCACCATACCGAAGTAACGAGCGGTGAAATCCAGAGGAGACTGGATCAGAGTGACGTCCAATCCACGGTTGCGGAAGTAAGTCTCCTGCTTGGGGATGTCGTCGTCCGACATGGGAACGAGAACGACGATGCTGGCCTTGGTGTTTCCGTACGAGTAGAGCAGCGAAGGGAGCAAGCGATCCAGACGATCGGCCGTGGTGGCCAAACCGAGCAGAATCTTGTCCGTCTCGTCCACATCATCATCCGCAGCCACGTCGACATCAATGATGGGAGGGCAGGTCGATTCCAAAGGCTGCTTGTTATCCGGCGAGATGACCATGCCACGCTCGATCACGGTCATCGGGGGAAGGACCGGCACGTTGATGTCCTCGAGGGAGTTGAACTCGGCGTCAGCGTCGACGTGACGAGGGCGGAAGTAGGCACGAGTGTAGTTCTTGCGAGGCAGCCATTCCGTGAAAGGCAGAGGAGCCACAGCACCGGGATCCGCGTCACACTGCACAGGCGAGGGCGGGGACTGCAGCTGGATCTGGGAGGCACCGGAGTTAGAGACGCGATCGACCGGGTGCTTGAATCGCATAAAAGCGGCCCGATCGAAGCGTTCGATGGCCCAGAAAAAGAAGCCTATCGAAAAGAGGGCCACGAGGGGGAAGATGGTCTTGAGGCGAAACATCGGCATTTTGGTGGGTTTATTAAAGGTCCCGTGTTTCAACATGAAAAGGGATTTCCTTTCTGTCTTTCCGCGAGGGAGATAATAGAATATTAAGTTAAAATAGTCGTCGTCGTTGTTACCGGGAAAAGATGTGCGTTATCGCACAGCCGTTACCGAGAGGGTCCGAGAAATCGACGGAAAGAGTATAAAAGAGTGGAATTGGCACCCGAGTCACAAATAACTCTGGGGAACCAAATTGGTCTGTCAACGAGAGGCTGGCAGCGTCGAGACCTGCGACACGGTCACAAAGGGGGTTGGAGAGAGGCCCGAAGAATATATGGGATCCCAGTCGCAGAACCCAAGTCCAAGCCAATAGGAAAAAAGGGGAAATTCGAGACGCGAAAAAGATAGAGAGCACAACTGGACGCTGTGTCCAGGGGCCTTAGAAGAGAATCAGGCTGGAGGAGAGGGGAAGGGGGGGGAGGAAGAGGAATGGGGATGGACGATGGTTGTTGAAGCTTGAAAGGTTGAAGAAGAAGGGAAGAAAGGGGGAGGGCAGAAGAAAAAGGAAGAGGGGAGTGAGACCAAGAGATGTACGTAGTAATCGTAAGGGCAAAAAAAAAAAAAAAAGAAAAAAAAAAGGCGGATGAGGGAAGGATGAAGACAGGAGACAGAAAGCGATCCAAGTGGGAATGCCGACTGCTGGCCCACGGGTTGGGTTGGGGCCTGAGCTCCTCCCACTGGGTAATTTAATCTGCAGCGTATTAAGCTCACCCGTCACGCTGTGGTTCGCCTGGAATTGGGTGATTTTTTAATTTCGATTCCGATTTTCTGTTTGACCCGGAATTAATTTAATCTCGGTCGTCTTGGATTTTCCTGATCTTTTGGCGAGTTGGTGGCGTTGAATTTGGTCGGCAGGTTCACAGGGCAGGAGAAAAAAGGATCTGATTTTGGGGGCTGATCTGACAGGCAGGAATTCGCAGATGAATCGACGTTGGTCCGAATTTAAGATCGTTCAGAGGGACTCGAAAAAGAAATGAGAAGGAAGGGGAAAATTAAATATCAACAGAAGAGGAACTTGTCGGTTTATCATGCGGCGAATCTTCCGCTCCTGCATTGCATTTCCTGGTGGTTTCCGGTTCATTTTATTATTATTATTATTATCATTACATTTTTTTTTTTTTTTTTTTGTATACTGCGTACTGCGTACATTTTCCACCGTACGTAAGTGCAGATCATCAACCAAAGCAACTGGAAGACTGTCGTCCAGCAGGATGGATCTTTCCCTCGTCCTCTCCACCCGTATTTTTCAATTCTCTCGGACCCTTGCGATCGTCCTTCATTCATTGCGGTCGACGACTCTGTACGACCGACGTCATGGTACAGATAGACCGTCTCGGACAAGTCATCCATCTCGAAGTCAAAATCTCATTTCCCCAGCCTCGATCTCTGGCGACGTACGATGTCCGGAGTGCATACGCAGGAGGCGACATGAGCAGAGATATCTTTAGATCAAATCACATCGGCTGACCATTAGAGGAAAAACGAGAGAAAAAAAAGGTTAAGATTTGGATGATGAATGCATCGAGGTGCATGGTGGAATATTTTCCACCCATGAGATGACCAACCGCCTGATCTCTTGCGTGGTGCCGATTGCGTACTTCGGGGGTTTTTCAATATTTTAAATTTTGGATTGGTACTGTATAACCATCAACCATTGACCATAACTACTATACGGAGTACTGCGTAGGTACTACCAGGGTCTTTGCCGGCACCATCTTTCCCAAACGGTCGATCACCGTTGTTCATGATCAATCTCAAACAACACAGGATGTTACAGGTTACGGGTTACAGATATTGGCATTCCGTCGGATGTAGCCCTCTCTAGTCCCCGATCGCGTCTGGATATGCACCGACTACTACGAGCTAACGCGAGGATTATTCCCTGCGAATCCCTGGCCGGCGGACTTTGCAACTAATGTCGAGAGTGGAGATGTTTCTATTCTTTGGTTTTCGGCCAGGGCGAGTGGGTTGCGCCGGACCCGGTGGTCGGGCGGACAATCCGCCCATTGTGGTACTCCGTTGGTTCGTCGACGGTTCTGGATAATGGAGATTGGCAGCCACCGTTTTTCGTTTCTGCGCCGGCGGGAGGCTGGACCGACTGACAGACGAGTCCGACTCCCAGAATAGTGATTCTGTCTCGGAGTACGAGCCTGGTCCGGCTGCATCGGAGTCAGCCGGTTGTTCTCTAGAGCCCTCCCGGGGCCTGATAGAGCAGAATTGACCGCAGAGCCAAGAACGTGAGGGCTCCCAGTCACTACGCAGTAACTACATATCGTGTACTTCGTACTGACAGGGCCATCGCAGTCCCTCCGAACAATTTTAATCTGAAAACGAAAAAGCTCGATCGGCGCGCGTTCCCGTCGTCCCGGCCAATCAGACCGCAAGTCTTCCAGGAGAGCCCCACCGGCCGCGTGTCCCCTGCCACCACCGTTTCTCCTTTTCGCTTCCATCCGCCGCGTTCGGAGGACGACGCTTAGGCCAGACCAGCCCTGAAATACAAGAATTGGAAATAAAACAATAATTTACCAAAATAATAAAAAAGATGAACCACTGTCCAGCGTCCAGTGGCCTCCCCGGACTGCCTGGAGTCCGGGACACGCACCTCCCCCCAGGTACGGGTCCCAAGGTTCGAAGGTTTAAAGGCTCAGGGCTTTGCACCGCCCGCTACTTTTTTTATCTGCACTCTGTATACGATCTGCCGTCTGCGCCAGCTGAACATGTTGGATAAGAACCAGACTCTCTCGTCATGTCTGTCGCCACCAGCACCGGGCCATTTCGACGCCTTTTGACTGGCAAATGGGCGGCCTGAAGGTGATATCCATTATTCAACCTGCCCGGCCATGACTGGACTAGCCCCGAAATTAGGGACAGACGGTACCTGTTCACTACGCGCTGGGTGGATCGGGATCAACGGGTTGAACCAGACGTCCTGCCATCTCGGCAATCCAATCACGTCCGTCGCTGGCAGCAGACGCTGGCTCAGAGGACGCGTGGCAAGAACAAGAACCCGAATGGACGCCGGCGGCTGAGGAGAACAGGGCTTACGGCCATTTACCCCATTCGCCCACGCCCAGGATGATGTACCTGGTCCGGCCATTACGAGGGCGATAGGGAAGATGGCAACATCCGGTGCTGCTCCGACCTGCCTGGTATCGCCGTCCTCCGGGGGGTTGGTTTCTCGACTCGCATCCGATGGTCGGATGGCGAAAACCTGTCCGTTGAAATATCTTCACGGGATGAGGATCGACACGATGGACTCGAGTTTCCCCTCCGATCTGCCAGAGCGAGGCTGGAAGGGGAAGAGTGGCCTTCAGTAACGCAGAACATTGGCGAGACGGACTAAGATGACTGCCGAGCAATTAAGCTTGAACGCCGGCCTTGGCAGCTGTCACAAATATACAAGCCCAAGGCCTTCTATCCCCTTTTCTCTCCATTCGGAATGACCTGGACGAGAGAGCGGATGCCTCAAATCAACGGTCGGAATTTGATGCCCTTACGTCAGTCCGGGGATGTCAAAGCATTCATTCCTACTGAATATTTCTTGCACAATTTCCATGGCCCGTCGACTACCCCCTGATCTGCAGAGCTGAGAGCAGTCTTCAGAAAGCCCAGGGATCCGATTCGTTGCCTTTCGTATCAGTATCTTCAGGATGATATGCCCCTTAGCATCCTCCCCCCATGCTAAGGACCAAAAATCCCCAAATCCCCTCCGATGGAAGCGCTGGAAGGGCATCCTTACCGCTGGTTGTGCCGACCCAAGAAACCGATGTAACCACCATCAGCCCGTCAAAGGGTCCGGGGATCCGCTCAGGGTCCAACTTTACACACTACTGTACCTGGTTAATTTCAACGCGTAACCGGTTTCTGTCTTTTTCTTTTTCGGTTTTTGCAAACCCGATCTGTCTATCTTTACTCCATCGAGCACGGCATACGAATTCGGTCTAGAAGACGGAAGACACCCGTCGAACGGCGGTGGGATATCTGTCTACCTCCGACACTTGCGAAACAAACGCTAAATAGACTTTTTGACGAAGTACAGGGGAGGTGAGTTGCGACTTCCGGCTTATGACTTACGAAGGTTAGACCAAGTAGGGCAAAGCCACGGCCAAGATAGCTTGACTTGACTGTCCAACTCTCCAAACCCTAAGTCAAAAGTCACTTTCATTATCGGGAGTCCCAAGCTGGTTCCTCGTTCTACGGCGTTCTCGCTCTCCACGACGATCTCCGCCTCTAATCTAGAACTCCGTCTGAGATAGACAATTAATCTATTCGACTGGTCCTAGCTCCCGCCGAAGACGTCTGCCTGCCTGCTTAAATTCAAAACCCACGCTATTCGTCTGATTCGGAATCTCCGTAGCTCGTGTCTAGAACCTACTCCGGAGCAGAATCTCGAACTATGGAGCCAGGTATACGGTAGTCTCTTGCGTAAGTAGGAGTAGCTAATTGCAAACTGGCCTGTGTCCGTCCGTTTGTACTTTGTGGAGCGTAGCCTTGTGGGCCTGTCGGGTTGAGTTTGAGACTTGAGACGGTCATGGTTTTATCCAGATTCTTCCACGTCATGGATTGCGGGGAGGGCAGGGATCAAGCAGGACACGGAGTATCCGGTCTGTGAGTGTTGAGTTTGGCTGCATAGTACGGAGTGGATGGCTGCGGTGTGGTGTGCTCATTGCGTGTCCTTTCTAGGACGGAGTTTGCCTGTTGTGGTTAGTGGATGTAGTTTAATCAGAGGACGAGCACGGAGTATCTCTTGATAGTACTAGATAGTAGATATGAACGTGCGTGTGCGGGCCAGGTCTGGAAATTCAATATATCCCATTAAAAGTTCCTTGTCGCCATTTCCTACATGAATGGCGAGCAGGAAAGCTCTCTTCAGTTCTTCTGTTTATAGGGGCTAGAACATCTCTCTATTTGTATTCCAGATACCTTATCCACCTGATCTCCTGGCTAAACGTCTGCTCAACATCTTACAAGCTTGAGACTTGAAGACTGGATACAGATATGTAGCTAGACTAAAAGAGCATACATACTACCTACCATACCCCTTACTATGGCTTCCTCTCACATCGTGAAGGGATCCAAGCCATCCTGATCGTTTACATGACCCACCTCTAATGACAAACCATTTCTCCAACTAGATCTCAATTGATTCTTCTCTCTACAAGTCCTAGATAACCCCATCGATAAGTACCGTCTTTCAGACTCAAAACCCCCGCATACATGTACGTTGAGGTCTAAATTCAAATTTAGCTTCTCTCGCGCAGATACGAGGTCCTCGTGCTATGTTAAGCTAAGCTATGCTTTGCCTGTACTGTGCCGTGCCATCCCGTGTTGTGTCACAACCGCCGGATCTGATTGATAGAAGTAAGTCTGATCGAAATAGGATAGATGCATGGTTACACATTCTGCCGTTGTTCAAGGATTTAGCGGAGACCGGTTTAGGTAGGTACGTACTGGCCTAATTTGTAGCTGTGGATGGGTACATACTTGGGTAGGTAGTGTGGTGCAGCACAATGAGTACAGAGCACTGGACAGCATTATTGATATCACTAGGTGCCTGTGACCAAGGTATGGGTTTAGCTTTATTGCTGGCTTATCTGGGCCTTCTTTCTGAGGGAAGCTCATGAGAATAAACTTTTGCGATGTATGCTAAGAAGTTATGGTGAAATGTACTCAGCATAAATCCAGTCCGCAACGGCGAACAGGTTGGCCGCGCAAGTGAGAATTCATGTGCATGGATTTGTCAAATGATTGATTGTGCAGGCCTAAAGGCATACTAAATTGGGAGAATGAGCTGTTGTAGAAACACAGGCGGGTCAGGTTAATCCACATTGGTTTGCAAAGGATAGCTCCTCCAACAAGTAGTCCAGTCTGTGTCGGTGGATGTGAGTGGCCAGATCGAGTGAAACAATCGAGTGATTTGTCTGGAAAACTCGGAAGGCCGTATCTGGTAATATTCTCTGAACTTCTTTATTCTGGCTTCCTGTTCCTCTCCTCCGACCTCCGCCACTTTGGTTCCGCCATGCGTCACGAGAAACGACCGGGCCAGGTGTAGCATTACATTTTGTATCTCCCAACGAAACATCTGTAATCCCGACGGGGAAACGCGCAGCCGAATCAACTTCCGGGAGGCCTGGTGAGAAAAGATCTCGGTCCAAATAGCGGTGGCTAGTGCTTGGTCGGTGGCGAAGTTGATGAAGGCATCTTTGAGACTGACGTGCAGTAGACGATCATCTATATTACCGCTTTCATCCGAGAATATCCCGTCTTCAGCTGACAGCACGGGTCGCGGGTTGCCGTATAAGTCTAGGATTAGGTTCTGAAGTCTGGGAAAACCACCCAGCGCACGATAGGTAAGAACTTCCGCATAGTCACCCTTTGATCGAGGGATTGGGATACGGAGATCTCTCAGGTTGGTCTGATGCTACCTCCCAGCTGCACACTAGACATCAATGGGCCATGCCGCTCCAGAATGCCGTGAAGAACTGAAATATCCTCCAGGCCCTCGATGCAGAGATATTTCAATGGGTTGAGACGTCTGGGGTAGAACCATATTCTCTACAAAATACCATTTCAGGGAGAATGATTGCAAGCTCAGCAGCCGGGGCAAATCACCGGTGCGCTCGGGAATATTCCGGACATCCTCTTCTCCAGGGTCACGATTTGAACTCAGGAAAATATGCTGCAGATTTGGAGCCTGGGTTAAGTATGGAACGACTCCGTCAATATCGCGGATGGGATCCGATAAATCTAGTTTAATAGCGCGGAGACACGGGGAGCGAAGAACTTCGATATCCAATTGACGGTCAGGCATTGAGGCCGGGACGCCCGTGTTATATCCCGGATCCAGGCGGGGTGTTTGGGGGCTCCAGATATGAATTTCGCAGGTTGGATGATACTGGTGCACGGCGTCAAGCAAGTGCCGAGGGAAAGAGTTGCCCATGGCATAGTGCATACTTTTCAACTTGTTCAGCCGCGAGACCACAGAGACCAGTGGTCGGCAGTTCTCCTCATGGTAATACAGCCACTCGCCCCGAAAGGGTCTATATTCAGGGAGCCCATGATGAGACATAAGAGGTTCCATAAAAGATCCAACGCTGGCGGGAGTGAAATCCTCTATGGTGATACTTCTATCCCACGATCCGGAAGTACGTGGTAGATTGCCGTCAGTCAGGTGTGCTCGCCACGGAAGGGCCACAATATCCAGTCTCATAGCATGGGCCAAAAATGGTCGTCCAAGGCCATTTTCAGAACATTCATCGGCTATTTCCTTGAGATCAGAAGGTTCACCAAATCGAATCGAGATGGTGTTGTAGAGAAGCGGCGCGGTCAAATGGTACATTCTCCAGCTAACCTGGCTGAAGGCGTGGAGAGCGTGCGACTCTTCATCCTTGAGCTAAATGTTGGCGGGTTTGAGGGTTAGTACTGACCCTTGCACGGCAGAGGGGTAAGAGAACCTACAAAGCCAGCGATATGGAGGATCAACTTTGCAGGTAGAGTATCCATCGTGGATGAAATCTTGGTTGGATGGGGTGAAGGCAATGGGATGGTGCAGATGACAAGAATCGACGAAGGGGAAGGGCGACGTGATGACGGGCTTGGACCAAAAGTTCTGAGGATTAGTGTAAAATTCACTCACTGTCATTGTCCTGATCAGTTGGCAAAATCATTCACTGTTTCTACCAGTGGCCCAGTGATCAGGCCCTAGCTCTTAATTCTCCCTTAGACGCACCATGCACTAGTACCCATCTACGCAAGTAATCTAACTACTATAATGACTCCTTCAAATCCAAGTCTGCAGCACGAGAGATGCAATCCCTTGGGCGACTCATCGCATTTCTGGTGAGTATTATCCCAAGAAATAATGTTTGCTAACCTACAACACGGAAATTTAGATACCATATAGTATGCTATCTGATTGCAGGCATCTCGCCAACCTCTGAATGCACATCTTTTCAAATAATCTAGTTCCTTAGCGTCTGACTTAATGCTACTTCAGCCATTCTAGTTTTAGCATGTTGAGCCTGAGCCGGTGCCTTGTCACGTGGATCATCGTGATACGTCCTCAACCACTCCCTTTCCAATCCCTCTTGCATCTGCTCTATTCGAAAACCATGTCATCAAACAAACCAACTTGTATTTCCCATGGCTGCCAGCGACCAGACCTACCACATCGACCGAGAAATCGCCGACTTCTTCAAGAAGACCACGACGACTCGCTCAGCCTGTGATGACTATGCAAGAGAGCATCTAGGTGGCAATGTCGTTCCGGTCGCCGTGCAAGGCGTATGCAGCTATACCGTCTACGCTGGACCCAGCGCTGAATTTGTCGTTCAGTTCCGCTTGGAGTCGCTTCAGCTGAGCATGCATACTACAAATCTCGCCTGGACCATTTACGGCCCCTATGTACCCCAGGTTTCCTTTAAGGGGGAGATTGGGGAGAATATGGAGAGTAGGGAGGAGCTTTACATATACGTCCTGAGTCGAGTACGAGGGGTTAGCTATTTGGATTTTATCCTGGCGCATAACAGCCATGTGCCTGAGAGCTCTCCTCGGTTTTCTTTATGGCGCAGGAATCTTGTGGCTGATATTGCGAAGTATGCCATTTCACTATATGCCCCATAAACATCGAATTGCTGAATTTGTGTCCTGTCAGACCCTTCGCTCTATCTTGGAAACACCCTCAGGACGTTAACCAAATGGACCGCGACAACCTCTATGACCAATACAAAACAGAACTGAAAGTACTACTCGCTTCTCTCCCAGCTCGATTCCACCCATTCATCCAAGAATCTCTCAACTCCTTACCAGCCATCTTCTCTCTCCCCATGGTTCTCCTGCACAAAGACTTCGGCGTTTGCAATATCATGGTAAATGAGACTTGCAATCTAGTCGGGGTGATTGATTGGGCCGAATCCGAGATTGCCCCGTTTGGTCTAAACCTCTACTCTCATCAGCGATTGATAAGTAAGATTCACTTGAAGCATGGCTGGATCCGATATGATGATTATCCCCTTTTGGAGAAGATTTTCTGGGCTACGTTTAGTGATAAAGTTGGAGGGTTGGGTGATGAAACTACCACGGTCATCAGAGCTGCGAGGATCATGGGGTTACTGTTGTCCCGTGGCTTTACCAGTCGTCTGGCGAATATGCCGGAGCCAGTGCCGATTCGTGATGATGAAAGTGAGCGTATAATATGCGTGATTTGGATGGGCTTTTGATTAACCCGGTTACGAGGTTCATAGATTTGGCGTGATTATATTAGGGTCTACAGTATATCTTGCTATGGATCCAGCTTCCCTACTGCTTTCGCGGCAATGAGCTGGGGATATCCGTCTGGACTCTGGAGGGCCTCCAGATAAGTAGTCCGAAGACCTAGCCCTAACTGACTGAAGATCACCCGGCGCTGACCAAACCAAAAAGAACTTCATTCCTTTGTCATAATGCATAAAAAAAGTCTCAATTAACTATAAAATGGTTTTATAATTTTTGATAATCGCCACTTTAGAGTACAAGAAAACTAGATCCCTTAGCAGCCTGCCACTGACAACAACTCGAGAAGCCCCTCCAGCAACTACCATCAACCAGCACGGATTGCGTGAGGTCTGATCACGATTATTATTGTCATTTTCCCTAGTTACTAGACCACTGATAGATTTTAGAATCATAACTTCATGATTTAATATGTTTGAATGTGAATAACGTGAGCCTCCTGCACTTCCTCCTATGTCATGAAATGCGTCAGTCTCTTGACAGGCTGCACTATATTCTGTCCCAGTTAATTTGTGTCTCATTTCTTCGTTGCGACTATTTAACTATAATCAATAATTTATACTTCGAGTAGTGTTGGCTACAATTCCTTTGCACAGGCTCAAGGGGTTCGAGAAAACTTTGTCTCTGATATTCTAGCATCGTGATCCCTAGATGTACACTAGAATAACCAATCTCAAGTATCAGTACCTCGCTTGATTACTGCTCGAGCGCATGCAACTAAGCCCTGCTGAGCTCAGCCAATAAGGCAAGCATTCAAATAAGTGTACGGTGGGTGGCTTTTCTCCCGCTCATCTGCCCCGCATCCCAGTCTTCATGAAGTCGGGAGCAGTTCAGGATAGCGCACCACACCCTGAGGTAAGCTAACTAAAAATTCAAAGTCGAGTCTTTCTTATTTCCGCTGACTTTCAACCTGTATCAAAACAGAACCCTAGCTATGTCCGTGTCGTCCCTCCGTACGGACGGCCATGTCCACGAGCCGACCTTGCCCCCAGAGGCACCTGTTAGCCAAGATACAATCCAGAAGCTTCAGGAAATGATGGAATCCGTGGAGAGAAGCTATGCAGGCCAAATTAAGTCTGCTGCTCGTGACACTACCCGACGTCTCGAAAAGTCGAACAAAAGCCTCGGCGTTCAAGTCAACAATCAGCGCAAAGAGATTGAACAGGCCCACGCCCGGATTCACGCACTGATGGCTCAGATCAAAGATTTAGAGAATACCTTACATGCTAAGAATAATCAACTTGAAAAGAACGGGGAGGATCTCTCTTCCAAGGATACCCAGGTCAAAGATCTAGAGAACGCCTTGCATACTCAGAGTGATCAACTCAAAAACAATGAGAAAGATCTCTCTTCCAAGGATGATCAAATCAAAGATCTAGAGAATAAACTATGCATCAAGGATGCTCAACTCGAAGATCTTCAGGACGATCTATCCTCCAAAGACGCTCAACTCGAAGATCGTCAGAATAAATTATCCACCAAAGATGCTCAAATCAAAACCATGAACAACAACCTCACCGCCATGTATCTTGAAATTCGCGAGGTTGAACGGCTCCGAATCAAGAATGCCAACAAGGACCAGCGCATCGAAGTCCTCCAACTCGAGAATGCCAACAAGGACCAGCGCATCGGAGAACTCCATACCGAGAGCAACGATAGGAACCAGCGCATCGGAGAACTTGAAACCGAGAAAACCAACCAGAACCAATGCATTGAAGAACTTCATGCCCAGAATGTCAACAAGAGCAAGCGCATCGAAAGGATCGAAGTTGAAAATACTGCCATAAAAGCCAACATTCGTATCCGCATCTCTGAAGCTCTCGAAAATAACACCGCCCTTGAAACACAGTTGGAAAACTGTAGGAAAAAATTGGAGAACTGCGAGGAAAGCAAGAGAAAGTGGAAAGAAAAGGCACGTTCGAACGCGAGAACAGACGGATATCACAGTCGTCGCCATGGTCATCGGTACTAATGTCTGAGCCTGAAGACTTTCTCCGTCTGTTCTTTACTACTTCTCTTTGTATGATGGTAGAATGGATTGAATGGATGATGTAACTTAGTATAGGCCCTCTCCGCTCCCTTATTTTCAATTATTTCCTTTTAGCTAAGAAAATAGAGTTGTTGAATTCAATGTATGAGCTCCTAGTCAATCCCTATGCCCGGAACGAGGAAATTCCAGTTGACTTTGACTGTGAATAAACTGGCCAAAGTAATTCACCAATGAACAAAAGGATCCTTCTGGGGAAGAAACAATAGTTTTTGACTTTAGAGGCTCTCTTATTCGTGTCATTGAGGTGAAAAAGACGGCAGTAGTAAGGGCTGTGAATAGAGTTGGTAAGAGAATATCGGATGACATATTTAAAAGATGAGGACATGCTTCTAAGGTGTCAAGGCTATAAAAGGATGTTAGGACAGAATGAGTTTATTGGAGACGTCAATGTTCGAATGAGATAAATAAATTGTACTATATCTACAGCATGCTAGATGGTATAGTAAGGGAATTACAAGGCAAGCATCATTCCTCGTCGTAGGCACCTTCACGGTCCTCGAATTCCATGAACTCGCTTTCCTTCGCCTCATCACCCATTACTAGCCTCCATGCTTCCTTGACCACATCGATCAGGCTATCATCAAAAGCAAGATCAAGATTAACAGGCGGGAAGCAAAAGGTATCATTGGAGAGGCGCGTGAGAGTAGGGACTTGTGCTCCAGCTTTAGTGCTGGCTTGACCCAATTGTGTGTAGCAAAGGGACCACAGGACAGTTGCACTGGAATCAGCACTTGATTGAAGAAGCTTATGCATCGCATTCTCAATCAAGGACTGACCTTCAGGTCCAGGGATGCTAACGCTGCCATAAAGGACACCTAACACAATATAGTTAGCATTGATGCTGACTCATGATGTGTGGACAAAGTCAAGGATGAAGCTCATGATCAGATTATAAATTTTCAACATAGCGTTTCAGGCAATGTAGATAAGTAATTTTTAGGAAAGGTCATCATATGAGCAGGGGAGTGAGGGCAACGAGGCTGGCGATAACAAAAAAGGATCAACTTACTTTGTCCTGGCGGGCATTCCCCAGTCTCGCTTGAATGGACCAAGACATAGACTGGGGGCGAGTCATCTGCGTGACCCAAAGAGCTTGAAGGGAATACCACGACGGCTCCGGCAGGGACCGGGGCGCCTTCAGCCGTGACTGGGAAAAGGCTTTCGAGCGGAGACGAAACAATTGCAATTGATCGAGCCACCTTGTCACAGGTAGGACGCTCTTGATCAGGAAGATCCCACTGAGAGCCAAGGACTAATTTAGTCTTGATGACCTCGTCATTGGATAGATGCACTTCGGCACGCGCGTCATCAGCATCTCCCGTTTCGGAGGAAGGAGTCATAGACTTGATGCCAGCATTCAAGACATAGACCCCACCTCCGACAGCAAGGGCGCGGCAACCGACCTGGGCGAGCTCGGCGCCACCTCCCCATTTTGCCAGCAGGCCTCCAAACCCAGGACCAAACACACCAATGGATGCAAGGTGTCGTTTGATGCGGGGAACCGCAAAATCGGCTGGTGTTTGTTGAGGAGCAGCTTGCGACAATGAAAGAGAGAGTAGGGGATCATGAAGCTCAGCGGGCACCTGAAACTTCGAAGCTAGGTATTCCGAGAGTGGAGATGAAAGATCCTCTTCTGGGCCATCATGATCCTCTTGAGGCTTTCCGATGTGACGGAGAAATCTCATCAAAGTCCGCTTGGACTTGACAGTAATCAAATCATCCGCAAAAATATCTTCCCGACTGCTTGGTACTCGATACAAGGATCCGCTGCTGTTGTCCCCATCATTACTGGACGAAGTTCTATGAATCCACCAGCTTCCAACAGCTTGGAACTCCAGCTGGCGGTAAACCTTAGAAGACACCAATGTAGGCAACAGCCGCGACCGAGAATAGATGAGTTGCGGCGAGAGGGAGAGCGTGTATGCCCGAGGAGCCGACAACTGCGTATCCTCGGGTCGATGGACAGTTGCATCTTCAAAGGGGAAGTCCTCGGGTTCTAGCTTGCAAAACAACGTTAACATCCCCAACAATAACCTAGTTCACACCCTTACTCACCTTGATTTACTCTGGTAGCCCATTCCTGGGCTTCTTGCAGACTAAAGGCTGCTTCCGATCCCCCATAATACGGGTTCCGGTCAACATGGAGTACCTTTTTCCCTGAACGAGAAAGGGCACTGTATAGAAGGATTAGCAGTAGCTCATTGAATATCCGTACAGGAGAACTCACAGTGCCAAAAGTGACTGGGCCAGACCAGTGCCAGAGATTGTTACATCCCATGGCGTCTCAGAGAGCGACTCCATTCTGGTGGGTGGTGGCTGATAATAGCTGGAAATCAGTTCGAGTTATTGTATTTACAAGAGCGTGCCCGGTTATCATCACGTCGGGTGACACGTTGTTGAATGCCTCTGCAGCAGGACCTTCCAGCCCATGAGTGGTGCGTAGAGAATCATTCGTTCCGAGAACGAAAGTATTTTCGGGGGAGAAAAGAAGACGAAGGACACGCGCAGAAATACTGCGGGACCCGCTCTCGTGCGTCACGTGTTTGGGAGCTCCGCCGGTGGGGGTCACCGGAAGAATGACCTGCTTTTATTTATGGGAGATGACACAAAACGCTGCTCTTCATTGTTGTCATATAGCTGAATAAGTCAAGATAAAAATGTAATGATGCATATTGAGCTTTATATTGAACTTCGCGATCCTCCATTCGTACTGGACAGATGACAGATTTCCTCGAGCTCATCAAAGCTCGAGTCAATAATGCTGAAGTGTACATGCTCGAAGTAGTAGAGTAATCAATTAGAATAGGGCTTCGAAGTTAATCCATCTAATTGAGAAGTCCCCAAGCTGGCATTTTCTTTGAAGATTGATCATGTCCGAACTTCATACTTCGTGCTCCTGTTACGGTATATCAATGCCTCAGGCAGGCAATTACTGCGCCATGCCCGAAACAGCTAGACCCGTTCAAACGCGCGAGTTGAAATTTGCGCATCCGCCCGCCTCGATTCTTTCTTTCTTCACCACTCCTGGTGCTCTGCATAGGCATGCTACCATTACACCATGGTAGTCTCGTCATTTTCAACAAGCCTTCACTGGTCTTGTCGTCTACAGGAGTGGTAGAGAGAACCTATCACTCTGTATCTGCTGCTCTGGAATGGAAACATCTGATGGAAGCAGTTCGTTTGTAGTGATACATTACATTATCATAATTCTTTTCTTGTCAATGAGTCCGATGCTCTGTCCCAGTGAATTGACGGATGTAAATCAGTAGAGTCAACCACTGCAAGAGGTAATCCTTCGGGGTATACAGGGCAATTGTATGACTTTAGTAGTCGAGCGTTGCTCATCTCGGCGCGGAGCGAAGCGGCACCTTGGGCCCATCCCAATGACTAGCTTCTGTCTGCACCGGTGTGATGAACTTGAAAATTGTCCCTTTGGGCGAGGAACGGTAGACGGATTGAAGTTCAGAAGAAAACGCCGGTCAGATCTGTCACGTTCCAACAGCTCACTCTTCTGCCCCTTCTTCCACAACTCTGGCGCGAATGATCTTGACTTCGTCTACCGGTCTGTCCTCGCCGTTCGTTTTAACAAGTCCCATGCGCTGGATCACTCTCATCCCGCTCTTTACGCGGCCAAAGATCGTGTGCTTTCCATCCAGCCACGGGGTCGGCGCAAGCGTAACGAAGAATTGACTGCCGTTGGTGTTGGGTCCGCTGTTCGCCATACTCAAGATGCCGGCGCCGGTGTGCTTGAGACCTGGATGGATTTCGTCCTCGAATTTCTCTCCGTAGATTGAGCTTCCTCCTCTGCCGGTGCCAGTAGGATCTCCGGTTTGTACCATGAAATTGGGAATGATGCGGTGGAAGACGACGTTGTTGTAGTAGCCCCTCTGTGCAAGGGTCGCGAAGTTTTTACACGACTAGTAGCCACATTGAATTAGCATAAGGTACCCCAAATGTAAGAGGGGTCATTTGTACTGACCTTGGGTGCATGTTCATTGTAAAGCTCCACGGTGAACGAGCCCTGCAGGAAATTAACAACCAATTGAGTCATGATTAGTGTAACAAGGGTTCTCACCATGCTCGTGTCAAAAGCCACGTCTGTCGCCATTGTGATACTGGAATATGAACGGGAAGATGCCGATTGAATGTCAAGGAACCGCGGTCGAACCGTGAATTCATGGAGGTTCTCTGCCACTGCAAGGCGGCGGGGAAATGCCGGTCTTGGCATCCGCCGCATATCATCGGTGATGCAATCTGTCGAATGTTTTCGCCCCGTGTAAACAACCCCCAACAGTCATGATCTAATGGTTTTATGATCACGTCAACTTCTCCTTTTCTCTTTTAACTATGAAAAACTGAGATATTGTATCTTTACCTCTGAACAACACGAAACCTCGTCCCTACCGTCATTATGGACGAGGTCAGCCCTTTCGCCGAATTCTTGGGCCAGGCGATCTACCACCTCACAGCTGTCAAACCTCTAGTTCCGACTTACGCGCATCTCCTTGTTTCCGCTTTGTTTCCGATTTACATCGGCGCCCATGCTTCGCTCTCGAGACCAACCTCTGCCGCAAAACGTCCTAAGAATACCGAAAATGACGAGTCCGAGGACGAAGACGACGAAGACCAGGAGGGAGAGAGCAAGGGGAAGATGGAATCACTGGAGCCTAGTGATGCAATCATGTTTCCCCTGACTGCTGGTCTCACTCTCGGTGGACTATACTTGGTGATCAAATACATGGGTGCCGAGCTTCTGAACAAGATTCTGGGCTTCTATTTCTCTCAGATGGGCATGTTCTTCGCTGTGGCTTTCTTGCGGGACTGTCTTTCGGTCTTTCGGTCTTTCGCGTTCCCACAAACGTATACCTATGGCGGGAAACTCTGGAAGGTGCAACAGTCGGACCGCGTTTTCAAAATTGCTGGCGGAAATGCTGCTTCAGACTCGTCAGAGGCCCGACGCTCTCCTCTTCCGGGCATTCTTGGTTCAATTCCGTTGCCAGAGTCCACCATCAACTTCCTGTGGACATACCGCAGTGTGCTCTATCAAAAGGCGAAATTCAAGATCAACATTCACCGTATCTGCAAGGGCCAAGTCTCAGTTGACATTCTGGACTTGTTCAGTACCTTGCTGGCCCTGCCTGCCGTCGGGTATTTCGCGTTTGTTGAGAAGCCGTGGTGGTTGACCAACTTCCTGGGATTCAGTTTCTGCTATGGTGTCCTGCAGTTCATGTCGCCGTCTACTTTCTTAACTGGATCCCTCATCCTTGGATCGCTCTTCTTTTACGATATTTACTTCGTCTACTTTACGCCTTTGATGGTGACGGTTGCGAAATCCTTGGATGTGCCGATTAAGCTCCTGTTCCCTCGCCCAGCAGGCCCCAACCAGCCACCAGACACCGTTTCTTTGGCCATGTTAGGCTTGGGCGACATCGTCATTCCCGGTATGATGGTCGGTCACGCGCTTCGATTTGATCTTTATCTTTACTATCTGCGGAAAGGATACCAGAAGGCGAAGGCTGAAGGCAACGAAGAAGAGCCAGTCAAACCTGTATATCAGTCTGCTAGAGGAGGCTGGGGCGAGCGTTTCTGGACGAAACCCATCAAATCGCAGGAGGCTGAACTGGAACCCCCTTATCAGGACGCTCGACTCTTTCCCAAGACTTACTTCAAGGCTAGCATCGTTGGGTACCTGGCTGGAATGATCGCAACTCTTGTGGTCATGCAATGTTTCAACCACCCTCAACCTGCCTTGTTGTATCTGGTCCCTGGAGTCCTCATTTCCCTGTGGGGCACTGCCTTCGTCAAAGGCGATATTCACCACATGTGGAACTTCAGTGACAGCGAGGAGGATGAGGAAGACGAAGAGGCCGACTCTGATGATAAAGAAAAGGAGAAACAGGAGGAAGAGGACAAGAACGTCGGCTTCTTCAGTAAACTCTTCAACAGATATCAGAGAGCAGCCGACAAGGCACAGAAGTCCGAAGAAGCTTCCAAAAAGTCCAACGACATGAAGAAGAGCGACAAAGCTGGGGAAAAGAAGTCCGATAAACACGGAAAAGCCAAAGATAAAGACTTGGACTTGTTTTCTTTTTCATTCTACATCCCGCGCAAGAGCAAGTCGGCAAAGTCGGCCGCCAAACCTGCCGAGACTGACAAGGCTACGGACGATTCGAAGAGCTCATCGCCCCGTACTGACTCTCCTGTGGAAGACGAGAACTGGGCTGTCATTAGCAGCTTGGGGCCCGATAACGAACCTCCTACAAAAAGGCAGCGCAGAAGCCCTAGACACGCAGCAAAGACCGCCGCTAACTAGGCATATCAACTCACGATCCCTGAGAACTTTTGCATTTTCTTTTACTCTCGATGAAAGCAGGCATGACTAGAGGCGTTTGGACGGAGTCGATGCCCTTTGTTTTAATACTTGTCTTTTGGCGGCCAATTTGACACCGACTGCTGCATTGCGTGGAATATCAATAAACTCCTGTTCCAAAGAACTTTTCAAAATCTAGTTGGTATCATCGACAGTAATCATAGCTAGGTAAGGTCTCGCACAAAAGACCATTTTTTCAACACTGTTCCAAGATTCGCTTCACATCATCCCATCTTTGCGCGGACACATCAATCAGCTCTTTCAGTTCCTCGCTGTCCACCGCCAACCCGCCATTCTTCTCCATCTTCAAGATCGTAGTCTTCCCCTTGCCACCTTGCTTCTCGTCCACCACAATGCATACCCTCTCCTGACCAAGACCCTCCTCGTATCCATCGGGATCAGCCAGAATCCACCTCCGCTGGATCCCCTGCCTCTGGCTCTCCGTAATCTTCCTCTCCTCCTCCGCATCCGGAATAACCACAGCCCTCCACCCACTCGCCGCATCAGCCTCAAACACAGCGAACGAGCTAGAGACCGGCATTCCGCGCAACGTCAACTTCTTCGCCTCCGAGACCGCATCCGAACACACCACCGTCTCGTTATCCACATCCCACCAGGCACGCGGGAGCTTCGTATCCCGGAGCGCGGCCAGGACAGATGCCCACGCAGCATCGAACGGGTTCCCGGCCAAAGAAACAATCATGACGTCGATATAAAGCACCCAGAACGCTTTAATCTCCTTGTCGTGCTCGGATCCTCCCGCCCCAGCACCAGCACCAGCTTCCGCATCCACATCCATCTGCTCGCTCTCGTTATGCCGCTCCAGCTCCTCCCCGCCTAGATTCGGCGCCTGGTACCAGATCCGCAGGTCGTCGGCGCGCACAAGCCGCGAGCTATGCAGCAGCGTAAGGATCTGATGGGAGAGCGACTGCGCGAGCGACGAGGGCGGCGCACCGGGGATAAAGCCGGGCGCGCACCCGGTGCTCAGCGAAAGGTTGGGGACCAGCAGGTTGAGGTCTTGGATTTGGGATTCGTTGGGGTCGACGTCGGTATCGTCGGAGTCTGCTTTCCGGCGATTGTTTGCCTCCTCTGTTGACGACGAGTGGGATAAGCTCCACGAGGCAATGTCTTCTGTGTGTAGGATCTCAGCGCGCACGCCGCAGACGGCTGTCGTGTCGCCGACTCGCACCACCGCGCTGCCATTGGTGTGTGTCAAGGAGCCTGTGTTTGCAGAGGTCACGCGGAATTGCGAGGGGGCGCGGCCGTTGGCGCGGACGGAGGGGTGGTTGCTCGACGAGGGGGGCGATAGGTGGGCGAGAAGATAGGCGTGAGGTTGCAGCCGGGCGAACTGGGAGGGGGGGAGAGAGAGGGATGGCGGGGTAGGTTGCGCAGCGGTTCCTGCTGCGGAGGCCATTGTGTAGGTTGTCGCAGATGCGGATGATTGATTAAGTTTGGGTATAGGATTTGGAGGTTGGACTGTCGCTCTTTGATCGGCGGATGAAAAGAAGCAGACATCTTATTTTTCGGCGGCAGAATAGTTGCCATATCGAAGGCGGTGAGGATATGCAGGGCTGACGATATCAAGGCTGAGAGTGGCCACTCCTTGACAACTATCTCTGTATTGTTGCTCTTTCTTGTACATTTATTGTTCAAAGGTCCTATATTCTGTAACGAATGACTAGAACACTAGAACTCTTTTCGAAATACAAATTTGGTTGTTTCAGCTTCATCCGATGATGAGCCACCTCCTATGGTGCTCTACGCCTAATCCTAGAATCCAGTTGAAATGTCTTGTGACTGGTTTTTGATGGAATATTTCAATCAAACACACTTACGCAATACAGCTAACAATTTTCCTAGCTTGAGGTATGCCGGGTTTCATTTCCCAATGAGCCAGACCGAAATGAACTTTACACAGCGATTACCAGGCAATTATTGTGTTGACCCCAAAGAATTGGATTGGCACTCGTCTAACTCTTCTATCTGAAGCACGCCTCCAACTCGATCCAGGGTTCGCTTGTTGTTTGTGGGATCGTCGCTTCATCTAAATATAAATACGAGATCCTGAGTCTAATTGGCCTCCGCGGATGCGAGACTCTGGGTTTGGCCCGCCAAGTGATGCCAAATAACCACATAACACGGGCACTCATGACCACTGTGGGAGTCCTATTGATTTGAAATCAGTACTTGGATGGGATCTATTTGGATCTTCCACACATCGGTAATGCGGCGTTCATTATGGACTGGTCATAATGAAGACATATCCGGTTGCTGGCGGCAAGCCGGCATTTTCCAAGTAGCGTCGATCGACATAAGCTCCCCCTCCATATATCCGTCAGATCCGTGGAATTCCGGTCGATTTCGATGGAGATTCCAAGATGATCTCATGGCTGCGTACCAAGGTCCTCGAACATTCTACAACGTTTCCTCGGACCATATCATTGCCCATTTCCGATGGTCGTTTAATAAAATCGCCGCGGGTCCTGAGGCAAGTGGCACTCTCGGTATCTGGGACTCGTATTGATTGCAGGATGATACCTTCTTGGCTCTAGTGTGCCATGGAATATGCACTGTTGAGCATTAGTGGACCCTCTTCTAAATAAGGATGTTCGGGGTTGAGCTCGTGCGAGACCTGTGCGCGAGAAAGTATATGCTACAAGTGTTATATCCTGTTGCTGGAAGCATGAAAGTTGGCAGACTCATTTTGAACCACCAGTACGTCTGGGTCGGGATATGTGGACTTTTTTCTGTCAGACATTTCTGGACTTGATATTTTGTGGGGGGAAAGATGAACGCACCATATCCAGACGAGATCTCCTACACTACCCATACTCGCGACATCTCTCCTCCACCCCGATACTCCTTACATGAGCCCCTTCGCCCTCCTCAACCGAACGACCGCTTGACGAGCACAGAACAGCCAGGCACTTTATCGGCAGAAGACAGCACCAGGCATCTCACGACATCCCATATCATACTAGATGGAGAGTCAACAAGTTGCTGGAGCGACGCATTCACAGCTAGCGCAGTGCTATCCTTGCTTCAGAGAGAATCTTTGACCCCTTTGCCCCGTCCAGTAACGCACAACGACATAAACTTACGGGAAATACCCCTTCTCACCTGCGTTGTCTGCTTCGAGACGTTCAGTGATGATTATTTCCCACGCACACCAATCACCGCTAGCTGCGACCATGGCTCTATGCCCGACACAAATATCTGCTTGGCATGTCTCCGTCGGAGTCTTGACATTCAGTTCTCGTCCCCGGACACGAGCTCACTGGCATGCCCCCTCTGCCATGAGCAGCTTTCCGATGAAGAAGTCCACCGATGGGCCAGTCGACAAACATTCCAGACCTATGATCGAATGCGAACTTGGCAGATCCTAGAAGAGGATGCCGAATTCGTCCCCTGCATCCAACAGAATTGTGGATATGGTCAGCTACACGCCGGCGGACTGGAAGACCCGATTGTGGTATGCCGCTCGTGCGGCTCGAGAACATGCTTCATTCACCGAGAAACACCCTGGCATGAAGGCATGACGTGCACAGATTACGAAGAAAAGATAAACCCAAGAGAGAGCGAATTAGATATTAGGGAACTTGCCCAGAATGAAGTTCCTGAGCTGTCCAATACTCGCAGATCGAGCAATGACACCCAAGCGTCCTCGTCCAGCGAACTTACGAGACCAGAGGCAATAGAGTGGGTCACACGGCCTTGTCCTCACTGCAGCTCACCAACGGCGCGACCAAGTGGCTGTAAATTTACAAGGTGTACGTATTCTCTTGTTGCTTTACTCTGTCTTATCAATAACCACCAGAGACTAACCGCTGTTGTACTTTAGGCGAATCATGCCTGCATGAGTGGTGTTGGGACTGCGGCATTAGTTGGAAATGGAGACATCTCGATATGGACTGTATTCTACCTCCGCAGTGAGAGATATTGTGTAGATATCACACAAGGTCCTACGACGAAGCGCTGATTGGAGGCATGCTGGATATTAATTGCGGAGAATGTTCCATTCGTACCTATTCTCGCAGTCAGATTTGGTATGACTTTTCTATCTTCTTGACGTCTTTAGAGTATATCAAACCAGAGACACGCGAACATGAGTCCGCTTTACTCCACTCCATACTCTCGCGGCCGACTAGTTACCAACATGATAGATGCTTCTAGCGATTGGACGGGCTACCCCATCACAATGAATTCGAATTCCGAAAGAAATCTATCAGGTGCACCACCGTAGCAAATAATCTGGGCCTGCAAATCGCTTTCTGACTCGCGTTGTATCAACGGCGCTTTGACCGGATGTTGGTGAGCGAACCTGCGTCGACTCTGCGCCACAACCATCCTCATCACTATCATAGCACAGTGTGGGCGCAAGACGTAAGACCTGGCGAATGAGGATCAAGCACCGTTGGCGAAATCCTGGCAACGCAGTCAGTGTTGGAAACCCTCAAGGGTTTGCACTCGTGGGAGCGAATCATGCATGCTGGGTTTCCCTCCTGTTGGGATATCCGGATGGTGCCGAAAATGTCTTATATTTTGACGCGAATATCGGACGCTTGAACCGTTTCCAGGGTGAAAGTGCCCAAAAAGGCGGTCGTTTCTGGGGTTTCTTCCTGCAGTGACTTGCTCTGCATAATTAGCGCAGTCGAAAGCACGAGTAATACCGCATCGATCCAAATCGGCTGGCACCGTGCATACCAGCAGAGCCAGGACGGGAAATCTTCACTGACCGATCGGCATGAACCATTAAGCCCCGTTGGTGACGACTCTGCGGCGAGCGAGTGACAAGAGCAGAATTACCGCCGGGCCAGTCGAGTGGCAGCCAATGCGAGGATCCCCTGACGCCGGGCAGGTGACAACGCCCGCCGCTCGTGCATTAGCGGGGATTTCGCCTGCATCGCGGTCGAGCAATGATCCTTCGCCATTGCCTTCATCTCACCGTTGGCCAGCGCCATGTTAAGCTCCATGCACTTTGCCATGCGCTTCGGGGTTTCCCCCCTCCTCGTCTTCGCTTCCCGTCCCCCTCGTCTTATCTGGCTCTCCCCGGGTTGATCTTCGCTTCTTTTTCAATTCATTCTTGCATGCTCTCTGGGATAGCTCTGCTTGCTATAGCTGGTTGTGAAACTCTGCTTCGATCGAATCCAAGACAGTTTCGCAACGATTGACTACTAAAATGGTATTCCCGACCATCTGAAGGGGTCAGCCGGTCAGAAAGGAAGTGGCGAGAAAAGAAAACATAGTGGCATACAGTCAGCTTTGGCTGGCTTCTGAACAAGAAAGAGTGGAAGTGCTACGGCAATACACAGCGCCATGTCCGGTATATGGCGTTCTGCAGCTTCAATTGCGAAGCGGATCGATATCCCGATCATTGCGTCCAATTCTCCGGCAGACATTGCTGAACAACAACGAGATCCGTGGGACCAGTCGGGCAAATATGCTTTGGGATGGGTCTTCTTTTCTGTGATTCTACTGGCCATCACGACACTCGTTCGGTTCTACCATATCTGGGGCGACAAGATTCGAATCGCATTATACAAGGAGGATGCCACTGCAGCTTCTCCATACATCGGCTCCCCTCAGGACGAATATGAGCTTCCCAGTGCAGCTACGGACAGTTCAACTACCCAGTTCTTTCCAGCTCATGGTCCGCTACCAAGCAATACAAACGTGAAACAACAGTCGTCGGTATCTACAATCGCCCCAATTAACAATACCATCGCATTCGTACGCTGGATCTTCTATCGACCACTGCCGGTGATACAGCTATGGAAGTTCCGCGTCGTGCTCCCGTCATTGGGCGCTTCTGCCATCGTCCTTGCAGCGCTGATATTTGTTACCCTCTATTCGTTCCTACCGCAGCCTCTCTACTTTTCGTCCAGTGCTCTTGGATCCCCTCCTTTGGCGATCCGTGCTGGCATGATTGCCGTGGCCATGATTCCTTGGATAATTGCACTCAGCACCCGAGCCAATTTCATCACCATGATGACCGGCATTGGCCACGAGAGGCTTAATGTCCTTCACCGCTGGGCAGGCTATCTGTGTCTATTTTTGAGCTTGGTTCATATGGTTCCATTTTATGTCACTCCGATCTGGGAAAGCGAGTCCTTCGTGTACTATCAGCAGGTTCTTCCGCAGAACATCTACGTCTATGGGACCGGGTTCGCGGCGTTTGTCCCTCTGGCCTTCCTGTGTCTTCATTCCTTGCCTATACTCCGATCCAGGATGTATGAGCTCTTTGTGGCCGTGCACATGCCAGTATCGATCGTCTTCCTCGGCATGCTCTTCTGGCACTGCAAGAACTTCTTGACATCGTGGGACTATCTATGGGCCACAGTTGCCATCTGGGTGATGTCTTTCATCGTTCGACTCTTCTACCTCAACTGGACCAATCCATTCCGGCTATCATTCATGATTGGAGAGGAGTCTGCAATAACCATTCTTCCCCAAAATACTGTGAAGGTTACTGTCGCAACCCGAATGCGATGGAAACCGGGCCAATATGTCTACCTTCGCATGCCCGGTGTCTCGCTTTTCGGGCGTCACCCTTTCACCATCGCCTCCTTGTGTAGCGATGACTTCCCCTCCGAGTACGGCGAGAACTATCGTGACCTGGCCCTTGTCTTTCGTCCTTTCGGCGGCTTCACCCGCCAAGTCTTCCTCAAGGCCTTCGAGCACGGCCCGTACAAGACCTGGACCGCCTTTCTGGAGGGGCCCTACGGCGGCATGCGTCGCGAAATGGCCGCCTTCGACGATGTGGTCTTCTTTGCTGGCGGAAGCGGTATCACAGCAATCGCCAGCCAGCTCCTCTATCTGATCAAGAAGATGCGTGACCGCAAAGCAGTCACCAAATCCATTCGCGTAATCTGGGCATTCAGAAACCCAGAGTCCATCGAATGGTTCAAAGAAGAACTCCGCATCTGCAGAGACTTCGCACCTCCCAACACAGTCCACTTCCATTTCTTCCTCACCGGCTCGCCACAATACACGATAGACGGCCGCTTGTCCGAGGACATCGTGCAGGAGAAAATCTACAACACCCTGCAGGTCTTTGACAAGCGCAACTCTGCTTTCATCCGCGAAGAAGCCGCCGGCGACCCCGAGGTCGAAAAGGAGCTTCGTCGCGAGAACGAAGACGCCATTACTGCTCTGCCGCCCGCCCACACCCTACCTCACATCAACACAAGCAGACACTACAGCCCCATGGTCAATAATCACCAGTTCCCATCTCCGTACACAGGGACCACTGATAGCACCGAAAGCCTACCATTTGACTTCGGCTTCTCCCACTCCCCGGCTGTGTCTACCAGATCTCTTCCACGCTATGCGACCCTCCCACAGCAGCGACGCAACGGATGGCGTATCGACTACGTCCGTCCGGACATTCCACGCATGTTGACCGAGTGTTCACGGAGCTTCGGTCGTCGCGCGTGTGTCTTCGTCTGCGGCCCTCCCAGTATGCGAGTTGAGGTATCTCATACGACAGCACGGCTGCAGCAGCAGGTCATGGGCGACTCGTCGAAGGATGAGATCTTTCTACATGCGGAGAATTACAGTATTTGAGCTGATTTGCTTTACACTGTTTTGGTTCAAAGAAAACATGTTAATGATGGCTTGGTTATTGAATGGTTTATGTTTGTATGATGATGCCCGATACCCTCTTGTTTCAGATTGGGCTTGATCTCGGTCTTGATGATAACGTTTGTTTGAATATGGGGATGAATTTGCACATAGGATAGCATTAATCTCGTCTATTCTCTTTTTACTCTTTTGTTTACTCTATAGTTAGGAGAGGTAGCTTAGAATGCCGGTAATACACTGTATTCTTATATCGTATCCAAACCCACATGCCTTCTATCTATAAATCAAAGGATGGAACCCTCTAGACTAGTTAGTAGACACATGTATGCATATACAAAGCCAGGCAATGGACAAGAAAAGAAAAGAAAAATCACAGCAGGGACCGTAGACCTTGAGTATGCAACTATTGACAAGGATATATCTGTTCGCAAGATCCGGTATCATAATCCAAGGGTGGAGAGACAGATAACAAACCAAAGCAAGATGCAAGTAAAAGAGCAGAGTGCCAAATTCAAATAACCCCGAAATATACAAAACGAAAAACTCCAAAAGACAAAGTACTATCGTTGCGGTTCATCGTCGGCTTTCCGCTTCCGACTCGCTGCATCGTCAGCATCCAGCAGCTTGGAGTCCGAGAACGGTCGAACGCCATGGTCATCTTCATCTTCGTCGTCAGCCTCGACCTTTTCCCAGTCATCGTCCTCATCTTCCTCTTCTGCTGACGCGAAGTGTTCTTCTTCGTCTCCGGAGAGGTTCTCTTGCTCCGGCGCATCCAGTTTCGCATCTCCACCCTCTTCGACATCCTCGTCGTCGTCCCATTCCAGTGTCAATTTCACGATGCGTGCCCCCGATGGCTTCAGTTTCCGGTAATAATTCTCGACAACACCCTCTTCGACCATAAAGCCGCGAGAGACGTACCATTTTAAGCCCTCGTCGTTCGCCTCGTGCACGTGTGCCGTGACCGTGCGGATATTGTAGTGTCTGACGAGTGAGGAAACGCGGTACCCAGACTTTAAGCCGGTCTTCTCCTCTGATGAGGCCGGCGGCGGCGTTGAAAAGAGCAACGAGTTGAGTAAGGACGTCGCGATCCCGTAGCTCCGATACGGAGACAACAAATGCAGTGTCTGGATGTAGAGGTTTGCTGGGTCGCGGGAAGCCTTTCCGGGGAGACGTTTCGCAGACATAGGCGGCACAGGCTCCAGACGACACCGGATCCCCCCGATCACTTTGTCCGAGCCCGTAGACGCTGCCGTGGCAGGGGATGTCGCCGGGGCTGCGGCGACCGGGTGATCATGGTATATGGCGACGCGCGAGACAGACGCGATGACGGGGTCGGTGATGGTCGCGGTGTAGAAGGAGTTCGGGTAGCGGATGGGCAAGAGGAGGCCCGTTATGCGCGACAGGGAGGGAATGTGAGCGGTGTTGACGGGGTCGATGGTGACGTGGGGATGCGGAGTTGGATATCCGGACGTGACGGGGTGAGGGTACGCGACAGGCTGGTAGGTTGAGTCGCCGGAGCCGGCCGGGGGCTTGAGTTTGGCGGCGATAGTGGCGTGCGAGGTAGTTGAGTGCTGGAAGGCGCTCAGCGATGGAGGACTGATGGGGGATTTGGCGCGTCTGGTGTTGGAGGAAGGGGAGGAGGAGGGAGGAGAGGAGAGAGGTGGAGAAGTGGGCGGCTGCTTGGACTGATGCGCCTTTGCGAAAAACTGGTAGGCCATGGTGAGGTGGAGGGGGGTTGGTGATAGAGGATGAACAGAGGGAAATGGGAGAGAGACCGACCCTCTCGGATTCTCAGTCTGTTTTCTCACCAGGCAGAGAGTTGTCACGAGCGAACGAGAGAAAGAGATCAGGAGGGGAAGTCACTCGACGCAAACAGCCAACGCGGAGATGCGATAAGATAAGATCGCCCGGGCGGAGAGACTCGCAAGGCCTGAGGCCAGCGCAAAGCCTCGTCTTCCCTCCAGTCCTTCCCCGAACTGCCCGTTGGCCTCCCCGACTCCGCTGCGACTGCCCCATGTCCTTCGTCGCTTGATTCTCGCCGTTGTCCTTTCCGCGTTTATATATAAATTACCCTCCCTCTGATGTGAACCAGGTAGGCCCGTCCTCTCCCTGCCAGAAATGAGTCCTCCCCCGTCAGTCCGCTGATTCTCCCTACCATGGGTGTCTCCCGCCTCAGACACTAGAGCTCCCCATTCACTATCGACTGGCAGATGGACTTGATGAGCTGCACATGCTCCTGGTCACTCCGCTGAGTTTTGTCTTCTCCATCGATTGTTCCGCGCACGCTCCTTCCTCACTTCCGACAATCCGCTCCGCCTCAGCTTGAATCGTCGGTCTTCTCCGTCGCCGCTCATCCATTCCTATTGTCGGACTTGACACCACACGCACGAACGAGTACATGGAGTCTGGTTGCTGACCACTGGGATATTCACTTTGGTATTGTGCGGGCTTGGTTTTTTGGCCATTGTCTTGGGTCCTGGGTCTATAAATTGTGAATAAGGTTAGTCTTCTCGCGCCGCGCATCATGACGGCATTCGGGTGGTCGGACTATACACTCGGTGATTGTTGCGATCCTTATTGCACCTGTTGTTGTTTGTTCTTGTTTGAGAATAGGCACCTCTTCCCCCTGGGGTCCTTCACTCGTATACTCTACCTGCTGGTCTTCGCCTCTTCCTCACCTCCCCGACCGTCTCTATCCTCCTTCGCGTCGCCCCCAGACAGCGTACCTTTGATGTTAGCTGGCTTCTAACATTTTCGCAAACAGAATACACAGTTGCATACATATACAAAATGGGCGAATCGAATGGACCAGGAGAGCAGGGCAGCTCGTATGCTTCAGGCACTATTGCAAAACTGGTATGTCTGGCATCCGCGACGGATCGCATATCGAGTCTTCTTTTTGCCCCAGGCCGAGTCGCTAATCTAATTAGACTTCTGACATTCTGAACGACACCTTCTACAACATCGTCTATGATATTGTTGCCAAGGTCCATCGCGATGAAAAAGTCGCCCGCATGCGCTCCGCCGTTGTCGTGGCGAGACAGAAAGCCGAAGACGAAGCGGCCAGGCGCCGCGAAGAGTCTGGCAACAAGGCCACCCATCCATTAAACTCGGGTGATCCTGACTCCGAGGAGTTCAAGGACCTTCGAGTGGAAACCGATGCGGCAGTTTTCGAAGACAGTAAAGTTTACCTCAAGGGTAATCCGCTCCAGACCGTCAAAGACATCATCTGCCCTGATTGCCGGCTACAACGTCTGCTATACCCAACCACAGGAGTCGGGGCGCGGCAACCACCCGATCCATATCGAGAATATTGCAACGATACGCCGTTGGTAAACAAACCGGGACACGACGTGCACGGCAATCCGTTCGCGACCGACAAACTGAATCCCAAGAAGAAGAAACAGACCACTTCATCTAATACCCCCGCCTCGAGTCCTCCTACGACGCCCGATGGCTCATTCAAGCATGCAGCCCCGGAAAAGATCTCATTCCCGACGGTCAAATGCCCGCAGTGTCCGAGATACTTCGTCGTCACGCGTGTAGCGCAGCACATGGATCGATGCATGGGCCTATCAGGTCGACAGACCAGTCGGAACAAAACACCCATGGAAAATGGCAACAGTACGCCTACTTCCGCTCCGCCGAAACGCCCATTAGAGGATGATACGCCGTCGGCGGCTATTACGAAGAAGAAAAAGCTGGGCGCTCCGAAGAAACTCTCGGGCAAAAAGCCACCTCCTGCTCCCAGCAGTAAACTAAAGAACGGCCTCACGCCTGATATGGCAGCCGCCGCCGATGCAGCAGCTTCCGGGGACGCTGACATCAAGAGCGAGGCGAACGGAGATGCTTGATAGATCTCGCTCGTTTCTTTTCCTACTCTCTGTTTTTCTTTCAACAGTTTACACATTACTTTTTGCTTCATGGATACACAGACCTTTTGTTGTATTGGGGACGAGATTTGGACATAGTCTCCCTGTTTCTTTTTCTTTTGTTTTAACGATCTGACGTAAATACTCGGCATCAAAGGCGTCACCGGGGACTTTGCTCTAGTACACAATCATGTCGAAAAGTCTGGGACATGCTCGGCGTCGTGTTTCTCCCTTTGCTTTCTTTTCATTTTTATTTTCCCAGTTGTCATGATCCTGATCAATGTGGTTGTTTATTGTTCTGTTGAGGAATAGATGATGATGCAGAAGCAATCCGTGCATTATGCACCTTATGTACTATAGTTTTGCGCTCAATTCCATGGATAGCTTAGAAAGACAATCTTCTTTGGCGATAGCCCTTACAACCTACCGAAATCCTTCAGAGTCAAGATGATGCTCACTGACTCATAGTGACTGATGAGGTCATGGTGGCCTGAAAAATGCGGCCACCACTCTCTCCACAATTCCGATAAGACCAACGCCAACCACTTCCGCATCTCATCTTCGATTCAACTCTCAATATCTTCACCTTCCCCAGCCAAACCACATGGCCGACTCATCCCTCCTAACATGGGGAGTTCCCCGTCTCTCCCAAATCCTGCCTCTAGACGAAGAATCCCTCAAACAGATCCTCTCCTACGCCGCCAGCCTCTCCAAGGATGAAGGCGCGGAGCATCTCAAAAACCTCCTCGGCGACTCCCCCGCCGCATTCGAATTCATCTCATCCTTCAGCGCCCGAAAAGAGCCCCCTTCTTCTCAACGAGCCCGCAATGCAGACTCCGGACCCCCATCGCGAACCTCCAGTCCAGCAGGAACCGCAACCCCCGGTAAGAAAGGCAAAAAGTCCAAACCACCGCTCCACAGCGCCGGACCTGTCCGACAGGTTGAGAACTTCGGGAATGTCGCAGGGGGGTATCGCAAGGCGGACCAGGAAGAAGATTACATGGCCGCGTTTTCGGGAGGTCGCGCACAAGGGAAAGATACCAAGGGTGCGGAGGTGCGGCCGAGCGCACAGTTCCTAGGGCCGTCGTCGCGCGAGGACTCCTCGGCTTCTTCGTCGCGGGCGCCTTCCCCTGCGCCGAAGTCCGGAGCTGCGAGCAGTAGTAAAGCCCCGCCGTCGGCGTCGGGGCCCGTGATCTCAGATTATCTACCGAATGTGAAATCGAAGGCTGCGAAGACGTCCTCGGCATCATCGTCACGACAAGGTGGAGGGGGCTCGTCGAAGGGGGCTCTCACTACGAGTAATATCTCGGATTTAACGGCTGCGATCGCGGCGCTGGAGGTATCTACGAACCCGACGCTTGGCGGGGAGAGCCAGAAATGCAATTGCAACGCCTCGTTACATCCACTCTTCGATCCGGCCCCAAACTGTCTAAATTGCGGGAAGATTATCTGCTCGTTGGAGGGTCTACAGCCTTGTTCGTTCTGCGGGACGCCGTTGCTATCAAGTGAGGAGATCCAAGGCATGATTCGGGAGCTGCGAGCAGAGCGAGGACAGGAGAAGATGCGTGCTCATAACGAGGGCGTCCACCGCGAAGGAGGACCCGGGCCGGGGAACGCAGGATCCAACAAACTAGATGCAGCCAAGGCGCATCGTGACAGACTGCTTCAATTCCAAGCGCAGAACGCCAAACGGACCAAGGTTGTCGACGAGGCGGCAGACTTTGAGACACCCAATGTCGCGTCCACATTGTGGATGAGTCCTGCGCAGCGAGCCCTGGCGTTGAAGAAGCAGCAACGCGTGCTTCGTGAGATGGAGGAACGGGCCCGTCCGGAATGGGAGAAGAAGCAGACTGTCATGAGCTTGGATATCAAGGGCGGGAAACTCACTCGGGTGTATCAGTCGGCTGGACCGGCTGAGTCGAGCCCGTCTGCGGAGGAACAGGCCGAGCAGGCGCTCGTGGAGGAAGCTCTCAGTCATGGTACGGGGAGAACGGGTAGTGGAGAAGCATTTAGTCACAACCCTCTACTTGCAGCTGGAGGGCTGGTACGGCCAGTCTGGAAGGGGGCAGATGGGAAGCAGGTGGAGAGCACAGCACGCAAGGATCGAAAACAAACGTGGCGACGGGTTCAGGACGACAATGATGACAACGAACAGTGGATCCTGGACGGCGGGGCACATGGATATACGGGATGATAGATATGTCTCATCAACCATCCATTTTTACTAGGTGCAATCAGGAGGGCCAACATAGAACTGATCAACGTCGCAAAAAGACAAATGAAAATATCCTATTCGATCGTACGACCTGGAAATAGAGGACCCGTTAATCAACATCTGCCTGGGTCTTTCCTGATCTCGGGATCTATCTGGATGAAAAACACACCCCGACCTGTCTCGAGCGGAGGGCGGAAGCTGCTGCGCCTCATTTGTCCGCCATGACGAGCGTCACCACAATCAATGTGATCAGTCACTCCCCGGAACTCCCTGTCGTCACCTTCCGGCTTCAAGACGAACATCTGCTCCGCTACGCATGAACCTTTCCCCGGGGTGGCAACGTTGGACAGCCAATGGATAATACATTGGGTAGGACCTGCGTTGCCAAATTCAGAAACATGAGTTGGCCAATCTTTGTGGCTGATGCAAGATCGTTCTACTTACTGCACATCCGTCTGTAGACACCACTGCGGACACTCATGCCTCATCTTTTCATCACGGTCCCTGTGTAGGGCTGTCTAGAGAACCGATGTTGGGCAGCACCCAAGTATGCTGCGCATAAAAAGTCCTGGGCCACTGGAGGCCTTCCAAGCCTTCAAGTCTATTCTCAAGAAGCATTAGCACAGACGCTGAGGAACCTATGGCCTTGTCAGTTGAGGCCGTCATCGCTCTCGTCACTTTGCTTGTCATCGGGCCCCCTTCCCTTCTCACGATATGGGATGTTTTTCGAAAACGCCGGCAGTCCCAGCTCACCCTAGTCAATTTATTCCTTGCCTGCTTCATGCAAGTGACACCGGCATGCAATTGCCATTGCTTGCTACAAATAATAACAATAAGATAGCACGCTATGCCAATCAAACCATTATTATAAGACCTGTCAAAACCTAAAACAAAAATCATACATACTATTCCTTATTTGGCAAATCTCTTTGGGATCCCAAAGAGATTTGCCAAATAAGGAATAGTCAAATAGGACTGGTGAGATAAGCCAATAAGAATAGACTAATAAGGAATAATAACCACCGGATAACTTTAGCGGCTTAGCCGGACACCTAGTACTCTACCTATATTCGCCAAGTTCTACCCCGGATACTACCTCCCGCCAAAAGCAGCCTGATGACCTCAGGTTTGCCGAGTGGGAGATACTGAGACGGCATGCCTACCGTGGGTAGGTGCTTTAGGTATCAAAAGAATGACTGACGGTATGTGTGCGAGTAGTTACACATAAAATGACAAGGTAGGTACCTAACTATATGTGTACGAGTATGTACACAGAACCCTACCCTCCCACCGCCCATCATCAATCGAAGTGGCTTTCCCAGGATTACAGGGCTTTGGAGGTGACTTATTATATAAATTGAAGGTCTACACAGGAGAAGACTAGAGACTTTTCCACTCTTCTCTCCAACAAGCATTCGCACTAACACCAAGAATATGACATTATCAGCCGAGGCCATAATTGCAGTAGTTACTTTGTTAGTAACAGCACCTTCTGCCCTTCTCATGACATGGAAGTATTTCCGAAGACACAGACAGTCTGCACCTGCTGAAGGTAAGAAGGATTATTTTATTGATTTTTTCATCCATTTTTTTTCAACTTTTTTTTTTATCACCTTCAAACCTCATTAATGACACTGGCATGCACTTGTTAACCGGGTTTCCCTCTTTCTTCTCTAGAACCGTTGCAGGACTTGAGGCCCCGGAGGTTCTCTCCTAGAAACAGCCGTGAACACCATTACCCCGATTTGTTGGTCGAGGCTGGGTTGATGGACCGTCGCATTAGTAGTATGTCTCGCCCTTCTCTTTATAGTCGCTTTTTCTTTTTTATTCCTAGACATCAAGCATGTGCTACTATTGTCTCGGTCGCCTATAGTCAACTTTACTAACTACTTATAGGAACTGGAACTCGAATATTTACCTACAGAGAGATCATTTCGGAAACCTCTATGCAATATACTATGAACTAGAATTGATTTATCTCCTACATTATCGGCATCAAGTGTGGCTGCAGCGGATTTGCCTATCGAGAGGCATCTTAGAGGCTTGTACAGAGTACAACTTGCATGAATTCGGAGCATAGTGACTTGCTTTTTTATCCTTGTTATTCAATCAATACCTAAAGCTCGGTGATTACATCTTATAGTCTCAACGCATGTGGATGTGGTACCTGTTTATCTTTTGTGTCTGATAAACTGTCTTACTCTATCTCGACTTTATAGTTCGTGTGTCACTCTGCCACGAGCAAGCCGGATTGATTAATTTCCATCGTACGCTTGGAGACAGAAGACCCGATAATTGCTATTTCACCTCCAGGGCCTTACTGCAAATAAGTTTGGCACTTATCTGTCACCAAGAATTGTCAAGGGTTATTCTCTCCAGGAGAGGCTAGCTATAGATTGAAATGTATCTACGTACTACTCAAGTTGGAGGGGGGAAGTCGACATGACTACGATGATTAATTTTAGTACTCGGTGCTATAGTATGCCTACCGGAGCCTTCCGCTGGCTTATCCCAAGGTGATGTCATTCGATCATGCTTTATGGAAGGTTCCATTAGTTGGTCACGGCCTTGATCAGCATAAATATGGCCTTTCTGCGAGTATCTAGAACCTCCTCTCTAGCCACCTCTTCAATCGTTCTGTTTAGTCAAGTCAATTGAATTCTACCACCCGTTCCGCCTGCATCGTCTACAGTACTCTCTGTACGGTTGGAAGGGCGGATGACAAGGGGCTATCTGAGGACTTTCTACAGTAGTCCAGCCCTACGCAAACGCAAAGCCACACGCCGATCAGATTGACTTTCATGATATATATACCTGTGCTGTCTCAACACATTACATTTGCAAACCCTATAGTATACTCTTAGAGAACCTCAACGTCGGTTTAACCCTTCTCTCAATAACCAGTTGCACCCAGGCTAGCAAAATGTCATTGTCAGTCGAGGCCATAGTTGCTATAGTCACTGTAGTAGTTACAGGGCCTGCTGCGGTTTTCGTAGTATGGGAATATGTTCGAAATCGAAGACGCAGACGGTCTCATTCTGCGGATGAAGAGGGTAAGAGCTTCTTTCTTCCTTGCTTGCTTGGTTTCAATTTCTTCCTATGCCATAAATGAAATAAGCTTGCGATTATTAACTCAGTTTCCCTTGTACATTTCTAGAAGCCTTTCAAATCCCGAGAACTATAAGAAATGGCCATGTGTATCCCCATTGGATTGTGGAAGCTGATCATGCCAATGGTATGTCTTGCCCTCTCTTATGTCAATCCAGAGTTACGTTTGGCTCGAAATCCTGCAGTTGAGTTTACTAATTGCTCATAGAAACCGTAATTCCATTAGTGTTTACCCAGCGAGCAGTCATTTGGGAAACTTCTATACAATACCATTGATTTGCGACAGACTGGCAGTCTGAGCATGTTCGACCGACTCTATGTTATATTTAGCATCACCTTTGATATCCAGCGTCTTTGCCGATTATCACTTTTATATTTCCTCCAGACTTTTGGCGTTGAATGATTTTTCTTGTGTTAGGGTATTAGCATCAAGTGTGGCTCTAGCGGATTTGGCATCACAGTGTATCTTACGAGGCTCGTACAGAGTACATTGTGCATGAATTAGGAGTATAGGAGTGATCTGCTTTTATGTCATGTTTCCTACAGCCGGTTGAAACTACTGACTCTTATAACTTGAATGAATTTGGATGTGGCACCTCTCTATTCATTATTGATTTTACTCAATCTTGATTCCACAGTCAGTTGATCACCCCCGGCAAAGAAAGCCGGCTCTATTAATTTCCATCCTAAGTGTAGAGAGGGAATGACTCCCGCAGAAGAATCGATATATTGAAAATGATGTAATCAAGAACTTGGCAATCGGACAGCGAGACTTGACTTACTTCACATCGAGCGTCCCTGCCGGATTTCCTATTAGGGTTAGACACCATTCCTCAGGGAACTGATTCGATCTTGAACGCTACCGACAGAAAGAGTATACCGAATATCACCTGGATGACTTGCCGTTCTTCCGTATTCCAGAAACACGATCAGCATGAAGCCGTGCCACAGCGTGACTTGTAACCCCGCCATAGCCCACCCCAGTCTGCGAAAGCCACACAGATAGACTAAATGCTGAGAGATTTACTGCAGGGATGATAGAAAAGCTTTTACTTCGTCATGGATTTCTATGCCATAATTAAGTAAACGGTTTCCAAGATCGAGAATAGTAGTGGTAACGAGGCCTACCATGCTGTCAAGTTCCGCTGTATTTTCTAACGATGACTGCTAGCGACCCGGGAATACACCAGTATAGAGATCATCACACTGCAAAAAGACTTTGATGTATGTCTGAAAAAAGAAGACCCGATAATCGACACCCAGGAGACCCGCAACCCGCTCCGCCTATCCGGATGAAAAGCTACCGGCTTGATGTCTAATTATGTTCGCAGGACACAGTAGGATCATCGAAGAGTCGAAAATTGCAGCAGTCATGCGGTTTTTTCCGGCAGTAGCCAAGACTCTCTCTCCCTCGTCAATCCTGAGACTCTGACGTATAGATCGTCCACCAAGAGAGAGAGAGAGAGAGAGCTAAGCCACAGGCCACCGCTATCTACATTCCACTGCTTATTCATGTATAAAAGGTTCCCCCGTACGGGAGAACATTTGGGAGTTTTCAACCATTCGCATTCATATTCAGAAATGGCCTTGTCCACCGAGGCTATAATCGCATTGGTGGCCACCGGCCCTGCACTTCTTATGCTCCGGGAGTATCTATGAAAGCGCAGACAATCTCCCCCAGCTACAGATCAAGGTATGGATCTCTCTCTCTCTCTCTCTCTCTCTCTCTCTCTCTCTTTTCTTTTTTTTTTTTTTTCTTTTTTTTTTCAATTTCTGCTATACGTATGTCCCGATACGTATCGGAATATCTAGCACAACTGAGGGTTTCCTCTTCTGGGTGCCGCCGCTTTAGTAAGGGCACTCAGGACCTTACTCAGTAAGTAATTCACATCACAGATCATCGCTCACTGAGCACTCACCCAGCACTCACTAAGTGTTTATTAAACTATTACATGCTTCCCGGCTTACTTATATGCTCTTTATTTTGTGCGAGTAATCTACAACCAGGCCTGTTAAACAGTCCACATAGTCATTTATTAGGCCTACTCATTCCAGTCTATACCCGGGTAAAAAAAAGAATAAAGAAAACTAAATAGCCCAAGTAGCTTTTCAGCCCGGTGTGGCGATTGCCTTGGAGTGCGTAAACAAAATGTCGAGATGATCATTGATTTGCCAGGGTAATAGCTTGCAACAAAGGTATAAAAAACCAGCTACTTTTACAAGTTAAACACATGAACCGGATAAAATGACCAAAGCGTATAAATCAAGAGCTTGCTGACGGACTGGACAACTGTGTCACCCGGGCGCTAAATGATTAGATCGCCCGATCAAATCTCAGACTTGAACACCGTAGAGAAAATGCTCAACCAGCATTAAACACTTTGGCGCTAAAGTTGGGTTGATCTGTCTTTAGTCCTTCGCTGGGTAATTCTAGACAATGGAACATTGAACGATAATGTCTTTTAAAATAATCTTTGAGCAAACGTTGTAATACTCAATCATTTTGCTAATATTACTGCTAAGTACTCATCGAGCTTCCATTAAAATGTCGGCATTGTCTAAAGATCACGGTTCACTAGTTATAAAGGGCCGGTTAACTGAAAGGTCAAGAGAAGAAGACAGTGGAGATCGGTTGGATGGGGTTTCCAAATATTCAGGGGTTGAAAAAGAGGAGGCTACTCCGTAAGTGCTAGTTAGACACTGTCCTTTAATTTTATGAGGTGGGGCTAGGGAAGGAGAAAGGGAATACTGATACTTGCTTCTTTAAATGACAATCTTAATCTAATATCTCTTGTGCTCGCGCTCTCGTCCCTGGAATTGTTTAACTCTATTCCCAATAAGCAGCAAGTCTTAAATTCAGCACCACACTACCCGACGTAATCGCCAATTACTTCTTTCCGTAATCAGTTTATCATTGGTAATGATGCACAAAGACGGCACGCAGCCACTTGAGAATATGGTTGCTTTTTCTCATGCAGCCAGGAGTCAAAGCGGCGAATGAGGAAGCTGTAAATTTATAATACGAGCTGCATATGCATTCAAAATACTACGCAAACATTTGAGGTGGCTTTGCACCCACAACAGACGGGCGCAGTACCTAGTAAATATTAAGGCTCATGGGCACTTCTTCATCTTACTCTTCTCTCCTTGTTCCTCTCTCCCTCTCTCCCTCCCTCTCTCCCTCTCTCTCTCAAAGTTGCTAGAAGAACGCGATATTCTCATTCTCCACTCCCCTGTGTCTCATCGGTAAAGATCCTAAAGACCCTTTGCAAGGTGCCTATCTCGAAGATTGACTGTGGTGAAGCACCTGCTCAAACTTACCCACCACTGTTTTATCATACTGTGACCGTCTCCGCAAGTGATTGCAATTATGAGCTCCCCCAGCGATGATGAACGGCACTATACAACTATCGATCCCTCAAGATTATCATCCGATCACCTATCTCCCCATACAGCAGTGGTCCACCCAGAAACAGCCTCTATGGTGGCCGAAGAAGACCCGGCACAACGGGACCCAACACGACCATTCATATCATTGAAATCAAAACCACACAGAGGCAGATTCGACCTAGATGATTCCTGGACATGGGAAATCGGTAGTGCGGTCCTAAGTGTAGTTGGTATCGCACTCCTTATTGGGTTTCTCATCAGTATTCACGGCAAGCCATATGCGAATTGGCAATATACAGCCTCACCGAACACAATCATCGCTATTATTGCAGCCATCACCAAAGCCGCACTGCTCAGCGCTGTTTCAGCCTGCCTTGGCCAGCTTAAATGGAGGCTATACGAGAGATCAAGTTCCGCTCCGCTTGAGTACTTGCAAACAATCGATGAGGCAAGCCGTGGATCGTGGGGCGCGCTTAAAGTTCTCTCGCGAGTGGCTTCGGGGTCGAAACTGGGCTTTCTGACATTCTCAGGTGCCTCGCTGACCTTTCTGGCCCTCGCGGTTGACCCGTTCGCTCAACAAATTCTTAGCTTCCCTTCGAGGCAAGTACAGGCTTTGAATGAAACTGCTTTGATTCAATCTGCGCGTAACTATACAGCCGGTTATCTTACCGCCGATTATAAAAGGATATCCAATCTACAAACCAGAGCCATCAACAGTGCGTTGTCACTTCCGGATACTGGCCTTCAGGCTCAATGCACCATGGAAAAGTGTTCTTATCCGAGATTTGTTTCATTAGGAATCTGCAGCAAGTGCGAAGATGTCACCGAGCAAACGACTCAGGATTGTGTGGGGACTGTGCTGCCAACTGCCAATTTGCCAGTTATAGATATGAACTGCACATATACAGCGCCGTATGAGTACAGTGTTACTCTATCCCTCGATGACATGGCAACTGGTACTGTATTTGATGGTGAGACCTTTAAAAAGCTCGCAGTGAACTTTTGGACAACCTATTCAAGAACGCCGCCACCGAGTGCAGACCTCGAGAAAGAGAGATACAAGATATTTGATATTGAAACACCAATTGTTTCGTTCATCGCAACCACTCAGTATGCAAGCATTCCCTATACAAGCCAGAACACAACAGCGTGGCCCCCCAAACCTTCCTTCACTGAGTGTGTGATGTACTGGTGTGAAAAAGAGTATGCACCAAGTAATTTCTCTGCCACAAGCGATCCAACTCCCGTCTCCCGGGCTCAGAAACTTCAGATCATTATACAGGATGAAGATTATATCTGGGCGAAGAATACTTATAAGTTCGTGCCACCGCCAGATTTAATACCCTTGTCCAACAAGTCCTCAACCTACCATATTTCTCAGCCCCTCTCCATGGATTTGGTATCAGAGCTTGGAAATCTGTTTAATGGATCCGATGCTACGTATCATATTCTGGTGGCAAATAATCTGACGGATGTGGTCAAGTCTTTGTCCACTAGCCTAACCGATGCTATACGTTCTGCCGACGTGAGCAGCAGAATATCTGGAAAGGCGTTCAGGACCGAAACCTATATTAATGTTAGATGGCCATGGATCATCCTTCCTCTCTTCGTTGTTTTGGCATCTACTATCCTACTTCTGGCCACTACGGTATCAACCAGGAATACTGTACTTTGGAAAAATTCACTGCTGCCTTTGTTGAGAAGCTACCTTGATGTCAAGCCCGAAGACAATTCTATCGCACTGCGGAGTGTTGATGGAGTGGCGAGGGGTGAGTACTAAAGCGGAAAGGGAAAGCTGCCCTGGATAGAAATCCCGGTACGTATGCTATAATTACATATTCATGTAGTTATTAACTCAATCTCTTTTGTTCTTTTAGAAGTGTCGTGGGAATTAGCCCCCCAGAGGCACCCTTGGCCTAGAAATGGCTGTGAATATCGTTAATCGATGATTGAAGCTGTGTTGATGAACCATCGTGTCGGTGGTACGTCTCATTCCTGTCTACTTCCTACCTCCCTCTTTCATTTTGTTGCTCCCTCTTCACAGATTTCAAGCACGTGTCACTGTTGTCTTGACTGACTAACTTTCTCGACCGCTCACAGGGCCTGGTTACTCGAGTATTCATCCGCAGAATTTCGGACACCTCCGTTGGATACTACTCATGAGTTATGATTGATTATCGCTTTATACCATCAGCATCAGGTGTTTGCAGCGAATTTAGGTATCGAGACAGGTGCATCTTTGAGGATTATAGAAATTCCATGGTTTCGGAGCATGGGGTGATTTTCTTTTTTTGCATCATGTTTAATACAATTAATAGAGACCAGTGGTTACATCATATACAGTCCACATGAATGTGAATATGACATCTATCCCTTACCACTCGTGCTGGATCTAGCTCACGTTCGAAGTTAGAGGAGAATGCATGTACTCAACCCAGAAACCCCCAAGTGACGTATAACCACTCCTCACTCCCACTGCCTCATAAGCGTGTTACCCTCAATTTCATCATCAAAGTTGACCAAATGCGTCGAATGGCACCAAGGCTTAATGCTCTCCTCCTTGCGAATAACCCCCGCAAAGAACCGGCACCACTTCATGCGCGGATAAGCCTCGTTGACCAGCTTACGGGTCGTTTCATGAATCAGCTCCCCGAACTGCTTCACATGCGGATGGAACCCAGTGTTATCGTATGTCGTGGCCAGCTGGATCAATTGACCAATGTAGGTGATCGTTCCGTCGACGCCCATGTCCTCGTGCCGGATGATGGCCTCAGCAGCCGCCTCGGCCTGGTCGGTCGTGGCGCCAAAATCCTTGAGGATGGAGAGCGCCTTGATGCCGCCGTAGATGTCGAAGGACATGCGCGTGGCGGTCAGGTTCTCCTCCGCGGTGCCGAGGTCGTGAAGCAGGCAGGTCAAAGCCCAGGTTGCTGGGTTCAGAGCGGCGGCTTGCGCGGGGAATTGCTGCTTGGTGATGGCCATTCCTGGGTGGATGTTAGATTGGGGCTTGGGGTGTTAGGGTTAGAAATGGGAATGTGTAGGCGTACCGTAGAAGTAGACCCGCATGGAATGGTTGAAGGTCTCGGGGTGCAGGATCTCCTTTGCATACTTCAGGGTCTTTGCGACGACTGGGTCATCAAATGGGAATTGGATAGCGTCGAGAGAGAGAGCCTCCGGCTTGTTGATGAACGGCCGATCGCCGAAGATGGCGCCTGCATTGGCCGGGGTGCTGGTCCAGCCGTTGGCAGCGATTTCCTGGTTGCACATGGTGAAGTGGAAAGCGTTGGAAGATTGAAGATTGAACAAATGATTTGAGTGTTGAGTGGGACTGTAGGCAGTGTAATACTATTTGAGAACCTGTTTAGTGGATGCCAAAGTAATGAAACGAGCTGGACTTAAGCCTTTATATATGATTTGTTTTCTGATCACTCACTCCGTCCCACTATTAATTCAATGCATGAGACGACAGAGACTGAAGCTTTTCCGAGCTGGTCCACAATGATTTGCAAGCAGGACATTTCTCGCACTTTGCAGATGTGAAGTCGTCGAAGCGCGGTGGAACCATATTTTCCGGATTAGGAAGTTAGAGCAGGTGGGCCTGAGGTGGCAACGTCCAATAACGCTAAAAGACCCACCAGACTTAGCGTGATATTCCGTCATATCTACTCCGTATGGAAGATCCCCAGAATTTCGGGATCTTGCCATCTGTAAGCTCGAGCTCCTGTTTAGGAAGTTAGAGCATGTGGGCCTAGTGCAGTAGCTTTCAATATTTCCGAAATATCTACTGGCGCGATATCCTTTGGCGTCTATCAAAAATCCCCGGATTTCAGAACTCGCCCATTGGTAAGCTCGAGTCGCCTGTCTAGGCAGTTGTAGCATGTGGTGCTCAAATGTCTAAATTTCAGCGTTATTTTGTGTCCTGGTGTAGAGATAGGTCATATAATAATGAGGCTCGGGCTGAGTTGGTTGGTATATTTCTCTTGTGATGGACACGCCAATAGGTTGTTGAAAATAAGCGTTAGCACGACAACAAATCAGAGCTCTTATTCACAATGGCTAGGTACCATCTAGCCAACCCAGTATGTACTAAGCCGCTATCTTATCCGGTTAATTTTGACCTAAAATGCTGACAAGAACTCCAAGAGTCCACTAGGATTTGGTGGCTTTGCAACTACCCTGATGACCCTTTCGCTCTCGATGATGGGCTTTCGGAGCGTTTCCAACCAGACAGTATTCATTGGAAACCTTTGCTTCCTAGCAGGGGTAGGCCTCTTGATATCTGCGCAATGGGAGATGGTGAAGGGAAACACTTTTACGTACACCGTTCTCTCCGCATTCGGTAAGTCAACCAGCTCTCACACATTGAGACGGTCGTTCTTAATGCGTTATAGGATTTTATTATGGCGGTTACGGCGTAATGCTGATGCCCTCGCTCGGTGTTATAGAGTCCTATGGCGGAGAAACCGCCGAATATCATAGCGCCTTTGCGTTCTATCAGCTAAGTATGTCGCTCACAATGCAATCTGCACTGCCAACTTGGGCTGACAATGAGGTGGAGTTTGGTGTTTTCTGAATTTCTTTTTCTTGCTTGCCGCTTTGCCAACGTAAGTACAGCCATTCAAGCCGAAATGCGGGTTATGCTGACATTTCTGAGGAATGTCCCGAATATTGTCGTCTATGCTGCCTTGGAACTGTGCTATATCTTTAACTGTACGGGCCAGTTTATGCGGGCAGATGGCAGGTCGGCTTTAGCTGAGGCTTTCACAAAGGTGGCTGGTGCCTTTGGCTTCGTATCGGCAGTGGCTGGCTTCTATCTGCTGGCACATGGTTTGTGTCAGGAGACATTTCCATTTGAAATTCCCTTGTGTGAAACCCGTGGACTTTTTCGGCGTGCAGTTTCGGTCGGTGAGAAGGGTGATGGCATGAGTTCTGTTTGAATAATTACCGTGAGAGTGCATAGTCAGTTCCCTTGGCGGCGATAGTATGTCAAATCGACGGTGATATCCATAGTAGCTGCATTCTCGGAGGCATCCGACATTATAAAATTCAAGATATAAATGGCCATGTGCAACGACCTAGATCAAATAAGCAACCAGCCTTGTTCTATCATGTATAATTGAGATTCCTTAGGTACCGAACTCTCATCAAAATGTGTTCGCTGCCAATAGTCGTTAAGAATATTTGAAGCGCCGATCACATTCAAACAACAGGTCAGTTCCCAAAGCATCCTCAGGGACTCGATGACCAGCTTTTGCTCAATATCAGTTTGGCTTTCGAGACCTGCAATGAAGGTCGGCCACAGCAGACATTTGAATAGAGCCGGGTCGCATTTGAGAGAGTCAATCACGTCAAGTAATCGCAACACCAACTCTCTATTGCCAGAAGAAATAGTTCCGGTTAGTGTCGTGAAAGCACGAAGGACTCGGGCTCCATAGAGCATAGCGGCAGTTCTGTATGCTTCGGATAGCATATAAAGCTTCTGGATCTCTATTTTTGAGGAGTCACTTGATTGTAAGGAGTCTGACGCCCATTCCAGACAATCGAAGTTTGCCGTTAGCTCTAGCATAGTTTGAGTATCTCGTATATGCTCCTGGATCGAGATGCCATCATGCATGTCCAAGGTCTCAATCACATGTCTTTGGTTGGAGAAGTAGCGAATAGCTCTCAGAAGGAAGCTTGGGCATCCCAGAAAGCTTCTGACAATGGACTCTTGATGCCTGCTTTCTTCAAAATTTATACACAGCTCAGGCCCCGTCTTCGAGCCTGAGAGTGCACCTCCGATGGTTGAGACACTAATGTTGTCAACGACAAACGACAGCAACCTCAATAATGAAAGGAGACGATGGAGCTTACAGTGATAACTGTCGGGCGACAAATCGCCTTGTCTCCTCATCTGTCTCTCCAGGGTCTCTGTTGACATATTGACTGGCACCAGACTCCAGCAGCGACTGAGAAAGCTTGACGATGCCTTCTGCCCCATTTAGATGATACTTCCAACCGTCAATACCAGACTCGAGGAGATCCAAGAATATCAGAAGAAGGATAGTTGCCATTATCGCGTCTTTCTGAGAATGCTCTGGATGGGATAGTGACGATAACAATGCCTTGATGGCTTTCCTTTTGAAATGGAGTGCGTCCACATTGGCATTAACAAATCGAGGGGATAAAACTTCATTATCCTGGTCAAAGGATCGGCCTGTATTGGCGAAGTGTCGTGCCGCAACAGCAATCATACCCATCCGCAAGGGTGAATCATCATCCGTCGCGTATGTGAGTAAATTCCTAAATGGATTGCTTTTGCTGTCATGTAGAATATATAATTTGGCGATGCGTACATTATCTTGTCTGGCATTAGCTCACCCACGAGAACATCAACTTGCTAGGAACCCACAATAGTCGAGATAGAATTTTGATGACCAATCGAGATTGTACATGCAAGGGTCTTGCAACGCGACGGGTGGAGCCACATCAATTGCCAGAGACTTCACGCGAGAAGATACAATTTCTTTCCGCTGGAGTTTCTTGGATTCACTTTGATTGGTGCCTTTGAGGTCTCCCCCAAGAACACGCCCGCGCATTTTACCCCGAATCGCCACACCTCTGACCCATCGTAGCGGTCTTTGTTCAAAGCATTCCAGCCCCGCTTTCTCGCATTTGGCGCAAGGGAATTTGGTTTGATCACATTGGATGGTGCGATTGCGACATGTCCAGCATGCTGCATGCATCCCTAAAGGCTGACGAAGAAAAGAACGACGATGATCGGAAACGGAGGGGTTGAGTTTGAAGATGTCGTGGAGCGTTGGAGCGCCGGCCGAAACTTAAGTGGAATCGTGGTCCGTGCACGGTGACTCGACAATTACCAGTTTGGGCGCATCAAGACTCTTGCGTGACACCTGCTGGGAAGTATTTTTGAAGCCGAAGATAGACTACAAGATAGAGTTCCGATGCACACCATCGGGTCTTTTGCGGGTGCAGTCCCCACGTGATGTCAGGCGTCTCTGCCCCTCTTTTCTCTATACTTCCTGAGACCTTGAGAAGTTCTCAACAAGCATATCCGCACATTCATCAGAACAGTCATCTCAATTCATACGTTAGTGTCTGAAACCTAGGAATCGATATCTTGAGTTTATTTCCCACCAGCGTATCCTGCTTTACCCGAATCGGAATCGACTCTGATAGACTGACACAGTTAGATTCCTGGAATCCTGCACTGTGCACCATCAAATCCGCAATGAAAGCTTCGCTTAACCTCGGTCGTAGATAAAATTCCTACCCAAAGAATGGAACTCATATCCGGGTGCCCATTTCTAACAACCTTCGAAAGGTTACACAAGAAAGCGCCGATGACGAATGTGCGAATTGACCCCGCCGAAGAACATCAACTTCTCTGCCTCTTCAATCGACACAGCCAATCCTCTCCAGCCCAAAACGCGTCATGGATTCTATCTATTCAACAAACCAGCGCAAGTCAGTCCTTCTCTCTCAGCGCATCAAGCCGATACGACCGGTCCCAGCACTGTCTGCCCAACGCCTTCTATACGGATTTCTGTCATACCCTTCCTCCATGGATGTTGGATAAAGGCTCGTCTCGTGAGCAGAGGGTCCTAAAGTTGGGCTTGTCTCATCCGATGTCAGATTTTGCATTTCGAGAATACATACATGTGTGTTGAAGAGAACTCCGCTAATGCATATTCTTATCCTCCCTTAACTGACCGAACATCTGACAAGTCTATGAACTGTCGGTGTTGGTTTAAATCTCAACCGTCGAGGTCAACAAGCTAATGATATCGCGCCAAGTATACTCCTTTCCCACGTTCATCCAAAACTTCTCAGTTATTGGGGAATGTCTCTTTTCTCGGTGTCGTTCCGGTTTCGCCCCGATGTTCACCTTACCAGTCAGACGACGAGCTCGATACACTGCCTTCTTTAGTGCAACAGCAAATCAATCCTTTCTATCTCCTGCTAGCAAATACCAGGTAGTTGGGATGACATGCTGACCGCGTGTCAGAACAGACAGGTTTATCCTAGCTCCAAACTAGTCTGTTTCTACCCAATGCGTCGGAAAACATCTACGTCAGAGAAATCGATATAGGTACTCATCAGCATCTAACAACCAGGCCCCACTCATTTGTCTGCCCATATAACTGGGTCTATAAATCTCAAGGGTTGGCATGTTACCAACTGTTCGCCTCCTCTTTCTTCACCACATACGCTCAAATACAATGCCCTGGTCCACCGATACCACCATCGCAGTTGTGACGCTGCTTGCAACCGGTCCCTCCTCAGTTCTTGTGCTATGGAAGTTCTTCCGCAACCGAAGACAGCCCAGCCATGCAAATTGTACGAAGATCAAGTTTCCCCTGAAGCGGGTCGGGCAGTAGGTGTGAGAGACGAGTGTTCACATAAGTATCCGGTACTAATTAAATTAGATCCATTGGATGAGATAGAGGAACCTTCAAGGTCTATCTCTTCAAACCTGACTCGCTCTCACCTGTCGCGGACTGGTAGTGATCATTTCTACTGCTATCCATCTGGGTTGGATATTGAGGCGGGCTTGATGAATTACTTGGTTGGTATGTTGAGTGAGTGCATTTACTTTCTGCTCATGTTCTTCATATCGGTCCATTTATTTGTCTCTTATGGTTCCCTTTTTTTGCTCTTACTCTTGCTCCTTGTATTTAATGCCCCGAGTTAAGTATTCTGTGTATTTTTATGCCTGCTCTACTAACACCACCTGCATGAACAGAAACCAACGGGCACGTCCATCTGAATAGGAGAATTTATTCGGAGCTCCACGTATCGTACTTTATGGGTCAGGACCAGGCTCGGAACTAGTTCTTTAGGTTATGTGAGTTTATCATGGGTGGCAGCATTTGATTCAATTGTTCTGCTTTGCTTTTTCTCGATTCACGACACTGCGCAAGATAAGGGGAAGGATAAGAGGGATGCAGGGAAAAGACACTAGACCAGAGACGACGATCACGGCTATGAATAGAAAAGCAGACAGATGGAAAGTATCCTCGAGAACATAGTCATGATATGTAACTCTCCAACGATGGAAATTTCGATAGAAAGCAGTTCATGGGGGCCGTTGTTCTAGGCTCGACCCACCGATGACTAATCCGCCCAAGGGGTTCGTCTCGGGTGGACCCGCATTTGAATCCCTTTTTTGACTCCACTGGCTCCAGTCTCTCCATGTTATCATGGCGAAACTCGTAGATTTCTCTATAGAGGCGTTCATAAGGGAGGCGAGGTTTCGCGTATTCCTTGGTCCAAGCCAGCTCCCGTTCACCGACTGCCCGGAATATATCAGTTGATGACAAGACTGCGGAAGGTTAGCAAGGGACACTGATTACATTTTGAGATCATAAACTTACACGGTCCTCGATCAATATTTAATGTCTTCCTTTCACCGTGCCACCAACCATAATGGACAATTGGGCCCAAGCAAAATTCATCAGCGTTCTTATCGGGTAAAGGAATCTTTCTCTCTCGAGGAAGGTCTCTGGAATAGTATATACTGCCGCATGCAGGGAATTCCAATGACATGAGCCGTGCCTCCAGCTCAACAATCTGCTTCATGACCACGTATTGCTCTTTTGGCGTCATCGAAAACCATTTGTCACCGAGGGGCGCGCCGCTCAGCTTCTCCATAATAATATACTCGGCGCCAACGGGGTTTTCTTTGGTTGAGCTCCATGCGTACACATCAGGCGCGCAGATTCCATGCCGACGAAGGTAATTTAAAGTGGCAGTCTCGCTGGCGATTGTGTATTGCTCTGGTGTAGTAGATGGATATGGCAATCTAGCAATTACACATTTGCCATCTACAAAGTTTGCCTGGAAGACGCGGTTGAATCCACCTTCGGACAATTTGAAAAATTCAACAATGTCCGATGCCGGGCGGTCAAATGTGGCAGCGATGATTCTCTTAAGGGCAAACACGTCGAACTTCAGGTGGCGTTCCGCGAGACGTAGCTGTTCATTGTAGCTGCCAGTCGTAAGCTTCTTAGACTGCTTTGGATCAGACAGATCCTACATACACCCATCTACCAGACGTATAACGGAACAGGTCATCGTGGGAAGCCTCGGTTGACCGATGCGCGGTTACCATTAAACCTCTGACTGGTCGAGTGACAGAACAGCGCGAAAATCGGGGGCGTATCGTATGGAATAAATTTTGTATTCGCATGTTTCTTGTTGCCGAACTGCTGGAAGTTACGATCAAAGAAAGCTGTCGGAGGATGTCAAAGTGGAAGGTTCCGTTGGCTCGCGCTTGTTCGGTTGAAGATAACCAGTCCCTCGACAAGAGAGCCGGGGGTTGGGGGCAAATAATATCTAATTTGAGTAGTTAGTACTAAATACTGATAAGGATCAGAAATGACTATATTTGGATTCCATTTTCCGTGTACATCACGGAGCAGTTCAATTAGCGTAGCCCAAGGGGTTCCAAAATCCCAACCACCTCGGTGATCCGCTTGGCAGTAGACAGGTCGATCCACTTGTTTTTGCACCCATATGGGATTTAGGATGAGTCTTTTTCTTTTCTGTTTCATTTTTTCTTGCTTTAAAGGGCTTGTATTACATTTCCTCAGTAGAAAGCCTGCATTTCAAACATGACTCAATCTAGACATGCTTGTGTCCTACCTAGTCCTTAGAAAAGAAACTATTTACATCAACATTCTTGCCCACTCCCAAAAACGCCGACCCGCCTGTAACATTAACATCGTGAAACTCCTGCTGGGCCTCAATACCACTATCACAATTGATGAGGCCAGCAAGTAGCTTTCCCCCATCACTGACAGCGACTTTGGTGAACTTTTGCCCGGTGCGTAGCTGATGAGATTGCGATACCAAGCATTCCAGGGACTTCCGCGAAAGACTGAGTGTATCAAGCTGTTGACCAAGTTGCTCAATTGTCTCGGAAGGGTTGCTGTCTGTTTTCTGCGCGGTATTGGCCTGCTGCAGTGCCATCTCCACCTCTGTCTTCTGATCATCCATCGCTTTCATTTCCTCGGCGATTCTGATCTCGTTGTCTCGGAGCTGGCTTCGCATCGACTCCGTGATCGAGACTGGTGTAGTTGCTGTTAATCTGTAGACCAGGTAAGTATGACACGGCCGATGATCAGAATTTGCGTATGCAGGGGCACAGGTACATACAGGACTGCTGTGCTGACTGCCAAGTTCAGCGTAGATCTGCAGGGGTTGAGTTTCTTCCTGAGATCTTCGATTTTTGGCTTCACGAAAAGGCCAAAACAGACGCGATCCCGCGGACCGGAGCCCGTTTTCCATCTGTTCAACCTCTCGCCAAACTCGTCACAGACTCGTTGGCAATTTGTAATGGTTTGTTGCAATGCATCTTGTGCTTCGGGTGTGAGTGCGTCAAGCTTTTGGTCCTTTTGCGCATGGTCCAAGGTAACAAGGAGAGCCTTTACTGCTGCCAGCTCATCCTTCAGATCCATGATGATCTTCGGTGCATTCTTGATCGCATCAATAGCATGTACTAGAGAGTTAATGCTCTGAAGTGCTGCTCCGGCGATACCCAGAGTACCAACGGCCACGCTGAACGGATCCATCGTCGTAATAGGGCCAGATGAAGGGGTCTAGGTCGATAAGAACAAGCGGGCTTTAATTCGAACGAGATAGCCCGGATATGTCGAAGCTGCTCAGACAGCCACAGTGATGAAGATGAATAGAATGCTTGAATTCAGAGAATCGATGAGTTATCTGTAGCTATCTGAGGACCGATAGCGAAACGACCGCTTCCGTAGTAGATGATGGAATAGGATGAGAGATGATGAAATAGGTGAAGCATTCAAATTCAGGGTGGATGACTATGCAGAAGAATAAGTTATGAGCTACTGGGAGGGGCCTTTATATTACGACTAATCAGTGCCGAGCCAACCGTTCTTTCATGAAGCTGGAGGGGTGGCGTTTGACAACTTACACCTCAGAACTTCCACAAACCCGACTGCAATCCCTGTTGGTTATTGTTTGACCTGGTTTGTCATCTGCTTCTGGGACAGATCCTCAAGCTTCGCCTTTCTGTTGACTACTGCCACCTGTCTTCTTTGCCCTCTTCTGATTCATCATGTCTCGGAACGTCTCCCAGAACATATCTCACGTGCACACCGAAACTGGTGGCAGATCCTTCATAGGCATCGCAGATAACAGCACTCACTTCCATCAGTATCCTGGTAAGCTCTCGGGGCAGAAGGTTGACCTAAATAATATTAACAATGGAACCCCTAGAACAACCTGGATCCCCTGTTAGCCCATTATCAACAGTCCCGTTTCGACGTGATCCAGACTTCGTCAGTCGCGACAAACTTCTTGATGAGATTCGCCAGAGAAACTTGGTCCCAAGGTTTAGCAGAATAGCGCTTGTCGGCCTTGGCGGCGTTGGGTTAGTGCAAAGCTGCCAGCATGTAGTACTGGGATTTTATCGCTAACGATTCGAAGGAAATCACAAGTTGCCATAGAGTATTCCTATTGGATCCGGCAAAAGTCACCGTCGACATGGATTATCTAGATTCATGCGAGCAACGCCGCCCGGTTTGAACAAAGCTTTCGATACTTTGCAGACCAGGTAAAGATCCCGGGCCGTGATGATTCCAAGCAGAACATATACAATCTCGTCAAAAACTGGCTTCGAGACGAGAAGAGAGGCAACTGGGTGGTCATCCTTGATAATGTCGATGACTACGAATTCCTTACTGCGCAGCCGCAAAGCCCAGGAAGCTCGATCAACGGCCAAGCGGATAGTCCTCCGAAAAAGCCACTGTTGCGATTTCTCCCCGAAATCAAGAACGGCTCAATTATTGTGACAAGTCAGTCAGAAGAAATCGCCTCCAAAGTTGTCGACCATAAGGAAATTATCAAAGTTGAGCCAATGGATCAGCTAGAAGCGCTGCAACTTCTCCAAAAGAAGCTTAAAGCACGAGCAGAGGGTGAAGAGGCCTGCGCGTTAGTAAAAGAGCTCGAGTTCATGCCATTAGCAATCGTCCAGGCAGCAGGCTACATCAATTCTCAGCCCCGTTGCTCGGTATCGCAGTACCTGGAAAGGTTTCGCAAGTGTGATCGCAACATCATCAAACTTCTCAAACATGAAGCAGGGCATCTTAACCGAGACTGGGAAGCAAAGAACTCCATTTTACTTACGTGGCAAATGTCCTTTGACCGTATCCAAGAAGTGAGACGGTCGGCGGCAGACTTGCTTTCACTGATGAGCTTCTTTGACCGACAGGGGATTCAAGAGAGTCTTCTCCAGGTCAACGACGAGGCGGGAAATAGCAATTCAAGATCTGGGGATGTTGCGAGCGACTCCAGCGATAGTGGTACAGACACAGATGACACTTTTGAGCAAGATGTTGCAACATTAAACCACTATTCACTTGTTTCTTTTGGCGACAACACCACGACTTTGACTTTGACCATGCATCGGCTAGTCCAGTTAAGTGTTCGGACCTGGTTGAAGGCCCAGGGACAATTGGAGCGATGGAACACAAGATTCATCGTTCACCTGCGCAAAGAATTCCCAGAGAATCCTGAGTATGAGAACTGGGAAAAGTGCCGGTTGCTCTTTCCACATGTAAAGTCGGCAATGTCGCAACGGCCACAGCCACGCGACATGAATTCAGACCTCTGGGATACACAATACCCGCCTTCTATACTTTCATGGGCTGATCTAATGCACCAAGGCGCATTATATGCGTTGGGAAGTGGTAATATTGCAGACAGGAGGAAAATGGCATCAAGATCAAGAGAAGCGAGAATGGAAGGGCTTGGATTCAGATGTCAAGACGTCGTCACAAACTTTAGGGCGATAATAGAGGCCTTTCATCCAGAAGAAGACTCTGCCAAGAGGGATACTATGAATCCGTCATCGCAAACAGTGGGCGGCTAGCAATGACGTTTAGGCTAGACGAGCACTGGAAGGAGGCCGAGATAATTGAGGAGCAGGTGATGAAGATGAGCAAAGATATCCTCGGTGAGAGCCACCACCTTACGCTGCAGAGTTCCAATCGCCTGGTAACATTCTATATGAACCAGGGCTATTGGGATAAGGCTGAGCAGCTTGTGAGGCCACTAATAGAGGCAAAAAGAAAGAAATATGGGGAGGACGACCCTGTGACAATGATTAGTACGAACCATCTTGCCACGATATTTTTGAATCAGAAAATGTGGCAGGAAGCCGAAAAGCTCCAGTTGATTGTGATGAAAAATTACAAGACGCTCAGCCCGAACAACCCTAGAACACTGATGATTATGGCAAACCTGGCCGCAACACTTTGGCACCTGGGCAAAGTGAAGAAAGCCGAGAAGCTTGAGCTGGAAGTGTTAGAAAGGCGCAAGAAGGTGCTCGGCAAGAACCACCCTGACACATTGATGACTATGCACAACCTAGCGGCGACATTTGGGAGCCAGAACCAGTGGGACAAAGCCGAGCAGCTTGAGAGGGAGGCGCTAGAAAGGCGCAAGAGCGTGCTCGGCGAGAACCACCATGATACGCTGAAGAGTACCGTCCATCTTGCTGGGTTCTGCTTTTTTCAAGGTCGACATGCAGAGGCTGGTGAATTGTTATCAGCTTGTTTTCCCACGCAAGAAGTCCCAAGTTCCGTTGATTCTATGGTCCAATTCATGTTGAAATATTAGCGAAGCCCCGGAGTCGAGTGAGTCGCGAAATGGGTGACCATGCTGAGCGGAGAGATCTTCAAGAGGAAGGAGATTGCTGAGTTTGTTCAAGGGACGTCGTATGGAGTGTGGATATGTCAGGCGCCGGAGAAGAGATTGGCAAAGTTGAAGGAAGGTTACACCGACAAGACGCCGACCTGCATATGAATTAAACCATCTCGATTTCATCGGCGCTTTGCCACATTTTTCTTGTTTTACCGGGGTGTGCTGGGGTGTGCTGGCTATCTGTTATTTGTAATTTGCTTTGCCGTGTTCGGAGTTATTAGTCTAGTCTTATCTTTTTATTTCTTAGGGCTACACTTCATAAATGCAACTGTTTCGAGACCTGGATAATTATGCCCAGATACTAGCACATAATGCATAAATAATACTTCGTATCCTACCTCTCCTTGAACTCAATAACTAATGATAGTGGTCCAAAGAGCCAACCATCAACAGTAACTCTATTACCAATCACTCAATCAACCATAGACAACCGTTTGATTACCTCTTTTCGCCTCGCGGATATGATATCACAGACCCAGCATTCCAGAAAGCCAACCTACCTCCTGCCCAGCACACGTATCCCCCGTCCAGCGTACGTGACCGAATCCCATAGAGGAAGGAACCTACCTGGTACCCTCGGTATGCGCGTATGCAAAGCACAGATACCTAAGCCACCATATCCAACCCGCCTCTTCTACGTCAGCCTCCAGACAGATAGGTCGGACAAATAAGCCGGATAGATAGATGACGCAAGGCCAAAGAAAGGATACGTCCGTAGCTAACCGAGCCTGCGAGGTCATGGACCGCTATATAAACCGTGGTCTAGTCCCGGTGTATTCTTGGGTTCGGGTCGTGTTCAGTTGGTCACGTCGAGACAGAAACAGACACTCAGACACAGGGCAGAAACGGCACACAACACACCGGGACAAGCCGAACCTACACACGCCAAATCATATATTCTTGAATACCGGCTAAGCACCAAATCTATTGCCAATCAACACCCTGGTATTAAAATCGGGGTTATTTTTGGTCGATTTGCGGGGAAACGGCCGGCTCGGTTGGCGGCGCTTAGGCTCGGCGGGACTTCCGTCATACTTACTCTTGCGAAGTCGGGGTCTTGATTCGGCCGGACTTCGGTTGGAAGTGGACTTTGTCTCGGGTTGATACCAATTTCCTTCTACTGCGGAGTACAGAGGACTAGGACAGAATGCTCCTGCAGCCGTTGTGGGAGAACCTCTCGGTCTTGGGGGTTGCGTCGGCGGTGGGGATTCTCACCGGAGGATTGGTATGTTATTTCCTCCCTCACTTCCTCCGAGTCTAGCCATTCGGTGGAATGTACACGTACACACGGAATATGTATGGCTAATGTAACCAACCCAGACGCTGGTCTATGTCATCTACAACTATCTCTTCCACCCCCTTCGTCAGATCCCCGGGCCCTTACTGGCGGGTCTGACACCCTGGGTGCAGCTCTATCATGGCCTGAAGGGGGATCGGCATCTGTGGCTTCATCGACTGCATGAGCGTTATGGATCGCATGTGCGCGTGGCGCCGAATTTCGTCTCGATCAATAGCGCGCAGGGGCTGCATGATATCTACGGTCATGGTAAGAAGCTGAAGAAGGCGGATTTCTATAACGCGTTCCCGGCGATCAAGGGCGTGTATAACACGCACAATGCGATCGATAAAACAATGCATGGTCGTAAGAGACGTGTGCTCAGTCAGGCGTTCTCGGACCATGCGCTGAAGAGTATGGAGGATGTGATGCTCTTGCACGTGCGTCAGCTTTGCACGGCGCTGGGCGCGGAGAGTCAGAGTCAGAAGGGCGGTGCGGTGTTCAACATGAGTAACTGGTTCAGTTACCTGACGTATGATGTGATGGGAGAGTTGTGCTTCGGGAAGAGCTTCGATATGTTGATTTCGAGTGGGAAGCGCAAGCTGATCGAACTGGTTGATCGCGCTGCGAATCGGCACTATGTGGTGAGTTATCCCTTCTCCCCTCCGTCTCCTCTGGCCAGAAAATCTAACAGAGTCAACAGTGTGGACTGTGGATGCCTCTGGATAGCTGGCATCTCGACCAAATTGTCATCCACCGGCTCACCAACGACCGATGGAACTTCATCATGAACTCGCGCGTGGAAGCCAACAAGCGCGCCCAAGAGCGCACGCAGGCCGGCCACGACTCCAAGAAAGATTTCTTCTTCTACCTGCTCAACGCCAAGGACCCCGAGACTGGCAAGGGTCTCACCACGCCCGAACTCTGGGGCGAGGCCAACGTGCTTATGATCGCCGGCAGCGACACCACCTCGACCACGCTCGCCGCCGCCCTCTTCTACCTCGTCCGGAACCCTCGCGCCATGGCACTTCTGAAAAAGGAAGTCCGCGGGGCCTTCTCCTCCGTCGAGGAGATCGTCACGGGCGCGCAGCTCAACGAGCTCGTCTACCTGAAAGCCTGCCTGGACGAGGCCCTGCGGCTAGCGCCTGCCGTACCCGGCGCGATTCCGCGCGAGGTCATGGACGGCGGCGCCACCGTGGACGGGGTCTACCTGCCCGCCGGCACGGACTGCGGGACGCCCACGTACTCGATCCACCGGCAGGCGGAGTACTACCGCGAGCCGCAGGCATATCTGCCCGAGCGGTGGATCGAGGGGGCGACCTGTCAGGGCCCAAACCAGGAGAAGGGTTGGACAGTCAGCAAGGAAGATGTCGAGACGGCGCGCCGAGCGTTCTGTCCGTTTAGCATCGGACCGCGCGGTTGCATTGGCAAGGGGATGGCCTTCATGGAGATGCGCTTGACGATTGCTCGGATGATGTTCCTATTTGACATTGAGTTTGCCGATCGCACGGGTGAAGACGAGGGCGGACATTTGGCGTTGGTGGATCACTTCACGAGCGCCAAGCGGGGGCCCAACGTGGTGATCAAGCAGGCTGGAACGTGTTGATCATGCTGTATAGCTGGATAAGGGGATAGATTGAATGTTCTTTAGTAAGTATATATTCTCGCAATGGAAATTATGAATAAAGGATTATCAGGAGGTCAAAAGTGGACTGGAACACGCGGAGTAGAGAAGAGAGAAGAAGTGGCAGTGAAAAACTCCGCAAAAGGAGATCTCCAGCAGAAGAGGACACGTGCCCCCACGTGCTCCATCCCTATGCATCAACAGTATTCCTTCATCTTCTCTATCTTCTCTCCTGACGAACTCTCATTGATCCCCATCGCTCTTTACCATGTCCTAGTCACTCCTTTTATCCTCACTAATTCCAAAGCATGCCCCGATCCCCTTTACCCTCCATCCTCCTGCAAGCCACCATCCTCAATGCCATCTCCAACCTCCTGGCGCAGGTGATAGACCAGTACCAGAAAGATGTACGTAGAACCATTCATTTTTTTTCTACCCAGCTTTATCCTGTAAACCACTATTCCACTTCCTTACAGCCATCCCCTAATCCCCCCAAACCCCCTCTCCACATACCCCCTACCAAACTATACCATAACCAGCTATACAAAACTAACCACACCCCCTCCGGGCCCTCCAAAATTAAAGGCCCCATTCACACTCAACACCCTAGCCCTGCTCCAATTCATCACCTACGCACTCATCATCGTCCCCATCAACTTCTCATTCCAGAACTGGCTCGAGTCCAGCTTTCCGGGCTTCCCAACATGGCAGCGCCTGAAGCCCCGGAAGCCCACCCCCCATCCCAGTCTCGATCTGGACATGGACGGCGTGGCCATCGACATCCTGCCGTCTGTGAAGGACAAGCCGATCCCGATGTTCCAGCCCCGAAAGGCCAGCCAGCGGTCTGGAACGTGGAACTTCGCGATGAAGTTCCTGCTCGATCAGACGGTTGGGTCGGTGGGCAATATCGTGCTCTTTGTGGTGCTGATTAATTTGTTGAAGGGCGTGGCGTGGTCGAGGACGTGGGAGTTGGTTGCTGAGGTTAGTTTTTTTTTCTCTTTCGTTGGTCTTTTGGGGTCTGTGAGATGGACTTTATCTGGGACGGTGGATACAGATACGGAAAGAAGGAGAGGCAGAAGCGAACTAACAGCAAAATCAGGACTTCGAGCCCATCATGATCGCAAGACTCAAGTATCGCCCGGTTGTCTCGACGCTCATGTACACGGTTGTGCCGGTGGAGCGGCGAGTGGTGTTTGGGAGTGCGTGTGGCGTCATCTGGGGGGTTTATCTGAGTCTGTATGCAGCTGTGTAGGCTGGTTTCCTTCCTTCATTCTTTTATCCTTCTTTCTCTTTTCTACCTTCCTTCGTTATGTGGCTCCTTTCTTTGGGCTCTCTTTTTTCCCTCATTCTTTGGGTTCTCTTTTGTTTGGCTTCGGTTTCATTCTACTTTCTCTTTGGTAACATCCATGATACCTTACAATTAGATAGATGTTGTGTGTACTATAATACCCCAGGCATAGGCAGTGTATTTCATGTGTTTGCTTCTTATTCATCCTATATAGATTCGAGTAGCTGGCTATCTACCAATAGTATGGTTATAGTTACTCTTTTTTGCCGTCTCATCCGGCTGTCATCTCGTCATACTCGACTAAAGAATACATTTCATCGTATATATTTCCCAAACATACTTCCTTCCAAACTACAAACCAAGCCCTTTGACGACGCTCGCATGCTCATACTATACTCACATACTCGCCCGCTCCTATGCCATGCCATGTCATGCCTATGCATGGCCCGGTTCCATGCTCCTCCCCTTCACCGAAATCCACTGCACCCCAAGCGCCGCAAAGAACGCCATCGCGGCCGTCGCAACCGAGATATAGAAAGTATGCGTGATGGAGTCGCTATACGCACGCAGCACACCGTCCAGATCCACCTTATCCACGACCTTCCTGAGCATAGTCGCGCCCGCGGAGATGACCTTGTCGCTGTCTACATGCGGCGCCATCGTATGCAGATTCGTGCGCAGCTGGTTATTGAAGACGTTCTGGGCGACGGAGACGAAGACGGCGCCGCCGAGGGTCTGCAGGAACATGCCGATGGCGGTGGCGGTGGGGACGTCGACGGGGGGCAGCACGGCCTGGTAGACGAGCATGTGCTGCTGGATGCCGGTGCCGACGCCGATGCCGAGCATGGCTTGGTAGCCAATCCAGACGGGGTGGCCGGAGTCGACTTCGAAGGTGGAGAGAAGGCCGGCGCCGACGGTGGTGATGATGGGAGCGAGGAGCATGAAGGGCGCGTAGTAGCCGAAGCGGGTGACGAGGAAGCCGACGATGACGGAGGCGAGGACCATTCCGATGACCATGGGGAAACTCATGATGCCGGATTTGGTGGCGGAGACGCCTTTCACGGATTGGAACCAGATGGGGAGCTAGTGGTGGTGTTAGCTATGGAATCTAGAGGCAGAAAGGTCAGAGGGTGGGGGGGGGGGGGGGGGGGGGCGCATACATAATACATAATGCCGTAGAAGGACCCAAGTAGGAAAAAGGCAAAACAGGCAGCGCAGGAGACATTGCGGTTCTTTATCAGTCGAGGAGGCACCGTGGCCCTGTCACCCCGGTATCCCTGCATCGCGACGAAGCCCAGAATGAATACACCGAAGAGAATGAACAGAGCGATGATACGGCCATTCCCCCATGCATATTGACTACCTCCCCACTGCAGCGCGAGCAGAAGGCAGACAATGGCCGGAAAGAACAGGACCAGACTGGGCAGATCCAGTTGCGATATTTGATCTCTCGCTCCAGATCGACCTTGCACCGGCTTAGGCGCGTCGAATAGAAAGATAATAATAAGGGCCGTCGCGCCTCCAAAGGGCAGGTTGATGTAGAAGCACCATCTCCATGTGAGATTGTCGGTAAACGCGCCACCCATCAAAGGCCCAATCACACTGGCAACGCCAAACATCGCTCCCAGGACACCTTGGTAGGCTGGTCTTTTCTCCAGCGGTACCATCTGGGTGATGATTAAAATGGCTCCTGAGAAAAGACCGGCGGCTCCTATGCCAGCTACGGCACGACCGATGATCAATCCCAGCGAGCTAGGAGCAACGCCGCAGATCAGGGACCCGAGCTCGAAGATGAGCAAGGCGATTAGATAGACCCATTTGGTCGAGTAGAATGTGTAAATCTTGCCGAATGGCAGAGTCAACGCACACGTAGTGAGCATGTATGCACTCCCGTACCAACCGACATCGTCCAGGGAATTAAACTGTTCCGTTATCTTCGGGATAGCAGTTGTGATTATCGTATTATCCTGGTCAAACGTCAGTTTAGACTCATTGAGCGCTGGAAGTCATAATGTCATTTTCTTTTGTTCGCATCGTATCACATACCAAAGATAAACATAATATTGCAAGTCCCAGGCCAGCTGTGACAAAAATGAGTTTCCATATGCTCGGGGGTTCATTTCCGGAGTTTTTCGACTGTGGATCGTATGTTTCCATCTCACTATATGCCAGCCCATGTACTAGCACCTCGTCATCTTTCTCGAATTCGCGAATGGCTGGTTGCGGAGAACCACCCGGCACTGAACCGATCTGTGGACTTTGCTTATCTATCGAATGTGGTCTGCTGTTGGGTATTCCCTCCGCCAGGCTGGTCTCAGAGGGTAGCCTAATGGCACCATTTTTCGAGAAACGATTGTGGTGAATTTCTCCCATGTTCTTGGGTGATGGGGCGCGAGGCGGAAAGGTGTTAAACAGCTTCGACCTGACTTGCGACACAGCGGAATCAAGTCTCTAAGAAAGGGGGGCACAGGTAATATTGACAAGAATTCAAAAAGACCAGCCAGAGCACTCGGATATTCGGGACATATGGAAATGTTTCACAACACGCAAACACAGGGAATGGGGTGCCACAACTAAGTCATAAAATCATGAAACTTTTGAAAAAGACCGACTGCAGTACCTGTATGTAGAAAGCATCATGTGCAATAGGTGCAGCATCGACGCATAAAAGAAATCATGGCAGACCATTTTCAGCAAGGGATGGTAAATTACCTGGCCATTCATTCTTACGCGTCCACCAACCATGTCCCCTGGATAGAGGCGACGGGGAATGCCAAAGGGAACTCAGGGTCAAGTTCGTCCTAACATGCCAGGCCCGGGGTATCGTCTGTGGAACTGCTCATGGCTGCCAACTCGGCGGCCGTGCAAAGTATAGTGTGTGCGCGCCAATGCCATTTGTGTGACAACGGATGAAGCCCTGTTTGTAGACATTTCGTCAGACCAAGGGATAGAGTACCCCGAGGCAAGCGCCTCGGCCCCAAAGAGCCCCTGACCTAGCTTCCCGAACCAAAACAAAGAGTTTATTTCCCAGCTGTAGCCTTGAATGCGCGCTCTTGTCGTGCATGATTCGTTCATCCTCAACGGTCCAGAATAGAATGACATCCCCATATCGTATCGGCGCTTTAAAGTCCCGCGAGTAATGGCATGTGGCATGCAGTAGCCAGCCCCATGTGAATGCTCGGGTGCCACAGACAGTAGCTTCCGAGTATCTTATGCCTGAGTACTAAGTTGATGTGTTATGAAATAATGGGCCTGCTGGACAACAACCCCGGCATCTGTTGCATCCGATTCCGAATCCCGTTCCATACTGGGTTGATCGAGACCCCGGCAGCCCCTTGCATTGTGAATGAAGCTAACGAACTTTCACCGGTCTAGAGAAGTAGTCAGCTTGAAACAGAGACGGCCCGAGGATGAATGCGAGAAGGAAATTACAAATGAAAGAGTAAGGAACAAAAACGGAAATCCATTCAACGACTTGATGTATTCCGGCCATCGGATATCTCCTAACGGAAAATTACTTGCAACGCCAATACCAAATGACATAAAGATATTTATACATATCATTTTCTCCCAGTGACATTCACAAACACCAGACCCATGCTCGAATGTTGCCCCCTACTGGTTTGGTCTCATCCGAGCCCACCAGGGGTCCTTCGCAACAAACCCGATCGAAAAAAAGCAGAAGACGGAAGAAAGAATACCATCAAAAGGTACAAAGAAATAAAATCGTATCAGCGTATCCTTCGAGTAGTTGACCTTTATTTGGCCTTCTTCATGCGCGCCTCCTCCTTGCTAGCCACGAGGGCGATCAAGGCGGCTCCGACTCCACTGCCATCCTTAGAGATACCGATGCGCACCTTCTTATCGCCGGCAGGACCGACTTCCGGTACCTCGCGCAAGGCATCGCGCATGTATCCCTCGAAGTTAGGATAGAATTCGACCAGACTTCCGTCGACACCAACGTCGACCAGGTCATCGGTCTGCAGTTTACCGGTAGCGATCAGGACAGCCGCCAGGGGCACAGCGCTGAGACGAGCGGCACGCTTGCCAATGGCATGCACAAGCGTCTGAACGGCCTTGCAATCAGTGGTGCTGGCTTGCTCGATCTTCAAGTGGTCTTTCAGGGCCGTCTTGGTCTGCTCCAGAGTCTGGGTCTTGTCGGCTTCCACCGTGCTCAAGAGACTAGTGTCGAGACCCCACTGTCTGAAAAGCGTGGAGTTCTCGGGAACAAGGACGTCGGAGGACTGGCCGGGCTTGAAGAGACCCTTGTTGTTGTGCATATCAAGCAGAGCCCGTCGCAGAATCTCGCCCAGGAACATTCCGGAGACACGCTTCTCGAACATCTGGACGCCGGGGTTGTTACTGTCGGCATCAAGCTGCTGGTCGTACAGGGTGTTCGGCAACACACTGAGATGGTTATCAAAGCTGCCCCATTCGGCGTTGATAATCATCTCTCCCGTGGACTTGTCGTAATCGGAATGCTCGATCGTCTGCATCTTAGGGATTCTGTCGAGCTTCTCCAGGTAAGCACCGTTGGTGCCCGTGCCAAAGATCGCACCCAGGAAAGTTCCCGTTTCACCAGGCGAGGTGTATGAACGAGCCATCAGCGTTCCCACCGTGTCGTTCACCAGAGCCGCCACGCGCACGGGAAGCTCCAGCTCGTCAATGGCACCCTGCAGCAAGGCGCATACATCATGGCCAACGGCGTCGGGGATGTTGAACCCCTTCGTCCAGCGAATCAGGGTGCCCTTGTTGATTCCCATTTGGCGCACGGGGAAACTGAACGTGAAACCCAGGTCGAACAGCTCCTCCTCGCCGCTTCCCTCCCGTCGACGTTGCAGGTGGGCTTCGAAATGCTCGTTGTGATGAATGCGCAGGAAAGCCTCGATCTGGCGCGCCAAGAAGAGGAAAAGATCCTTGGACGAGCCCGAGGCCATCAGTTCACGAGGAATCATGATCTTGGACTGGGTCAAGGAGAAAGTGGTGTCGCCATGGAGGTCGATCGAGCACACGCGGAAATTTGTGCCACCAAGATCCACGGCCAAGTAGAGGCCCTACGGAGATAAGCCAAGGTCAGCCCGTCGGGTGTCACGCGGATGTCTCTTCAGCCAATGCCGGGCACTCACCTTTTCAGTGCCATTGGGGACCGAAGTCACGAAGGTAGGAATCTGGCTCAGGGTGGTATGTTCCTGTCTGAGACCCTCGTCCATTTCGCGAATGTATTCCTTCACCCCGCGCTGGACCTCCGCGGCGGGGTAATCGAATTCGCGGGCAATCCGCGTGGCTTCGTCCAACACGGCGGATGACATGGTGAGAAAGTGAAGGGGAGATGGAAGATCGGGGTATAGGAGTAAGAGGTCAGAAAGTGGTGGCGGAAGAAGAAGAACCAAGGCTGGGGGTAAGAGAGGGGATGGAGGGGTATATATGGGGAGGAAAAGTGTGGAGGGGTAAGAGAGAGATTATGTCTGTAGATGGTGGGGGGTTGTGCCGTGAGAAAACCTGGAAGAGTATAGAGAGGGAGGGAAAAAAAAAAAAAAAAAAAAAAAAAAAAAAAAAAAACCAGCCGCGGAAATCCAGACGAATTAAATAACAGAAACTGGATGAAGAGAAAGTAGGAATAATAATAACTACGGTCCAGCGTCGATGAGGTCAGTCGGTGGAGCGTCTCGAGCGTCGGGCTACAGACCAACGGGAAGACCGGGTTCGCCGGCGGACGGGGATTTGGGGAATCCACGATTTCTCCAGACGGCTTCGTTCGCTCCTGTTTTCTCCGACGGCTGTCAGGCCAAGCAGTTCCGGTTAGTGGCAGGCGGCCATTTCCATGACGCCATGAAACACCAGTGGGGAGCGGCCGGTGAGAGACAACGGTTAGGACTGCGCGAAGCGAGCGGCTGACTCGGTGGTACGGGAGGGTTTGCCGGGGAAGATGGATGTTTAGCATGTATTACTGGTCTTGGGAGTAGTAGCCTACTAGAGTGCAGAACAATCAACAGGGACAGGACAGTTTCAGACTGAGTTGGTTGGTTGTAGTTGGTTGGTTTATACTGTAGTGTAGACTCGATGTGGTTGGTGCCTTACCTATCAGGCAGCATACACGAATGACTGCTGACTGGAGTCGTAGGATTCTTTGCGGGGATATTAAGTCTTGGTGGTTTTGAAAGAAGTATTAGCTGATAACTATCAGGAAGATTGATGGGATGAAAACAATGAAGGCAAAAGTATTCTGGAATGGCCAACTTGGTACACTATTTCAGTACTTACCTCCGTTGCTTGAGCAAAAATATACATTCTATGACCAGAACCCCCATACTCAGCGGTAAAATAGTCCCTCTACTATTATAACTAGAAAAAGTAGCCAACAAATAATACTTTCCCCCCAAAACAAAGGCAAAGTACCAACAACAGAACCAAAAAAGCAGTCCACTCCCATTCTCCCAGTCCTTGAATCCAACCATCTGACTAAGCAAGTCATCACGTGATCCGGCGGAAGTCGGCAGGAAACAGAAGAAACGATATGCGAACTCCTCTGCGAAGGAACCGGAGAACTTGCCCGCGGGTCTACCAACCACCACCACATCAACTCCGAGCCTAGCGCCCATCAATTGCGACCTCCCGACGCCGGCCAACCCCCCCGGCACAAGCAACGCACTCCTTCGGGTGTTTGGACTAGTTTTTTTTCCCGATTCACCGCACATATACCCGTTCATCATGGGCTCCGGTAGCTCCAAGCCCGAGGCTTCGGCGGGCTCGAAACATCTTTTCCAGGGGTAGGTACTGTGCTTTCTTGATTTGGGGGTTAGGGAGGTGGATGGATGGATTGGATTGGATTGTGTGGATTGGGGATCCTGAGGAGATGGGACGTTGAGTGATGGGTTCATGGGTCCATGGCAATCTGATAGACCGACGGATGGATGGAAGGATGGATCAATTGTCAATGGGACAAGCAAGTCAAGACACCAAAGCTAACAATCAACACCAGCTCCGCACCTATCCAATTCTCCTCCAACGTCGTCGACTCCCTCCAGTCCAACACCGAGGTACGTCTTTCTTCACCCACCCCATGCCCCAACCATCCCCATCCAGAACCCTCTAACAAACCTCTTAACCAGACCGACTCCGCCCGCGCCAAAACCCTCGAACTCCAGATCCAAGCGCGCGTATCCCAAGAACTCGAGCGCCTGCGCGAACGCGAACAACAAACCCTCGCCGAGATCGAGAAGCGCCTCGCCGAAGTGAAAGACACGCCTAGCCCGTCGCCCGCCGCCCCGAACGTCAGCTACCCGCCGGGCTCCCTGAACCTGGACGCGCCGCGGATCCCGTTCGCCGGCCGCGAGTATGCGCCTGCGCCGCCTCTGCCGGAAGACCAGGCGCGGCCGATCAACCGGGACGTGTCGCGGGAGTCGGTGAACGGGGAGATCGAGGAGCTGCGGGCGAGACTGGAGGGGCGGAGAAAGCTCGCGGAGCTGGATTCGGGCGTCGAGAAGGCGAAGGCGGATGTGGTGAGCTGCCTCCGGTTGAATGATCGGCGGCCGTTGGATTGCTGGAAGGAGGTTGAGGGGTTTAAGAAGGAGGTTGCGAGGATGGAGGAGGCGTTTGTGGATCGGGTTGTTGGTTAGGTTTTTCTTTTTTGATTGACCGAGCTGAGATTCGAGTTCCGTGGACCTAGTTAGATAGGTTTTTTCGGGTCTGTCTGTCTGACTGGCCGGGTTAGAGAGGCCGAGAAGGAAAAGCGATGGAGAATGCGGATTGCGCTCCTAGATGATAGATTTGTGGGCCGATTCGTGGTTATGTGTATCTGTATAGCTTAGTACTTATCCATTTTGTTTGACTGTCTTTTGCTTTTGTCTATGGCTGAAACACCTGAGTGAGATGCTCTATATTCTTTACTAACAGTATATCAAAAGGCAACATCTTCATAACCTGCTAAATATCTAAACAGAACACCAGACGGGGTATCTTGAAACAACCACTTCATAATCCACATAGCCATCCATCTAAACATATGTAAAGGACTTTTTAAAGTAAAAAATCTAAACAACTTCCCAATACCCCAATCTCCCCACCAACTCACCCGCCGCACGAATAATACACATATTCTGCTCTCGGGCTTTGCCTTTCTTCTGAGAGGGGTTCCGATTCTGATTCTGACCCGCAACCTTCGAAACAAGAATAGATCCAATACCCGTGCCTTTCCCCTCTGAGAGGTTATAGTTTCCCGTCGTGACGAAGCCGATGAGATCTCCTTCTGACGGCAGCGGGAGGTGCGTTTGCTGGGCCTCTGTGTCGGCGGAGGGCGAGATGAGCGACGCAGCGAGGTATGCCTGAGCTTCATCTCTGCTGGCGGAGCCCTTTTGTGTCAACGAGCCAGCGGTTTTAGCAGATGTGGACTGTTTGTTTGATGCGAGGGAGAGCCATTTCTGGCGAAGCTCGGGGTTGGTGGTAGGTAGGCGGTAGATACGGGCTCGTGGGGTAGGAGTGCCCCTGTCATGAACGGAGACCCGAACAGTTACGAGGTCAGGGCTGCTGCTCAGTGTGGGTTGAAGGGTCTTGACTGCACGAGCAGCCGCTGGTGGGTGCAGATGGCGTATACCAAGTGGCGGGGTCTCAGGAGCTTCGACGGCGGTAGTGTTTGCATCCGAATCAGCATCGGATTTAGCCTTAGACTTGGCTGGTTTTCCCTTGACATCTTTTGGAAGTGTGTCAACAAGCTTCTCCCAGTCACAGGCCCAGCCTCGTCCAATTTCGCCCTTCTGGCCATTCCCAAGATCGATGCTGTCAAACTCGATTCGCCGACCTTTGGGCCGTCGTTCCCACTCCTCTTTGGCCTTTGCCTGCTCACGCAAATTCCATTCCCAGCCTGCCCTGGTCCCCGGGAAATCACCAGGGAACCAAGCCTCTCCTGCCTCAAAAGCAAGCTGCTGTTGTTCCTTCAGCCCGCCGAATCTCGGGTTTCCGCCGGTGGAGAGAGGGTAGTACATCAAAGAATACCACACCGGAAGAACACATTTCCATGGGAGAAGGACAGTCCAGCTGCCTGGAGCATTGTTGTCCTTAGACTGCGAGCTGGGCCTAGTGGCAAGGATAAGGACTGGGATTTTGGGATCCGAAGGAAGAGGCTTCGGGTACTTCCCGGGTCCATTTTCACTGCGCCGTCGGTTGATGGCTTTTTGGCTAGGGAGTTGGCGTGCAGCAGCTAATCGCGCGCGACGGTCGAAGATAGCAGGGGAAGACTGGGTTCCGTCAACAGGCCACGATGATAGTACAACGGCTAGATTCTGCAGATCCGTATCCGAGGAAGGGGGCTTCATCGATTTTGGCGGGAAGTGAAGACGAGGATCGGATGTAGAAAATCCAAGAACCGCGTTCTTAGGCAAAGAGGACGGGTTCGACACCCCCAACAGATTACCCCAGATAGACTCTGGGCTGTTCGCCGGAGCCTCTGTTCCTTCAGCTATCAGAGGTTTCAAAGCCGCGATGAGCGCTTCCGTGGAGCCCGGGCCAGTGATTTCGATGCTGCCAATTTCGAAACGAAGATCCTCGATCATGACAGGCGGGTTCTGCCGCTTAGACAGCTCCAGGAGTTCGTTCCATAATTGCAAGAAGGCAGACGGATGCACCCTGACAAAAATCTTCACCCGAGGCTTCTTTCCTTTCGTTGGAGCAGCCGGGGTGTCGGCATCTGCCATTTCCACATCCTCAGACTTCACCTCAGCACATCGAACCAAGGTGACCGGCGCAATAGGCCTCTTTTCACCACCATGCTCGAAAGCCCAAGCCTGTAGACTTCTCGTGCCAGATCTCCACTTCCTCCCCTTCGACCCCCAAGCATCCTCTCCATCCACCCCAACAGCCCTCAGCAGGTTTTCCAACGCCGGCTCGGTACCCTCCAGCTGAATCGTCGACATATAGCTCATATCCCAAGCCACCGCACCCCTCGCACCTCGCGCCCGGTGCGAAGACCTATAACTCTTCTCCGTCGGCGACAGCGGAACAGCAAACCGCCACAGGGGATCCTTCGACGTCGTCATATGCGCGCGCTTCGCATGGAACATATGCGTCGGCAGCCAAGTCTTGCACCTCTGGCGCTTTTTGAACTTCGACTCGGGCGGCGCAGGGCGCGAGAGCTTATATTTCTTAATCTTCGGCACCCGCGGGGCGATACTGAACGCATGAGAACCGGCCTCCTCCAACGACGTCCTCGTCTCCTGAGCATCCTTCGCTTTCGCAGCGGCACGCTTCGCCTTGGACTTCGAATTGAGGTTCTGTAGACGTCGAGCAGTCTCGAGACGGATTCGCATCAGCTCTGTCGGTTTTCTCCGCCGCGCTGTGACGGTGGGTGTGTTATCCTCGGCCATCTGGCAGCAAGGCAAGTAAGTTAGCAAACCCCTCTTCGACGATCATTTTGTAGTTAGCTAGCATTGGGAAACGAACCTCTCGCTTCGCCCGCGCCCTCAACCGGCTCGGAACCCTCTTCACATTGTGACTCGCCGTCCGCCGTCTCATGGACCGAGGCACCTGCTGGAACGCGCGACTCGTCAAGGCGGCCTTGGAGCGCTGCATGCCCGCCTCGAGCGAGCGGATCTCGAATTCCCTGGTGCCCACGTACGCCGCGGCGTCGAGCTCGCCGGAGGCAGAGAGCGCCGCGTCGGCGGACTGAACGGCCAGGGTGCGGGCATCGAACGTTTTGGCGCGTTTGCGGGCTGCTCCGGAGCCGTTGACCGGACGCTTCGAAGGGGGGTTGAGGGCCATGATGGCCGGGGATGAACAAGGAGAGGGGAATCAAGAAATGAAAAAAGGAGAAAAGGAGAGAAGAGAAATTAAGCTTTAAGCCCTGGTCAGGGTGTCTGGTTAGCTGGTTGGTTGGATAATTCGATATCGCGAAGTTTACTCCGTAGTGCCGGTCGGGTCTGGAATCAATTTTGTTTTTTTAGCGCGTTCAGGCTTTCCCGGCCGAAAGCCACACAGACGTTCCTGCAGCCACCAATAACAAGAAAAGTCCGGAGGGGAACAACTCGCCCAACGCTTGGAATCAATGTAGATCGTTTGAGAAGCCGGGGTAAAAATGAAGCTAGTTTGTACTACAGGCGCAAGGCTTGAGGGTGCTAGGATGCTGACATCATCGCACGTCTACGGGGAAGTCGAAGGGGAAAATGTCAATAAAAAATACAGAGGAACCAGGGGTTTGCTTTTTCATAGCTTCGTTATTGCGTTGTATTCTAAGGGGAGTCTAGCTCTCTAAACATGAATCTTTGCTTTCGCAGGTCAATTAAGCCCACCGAATATCAACGCCGGATCTATTAGGCCCATGCCACGTCTATTGCGTTTCTCATTGGTGCATTTACAGGTTCTTGATGACGGTCTCGGCGCTCGAGAACTATAGACAGGGTCAGCGATGGCCTTGGGTAGCAGCATCGAACATGTTGCAACTTACCTCAAGGTGGTTCTTAGCGGGCTCGAGAGCAGCGTAGGTGACCTTGCCGTGGTCAAGGACGATGGCGAAACGCTTGGTGCGGCCCTCCTCGTCAGCCCAGCCAATGCTCTTGGAGAACTTGGCATCGGGGTCGGACAGGAACAGCTGGGAGATGTTAGCGGATCTGGACTTTCGGACAGCTGGGTAGTGATTATTGAAGACTTACGATGTTGTCCTTGGCGTTGTTGGCCTTGCCCCAGGCGCTCATGACGTAGGCATCGTTGTAGGCAAGGACGGCAACGACGTCGACACCCTTCTCGCGGATCTCGGGGAGACGCTCAAGGTACTCGGGGACGTGGCGAGCAGAGCAGACGGGGGTGAAAGCACCGGGGAGGGCGAAGAGGATGACCTTCTTGTCGGCCCACTCCTTGGAGGCGTGGTAGTTGATGGGGATACCGCAAGAGGTGATTTCACTAGCCTCGTCGGTGTAGGGGATGTAACTGCAAGGGGCGGTGTCAGTGGACCGATCTCAGGAGGAATTGAGTCCCGCCAGGATAAGAAAAAGGGAATAAAGATGAGAGGGGAACATACGAGAAGGTAACGTCAGCGGGGAAGCTGTCACCGGCCTTGATTCCAGACATTTTGATGGGGTTGATTGGGAAGTGAGAGGGAAAGTGGTGATAGATGTAATGAGTAGGAAGAGATTGGTTAATTGCAGTGAAGAAGGGAAAGGGTGGGTAGGTTATATAGGTTTAGTCGAGTGGGTAAGGGGAGAGAGGAAAAGCGAGCGAGAGGGGCGCATGTGGCGGGAAATATATAACGACGGTTCCAGTCGGGAATTGCAGCTGGCCGACGCAGCGACGGGCCGCAGGAAAGGCCATAAGGTGATCCGAAGCAGAAGGATACCGAAACCTGTCGATTGCTTGGGAGTGCTGGTCGTGTATTATCAAGAAGACCGCCCGAGACTTGCGCAGGCCCCCACCAGTCATCGTCCACGGTTATCTATCTAGACCGCCCGCCTTGACAAATCTCTTTTTCCCCTTTCTTTTTTGCTTCTGACTAAAGAATCCTCCGTATGATGACTATTCAAAGAATCTGGCCAATCTGGGTCATCTCTTCCCTCGCTCTCTCCAGAGATACTCGTACCGCATCGCCCCTCCACGGATCGAACGCTCCTTCGGCCAGCAGCTGGTTGCCGCCCCAATGACGAGGGGGGTGGACCGAATAGGCCAATATCGGGCCAATGGCATCCACGTGCTGCAGCCGTTTGGAACGAAAGGCACCCACTGCTTTTCTCTTATCTAATAATTCTGCCATCTGGCGATAGAATGGGAATAATGAGGAATTGCTGAACTGTAAATGCCATTCTCCGATGCTAGACTGTTGCCAAGGCCGCCGGCTGAGCCAATTGGGCATTTAGAGCAAGATACATGGGTTAAGGTAGCATCCATACCCATGGACAAGTCTCCAGGCTAGATTGTCGGTCAATGCATGAGGACCAGGGGGGTCAAGAGGTGGAAAGCGAATCGACGTTGGTGGGCCTTACCGCCTTCCTCTCCTGGAGCTCTACCGGAGATGCGTGGCTGCCACGTGACTGCGCGCCGAGGTTGAACCGCGTGGATTTGGGCAATTCTCACTTTCTCGACTCCGGAGATGAATAATAACGAGAGACCGCATCGGCCTTGCCACTCGCAGCTTAGCGAGACCGTCGGGTCTGGATGCCGAGGCGATTACCGACAGCCATTCAGTAATCAGATAAGATTGGTCCCTGGTTTATTCATCATGACGGGCTCGGTCCTGCTGCACGCATTGGGGTGACTCCACTACGATTACAGATCATTGGGATTCTAGAAGGGAGCCGCCGTCTCTTCCCCGGAGATGACTCGGGGGAGCTGTGGCTTGGTTGATTTGGAATTATCATCAAAGTGGCTGTTTCTAGGCATCGACCGACCGGGGTTGTCTTCAAACAGAAGAGGGGAGACACAGGATGACATCACCGTCGCTTGGCCATGTACCTCTGATGCTTATTTCCAGGTCCTGGCAATGCACTGGTCAATGGGGTAACTGCCGCTGTAGACTGCCTAGAGATTGGTGGCATGTCTGGATGACACAGGTGGGATCCATCGATGTTCCTGCACTGGTTTACCTGTCGGCCCTGGACTGCTACATCATGTATTGTAGATGTGTCATATTGATTGAACTTGGCCCCCAACGAGAATCCAGACACGTGACAATGCGTCTATGACTCGAAACCCATGTGCTACTTCCTCCAAAAAAAAAAAGAGAGATCACGCCAGCGATCAAAATATACCGTTGCGATTAATATAAGACACGTCAATCGTCATGGCCGATGTCAAACCCCCCTTTACCGAGGAAACGGCAAGAAAGAAGGTCAAAGCCGCACAGAACCTGTGGAATACCCAGTAAGTACGAGAGCGGGGAGATTGTCTTCCCCTACGTATTTTTCTTGTCGTCCTCTCGCTTTTCCCTCATCACCAGCGAACCTCGACCATCAATTCCCAGCCCAGGTAGATGCTGGTATGAGGGGATGGCGGATCGAAGATGGAAGCATGAATGTTTCATCCCTTGCGTACAATTACCTCATGTCTTCCCAGTCCTGGCTCTCGACCCGGAGATTGCTCTCTCATATCCCGCTACCTGATGTCTCATCCTAAATTACTTGGTCCCTCGCAGTGTCGATGTTCATGCTGACCACATTTTCTGAAAAGAGATCCCGTCCGGGTGGCCCAGGCCTATACTGCCACCTGCATCTGGCGCAATCGCACCTCGTTCTTCTCTGGCACCGATGGAATTATCTCTTTCTTGACGGCCAAATGGAACCGCGAACAGAACTACAAGCTTCGCAAAGAGCTCTTTTCCTTCACCGATAACCGTATTGCCGTGCAATTCTGGTACGAGTTCCAAGACAAGGAAGACGGCCTGCGGTGGAAGCGGTGCTATGGACTTGAAGATTGGACCTTCGATCGGGAAACTGGGAAGATGTGTAAGCGGATGATGAGTGGGAATGACGTGGTGATCGGGCCTGATGGAAATGGTGAGGGCAGGTGGTTTGTGGACGGGGTTGATGTCGAGGAAGTGAAGATCGGAGATGAGCATTGGTAAGGGGTTGTCACGATATTAGTTGCCCTTTAGCCACTGTTGTCATGCGTATTTTTATTAAAGGCCAAGAAAAAATTGAGGCCGGTTCCACGTTGTCGACCTGCACGTTGTGCTCTCACGCTTGTATCTGCATGTAACTGGTAGACCGTGCCTTGCTTCGTATGCTGCACGATCCAATTTCGATTTCTGGTTCAAGGTTCTCGATACATCTGAAATTCATTCATCCATTGTAAGTTAAAAGGCGTAAAAGTCAATGACGACGTAAGAATGTACTAGACATAAAGTCAAACGAACTCACATTGGCCAAATGGCTCTCCCTAGATTCGGGATGCTGGGCATATCCATCCCTCTTTTCCGAACTTAAAACCGCCTTCCCGTATGAAGGGTCAAATGGCTGGAACGGAAATGTTGGCAGTCTGTGAATTAGTGGGTCTGCTTTTTGTAATGCGTGACAAGGTCTCCCTTTCTGGAGGGAAGGGAGGACGGAATGTCTGGACGTCAACGAGCTCGTGCAACTTCAAATTTTGACGAAAATTGAAGGATTGTGGATGAATATTGACTGGATACCATCGACCTGTCATTTCGAGATACTGAAGAGTATTATCTTCCTGACGACAGATCAGTTTGTGTATACTCTCATCAGCTTTATTTGCGTGGGGATACTCCAAGCCACCTACGGCCAACAGTATAGTCGTGTAATCAACAAGCAAGAAGCCAGAGACCCCTGGTAAATTCTGTTTAGTCCATAGCAAAGCACATTGTGGCATCGAGGTGGAGCGGAGCAGGGAGGAGGAATTCCTGGGGAGAGAAGAGGTGGTGGTGCCGGGGGGACCTGAGGAATCCAGACGAAACAAACAACCAAACACCCATTCCACACGGTGCGACCTCGCCATGGTATGTCCACATCCTGGCTAGTCGGCCAGCTCTGCTAGCGCGGGCTATTGTCGCCGTGTTTTGGAAGCATGCTTGCCAGCAATTAGCCTAGACATCCACGATTATCTGTTTTGACGCCCTCGTCGACCTCCCAGCATTCGATAAACACGGCCTGTCTATCATCACCATCCCATACTCGGTCGACATCATTTCCCCGCGTTAGCCAGTCAATCGCCAATCTTGCTTTTGTGGGGGAATCTACTAATTATCTAGGACTGAGAGGGTAGCAGAATTGGCGATTTCGTTTACCCTCCCCCCCCCTCCGGAAACAGCATTCGATCTTGTTCGTCCTGTGTAAACTTCACATCAGCCTGCATACAGATTGATCGATACCTTTTCATCGCATCCGGTGGTTTGAAGCGTGTGAGGCAAGCCCATCTCAACCCCTCAGAGGTTAGCATCCCCGGTGTTACAGGGCTCACACGGTCATCTAGCCGGAGATATCCTACCCTTTCTCAGAGCTTCAGCAAAAGCACATGCGGTGGTGCGACAATTGAAGTCTGTGACACGTTGGTCTGGGGTTACCTGGCAATGGACGAGAAGGATCCTCGTCCGAGCCCACCGATTATACGCGCACCTCTGACAGATGCCACGCGCAGAATAAACAACGGCGCCACCATCCGGAGTGAGCCAGAGGAACGAACAACAGAAGAGGTCCGCGCCGAGATATTGTCCGACCCAATGTCTATCGTGACCAGCCCACTGTCGACCAAAGGACATGTGGAAATCAATTGCATGTCGCCAGAAGCGAAGTCACAAGTCAACTCAAACCGCAACTCGACTCTTTCCGCGCACTCGCTACTTTCCAACAAGGGAAAACGCAAGACCCATGTCGGACCATGGCAGCTGGGAAGAACCCTTGGAAGGGGCTCCACAGGGCGTGTCAGGTTGGCAAAGCATGCTCTCACGGGACAGACAGCGGCGATTAAGATCGTATCGAAGAAGTCTGCTGCGATAGCTCAGAGTGAGAGTATTGCGGCGATGGACAAGAACATCGGTCATTATAGCGGGGGAACAGCTAGGCCAATGCCGTCCGGCATTGAACGAGAAGTGGTTATCATGAAGCTCATTGAACACCCCAACGTGATCAGTCTATACGATGTGTGGGAGAACAGGGGAGAATTGTGGGTAGTATACGGCGCTATCGTTTGGACAGTACTGACTTCTGGTCCCCAGGTATCTTGTGCTCGAATATGTCGAGGGCGGAGAGTTGTTCGATTACGTTTCAAACCATGGCCCGCTGCCGGAGGAGGAAGCAGTTCGGATCTTCCGACAGATTATCGCAGGTCTTGGACACTGCCACCGATTCCATATTTGTCACCGTGACCTGAAACCGGAGAACATATTGCTCGATGCGTGGCACAACGTGAAGCTTGCTGATTTCGGCATGGCTGCACTCCAACCCGCTGGCCACTGGTTGAACACATCCTGCGGAAGCCCACATTATGCGGCGCCTGAGATCATATACGGGCGAAGGTATCGTGGCGACAAGGCGGATATATGGAGCTGCGGCATCATCCTTTACGCGCTCTTGACGGGTTATCTACCATTCGACGGCGGTGATCTTCCTACAACGTTGCGATTGGTGAAAAAGGCAGAGTTCATGATTCCTCGCGAGCTCAGTTACGAGGCAACGGATCTAATTGAGCGTATTCTTCGAAAGAAGCCGGAGGATCGCGTCAACATGGAGCAGATTTTCATGCACCCTCTCTTGAAGAAGTACGAAAAATTTCACCAAGCAAGATCCAACCACTATTTGGGTCCTGCGCCGCCCATCTATGTACATGATTGTGGGCCACCAGTCCTTGCCAGACAGGACATTGATCTCGACCTCTTGAGGAATTTGCAAACACTTTGGCATGATGTGAAACCGGACGCTTTGATTCAAAGGCTTCTGGAGAACGAGTAAGCCATCAACAACAATCTGAGTTCGCTTTGCGCTGACACGATTTTCCAGGCCAACCCAGGAGCGGATGTTCTACAATGCATTGGTAAAATTCAGGAACGAGCAGCTGGAGAACTATCAAGGACAACCTCTTGAATATTCCGCTAGCGACTATCACCACATCTCACGGGGTCCAGCCCGCATTGGCAACAAACGTACAGGCTCTCGCAAGCGAAATCAAGTTCCAACTAGGGACAAGACAAATAGTCCTGCCAGAGAGCCGAAGTCGTGCGCAACGGTGGAAAGCTACGACCCATTCCGGTCTCCCAAGAATCGAATTTCAGATAAAGAGCCTCAGTTCGCTAGAGTGACGATTCATCGCAGAATTCCAGAAGAAATCCACAAAGAGCATTCGGCAGAGGTCGTCCAGGTGCCGAATTCTGTTCCAGATAGCGATCCTGGATATGAGGATTGTCCCCCCAGTTCTCCCTTTGCGGTGGTACGGAACAAGAAATCTAAAGTCAACTCTATGAAGTCATTTCAATCAAAAGCTTCATATAGCAGCTCTCGTCGACCCTTGAATGCCACTCCAACACCCCGTTCGGCCAGCTACAAACGAAACGTGTGCTTTCGTCATGGTCGATATCGCTCTCAGGGATCGATGTCTGCCAAAGCCAGCAATACACAAGTTAACGTCCCGACGATGAAGAAAGACGGCAGTGATAGTAGCTTTGAATATGAAGATGATGGCGACCCGTTCTCCGACAGATTCGGTAGCCCTGTGCTCCCTGCCCAGCCAACTGTTGTCCGAGGCAGTGGCATTACAGTTAAGAACTGCTCTCAGATGAGAAAGGTTCGAGAGTCTGACTTCATCTGGAAAGATGAAGCGAGGAAGGTTTCTCACGAGCTCGGTCAAATCTGCGAAGAGGCATTTAACGGCAGCTCTGTCTCTACCGGATGTACCACGAGTACATGCACAGACCCTGAAACTCCAGCAACGTCAGTCTCAATGGCTAGCCCCGAGGACTCATATCGTCAAATATCGACGGCAAAGTCCAAGAGAAGGTCCGGTTCCTCAACCCCCGGTGCCTCGCCAAGGTCCTATACAGTGGCTGAATTGGCCGAGACTCGCCGCAGATTAATCCAGCACTCTACCCATGACGGGGCTGAAGACGTCCCTGCATACCTCACAGCGGTGATCAGCCACCTCGATCGGTTGATCGAGCAAGACAAGCTTAGGCAGTCACCGAAACGGACCGGCTCTGGCCAAAACCCGCGTGTCTCCCAGGCGGACCAGCTCCCAAAACCTCCTCGTGAATCATCCTTTCTGCCGATTATATCGGAGGAAGCCAATGCACACACTGGACATCCTGCGAATACTAACGAAATACAGCAAGACCTGCCAGTTTCGCTGCGCTCGGGACCTGGTAGTCGCCCAACCAGCATCGTCAACGCCGGCAGAAGAACCATACGGATGGTTCCTCAGAGCTCTACACCGTCCATGGATAACAGCAATCCTCTAGACGTGAGAAAGCGACACCGCAATCGCGAAACGAACCTCGCAGACTCCCAACCATTAGTCGAAGACTACGAGGCACTTCCGGAAATCGAAAGCACGACAGGGACTAGATACGCTTCTGCCAGCTCTCGTGCGAGCCGCAACCCATGTGAACTGGCTCCCATTGCAGAAATCCCACCAAAGTCGCCCCGACGCAGTGCTCGTGGACCTGAGCCCAAGAAATGGTCATGGTTCCGCAATCGATCTCATACAAGCACCGAGACCGCAAAGATGCAAAATGAAGACAAGCCTCTGCAATCTAACGCTGCTGCTGTAGTGATACAGGAGGTCAATGAACCTGCACAACCTTCCCCAACTGAAGTTTCAACCCCTCCAAAAACCCAACCCCAGTCACCACCTAAACAGAAGCGTGGTTTTCTAAGCAAGCTCATGAAAAGAAAGCCGAGCAACACACCCGAAACTCAGCCAACAGGTCAGTCATCCCCAACCACTCACCGATCTACCAGCTCACACTTTTGTAGTAGAAACACCGCCCCCCGCAACAGATGACCCAGCGGAGAACAATCCTCTGCTGAGGCAACTCAGCTCAAACGAAACCCCCTTGGACACAGAAAGCGCCCAGAAGCCTCTCCCCCGGAAACCACGGGCCCCGAGAAGCCAGAACTGGTTCGCCCGCGTATTCCACTTCAAACCAGCCACCCGAGTCATCGCTCTGAATACCTCGAAGATCAAAGGCCGGAAAGAAGTCTACAAGATCCTCCGCGAATGGGAATGGAAACAGTACGGCCTGGAAGAAGTTTCCATGGACAAATCCAACAACATTATCCTAGGCCGCGTGGGCGAGGTAAACCGTAAGTGCCTTCTCATATCTTGACTCATGCTATCGTAACCCCAGCTTACCAATCCCCATCTAGTCCTCCGTCTCCGACCCGTCAAGTTCTCTGCGGAATTCTACACCATCCTCGAGCACGGACAACAGGCGAATCTGAGTCTCGTGCGCTTCAGGCAGGAGCGTGGAGCCGCTTCATCTTTCCAGAAGGTCGTGGACACCCTGCACTTGGTTATGAAGCAGCGCGGGATCCTCGTCGAAGACGCATTCCGAGCTAAAAAGATGACTCGAATCCTGGATGCGTTCCCGGACTCTTGATCTATCTCTCTACCCCCTTCCCCTGTCCTTTATTGCAACAGGCTTCGCTTTTTGCCGTTTTTTGTTCAATCGATCAGATCCCCAGATGCATGCCACTTTGGAGCGTATTTACGCGGTTTTGTTGATCTACCTAGTTACTCGTTTTTTGCATTTCAAATCATCGGTTCTCTGTTTTATTGCATTCTCTAAGCCTTTTTTTGTTCTCGCCTGTATTCAAAATCATGTCTTGTCTTGGCTTGTTTCGTTTCCTTTGGCTTGGTTTCTTTGCATTGAACATTTCTCTCTATTTTGCCTTGTCGCCTATCGTGTTCTCGTCATCCATTTTACCTATCTATCCCATCTAAACGGACCAGACGAGACACTCATCTTGAACTCTCTGTTTTCTCCGTTCTACCCGCTCTCTACACCGGTCCAACCCTATCACAATCTACTCCACCCCGACAAAAAGCCACAAGATGAGGAACGGGACGGGGCCAGCTCGTTCGAGCAAACAAGACTATCTCTCACTCAGGATATCCTATACTACTGGCGTCGTCTCGGGGATTGGAAATATCATTGGCCGGCCTTACCCTAACATACCTCGCCCGCGGACGCTGGTGCATTTACTTTACTTAGGTAGTTCAGATAGCAACTAGTAGGTAGATGAATTCTATTCCATTCTAGCTCTTCAATTCGAAGTATTGTGTCCCTTTATCATTCACTCTTCATTCCTACATCAACACAGCACCGCCTACGTGTGTCGCTAAGTCATATCAACCTCAAAACAAGTTAAGATGAAAAAGCAGCAGAGACCTGTCTATAAGACTTGAGCATCCTAGCCAATTATACCGCTCAATAGAGGAAAAGGTAGGTACTTGATTTAATATACTAGAGATATAGGAGAAAGAAAAAGAGGGTAACTCCTCAAAGTTATACTATTGAACAAAGCAAACAAGGCAAAGAGTATGCACAATGCAACGTGAGCAGAAAACCACCAAAAGAGAACGAAGCAAGCAAAACGGAGACAGCAAAAAGAAAAAAAACAGCTAAATTGCAGATCATGACACGATAGGACAATAGGATAACAATAATTGATCAGACAGCCTCCCAGAAACAGTTAAAAGGGAAAGGGAAAAACCAAGCAACAGTAGCAATGAAACCGCAAAGAAAGACAAAAAGACAAATCCTCCCTTTTGTTCGCAATGGCAGAGAATACTCAGATGAACATGCAAACGTGATTCGATCCAAAGAAACAAACAAACACACAAAGTAAACTAGAACGCAGAACAGAGAGCCTCCCGAAATGTATTCGAACACTTGGAAAAATGATATAACCACCGCCAATTGATCAAAAAGCCTCGCCGATGATTCCTCGAAGGGGGAAAAACAAACAGGGAAAAAAGGAAAAGAGCAAATGCGACAAGTTCCCACCTCGTGATGACTGACATAGAAAGGCACGCGTATCAAATGCATAAAATATTATCTTATCTCGGCAGTCGTGTACCCGAAAGATCACTCAATGAACTCGACAGGCTTTTGCAGCAAACAAGTGGCCGAGCATCTCGAATCCTGTCGACATGCCCACCAGCTTGACGGTGCGCGAGGTTCAAAACTGTCGATGCAGATGGACTCATTTTAACATCACAACCAAAAGATCTGTCAGGTCCGAACTGTCTGAGAAAAGAAGATTCGGAGGCTCGTGGTCGTTGAGACGGTCTGAAAAAGCAAATGCTAAGGTAGTCAAACCCGGCGTCAACACGGTAACAGAACGAATGTAAAGAGAACAAAAAGAAAAATTCGATTAGCGGGTTGCCCCAAATAGTTTATAAAGCCGTGATGTAAATTTCGGAAAGGGGAAGGTAGAGAGAACGTTAGAGTTGCGGTGGTTTTTGGGCTTTCGAAGTATCTCAGATGGACGGATACTGCGAAGGCGACAACTCGCATTCTCACATTAGATGATTCCATGTTCAGATCGTGCAGCTCATAACACTCTTGCTTCGCGTTTTCATGACATCATATCGATCGACATGGCGTCCTCGCTCCGTAGATTCCCTCTTTTTTTTTTTGGTATTTTTCCGCTCTCGATTTCATCTTTCCCGGGGTGATGTGATGTGTTGTAGCATCCAGGTAACATCATTCAGTCGAGTGTCAAAAAATCCCAAAAATTAAAACAAGCTTTCGTCTCAGGGTTTCGGTAGCGCTTTTCATTGACCCATGTTGCGATGCTGTTGCTGGAATTATTGCGCAGCTTTCGATTCTCGACCCATTTCCTGTCTTTTTTGAAAACTGTTTTTCGTTTTTCGTTTTTTTCTTTTGTCCATTGGACTTCTCACGACAGCAGACGTCACAGTTTCGCGCTACCAAGGGCACGCAAGGATGCTGCAAACGTCATAAGATAGTGTGGCCAGCACACAATGCCTTCCACCGTCAATCAACCACCAAATTAGACCAGCATTGCTCTTTCTCGTTTCCTGTTTACTTGGTATCTTCGTCCTCAAACACCCGCTCATATATTTGTCCGGAAGGGTTTTTTTTTCGGCCAGTATTCGCATCCAGCGTTGATAATTTATTGATTAATGTCCCCGGTTCAACGCATTGAGCATGCTACTGTCGGTACTGGAGCGGCCTTGGTCACCCGGATTGAGCATGTCACGAACATTGAGTCCTCCACGCGAGCTGGTCGGAGTAGATGCGGAAGGAGTAGCGCCTTGGCTAGGGTGCATTGGAGGGTATGGAGAACCGTGGGGGGAGGACGAATGGCGACTATCGTAAGGATACGCGGATTGGGGCGAAGGGCGACGATCGATTTGCGGAGGATAGTAGGGGCTTGGGGCGGTATGCGCCGAATACCCCGGATTGGACGTGACGGGCGTAACGGGAGCTAGGTTCGTGGGATCCGGGTATTCGTATCCAGAACCCGAACCGCGGCGACCAGGGGGTCTCTGATGAGTGAAAAGATGAGTACCAAGTTTAGCAATTGGGCAGAGAATGGAATACTTACGTGATCTTGAGGCACTGATGCAAGGGGTGGCGCGCCATATGGCTGTTGATACATTGCTTGCGGTGGCGGGAGGGTAGCATCGGGACCTGCTTGCGGCTGTTGTTGAGGCGGTAGAGGCTGACCGTGAGCACCGTAGAGCATCACGGGAGGCGCACCGGGGCGCCCCGGGGTCTGAGCGTTTCTCAAGTGAGGGTACGCGGCGTGTGCTGGAACAAATGCCTGTGCTTGCGAGGAGACGGGCGTGAACATGCACTCTTGATTGAACCGGATACAGTTACTGCATCGTCCATCTTGAGAGCTCTCGAAACCCGAGCATCGGATCTACCAGTTCCAGATAACCGTCAGTGTTTCAATGCCCTACCATGTTGTATTCTCCAATATCTTCGAGCCCGGCGACAACGTACCTTCCGTCTTCTACAGTAACGGCAGGCGATAGCCGTTCGCTGCCGAGGAGCGGCGGCCTGGTAGACAACTTGAGTATGGGTAGCAGGACCTTGAGCGTAGAGGTCCGGGGCACGATAAGGTCCAGCCTGAGGCGGCGGCGGCGGCAGACGGTAGGGATCGTGATGTAAACCAGCCTGTGGGACCTGGTGAATAGCAGCCATGGTTGTCGCAGGCGGATACTGCGCTTGGTGTGGTGAAGGGTATTCTGCGGCCGGGGGAGGATACGACGCGGGAGGGTACTGAAAAGTGCAAGATCACCGAGGTCAGTATAGAGTCCTAGACGGTAGGCAATGACAGAGGAAGACACAATTGATAAACAACGGGAAGGGGTACGGTGGAGCAAGGTGTTTCACGGCAGCGAAATGACGTCCGCGTCCGACACCTGAAATGGGAGGGGGGCAGAATGCCAGACGGCAGGACGACGAGGGAAGAGGGAAGAGGAGACAAGGCAGCAACGTGCAAAAAGACAAGAGACACATACAGGGTATTGCGAAGCCGGCGGATAGTGAGCGGAAGGGTTATCCTCAGGTTGACTAGTGTTCCACGGCGGAGGTGGATACTGACCCTGCCGGTTAGGGTCGTTGAAATCGTGGGGGTTGTTGGACATTTGTAGGCGAGAGAGCGACAGAGGCTGCTATTAATACGGAACGAGACGGGGGCAGAGAAAGGACGGATGCAGGATGATGTGAGTTGAGAGTCACGTCCCGCGGGTCTTCGGCCAAGGAGCAGGAGCAGCAGGGGTGTAGTCCGTGTATGTATAGATTCAAGGTACGCCTCGTTCGGGGCGGCCGTATGTATGGGGTGTATGCGTTGGTTTGGATTGGCGTGGTTTGGTTGGATGCAAATGGCTGAATGGGATTTTGGGGGGAAGAAGAAGGGTGTGGAAGAAACGAGGAACCCCGTCGTATGTAATCGGCGTATGTATGCGTAAGGCGTAAGGACGTATGTATCGGCCGGCTGTCCGTACGTTATGTGTAAGTAAGAGTGTAAGAGTGTAAGAGTGTAAGAGTGTAAGAGCGTAAAGTATGTAGGAAGAAAGCGTGGTGGGTGTTGTGTGTGCGCGTGTAAAGCGACCAGGATTGCGATGCGGAGTCCAAGCCGGTCAGAAAGTAGACCAAATCAGAAACAGTTCCAGCTCCCGTCGGGTGATGTGCAAGGCTAGCATAGCCTCGTGGTCACGCTGGAACCAGACGGGGAAAGGTGAGAGCGTCAGGAAGTGGGAATGGATAAAAAAAATGGGGGATGGCAAAATTAAAAAAAAAATCAAAAAGTGACAAGGATCTAGTCCGCAGAAGGAAGAGGTGACCGAAGGGTGAGAGGGAAAAAATGACCAGGGGGGCAGAAGAGGCGGTGGAGAGTGAAGGCGAAGATGTCGAGGTGGTCAATTTAGTAAGGTGAAGGTGTCAGGGAAGAATACCTTGCGAAGGGGGTTGGCCTGAGAAAGGAAAAAAAAAAAAAAAAAAAAAAAAAAAAAGACAGAGAGATAAAATAAAATAAAATAAAATAAATGGGGGTGGAAAAAAAGAAAAAGAAAAAAGGCAATTGGTAATAGGCAAATTTATTTTTTTTTTCTTAAAAAAAGAAGAAAAAAAAAAAAAAAGAGCCTCGGGGGTTTCAGTTATGACGTGAGCGTCAAACACTCTTCTCGACGAGAGCCCTCAAGGTGCGAATGAGGGTAGAAGAGGTGACGAGTGGGTTCGAACAGGCCAACGGAAGGAGGAGAATAAAGCGGAATTGGAAAAAGCAAAGAAAAATTTCTGTCGGGCAGGAGTATGTAGGTACTACTCAAGTGGTGGGAGTCAGCAAGCAAAAGGAATAAGGCCTGGCAGTAGCGCGATGCACAAGTGTCAGTATAGGATCAAACGAAACCAGCGCCGTGAAGATTGCAAGGTCAAGCCGTCAGCGGAACCGTAAGAATCTTGCAATTGCGATCCTGGCTCTTTTTTCTTTTCTTTTTCCTTTTCTTCTTTGCCTTCCCCTTCGTGTCAGGATGAAAAAAGAAAAAAGGAAAAAGAAAAGAAAAGAAAAAGATGCTAGGGAAAAATACAAATGGATTCTGCAGACGCCCATGGAAATGTGAATCAATTGACAACCGTACCTTGAGATCGCAGGAGAGTTCGGGTTCGGGTGACACAAGGAATGAATAGAATCAAGTGAAGGGATCGGATCCGACGATGATAAGACGAAGGAATTGGAGAGATTTTCTTATACTGAAAACGTGAAGAATGGAGGCCCCAAAATAGAAGAAAGAAGGAGAGAGAAGGAAGGAAGGGGGAGAAGGATTAGGACGAAATCAAACAAATTTGTTCCCTTGGATGGTTCGGAAGCAGGTAAGGAACGAGAACGGATCTATTTGGTCACTACCTTACTGTTAATTTTCTCCCTATCTTCGCGAGAAAAAAAAAATAGAAAAAAAAAATCGCCCTTCCTGCGCACTTTCAACAACCTAAGAACCGCTCTCTCCGCTCCTTGCAACCTGCTTCCTACCTAGTTTCAATTGTCAAACCCCCCATATGCCGAATGAAATCAACCATGCGAAGAGATTCCAAACGACGGTTAGTTGGTATGGGTCGCCGACTCGCCGGTCCGTCCGAGAGGCAAAAAAAAAAAAAAAAAAAAAAAAAAAAAAAAAAAACGGTTGGGTCAAGCGCATCCAGAGGACCAGAAGACACGAGACGCAGGGCGAGTGCCCCCGGTTGGCGGAAAGCGGAAAGGCGGGAAGGGCAGATTCGCAGATGGAGATCTCAAGGGATGGCAATTCTTTGGGTCAACTGGGTCAAACTGGGTACTGGTGGAAGCTGCGTTCCATGGATGAGTGGTGGTTTTTCTTTTTCTTTTTTTTTTCTATCTTTTTTATCCCTGAAAAGGACGAATGGAAGGGTAGAATTTAAGAACGAGCAGACAGCCAAAAAAGAAAAAAAAAAAATGATTACGGAGTCCAATAACTGTTAATTAATTCTAGGTACGGGAACCAGTATGCTATTCAGGCAGAACGAAAGACCATTGGTTTACGACGGGGTAGGAGGGAAATCAACCACGCGGGCGATTAATTTCTCGACCGAAAATAGTAAGGGGATTGGTCCCAGATTTCATCGACAGGCGATTGTCGGGCAGAAGGGAGCGAACAGAGTGGATTATCGGCAGCGGTCTAGCAGGGACGGAGGGCAAGACGAGGAGGGGAGATGGCCCAGTGGAGGGCAACTAGAACAAGAGAGAAAAAAGGCGGTCATGGAAAGAAACTTAACTATACGGAGTAGAAGAACGGTCCGCAGACGGAGTGGGGACGCGCTAACGGCCCATAGATATGGATGGGCTAGAGTAAGACGCAGCTAAAGCATTCATGGTTCCATGGGGATCACCTGAATCGCCGAGAGGGCCTCGGGTTGGGCGTTTGGCAGGCCCCGGCGACCGCTCGAGCAGCGACTACTGTCGAGTCTAGAGCCCGAAGAGGGGCGTAAGTTTGCGAAAAGGCGCAAGTGACGACTGATGACGGAGGGGAGGGGACGCCGGGACGGGTAAAGGCGCCGTGACGGAACTCCACCGACCGCTCCAACTCCTTCCGTCTCCAGTTGGTTTCCTTAGCGCTCGGGAGGTACGGACTACGGACTGGACGTATTATTCTTTGCGTCCCTACCTTAGGTACTCTCCTCGGTCGCTGCTGACGGGGGACCTTCGTTTCTTTTATTCTCACCGCAGTCCTCGGCTGCTGAACACTGAACACTTTCCGCAGGCTCTTCTCCCGCCGAAGAATGACTTCAATAACGCAGTATTGCTCGGTAAGATATGTACCAAGTCACAATACGAGTAATTCACATCAATGCGCACCGATATTACTAACACATACCACCCACTGGGGTATATGCAAAGTAAACTGACCTTAGCATTGAATCATCGCAGAGAAAATTCATCGACCAAATGGTTTAAAGAACAGAAAATAAAAAAAATAAACCAGCAAAGGCCAAGGCAACAGAATGTCTCATCTGACCATGGCTGAACGGCATCGACTAACCCAACTAACCCGGTTTCAGCTCCTAGACCGATAGACGGTGCTTTGGCCTGGTACCTAGATAGCACCTGCATGACTAGGGAGGATTTAGACGGACTTTCAAGAATAGCTCCGTGCGGGCAAGAATAATTCCTGCCAACTATAATATGAATTTTAATATGCGTACGAACCGCTGATACAGCTGCAGGTCACTGGCAACCTGGAGCGGTACTCTGATGTACCATCCAACCTGCCAACCTACTACCTATTCGAGTCGCCCCTACATATCCCGTGTGATTCGGTTGAACAGGATGCATGGATCACCTCAATCCTGCAAATCTGTTGTTACTTCTACACGTCTAAGCCTCGGTGAAAGAGGTGGAGAGAGAGCGAGCGCGAGAGAATCAATGAATTAATTAAAAGAGAAAAAATAATAAATAAACAAAAGACGCGGCAGCATCGCTAAATCCCCCCATGATTGGATACCAAAGGATACGCCGCGATACCAATCCCAAGCCTCCTTGGAAACTCCGTGTGTACTCCGTGCGATGGTGGTGAACCAAGGTTCAATTCGGGGAGAAGCGACCTACATCCTGGGGGGTCCACCCGGGTAATGCCCGAGTCCTAAGAAGGAAGAGGGGCTGACGGGCCGTCGATGGCCAAAAAAGCAGTGATTAAAGCCCTACTTTGCCTCGACTAGGCAGGCATGTATGTACTGGTTGCAGCTGCAGAAGATTAATCATCTCTTCTGCCCCCATCCCATCCCATCCCATCCCATCCCATCCCCCCTCGCGTATCTATCATCATCATCAGTCGATAAGGGAACTGATCCATCCGGGTTACACTACCGGCTGACAGCCCCCCCTTCTTCCATGCGCGCGCACCGGGCACAAGGGGAAGGGAAAAAATCACATTAACTAATCGTGGGGAATTGTAGGTGATTGAACGACCCAGCCCCCAATTTATGTGCCCACTACTCCGTAATTTTCTGACTCCGTGTCCTTTGTCCTACCCGTTTCTAGAATATACCGGTCTCGTGTCTCTTGCTAGGCCACGCACTAGGAATTAAGGGTACCAAAGAATTAACTCGACCAATGGACACGGAATGAGAAATCCTTCGCCTGAGAACCCCTCTTGCCTTTTTCAATCATTTTTATTCTCATTATTCTTCTTGTC